GTACGCACTAAGAGAGAAGAAGCAAGGGTGATCCATGGAATTAAGGTTTAGTAATTCTGCAGCTCCCAGGGCAAGGGAGATTGCGGCCGTTGGGGATACGAGCGACCACCACCCAGCAATGCAACCACAGGTTACCTACTTATCCTCGCCCATCCACTGACAGCGCATCAATGGCCGTTGAACCAGGACCAGGCAACGCTGGTGGTGGTGGTGGCCCCCCAAAAATAGCAGGGCCAGTCGGAGGTTTTGTCGCGAGTCTTGGCGGACAGCGACGCTTGCGATGGCATCGATGATCGCTGTGCCTTTTCGCGGACCGTTCACACCGGGCCAAGTTATCCACATGCGCGAGAGAGAGAAGAAGAAGAAAAAAAAGGGCACGCCGAAACCTGGCCGCGGTGTGGATTCCCGCTGTCAGAGTCTGCCATTCGGATGGAGGCTCTCAGGGCGCCGAGCTGAGCTGAGGGGCCGGTGAGAGGGTCCTGCCAGCTTATCCGCACCGGTGCACTAGCCTAGGGAGACCCAACGCTGTACGAGATAGGAGACTTTTTTTTTCTATCACTCATTGCCCAATATCTCGTGATATCTCTCGGAGGCTGCACCTGGGCGAGCTGACAAGGGGCCCGCTAATAAGGGCCTGTTGTTGAGAAGTATTCAAACCTTCGTTCCCGACGCTTGTTGGGGATGCCGGCGGACCGAAGAGATCGAGATGCAAGGTCTTTTTCCCGCCTCTTTGTATCTGTTACCTATCACGACACAAAGAAGGAGCCTTCGTATCTGTGATGAGCTGGCCATGCACCGCCAGATCGGCCTCTTTCGCGGGCTGAACTGCAAAGCAGGGGGGTTCCTAGCCCGGCCTACTTCGTACTGTGTTGCTGGTGGCGGCTGCAGAGCCCTATCACACTAGGCAGGTAGGTACCCGGTTGAAGAAAAGGCGGACTCGTGGTGAGCCTTATCGCGCACATAGGTTTTCCAATAATCGACAACAAAAAGAGGCTGCCTACGAAGTAAAGTTACCTATCTATCGCGGGCCGTGTAACGGTCCATCTTTGAGGCTGAACAAGTTTTACGGGTGGTGGTGGTGTGGCCTGGTGTGGGTGTGTGTGCCCAATGCCGCCGCCGACGCTGTCCCCGTGTCGTGAAGGCAAAAGCAAGCCACCGGAAGCAGGACCGAGGAATGTTGAGAGGGGGGTCCCGTCGCGGCGCCTCCCGCAGGTTGATCGACGGCATGCCCTTTTGTGACGAAGATGTCTTATCTGTTGTTGAAGACGAAAGCCATCTCAGCTGTGTCCCCCCTCCCCTGTGCGTTTGATTGGCTCTCAGGCGGTTCTTGCATCTGGCTTGCGATCGGATGGCGGAACGTCCGGATGGGCGTGCGTGTGCGTTACGGGCAGAAACCTCCAATACCTCGCGATGTGCAAGTCGTGCCGTGTGGCGAAACCGTGTTGTGTTGTTTTTTTTGGCTGAGGTCGCATGGGCCGGCACGCTTGGGGTTGCACTCGTGCCCATCCGACGTCGAGCTGGCTGGCAGGTCGCACACCGATAAGACTGCCCAGATGCAAGTCCCAATTTCACCTTTGCCCAACCTGATACACCGCCATGACCTCTGGCCTACCTAGCGCGTGTTTGAAGCGTCTGCACCGTCACGGTAGGTAATTGCTTTGGACATTGGGGGGGCTCGTGTTCGTCGCTGTGGTGGTGGCCGTGCAGAGGGGCCAGACACACAGACTGATGGGATTTTCTCCGGCACGCAGTCGCGCGCTTCGGGTCAAGAGGAGGTCAAGAACGGCCTACCTACCAGTACGGGGCCTGGGTGTTGCATCAATGGCTGGGACTTGCGAGCTGAACCCAGTTCGGAGTACCGCACTAAATGCTGCACAGCGCAGGGGTCCCTTGCGGCACATCGATAAATTCGCTTGTACGTAAATTATCAATTCTGTTTTTTTTGTCGGCTTCTTCCCTGCGACCGTGCACGAATTTATCTCCTCCCTGAAACCCAAGCCAGCGCCGCCCATCCCATCCCACACCAGGCGATAATTAACGAAGAATGTGGACTTTGGAGCTTTAGAGAGGACAGATTGTCTGCCAAGTGAATAATTATGGACCGATATCGACCCAGCAGTTTGTTACTTTGACGTCAACGAGTGGATAGTCGCCTATTTGCTGAGCCCATTGGGGAACTGAGACATTGCCCGTTTGCCCACTGTTTGCAGTGCGGGCCCTTTTTTTTCTGGTAGTCTTTCTTTACCACTGGAGACGACTCACGAGCTTTTTACTGTACAATTAGTATCTCAGGTACAGAGTAGGTAGGTACCTTAGCCAAGCAATGTACGGAAGAGCCAGTCGAGTCAAGCAAACGAAGCCCGTGACCCGTGAACCCCGGGTTGGACCCCAGATCCATCGACGGTAAGGGGATATTTTTCTGATCTACGCTTCTTTTGGGACAAATTGCATTGTATTGAAAGACGCCTCAATATTCCTGTGCACACGTGGATGGGCTTTTTTTGCGGTTTGCTGTCACGGTCTGGAACCAGGCATGCATGTCCTTGGCGGGAGATGGTTTTGTGTGGAGCCGGGCTGAGCGCCAGGAGTTCAATAGTGCGTGCAATAGTGCGGTAGCGCCTGTGGCCAGCCCCAGCGAGTTCCCAGCGGGTTTCCAATTTCTGCCCACGGCGGCTTGACCGCCCGCCAAAATCAACTCTGCTGGTACCGTTCAGCAGTGTTCTGGTAGGGGCCGTGACCTCGTCTTTTGGGCGGTTGGTAAGGTAGCAGGTAGGGAGGTGCGAGTCTAGGCGCCCGCGCCGGCGTCTCGCTGCTTGCTTTTCGCAATCTCCCTTGTCCAGAGTCCTGATTGATTGATTGACTGGCTGTCAAAGATCTGCATAAAGAGTTTATTTTCCTTCCCGGTGCCCGGGAGTTAAAAATACTTTTGGTACGAGAAGGTTCTCGTGCGGGAAGAGAAGAGAGAAGAAAAAAACCAATAGCCTTGCTGGCGATGGTGATTGACTTTGGAGGCAGAAAAGCTTCTCGAAGAATTGGCAGAAAAGAGTAAGGCGCCGTTTTGGGGCGAACAGCATCCCCTAGCAATAGGAGCACAGTGCCACAGTGTCGCCGTGCTGGCCAGGCCATGTACCTGCGCTAAGCACCCAGCACGCAGGCCAGAGGCCAAGTGGGGGCAGCACACCCACCGGCTAGAAGCCCCCCCCGGTCTGATCTAGAGGTATTCCGCAGGTCGAATGGGTAAAATAGGGGCCCCACCTCCGTTGGAACCCCTGTCCTGCCTCGGGTCCAAGCTCTAGCGGGCTTGGGCCCAAACGTCGATGCTTTCCTGTTCCTGATTTTGTACCTCTTGTACCTTCTTGGCCCGGTGGTCCAGTCAGTCTTCGGCGACGGTCCCGCCGCTTCATGACATCGCCGTTTCGGCCATGGACGGGAGGCAGATTCATACAAATGTGCTGCTCCATCCCGGCAGGAGAACGGGATGCACGTTTTTCGGTAACATCTGTATACTATTACGGTACTCATGACCCGAGACGAACTACAAGACAAGAAAACAGTCACAGTGAACAGTGAACAGTGAACAGTGAACATCGAGAGGTACGTTCCATCCACTTACACCTCCAACCTACCTACCTAGGTACCTAGCCCCAAAGCCACAAGGCCAGAACAAGACTGATCCAGAGACGACGACACCACAGATCATTGCCTCCGCCAATTTACACTTTCCAAACTATTGACTGCTGAGCCCGACGCCTTCTCTCAAACCCAGACTTTGCTAGGCAGTTTTGACAGCTTCAAGCCATCCCATATTTGATCCAACAAACACCCCGGTCAGAAAAAAGGATCAACGTCGTGCATTGAACCACACCCAATCCAATCTCCACCCGCACCTTTTCTTCTCTGTCGCCGACACCAAACGGGAAGGGGACAGAAAAAAAATAAAGAATTAAAGTACCTAGCAATTCAACACTATTGCCTGGTATTTCCACTTTACTCAAAGTACCTACCTACAACCAACCTCAAAGACTCTCCACAATCCACGCACGCGGTGCTGTTGCATCTCCTCTTGGCACAGTCGCCTCGCTTCGTATTCTCCCACACATACGGAGTAGGTACAGCGGCCCAGCAGGGATCCCGCGCTACGGTGCTTGTCGACCCCCGGTCGCCCTGTTTGCAACCCTGAAGCCCATCATTTTTCTGGCTGGACTTCCTCTCCTCCCGAAAGTGGCTTGGGCCCGTTTTTCCTTTTCCCCATCCCGCCCAGCAGGCAGGCCCTGAGCCTAGCTTTGCCCGTACCTGGTACGTACTCTTGCTCCTCATCCGTTGTCACTCTTCCTCCTCCTCTTCCTCTCCTTCGTCTTCACACATGGGCCTGGCCTGGGTATCTTCTGCTTCTGCCAGCTCCGGCTCGGCCGTTCGTTCCCCATTGTCGTCCACAATTTACCTATCTTCCGCTCCCGCACGTTGGGACCCCCCCTGTCCACTCACACCAACCTTCCTCTCTCTTTACCACCCCCCCACCCATGTCATTCGTTCCCTTTTTTGTATCTATCCCCTCCCCTCCCGGCCAGCATTCCTTCATTACCTTCCCATCCCCAGCTAACCTTCCGCTCCTCTTCAAGATCGGGCAATCTCCAACAAAGCCTTCGTCGAGAGACAGCAGAACCGGCAACGAACAGAGGGACCTGTCTCCCCTTCGCTGGTAAAGTCCTACTCTGCTGTACTCGTCGTCACCTCACCAAGGCACCCTACCTCCCCTTTCTTCGAGCGAGCCCGTCGTCTGGAAGATCCGCCTGGAGCTTTTGAACGAGTTTATACAGCAAGCTCGGCAACAGCCCTGTCCCTTCGCTTCCACACACGCCTTTTTTCGGCCTCCCGCTCGTTTATAACTACCTTGGATCAGACATTCTTCATGGTCCAAGTCAGCCTCGCCCAATAGTACACACTAATCGACTACGGACGCATATCACCACAAACTACAAGCTGTTCCGACGCCCTTCGACATGGGCCTCGCCAGCTACTTCAAGGCGGAGAAGCCGTCTCCGCGGTCACAGCAGAGCGGCACCGCCTCGGCGGCCGTCTCCGAGAAGAACCACTCGGACCGGACGAGCAGCAATGACCTGGAGCTCCAGACGCCGACGCCGCGGTACAGCTCGCGGCCGCAGTCCGTGTCGGCGCGGTCGTGGAAGTCGACGGGCAGCTCCATGCTGCTCGACGACATCAAGCACGAGGTCATGGTCAACTACCTCTACCAGCAGCAGTGCTCGCACCTGTGGGTCGCCGACGGCAGCGGCGAGATCGAGGGCGTGCTGCTGCGCAAGGCGCGCGGCCAGTACATGGCCTGCCCGCCGCAGCTGGGCAGCTCGCCCTTTGCGCAGGCCTGCGCCGCGCTCAACGTCCAGTGCGCCATGACCGTCAACTCGCGCGTCATCAAGACCTTCCTCGCCTTCTGCCCGGACGCCGTCGACGTGCCGCTCATGAACGGCCTGCGCGTGCAGATCCTGCCCACCATCGACGACCTCCCCCGCGCGCGCAAGCACCAGTTCGCCGCCTTTGTCGCCTCCGAGGGCCTCCTGGTCGTCTGGGACGACGACGCGCTGCACCTGGTCGCGCGCGCCAAGGCCATCGAGTCGGAGCTCATGGAGCTCGTCTGGAAGGCCGGCAGCGCCGACGACGACGACGAGAAGAACGGCGGCGCGGCCAACGAGGTCGAGATCGACGAGGAGAGCGGCCAGATCAAGCCCGAGAAGCGGCCGGTGCACCTGCAGAACACCGTCCTTGTCAGCCTGACCCTCATCCTCGTCACCGTCTCCCTCGGCGCCGCCTGCCGCGAGCTGGCCCAGGAGGTCACCGTGGACCAGAACTACGTGCGCCTCGCCCTCGTCGCCCTCTTCCCCGTCCAGATCTTCTTCACCCTCTTCTTCGCCCAGGTCATCATCGGCTGCCTGGCCCAGATCTTCGGCCCCATCCGCCAGCTCACCATCAACTCCAAGTTCTACTCGGCCCGGCCCCCGCCGCGGCTGCAGACGGCCGCCCTGCCCCACGTCACCGTGCAGTGCCCCGTCTACAAGGAAGGGCTCAACGCCGTCATCGCGCCCACGGTCAAGTCCATCAAGCAGGCCATGTCGACCTACGAGCTCCAGGGCGGCTCGGCCAACATGTTCATCAACGACGACGGCCTGCAGCTCATCACCGAGGAGGACCGGCGCAACCGGATCGAGTTCTACGCCGACCACAGCATCGGCTGGGTCGCGCGCCCGGGCCACGGCGACAACGGCTTCGTCCGCAAGGGCAAGTTCAAGAAGGCCTCCAACATGAACTTTGCCCTCATGATCTCGTGCAAGGTCGAGGACAAGCTGGCGCAGATCCACCGCGGGCCCGAGTGGTCGCAGCACGACGAGGCCGTCGCCTACGAGCACGCCCTCAAGGAGGTGCTCGAGCAGGACGGCCGGGCCTGGGCCGACGGCAACATCCGCGTCGGCGACTATATTCTGATTATCGACTCCGACACCCGCGTCCCCGCCGACTGCCTGCTCGACGCCGTCTCCGAGATGGAGCAGTCGCCCGACGTGGGCATCATGCAGTTCTCGTCGGGCGTCATGCAGGTCGTCCACACCTACTTTGAGAACGGCATCACCTTCTTCACCAACCTCATCTACACGGCCATCCGCTACACCGTGTCCAACGGCGACGTGGCGCCCTTTGTGGGCCACAACGCCATCCTGCGCTGGAGCGCCATCCAGCAGGTCGCGTACGAGGACGAGGACGGGTACGAGAAGTTCTGGTCCGAGAGCCACGTGTCCGAGGACTTTGACATGTCGCTGCGCCTGCAGTGCGCCGGGTACATCATCCGGCTGGCCGCCTGGGCCGGCGACGGCTTCAAGGAGGGCGTGTCGCTGACCGTGTACGACGAGCTGGCGCGCTGGGAGAAGTACGCCTACGGCTGCAACGAGCTGCTCTTCCACCCGATCCGCAAGTGGGTCTGGAAGGGCCCCTTCACGCCCCTCTTCCGCCGCTTCCTCTTCTCCAACATCCGCATCACCTCCAAGATCACCATCATCTCGTACATCGGCACCTACTACGCCATCGGCGCGGCCTGGATCATGACGGCCATCAACTACTTCCTGGTCGGGTGGTTCAACGGCTACCTCGACAAGTACTACATCGACTCGTGGAAGGTCTGGTTCTCCATCATCATCGTCTTCAACGGGCTCGGCAACGTGGCGCTCGCCGTCATGCGCTACCGCATCGGCGAGCGCAACCTGCTGTACTCGCTGTTCGAGAACTTCAAGTGGACGCTGCTGCTGGCCATCTTCCTCGGCGGCCTGTCGCTGCACGTGTCGCAGGCGCTGCTGGCGCACATGTTCGAGGTCAACATGACGTGGGGCGCGACGTCCAAGGAGGCCGAGTTCTCCAACTTCTTCATCGAGATCCCCAAGGTTTTGAAGAAGGTAAGCCTCTCTTTTTTTTCTCTCTCTTCTCCCTCTCGTTTCGATGTTTGTGAGGGATGGATGATGGACGCGCGTCGCCTTTGGGTTTTTTTGGGTGTCGATTTAAGGTTGTGGATGCCAGACCGATCAGCATTCCAGTCAATCCTGGGGATGTGTGGTCTGGTGTGGTGGTGTGCAGCCTCGTCTCTCGACCAGCCCACCCACCACCACCACCACCACCACTTCGACACCGGGTGTGCCACCAAACTCGAAACAGTGCGACGCCACAGCCGTCACCCACACACCTCCTCACTTTTGCACAAACAACCAACCAAACAGACTAGTACCGGCTTTGCTAACTCTTCTCTCTCTCTCCCTTGCAGTTCAAGTTCTCGATGCTCTTCGCGACCATCTTCATCGTCGGCATGATCATCCTGGCCGTGGCGCCCTTTGTGCCCTACGACTGGCGCATCACCGACTTTGTCGCCATCCTGCCCATGTCCACCGTCGCCGCCTCGCACCTGCTGCTGCCGCTCGCGCTCAACCCTGCGCTGATGACCTTCTCTTGGTAGAGAGGATCTTTTTCTCTCATATCTATTTCCTTTTTTCCACTTCTCTGTTCAAAATTATACTGTCACATCATTCGGATATACAAGACATCCGATCTACGGGGAGATTTATCCCCTTTGGCATACTTCTTTCTGTTTAGTTTTTAATTTCCCCCCATTCCTGATGAAAAGGAAAGGGGAAAAAAGCGAGCACAAATCACATACGGCGTTCACACACGAATATAGATAGAGATGGGAACACAAACGGGAACAAAGAGGCGCGAGGACAAGAGCAGATGCATTCTTCCTGCTTCTCGCTAAAAGAGAGAAAGCCTCTATGGAGTTTTTGATGGGATGTATATACGGGATCATATTTTCCTTTTGTCACGTTGGTCGATTGGATATCAGCATGAAAGAAAGCCCTTCTTCGGAACCTCTTCCGCAACGGAATTGAAGGCCGAGCAAGGCACTGACGACCTTGGATTCATACTGTTCTCTGGGGAGTCGTCTTAGGGTATCGGGGGACGAAAGGGATGACGGACTTATACCTTAATTGGCGAAGGATACAAGAACAAACAAATATGAAAAAACATTGAAAATATCTTGACTGACATCATCTGACGTGTACAAATTGCATGAAGAGAAGTGACCTCCAAGAGGGCACATTGCGACATGGCAGAGAAGAGGAGCCAGGTCCATGCTTTCTCTCAAGGCTACACTTACACTCTAAACGCCCAGAACAATTCCACAATCAGATTTCCCGTCGGACCAGGAGGCTGGAATACCGCAATGACATTGAATGTGTTGATAAACTCAGGATAGGATCCGCCCTAATCTGCGAATCCATTGAACCAAATAGACGCCGCGAGCGCATGCCCTTGTACATACATGCCATCCTGCCTGAACGCCGAGTCGATGAACCATCCCTTCCTTTCCCTTTGATCAACGCCAGCCAGAGCAGGGGCCTGGATACCCCGCCCGAGCATAAAACAGAACTTGCGCCGCCGAAGAAGGTAGAACATCCTTCGCAACGCCCTTCCAATTCCCAATAATCGAACACGTGCCACCGCGGATCCCAAAACCAGAGGGATCTAGCACAGCACAGCAGAGTCAAGACCTGACCTCAAACCACACACAGACACACACATCCTTCCACACACCCTTTCCAACCTCCCGCCGCACGAGGGCAGATTCACCTGTACCGCCGCACCGCCACATCGAGACAGCTGACCATCCGCACGCGGCTCCCGCTCTCCGGCTCGCCACGTGGCTGTCCGTCGGCGGCGCGCTCATCCTCCCCCTCCTCCTCCTCGTCCCCACCAAGGACGTAGTCATCCACGGCGGCCACGGTGCGCGTGCGCAGGTTCACGCGGCAGTCGGGCTGGCGGAAGAACCAGGCGGCCACGTTGAGCGTCTTCTCGATGGCCTTGCCCGTGCCCGTGATGACCACGTCTTCCCCGAAGCCGTCGTAGGCGCCACCGCCAGCGCCAGACTGCTGCTGCTGCTGTGGCGCGGAGCGCAGGGCCTGGATGCGCTGCGGGAGCGTCCGGTTTCTTCTTGTTGTTGTTGCTGTTGTCGTCGCCGTCGTCGTCGGTGGAGAAGAGCGGTCGAGCTGCCTCTGCACGCGCCGGACGACGGACATGAAGGGCGTGCGGGAGGAGACGTAGATGGGGTGCCGGGCGCCGCCCGAGTTCTGGAGGGCGGCCGGGGTGGCGCGGTGCATGGGCCGGCGGTGGATCTTGGTGTTCTTGCCGCCTGGGAGACGGGCTTGCTTGGTCTTGTTGAAGGGTTGGACCGCTGTGGGGTGGTCCGAGTCTTGTGCCTTTGGTTGTTGTTGTTGCTGGGCCTGCCCGGGAGGGGGAGCGCCGGTGTGGCCTGTGTTTTCCAAGTCCATGGGAGAGGCCATGGTTAAGGAAGGGAATGGCTTGTTTTAGTGGTGATGTGAGGTGAAAGAGACGAGGAGATGAGGAGAGAGCGTGGGCACGCTCTACGTGATGGAGTCTTGGTCAAGGTGGTTGTTGATTGTCGCGTTGATGTATTAAGGTCAGATAGAGTATTGCAGATTTGAATTGGCGGGGGCTTTTAAGCCTTGAACAATCGCTTTGTTGAGTGATGAGGGAGTGAGATGAAGCTGAGCTTCTCTTCTTTATGAAATCATAAGTACTCTCTGCGGTGGATTGAGCAGGTTCAAAGCTGGGCATGCAAAGTGGGGCAAGGAATCCACCCATGCAGCAAACGGTGCACGGACCACACACATCACATCGCCTTGCCGGGCATTCACCGCCTGCCCGATCCAGCAGAGCTCGATCAATCCAGCTGCCTGCCAGTGATTGACTGATAGGTGCCATTGCTTCAACCCATCACACCTCTCATCCAACAAACACATCTCTCCGCTCTTGGGAGAAAATACTGATGCCTGCGCCCACCGGCACAGTCACCACCAATCCACACAGAACAATGAGGCCATCATGTCTGTAGAAATCTGGCCTCCCGTCCCGCCAGAGGTCCTTAAAACCGCCGTCGCGGAGACCCAGGTACGTCGAGCCAACTCATGATGCCTGCTCTTGCCTCTTGTCTATCGTCGTCGTCCCCCTGGTTCGCACCTCTTTCCGGCCCACCATGTCCCTCCTCGCCGACGAGACACCATGGGTCATGATCAGCCACAGCTGCTCCTCGTCCCTTTGTCCTCCCCTCGTCGACCCAGAGCCCCTCCCCGAACCCGTGCTCGGCATCGCCGCCCGCAGCATCGCTGACCTCTCGCGCCTCCAGGACCGCGAACTGGCCTGGCTCGTCCGCGAGCTCGACGAGACGCTCCACGGCCTCAAGCACGGCCTCGAGGACTGCTACGCCCTGCTCGCCCCCATCGACCCGGGCAGCAACCTGCTCGTCAGCACGCCGCGCAACGACCTCGTCAAGGGCACCCTCACCCGCGTCGGCACCCGCATCGTCAAAGGCGTGCGTAACTAGTCCCCCCTGAAACCAATATATCTTTGCCAATGATTCCCACCCCCCGCCGCACGGTCAGGCCAGATCCGCTGAACATGCCTCCTCCCGCAGACAATCCACCTCCGCCTGCGCACCCTCCCGCACCAGACCCTGACCCTCAACCCGGACCACCCCATCCACGTGGGCGCCCTGTCGACCCTGCACGCCCTCCTCACCCACTCGATCGACCTCATCACCCTGACCCTCTCCCACGCCTCGACCCCCTACTCCCCGAACCCGGCCTCGCCGTCCTCGCCGCCCTCCCCCGGCGCCGCGGCGGCCTTCATATCCGCCCAGCTCCGCCTCCTGTCCCAGTCCCTCGCCGACGCCGCCGTCCTGCTCCGGGGCCCGCCCCTGACGGACCCGGACCCGGCCTGGACCTCCCGCTCCGCCTCGCCCAGCCACTTCGACCCGGCCCTGCCGCCCAACGTGAGCTTCCACCTCGGCGTGCAGGACTCGTCCCTCGTGCTCTGGCTGCGCGCCCTCGAGCCCGCCGACGCGCCCCTCAACCTGGGCATGAAGTTCGCCCTCGCCATCGGCACGGCCCGCCGCATCGACCACGACGAGGCCGACCGCGTCTTCGGCTACTGCTGCGAGGGCGCCGAGCGCACCGGCAGCCCGCACACGCCGCCGCCGGGGTCCGACAACGACCACGGCGGCACCGGCCACGGGTTCGCCAGCCAGGACGGCGGCAAGGCCGGCGGCGGCCCGCCGACGACCCAGGTCTACGTGCGCGAAAAGGTGCGCGTCGAGACGGCCGACCCCAGCCTGCTGAGCCTGTCGGCCAAGCTCAGCGCCCTGAGCCACACGCTGGCCCTGGCGAGGCAGAACCTCGCTGCCGTCATGGGCGAGGATATCGAAGACTAAGATAAAAGAGAGAGAAAAAGAAAATGTGGTGTAAGCAAGCCTAGCATGTTATGTAGGGCAGGCAGACCACACAAACTTATTGTAATAATGAGCAAGCACTCTGTAACCGCAACAACAACAACAACAATTAATATAAGACTAGCCAGCCACATGGCGCAAGCAACCGAGATGAAAATGTATTTATTTGCTTTCGCCTTTGCTCTCTTGACAACACGGCTCAGTATACACGGTATGCTAATGCCCAAATCAAACGCAAGCTCTCGAGACTTCCTCATGATCCATGGTCCTCTTTCCTCCCCCCCTCCTCTTACCAAACTCAGTACAGTACAAAGTAAAATAATCAAACGGGCCCGGACTTTTGGGCATGATGATTCATCGCACATTTCCACACAACCACAGCAACTCTTCTTTCGATGGCTGGTCCACATAGGCCAAGCGGATCGATATCGATCCCCTTGGTCGGGACACGCTGCCGCATACGTTTAACCGACGGGCGACCAGGGCAGGGGGATGAGGATCCTCGACTTCATCGACTGGATGAGGGGCACCGTCTTGTGCACCGTGTCGCTCCAGCCCTCTATGCTCCAGCTCTGTTCACGGCGCACCTTGCGCTCCTCGAGGTTGGCAAACTGCCACAGGTGGTGCACCGTGTTGAGGTCTCCTATCTGCACGAACCACGCGCCCACGCCCTCCATCACCTCCCTGCGCGCCTTGAGGCCGCGCCGCCAGTGCGTCTCCCACTCGAGCAGGTTGCCCGGGTGCAGCGTGTAGGACCGGAGCTCGAACAGGCCGCCGAGCTGCCGGGGCGGCGTGGTCGGCCAGAAGGAGAACTCCTGCATCAGCGACGTCGTCTTGGACTTGATGAGCGACTTGAGCTTGCGGTCGAACTCGGGGAACTCGGGGTGGTTGGCGATCGAGTGCAGCGAGGCGTGGTAGCCTTCGTATCGCTGGTACTCCCAGATGTGGACTGTCGTTGGCGGGCGCTCCTGTTAGCGTTGTGTGCAAGGCCGACGATCGCAAAAAGGATACATACCAAAGGTGTCGCAGTCGCCGACCTCGGTGCGCCAGCTCCCTACCAGATGAACCTTATTCTCCGGCATGCTGGCCATCCGCGGGTACCACTTGCCGACGAGGTCGACGTACTCGTCGACCTTGTCCGACTTGACCTCGTGGAAGACGATCGAGTGGACGTACTTGCCCCGGGCGAGGACCTGGCTGAAGCTGGCCTCGATCTGGGCGTCGAGCTCGCGGCCCTCCTTGGTGCCGTAGATCAGGTTAGTCAGGGGCCCGGCCTTGCGGCCGGGCTCCTTCTTGGCGGCCTCGGAGGCGTTCCCTTTGGCAGTACTAAGTGAGCCGAGGCCCTGGGACTGGCCCTCCACGTAGGCAGAGGGCGCTCCGTCAGAGGAGGGGGGGGAGGGGGTCTTGGGCGGCCACGCACTTGCTTCCCGCGCCTTCTGCGCCTCGACCAGCTGCTCGCGGAACCGCTTCTGCTTCTCGTTGAATGCTGCGACGTTGTCGGGCTCGATGTCGCCCATGATCGGGGACCGGCGGGCGATGGCGGTGGTGCTGAAGGCCGCCTGCGCGGCACGACGCGGGGTAGCTGCACCAGCTGTGCGGACCAGACCTCGCGACAGCATGGTGATTGCTTTCGTGTAATTCCGATGGGGGGAAAAAAGATGATGATATGGTCGAAGGATCAAGAGAGAGTAGTTGGAGACTTCGACCAGCACGATGCAGTACAGCTAGATCGAGTCAAAGGTGAAGCACCGGAATTGGTTGAATTGATCCGGCAGTTGCGGTTGCGGAGAGGTCGAGAGTGATCCAATGGTGAGTGGTCGGGTCGGGCTGGGCCGAGAGAGGTTGGATTCGAGTCGAATGTGATAGGGTGATTGATTGACGGCAGAAGCAGCAGAGAAGCAGAGCAAAAAGTCGTGGTTGGTTCCTCAGAGCAAGCAGGGGGACAAAGGCGAGATTCACGGCAGGGAAGTCAAGTGACGAGGTAGCAGAGAAGACAAGGGTTGCAGATTTGCTGCAGTCGAGATGGTGGGCAGGAATGAGGGATAATTGGAGGAACGGGGGTGGGAGGAGAGGAGGGTGAATCGTGAGCAGCAAGCAGACAGACAGACAGGCAGGCAAGCGAGGAAGCGAGCAAGCTTGTGATGGGACACTGCAACACTGCAACACCCCGCAACGCAGCAGTCGAGGCACAATGCGGCAGAGAATGGCAGAGAATGGGTTGTTTGCGTGCCGTGGGTGGTGCGTGTGTGGTGCGTGGTGGTGCGTCCACGGGTGTGTTTGTGTGGGAGGATGCCTACCTAGGTACCGTAGCTTCGTAAAGGGAGGAAGAAGCACAGCATCAGCTCAGCTGCGTTACTGGGGAGTGGAGCTTCGAACAAACCCCGGCCCAGGCAACTACTTGTAGGTAGAGTGATGTCACTTGCGTGGAGCTTGCCAGGGCTGGAACTGCTCCCTAACTCCAGCGAGAAACAGACCTGGAGCTGGGGGGCGGACCTCTCCTCCCTAACTGGTGTGGATCCAGCCAGGCCTTCCTTTCCCCTCTTTTTGCACCTCAGTCACCTGACTGACTGGCCCGAGCTTGACACACTTCCATCTCGTGCTAGATCCCGTGACTGGGACCACCTTCAATGAAGTTGATGCCTCAGGCTACACTCCATCTCGCCCGGGCGGCCCCGGCAATCGACGCAAACCGCGAAAAAGGCTCGTCGTGAGAGCTTGCCGTGTCGACCTCGAAACTCCATCACCTCTACAAACCCACACAAAACCCCCCTCACATCCTCACTCGCCAATCCGTCAACATGTCTTGGTTCGGTATCACCCCTCTGAAGAAGTTCCCCGCCCCGGTCGGTAAGTCAATTGACCCCCAACCCGCGCCCGCCTCCTGTGTGATGTGTCCCCGTCGCTGACAGCACCTACAGTCCGGCCCATGGCTCCCTTCTTCATTGCCGGTATGCACCCCATCGATCTTCTCGATTAGCTCGCTCGAGTGCTGGCAAATCCTGTTCCTCCTGGATCTCCCATCTGACAGCGCGATTCTAGGTCTCGTCATGGCTTGGGGCATCAACGCCGCCCAGAACTCCATGATGCAGTGTATGTGACCCACGAGAGGCCTTGCGAGCCTGCTTCAATCAACCTCGGCACCTATGCTAACTACAATCCGCAGCCGACGAGTGGAAGAACGACCCCCGCAACGTCTACGCCAAGAACAAGGCTCACTAAACATCGCATCCGGAAAACAGGAGGACGAGGAAAAGGCGGAACGATGGAACCATGGCGGACAGATTCAAGCGCATTTACTGCATGACCGACACACCGATTTTCATTGCGAGGGGTGTTTGTGTACCATAGAACGATACAGAGGTGGTTATCGAGCCCTGTCTATACCGAACTTGCGATACGTGCGAGCGAACGTTCTTCTCCAGCTGTTCAACGTGTTCCCTTGCCCGAAGAAGCTGCCGCTGCGGAATACAAATTGCGCTCTGCACAACCTTTCTGAACAACATGCCTGTCCCTAGACGACGATATGACCGGAGTGAAAGAGGCAGATACGAGTGTGCGTGGTGCAGCATGCCTGACTCCTTCGCTCAGGCCTTCGTCTGTCCTGCCACCCCATCGGCATTCCACGCCCTTTCAATTTGCCTTCTTTTTTGACACCAGACTTATGTACTTTGGCCGGCCCAGTCCACAGCCTCCGTATGATGAGAGAGACTGCATTGAAACCTGGCCATGACTGCCATGCTTGCTCGTCAGCTGTCCTCCGGCACCATGCATGTGGCCTGTGAAATTGATCCGCATAGAACCACCTTTGTGCAAACACATCTTGTCCATTGACGACACGTTGCCATATTCATCTTCACGATATTAGAATGCCATAGTCCTAATTTGATCGTATGGCTATGGCCGTCGACCAGAGAGGCTCTGAGAGCCAGGCTCCTGGAATGAGAGTGCAATGCTCCGCAAGAGATAATTCATCCATTTCGACGATAGAACAAGTAAACCACGATGGAAATATAGACTGGCATAGTCGCCTAGCAAGATAATTGTCGTTTTCGCAGCTTACAAATGTCCGGTATCACGAGCTGGCCGATGTGTGGGTTTTGCTCCGCACCGGCACCAGTCACACACACAACCTCGCCGAACACCGACGCACGCCGAGTGAGTCGCAACATTTTCACACACCTCTTGACTACAACCTGTAAAACTCGACGGCCTCTTCCGCGAGCACATGCGCCTCTCCGCCATACTTTTGTATACGACCAAGCCAGCAGCAGCCCGTACATTTCCCCTATCGAGTTCGACCCGGAGATTCTGCGCGACCATGGCAACGCAAAGCGCCGCCGCCAGTGGCGGCAAGGCGGGACAGAAGCCGGGCAAGAGGGAGATTAAGATATTGATGCTTCACGGTGAGGAGATATTTCCGGCCTCTCTTTCCCAGGAAGATGAATCCCAATGCCGCTACACACCTTCAGACAGAGCACTCACATCTCACCCCCTCCCTCGACTCACCCACTCACTCATTTATCCCCATCCCCATGCCCATCACCGACAACTAACACACCCCTTGTCGCCAGGCTACACCCAGTCAGGCCCCCTCTTCCGCGCAAAGACCCGCGCCCTGGACAAACTCATCCAAAAGGCCCTCGCGCCAGCGAACCTCACCGCCACGCTCGTCTACCCCACGGCGCCCAACCGCCTGCGCCCGCAGGACATCCCGGGCTACCAGCCGCCCGAGGGCGACGACGCAGGACAACCGGGGGACGGCGACGACGACGACGAGTACGACTCGTGGGCCTGGTTCCGCCGCGACGACGCGACGGGCACGTACCGCCTGCTGCCGGAGGGCATGCGCCGCATCGCGCAGGCCATCCGCGACGACTGCGGCGGCCGCGCCGACGGCGTAGTAGGCTTCAGCCAGGGCGGCGCCGTGGCCGCCATGCTCGCCGCGGCGCTGGAGCCGGACCGCGCCGTGCCCCCCCCTCCCGCCGGCTCCGACGCGGCGGCGGAGGACGGCCCCGCCGCCTGGGCCGACGAGCTGCGCGCCGCCAACGGCGGCCGGCCCCTCCGCTTCGCCGTCTCGTACAGCGGGTTCTGGGCGCCGCCGGCGGAGCTGGCCTGGCTGTACGAGCCCCCCGTCGCCACGCCGACGCTGCACGTGCTCGGCGGGCTCGACACCGTCGTCGACGAGAGCCGGAGCCGGGCGCTCGTCGACCGGTGCGAGGACCCCGTCGTCGTCGTGCACCCCGGCGGCCACTACGTGCCCGTCTCCAGGGAGTGGGCCATGCCGCTCATCGGCTTCATCCACAAGCACGCCAAAGACGACGAGGCGCAGAGGGCGCAGATATGAACATGGAGAGGCAGACGACTGGAAAATTATGATTAGAAGGGTGGGATGGGGTGGGCAAGGCAACACATGTTATCCCGGCACATGGCATAGAGTGGATGGGATGCAAGATAGATGATAGATAGACTGCTCTGGTTCGGGACAGGAAGACCACACATAAGTCTGTCTCCCTTTGAGAGTTGTACACTGCCTTCAATTTCTAGATGAAGGCACAGCTTTTCTAGTAGCATACAATTACATACATTTGTCTTGTATCACGAGCTACTCCCTAGTCAAGCACGCCCATGACGCCGTTTCCGTCAAAAGAAAGAAGCCCGTCTTGTCTACCACCGCTCTATTTGGCCTTGACCGCCTTGCCCTTGCCCGACCTGCCGCCGGCCGCGCCGGGTTGGATCCGCGCCATCATCTCCTCCTTGGTGATGAGGTGGTCGATCCTCTCCAGCAGGCCCAGCAGGTTCTTCATGTCGGAGCTCCAGTCGTTGAGGATGTCGTCGGCGTCCCTGGGCTTGGCGAAGCTGACGATGCGGGCGGGCCGGTCGATCTTGGCGTAGACCGTCTTGGACGTGACCAGCTCGCTGATGTACTTCTCCGTCTCGTCCTCGTCCAGGTCGAGCAGCTGCGTCAGGCGGCCCATCTGGATGCGCGTGTAGTACTTGGCCACGACGCGGACGTTGTGCTCAATGACGCGCTTGCGCAGGTCCTCCCACCGCTGGAACGCCTTCTCGTCGCCAGACTGGCCCTTCTGCGCATCGAAGACGTCGGTACCGCACAGGTGAGGGCCGAAGATCTTGGCCACCTCGGGCCACCGCATGAGCTCCTGGACGGTGAAGAGCTTCAGCAGCTCTGCGTCCTGGGGGACCTGCGAGTTCCGGGTATCCCTAAAAACCCTGTGAAGCAGATCGTGTTGTTCGTTATCGTAGGGCGCGAGGATGACAAAGTAGATGATTCGTTGCAGGACCTGTGTGAAAATTGTCAGCGATGGCGGCAAGGCACAAATAAGCAGAGCGCAAACCTACAGGGCGAAGCTTGGCGGGATCTTCCTCGACCGCCTCCGTGTCCAGAACCTGTCGGTAGTGCTTGCAGACGTCCAAGTACTTGTCTTCGTGCTTGGACAGGATGATCTGCTGCTCGTAGTACTTGAGCTTGAGGTCGGTGACATCGTCCACCTTCTCCTCTGGAACCTCCTCGCCCTTCTCGGCCTTCTTCTCGCGCTCTTTCCTCTCCTTCTCTAGCTGCTCGGGGGTCTTCTTAGGCTTCCTTGCCAGGTACTTGGTGCTGATCTTTCTGCTCAGGATGCCCGCCTGGGTCCAATCGCCGCTCTCGATGCAGAGGGCCACTTGTGCCAGGATGAACTCTGTCTTCTCGCGCCTCTCCATAGAACCAAAGGTCTCGACCTGCAGCTCGCAGAGGATGTCGGTCGCCGCCTTCAGGTCGCCCTGCTGCTTCTTGATGTCGGAAAGGATCTTGGTGACGCGCGCCCGCTCGACCTCGACAAAGATCTTGCCCTCGGTGACCGTCCGCAGAGTCTCGATGACAGACAGCTTCGTCTCCATGTTCGGGGTCTGGTCGAGGAAGCCCATCACGTTCTGCACCATCCGGGTGATGGCCTGCTTGAGCTGGCCGTGCTTCTTGGACAGCAGCAGGACCTGCTCGTTGAGCAGGCTCCAGTCGCCGGCATTTTTACATATCGTGACGATTGCGATTAATATCCGGGATGTCGAGGCGAGATCTGAGGCCTGGAGGAGAGTCAGCCGTTGACGTCCCAAATGTTGTTGGGATCTGGGTTGGCGAAGCTTACCTGACGCGCTTGCTTCTCGATACCTGCGAGTTTCTCGATGGCGGCTTGGATGTCGGTCTGCAGCATTCAATGTCAGACGTACACAGTCATGGACCGCTCGTCAGAGACTCGACGTACCTTGGCCAGCTTCTCAGCTTCGGGGATCTGTTTGTCAGCCTCCTTGGAGAAGTCCTTCTCCGGCTTGAGGGCGGCCTCAGACATGTTGGTTGGTGTGCCTATCGAGATGTGGCCGAAGGGATGCGAAGAGTCGACGAGGAGGAGGTTGAGATGGGGGTTGGAGATGGATTGTCGGGATTGGAGGTGGCGACGAGGTGTTGCTGGGCAAGCTCTCGATGGGTGTGTTTGATGGATCAAGTACGCAATATGGAGCTCTGCCTGCAAGGCTGGCAGTCGTTGTGGTGAGCGAGCTAAGTCTGGGCTTGTGCGGTCTGTGCTCAGCTCAGCACAAGCGCACGCCTGAAAACTCGCCCACCAAATCCTCCACTCCAAGCTCGAGATCCACGTGACAATTGACTCCCAACGACTACGGAGTACTTCAGCACCGGATGACGAACAGCCTCCTGCGTTTCTTCGCTTGGAATTTCATTTAGTTCGATATGGAATGGCTTAGCAGGAACTACGGGCTGTATTCTTCAGGTCTTCAGTGGCAGACAAAGCTCCTTCTGGATCGTCATGTCTCCTGCACCACAGCAGCTCTCTCCACGGTGCCCTCTGCAGCGACGACTTGAGTAGGCCAAATCGTCGAAAATGACGAGCGAAGCAGCCATTCGTCATTAAAGATATCCATCTACGTCGCGAGGCTTCTTGATTGGGGCGTCGCAGGGCCATCCGCGCCTCCTCTTGGCGTAGCTTCGTTGCATTGGAGGCATATGATCTTACCATTGATTGACTCTTCACTGGGCGGGAAGGAAGTATGGCCCTCGTGCGCATCCTTCCTGGAAGTGTGATACCTAGCATATACCGTATATCTTCACATGAAGCTCTAATGGCGTCAGCCCGGGTTCGTTAGTCTCTGCTCTCGACTTCTCTTGGTTCGTTCCTCTTGTATCATCAAACCGTTCCGCATCATTTTACCTGAACATCCTCCTATATCCGCGACTCTCTCGACGTCTTTGTATCCTTAATTCCCTCAATTGAATTCTTTGGAGTCTCCAAATTAGCAAACTTCAGGCCTTCTTTCTCCTGTTCGTGATGCTTGCTACGACGGCATTGCTTCTCGTGCTAGGATGGCTGACTCCGCTTGCCCACTCGTACTGGATGAAAGATGTTGCCCATCAAGGGATTTCCCCCTTCAACACGGATAAGAATTATCAAGTGTTCCGCAATGTCAAAGATTTCGGGGCCAAGGGCGATGGTGGTGAGTTGGAACCTGCAGTTTCTTATTCGAACCCCAGCAACTAACCCCTGCTTCAGTGAAGGACGATACAGATGCCATCAACCTTGCAATCAGCCATGGAAATCGGTGCGGAGGCGAGGCTCATTGCGTCGGTACTACAGTGACACCAGCTGTAGTCTACTTTCCTCCTGGGTAAAGCCAATCTTCGTTCCTGTTGCCTCATCCGACGTAGACTTACATGCTGTCAGAACATACCTAGTCACTTCGTCCATCGTAGACTACTACTACACGCAAATCATCGGCGATCCTACCAACATGCCCGTCATCAAAGCGGCCAAGACCTTCAAGCCCAACCTCATCGGCCTCCTCGATGGAGATCAGTACACAAGCTCCGGGGCGCTCAAGTTCGGAGCCACAAATGTCTTCTTCCGCCAGGTTCGAAACATCGTCTTCGACATTACCGACGTGCCAGGAGAGGCATGTGCCATCCATTGGCCCTCTTCACAGGCCACCGTGATAGACAACTGTGTCTTCAAGCTCTCGCGCCAGCCAGGAACGTCGCATACCGGCATCTTCATGGAAGAGGGCAGCGGCGGCATGCTCAGCGACCTGGTCTTCTACGGCGGCGAGTATGGAGTGCAGTTTGGCAATCAGCAATATACGACGCGCAACCTGACCTTTTACAACTCCAAGACGGCAATCTTCCAGATCTGGAACTGGGGCTGGACCTACAAATCGATCCACGCCTACAATTGTGAGGTGGGCCTCAACATGAGCGGCCCAGTCATCGGGTCGGTGGTGCTACTTGACTCGACATTTTCAGATACTACGACTGGCATCGTCACAGGACGGAACCCTGCCGGTCAGCAGAAGGCCAGCGCTGGCACGCTTGTCATTGAGAGTACTGAGTTCAAGAATGTGGCCACCCCGATGCTTGGACCAGTCGGCCCCATTGTCAGGAAGGGTGCTTCTGCGACTGTAGATGTCCATGGCTTTGTGCACGGCAATGTCTACACCCCAACGGGGCCCAGCGTGGTCCAATCGGGCGACGGCGGGTATGTCAACCTCCTCACCACCCTGCAGTCTGGCAGAGGGTATCTCGAAATGTCAAAGCCACAGTACAAGTCTGTGCCGGCGTCGCTGTTCCTCAGCGCCCGCACCTTTAGCGCAAAGGGTGACGGAGTCGCAGACGACACTGCCGCTCTGAACGCCCTGTTCCTAAAGGCTTCGCAAAGATTCAGCGAGGGCGTTGTGGCGTTCGTCGATGCCGGCTACTACAAGGTGACTGACACAATCTACATCCCGCCCAACGTCCGCATCGTCGGCGAGGCACTAGCCTCGGTCATCATGGGAGCGGGCGCCAAGTTCTCTGATATGCACGCTCCGTACCCCGTCATCCAAGTCGGCAAGCCCGGCGAGACCGGCATCATCGAGTGGTCAGACATGATCGTGTCCACGCAGGGCGGCACCGCCGGCGCTGTCCTGATCGAGTACAACCTGGCCACACCTTGGACTTCGTCCACGACCCTGAACACGCCCTCGGGCATGTGGGACGTGCACGTCCGCGTGGGCGGGTTCGCAGGCTCCCAGCTCCAGCTCGCAGAGTGCGCCAAGACGCCGCAGCTGGACGGCCACGTCGACCCGAAATGCATCGCCGCCTACACGAGCATGCACATCACCAGGAGCGCCACGAGCCTGTACATGGAGAACTGCTGGCTCTGGACGGCCGACCACGACATCGAGGACTACGACAACCGCCAGATCTCCGTCTTCGCGGGCCGCGGCCTGCTCGTCGAGTCGCGCCGGGGCCGCATCTGGCTCGTCGGCACGGGCGTCGAGCACCACGCGCTGTACCAGTACCAGCTCGTCGACACGCAGGACGTCTGGATGGGCCAGATCCAGACCGAGACGCCCTACTACCAGCCCAATCCGCCCGCGCCCTTGCCCTTCGTCGTCGCCAACGCGGCCATCCACGACCCGGACTTTGACGCCGACTGCTTGCACCTCCCGGCCCTGGCCCCGCACGGCACCGACACCGAAACCGGCGACGGGACCCCGGTCCCCGCCCCGCCGTGCCGCATGGCCTGGGGCCTGCGCGTGCTGGACAGCCGGCGCGTGGTGGCCTTCGGCGCCGGGCTGTACTCCTTCTTCAACAACTACAACACGACGTGCTGCAACGAGGGCGGCAGGCGCAAGTGCCAGGCCCGCATCCTGTGGGTCGGCGCCGGCACCGGCAACGGCAGCAGCGACGGCGACGACGACGCGGACGGCCAAGGCGGCGGCGGGGGCGGGGACGTGCAGATCTACGGCCTGGACACGGTGGGCGTGCAGCGCATGGTGACGCGCGCGGGCCTGGACGTGGCGCGGTTCGAGGACAATGCCGCCGGCTTCGCGGACACGCTGGCCATGTTTCGGTACTCGGACGGCGGCGGCGCGGGGGCGCTCGGGGGAGGGGGCGCCTGTGCGGCGGGGAGCGGCAACAGGACTGTGCCGGTGGAGGGCGGTGGGTACGGGCCTGGCGTCATGTCGGTGGCTGGGTTTGGCGGTGCCGGTGCCGGTGCTGGCGATGTCGGGTACGTGTGCTCTGGGGACTGGCAGGCGCTGTGCGGGATCATGTCGCAGAAGAAGGCTACGTCTTCCTCGGCCGCGGCGGACTCTGTGGTCGTGGTGGTCAGTATCGCGGCGCCGACGACGTCGGTAACGATTGTGTCCACGTCGACGACGGTCATGACGATGGCGACGCCGACTCCGAGCGCGGAGGAGCAGACGGGCCCTTCTGAGGGTGCCGCTCCTGATGCCAGCTCTGCGGGCTCCTCGGCGGTCTCTGGCTATGGTGGAGGGGGGGTCGGGGTATCGGCTGCTGGGGGCGGCACCACGACCACGACCACGACCACCCCGCCGCCGGCGGTCGAAAGCAATGCCGGTGCCGCCTCGGGGGGTGCCAGCACGCTACTGACGTTGCTGACCGGCACTCCGGCCTGGAGCGAGATCTTCCCGAGTGCGAGTACGGCGGCTACCGATGGCGGGCCTGGGATGACGCAGTCCGCGACCGCGAGTGAGCCCGCCGCCCCAGTGACGTCCGACGTCGTCTCGGCGTGTCCGTGAAGTAACGAGTTTCGCCGCCGAGGCAAATAGCCAAGTCATCTTGAATATATGCTTTCTCCAACACTCAGAAGTCCGTACCTCGTCGTCATGATTTGCGTGCCGACTTGCCAAACTTGCAATGGTGCTTGTGCTGTGCATCAGACGTTGCAGTCAGGGGGTGTTTGATGCCCGTGATGATCTTCGGGTTCCATAAAACAAGATGTGCGACGGCGCATGAGAACAGCGGGTCGATCTGCTGCGATCAGCAGTGTCAAAAGGGTGTTGATCGTAGCTAAGCCACGGAGCGTTACAAAAGTTGGTACCTTCCTGGCTTTCGCTGCTTGACTTTCCATGTGTGTGTCCATTTCCCTCCTCGGAAGGAAGAATGGCTGGCATACGAGGTCACAGAGAGCATCACGCGCAACGGGGTTTGTCAATCAACAACCACTTTTCAATTCCAGCGAATCTTTTTCAAAAACTACCTAAAATATCCTCCCCTCCTCCCCCCTTTCTAGCCAACCTTCCTGACAAACACCAGCAATGATGAGTTTGAGAACGAAGTGTAAGCAACTGACTTAGGTATCTCCAACGCAGCAACAATAACATGCGCATCTCGCGAAAGTTGAGAAAAAGTTCAAAGTGGAAATGCAAGCATGGGAATCTCCAGAGAATTAATGGGGGTTAAGTAACAACTCGAAGCGAAACAAAGAAGAGAAAATGGAATCAAAAGAATGAAAGCGGACTGTCAAGCCCAGGTAGGTTGTCATCTCGCGACCTCGTCTCCTAGTACTCCAGCGGTCGTCTTCCTCTTCATCCTCGCTCGGCGAGCCTGCACGCATGTGGCCCCAAGGCATATAGACAGTTTGGGTTTGCGTTAGGTTTGAAAGGTGGTGGTAAGGATGCTGATGATGGTACCCGGTTGTTCAACATCAGTGTGTCTAATGAATGGGTAGCAAGTATGTCCATGTAACATTGTTCAAAGAATATGAATATCCGCAGTCGACGCGGATAAGTAGCGTAAGTTGGTAAGGTAAGGTGTGGTGGTTGTGTGCGGGCATTTTCATGCCGCGCGAGCAAGAGGGTGATCAAGCCCCTTTACTCAAAATGGGTGCGTTTTGCGCAATCGCAATTCAAAAAGCAGAAAACTGGTTTGCTGTCGAACCTGCGAAGAAACAGGGCGAGTGTGCTATGTCCAAAAGCTGATGCAAGCATCGCTACAACTGCGCCCAGACAGGGGTATCGTTTTCTTCTCTCTCTCAGGTGTCGAAGAGTCGTTCTCGTAAAAAAAAATAATCATCGTACTGGTCGTTCAGAAAATTAACAAAATCAAAGGTATATCCTCCGATGGCGACGAAGATCATGTCAAACTTTTCTTCTCTCTCTGCAATTAATTGCGACAAAGGAAACAGCTGAAATGATGTCCGCATCGAAGAGTTCGTGAGTCGACATTTGAAGATGAGGGAGACCGCTCATGAAATAAAGCAACGTCTGAAGGGCCTCCCTCCCACCGGCGCGATCCAGCGAAAGTGCTGGCCGCATCGTCCACCGTGACGAGACGCAGCCGCTTACAGGAAAGCGGCGATGACGGCGCCAGCGGCACCGGCAAGGGCGACGTGGGCAGCGCCCAGCTGTACACCGGCGTTCTTGTTGATGGGAGGAACCACAGAGGGCGCCGCAGTGTTGCCGGCCGAGGTGGTAGGAACGACAAAGGTCGTCTTGGAGCCAGTGCCGGTGGGCATATAGCTGGTGGTCGAGTTCAGGGGATACATGGTGGTGGTGGCAACAACACGCTGCAGGGTGACCGTCTTGGTCAGGACCATGGACGAGGTCATGGTGGTGGTGGACAGGACAGCAGCGCCGTCGGCAAGAGCCAGGACGGGCAGGACCAGGGCGGAGACTATCGTCGTGAGTTGCATCTTTGCGATGTGAGGAGCTGATACTCGCGAAAAGCCACGGTGAAAATGGGTGTCGATTTTGGGTTTGGTAGTTTGGTGCTGTCAAAGCGGTCGATCCTGGGTCACAGAATGCGACAGAGATATCCTTCTCTTGATCTCGGAGAGGATGTTTGGGGGTTGTGCCGAGAATCGGGATGCAACTCGGGAGGTTGTGTATCGTTTCCTTGATGAGTTGTCGTCGGGCGCGGTGAGTGATTCTCGTCCTGCTGCAGGTACGAGCTGTCGTCGTCCGGGTGGGTCGTGTGAATGAATGTCTTGTATATGCGTGGATGTACAAGTACTGAGCGCAGTTGCTGCCGTTTGAAGGAGTGTGTGTTGTTGAATAGTCGATATTCAAGATCGGAAGTGCGCGGTGAGTAGACTTTGCCAACGAAGCCTGTGGGACAAACACAGTTTGTTTCTTGTTGCTGATGCGCGTGGAGAGCGTGGAGGAGGAGAGAGAAGAGGGAGAGGCGAGTTGTGAGTGAGCGAGGGCAGAGGGGAGAAAAAGGGAAGGGAAATCCCACGATGGTCTGGGTCCGGGGGTGGGCACACACAGCGCAAACAGGCGAACAGGGCAGGTATTGTACAAGTACATGGTGTGGGCGAGAGATTGTATGGGTGCATCGTGGCTGACCCATGTACCTGCCCTTGCCCGTTGGTGGGTGTTGATCGCCTGGAGGGGTCCACAGTGGTGAAATGAATCCTGGCTCGCTCTTGTTCTCTCTCTCTCTTTCTCTCTTTCTCTCCATCTGCTGTGCGCTGGCTGCCCGTCGTGGCTGCCCGTCGTGGGCCGTTTAGCCCGTTGAGCCTAGCAATCTAGCGACAAGGGTACCTGCGTCTGTGCCCCCCACAATTTAGAGATTCTGACAGGGGATCGTCGCAAACTCTGACTGGCGAGACGCTTCTATTACAGCGGGGGCCCAACTTGCCAATCCCCAGCACTCGCGGCCAGTGCTTTGCGTTTCTGCTCGTCGAGCGGAGGACAACAAGGTATCGTGTACGCTGCGCAGGGATCATCTCCTCATACATTGCCGGGGTAGCAGGTACACTTTCGCTGGCACGGGCGGCACACACGATCCCCTCCCCTTTGGTGTCCCAGCGAAATTACAGGCGCAATTTCAGGCGAGACGGCCTGGTCTTGGGGTCGGTTGGCTCGCCTACTCCGTACTCCGATCTCTCAGAGGTCATGCCTCAGAGGTCATGCCTCAGAGGTCATGCCATGCCATCCCATCTTTGGCCCTCTCATCCTCTCATCCTCCTTTCTCAGACACACACGCCCGCACGCCCGCACGCCCGCACTTTATCCTTCCTCCTCACAGCCCCGCCGTGTTTGGAAAATGCAGCTATTCCCGTCTGTCCTCGCCGCACCCGCCGCGCTGCTCTGCCATCGTCCTCCTTCCTTGCCTCCCTCCGAAAATATACACCCTCCTCTCGGGTGTACAATACTTTCTCTCGACGGATCGTCGGCTCGAAGAAGAATCGAGAACATCAGGAAATCATGAACTGAATCTCCGGCCTTATTTCCCATGTCGCCCCGACACTAGACCCTTTTCCGTACCAAACGGCGGCAATCCCTCATTTGCGCGCAATCACACAGTCGCCATGGGCCAAATTGACGCAATTTCCCCCAGGGCTAGAGAGGCCTAGCGAGCCCCGTCACGGGTGGCGCCCGCTGGTGAGACAAACCCGCTGGCCCCCAGAGCCCAGCGCTTGGGCGTTGGTAGCGCCTGTCGATGCTGGCCTGTCAGTGCCTGTCTGTCCATCCATGCTCGCGCAATTCTCCATCTTTTCCTAGCGTCGCATCTGTTCCTGACGCTAAACCCTTCCCGGTATCGACACATGGCGACGTCTTGCCCGCTTTGAGTGGCGTGGTTGCTCTTGATTGATTGCACTGATTGCACTGCTACTTGTACACCACGTCTCCTCGTCCACCCGGCGCCGTCACTCGGTCGATGCATGCGCCCAGGCTTCGTCCTCGTCGTACCTATTTGCTACCAGTCTGGGCAGCACAGACCCCGATCCACGCCGTCTCCCGTTCTACAGATCAGTACCTATCCTTCGGCCAACGACTTTCAGCTTCTCCTGGCCAGTCATGGGCTTTAGCCGTCGGCCACACACAGACAGACTCCCGGGAACAGGCACGACCAATCGTGACCTCGTCCTCTGCTTGCTACAACATGCCGTGACAGCACATATGTGTTTTTATGTTTCTTCCCCTTTCGTCGTATTGGGCGACCTGTTCTCTGATTTCTCCCAGTGCCAATGACGTAGACGGACAAGTGAATCCAGCACCGTGCCTTTTCCCACACATTCTCGCGGAGGGACTTGGTGGATGGACTTCTGATCCAAGCCCAGCTACGCACAGCAGCTGGGTCGAAAAGGGGCTACTGTGCGCTTGCCCCGGGTATGTGTGCCGAAGCAGTGAAGCACGCACCCAGGCCCTGAAGCCGCGGCCGTTTCCAATGCACTGGTCGAACACTGGCATGCCAACTCCCGCGAATCGATGCCACCTAACTAATTCTAGACTTCTTCTGCCTCCCGGCTTTCCTGTTTTCCAGCTGCGTTATCCAGCAGTCAAAAGCGCTCATTCCCGTCCGAATAAGTGTTACCGATCCAGGTGCCAAGTATCGTCGTTTACTGATCTGTCTCGGCGTCCATGCGGGTAAATGACCGTCTCTCGTGAGAGAAGAGTCTGGTGTTTTACCCCGTGCCCTTGGGCCGGCCTGCCGTCTGGCGAAGCGGCAGCCAGCTGAGCATATTTGCAGCTCTTATGCGCTTATCATAGAGCTGCTATTGCATTGCAGCTCGGCAGTCCCGACTCGCTGGATATGGATATGACTCAACCTCGATGAACGCTTGACCTAGATTTCGGCTTTCATTCTTGCTTGATGTCGTCACTCAGATCATGACGCTGTCAGGGAGCTGGCAGTATCCTTGAATCTAGTCGTAGCAAGACACATCGTTCGTTCACTCGGCCCATCTATTTGGCACTTCTTAGTCACAAGGCAGCTGGCTTTACTACTGTATGCGAGGCTGGTGTGACTAGATGTGGCTCCGTCCAGTCACAGTGATCATGGGAAAGGCTTCATGGTGTTGGGAAAGCCCTCGCTGCTCTCCAAAAATATGAGTTATTGATATCATACTAATCATCCCCAAGGAATTCTCTGCTCGATAATTGCATTTCTCTCCACTCCAGTGCCAAAATTGTATAGTCTCTCTCTCCTTTCCTTGATCCCCCTTCGACACCTGACCGTGTCCCTCATGTACTCCGCAAAGTCACAACTCGTGCTCGTCCTTTGCTGTTCCCACCCACCACGATCGCTTTGGGGGAGACAATATACTCCAGTTCCTGAGTAAATGAAACCAGCGATAGCAACTATAGCGGAGGACGGGTGGTAGTGTTCATCCTTTCCGGGCAGCTCACGAGGGTCGTCGTCGTGGTCCTGTACACCACCCGGTCCGTGTGGTGGTTCGCCGGACGGTAACCGCTCGGGTAGAGGTCGAACGTCCAGTTGGCCGTGACCATCGACACGCTCGTCGCCGCTGCCGTGCCGTTGACGCCGCGAGAGCCGTCTGTGAAGAGCCGGGCGGGCAGCAGCAGCACGCGGCTGGTAATAGCCGTCGCCGTGGCCGTGGCGTCGTCGGCTCCCGAGATCGCAGCTCGAGTCCCGGAATCCGTACTAAGACGCGACGGCCTCTGCGAGACAGCGCCGCTCGTCGAGTCCGCCGTGACGGCGGCGCCAGCCCCGCCCACCCCGGACGGCCGGGGCACGACATAGTGAGGAGGGAACCCGGTCAAGAACGTCTCGTTCGTCGTCGCCGTGCACTGCGGCGCGAAGCTGGCGATCGAGGTCACGGTGTAGGTGCTCTTCACCGCGTAGGCTGTCTGCGTAACGGGCATGCCCGGGGCTGGGAATGGGCCTTGGGAGGACGTGCTGGCGGCGGTGGTGCATGCTGTGTCGTCGGGGGGTGCGTCTTGTTGGCGGGGCTTGAGCGGCCGGACCTGGGCCCAGCTCTTGCTCTCGGTTACTGTCGCGGTGACGACCTCGGTGGTCGTTGGCTCGGGTCCTCTGTATATGTCGGTGTAGTACGTAAAGGTCACCGCGGAGGAGAGGGAGTCGGTGTGGGGGCCGTCTCCCGTCCAGGTTCTGCTAAATACCCCCGTTGGGATTGTCTCGACGACTCCTGGGACCTTGTAGACCGCTAGGCTGACGGTCTTGTAGACAAGATCCACCGACCGGGGGGCGTTTGTCGGCAAGGCAGATGTGTAGATCGTCGTGACGATCTCCGTAAGCCAGGTCGTCAGCCTGAGCACCCCCGACTGGACAGGGTCGGGGGAGCTGCTCGGAGCGGCCGTCGGCACAGGATTGGCGTGGATCCAGGACATTGTACCCCACTGCGTGACGGTCTGTATGCTCTGCAGCGTTGAAATCGTAGAGATAGTCGTCGCCGCGAACGTGTCCGCTCTCGTAAGGGTCGACAGGAGTGTGCTCACGATAACTGTCTGAGGGTACACCACGCCGTCCCAGCTGTACGTGTCGTTGACCGTGACGGTCGTATCCGGGAAGTAAGTGGGCTTGTAGTCCAGGGTGGTCATGCTGCCGTCCATGTAAATCGGCTCGTGAACGGTCTGCGTGAGCTGGGCGGTCTTGGCGCCTGTCGTCGTGTATGTGCCCAGGCTGAGATCGACGAGACTTGAAGGGAGGTGATCGGGGTCGTTCCAACCATCGTTCAAAAGAACGCGATGGGTACGCTTCGCGAGATTGTTGCTTTTGAGCGTGGATCCCGGTGTTGCGGTGGCAGTGTCCTCGGGCCACCACGACCACGGGTAACTTTCCTCTGTTGTGTAGTATGTCTTCGTCACCGGCAGGTGTGTGTATGTGTACGTGTAAGTGGCGGTTGGGCCCGTGAGTTCTTCGATGGCGGTTGTCCCGACATCGTCAGTGTTCATTGATATCGGGTATTTGTATAATTGGTTAGTTTTGGTCTTGTTGACACTGAGAGTGACAATGGGACCTAGATCTGGAGGCTTGGCACTCAACTCGATAACACTCGCTGCCTGAGTGTAGTGCCAGTGTGTCAACGTAATGACTCGTTCGCGAGGTCCTGTCGTTGATGAATGTACTTCCGTTGGGGTCGGAGAGCTGGTAGATGTGACTAGGATAAACGAATTGTCACTTGCAGCAGACGTCGAATTACTCGAACTTTTCTCGGCATGATCGACGTCCGTCACATCCCAATAGGTCACGGTATACGTCGTGACACCAGGGAGCTCCGTGATGGTAGTTCGCGCTTGAGTCAGCAAGGTAGTGTAGTTGTAGCTGACGGTATGGACCTCGGTCGCCGTCGGGAACATGATCTTATGCCGTGTCAATGTTCCATTTATAGTGATTGTGACGGTTTCTTCCGGGAGCGCTGCTTCGGACGAGGGCGTCCCGGGCAAGTCCGCGGGCTTGGAGGATAGTTCTTTGAGCTCTGCTGAAGTCGAAACATAGTTGGTTACTGTCCTCGTTTTGGGCGGTCTTCTAGATGCCGGGCACCGATCCTGCCTTGCAGTGGAAATTTCGGCGGTTGAGGTGGGCGTGGGAGGCTGGTCGAAAGAAGAGCGTCTCCAGAATGACTGCGGGAGGCACAGACCCGGAGAAGCGACTAAGGCCAGCAGCAATGCCGAACGCGCCCAGAATATGGCTACCATTTTCCAGACTGGGAGAACGAAATAATTTTCCGGTCGTAGGGATCAATTAGCGGCCGCGGGCAAGAAAACACAGAGAGTTTGACTATTTTATACTCCCTCAGGCTTGTTTTAATTGCTATGGAGGCCAGGTCTGTAAGGCAACGAGTGAGTGATACAAATGCATGGGTGCCTCTACATCATGGATCGCAACATGAGTATGTGAAAGCTGTGATTCATTGAGAGCGGGTGGTAGCCTATGGACGGACCAGTGATCAAGGGGGCTGCTCCTTCATCTTCTGAGTGGTTCGTCCCAAGACTTGTACGCCGCCTTTTACAAACCATTCAAAGACATAGCCGACGTTCCCAACGTAGATAGTGTCATTGAACTCAACGAGACGGAGTTTGGCAAGGTCCACAAGACCGTTGTGGACTTCACCGCCGCCTCGCTCCGCTTCAACTTCGAGAAGTACGAGGCCAGCGCGAACTACCAGGTCTACTACGAGGCCGCCCTGCGAACGGGTGCCACCGATTGCGACAGAGACCGCTCCTTCATGGCCGGGATCTGGTTCACGGAAGAGGAGTACGACTATATCAAGAAGGACCCCGACAGGCTCAACAGTTGCGGGAGGAACAGTTCAGGTGCCGCTATGACTGTATCGAGAAGATTGAGTAGGCTCATGCCTTCAGTGCTGCCGTGAGAAAGGCAACCAGGGTTCTCGAGAGAATGGAGGAGCAGGAGAAGAGTAAGAAGGCTTAGCAGGATCCCTGATTGTGGTCTTGTTTGGAGTGCCCTTGTTATATACACCACGCCACGGAAGGGGTCCATTTGCTTTTTCCAGAAGCTAGCAGGATGGATAATGGGCTTTGTCGACACTTGGAGGAAAAGATTGACAATAAGTTTTGTCAACACAGGGGGGAAAGACTTAACAACCAAAGACATATTGAGAGCTAAGTTGGCTTGAGCCCGGAAAGTGTCCATTGTATCTACAACTATCATCATGAATCATGGGCTTTGTCCGCACCTGGGAAAGGGCATTCAGGACCAAAGACAGAATCAGCTAGGCCGGCTTGAGCTTTGAAGCACTCACGACAATAACATTGCTTCCAATGAGCAGCAGTCTGCCTGTCTCCGCCCTGAGCAGCCCCTCGTCTCGGCATGGCACAAATTTCACGACACCAGGTAAACAAAGCTTGGGCGTTTTTGGTAACCGATTAAATATCTGCCCTGGCTCGCGATTTACTGGTTCTTCCCCTCCAAGACACCCTCAAAAGCAGTGGCAGAAAAACTGCTTCAACCGCGTGTCCTTCACGATCCGCATCCAACCCTCATCGGGGAGACCTTCCTTCCATGCTTCTCATCGAGGATTGCCCTCAAGCTTCTTGATACCTTCTGGAAGCATAATTTTATCCATATGTATCCCGTCAGGGAGCCCTGGACCTCCCCTCCAAGCAGTTCGCTCTCATCCGCGACCAACGCGTCATCAAAACCAGGCCGAGTGCCATCATTTCGCCTTGTCAGCATTACCTCAAGTCGTTCATCTCGTACTCGTACCAGAAACCCTTTGCATCATACTCCTTGTTTCACCGTTCGACCTGCCTGCAAGATGTCTCTGCCTCAGTCGGCTATCCGGCCTGTCTTGCCCCAGGAGGTGGTGACAGCACTCTCCGAGCTTGGCGCAACCAGCCCTACCGCGAGGATGTTCCATGACGGCGCAGATGCTGTCGACTTGCTGTTCAGCTGCCTTCCCATCTGGGAATCCGACCCCTATCCCAAACTGGTGGCGGAGATCATGTGGCTTGGCGAGGTTTCGTCACTGGTATCCGTGTCCAACAAGATCCTCAATGTAATCACGGTGTTCCTTCACGTCATTTCAACCCGTCCGTCTACGGACCCAGACTCGAATTTCCTTCGCGAGTGTGCCGAGGAGGCCCTCCAGATCCACGAGCCCGCGGCCGAGCGATGCTATATTACCTACAATGCCTACGAGTTCGCCCTAGACCTTGCACACCTTTCAATCAAGACTCCGGCGTCGCCTATCGCAGCTCACTTGGGCAAGAAAGCCCAACAGATGGCCTACTATCGATGGCTCGCGTACGGACGCAAGGACGAACTTCACCCTCGGGCTCTCATGCGGCAGACCGGCCCGACACAACCGGTCTGCAAGGCCTTTCTCCCGGACGATTCCGACGTCAAGTGCAAGGGCTGTGGCATGGGTGGCGGCACCTTATTCACTTGCAGCGGTTGCCTCGTCAGCAAGGATGGCCACGCCGCCTTCCGGACGGCTTACTGCAGCAGGGAATGTCAGACCAATGACTGGCAGCGCCACCGGGCTTCATGCCGGGAGCTGCGACGCATCAACCGAGCAGCTACCTTGTATCACGAACTGCTTCTTCATTTGTACAAATCGGCTCACTACAGGGGCATCGGGAGCATCTCGGAGGAGGATGGCTTCATCTACGTCAAGTACCGGAACGATGAAGAGGTTCACTACACCGAAAAGTCCAACTTGCGCCAGTTCCCTGAACACCTGGCTCCTAGCCCCGAAGTTGCGAATGCGGTCGTGATGGCCGGAAAGACCACCACCGACAACCATTTCGGAGTGATGGAGAAGCTGTTCAATGCCATCTTCAAGGGTGAGTACTAGACACGATGTGTAAGTTGCTCTCCTCTTTGAAGCAGACTAACTAACGTATGTGGTATTATGTCAACAGGCACCTTCTGGAGAGAGGAGCGAGTGAGCGTACTGCCGAAGAACGTCGCCTTTGTGGTGGAGAGAGACCTTGTCAACGTGACCCGAAGTCTCCTCTCTTCCCTGGAGATGCACGAGGTGGTGCGAATCACCACTTTGTCAGGATTGGACATCGCGTTCGATCCTTGCGGCTGCCTTCACGGCTGGAAAGAGCTCATCTCGCCCTGGGCAAAGTACGAGAAGCACCGAATCGCCATGGCCTATCCCGAGCATGAGCAGTTCAAGGCACTCGAGGCGGCCACAGTTCGCCTGGAAGGCCTTTGGTGGATACCAGATGTAGAGTCCAGCCAAGTTGAACTTGTTTCAACTATGGTCGATGCCCTCCAAACCCAAGCTCGGTCCATCTCGGGCGGTGGAGAGATGTTGACGGTCCTCAATCTTAACAACTCTGATGAGTTTCAGCGAGCTCGAGCTCACCTCTTGGATAGCGGCAAGACAGCCGCCGATACCAAGGCTTGCGCAGTCCGCGGCGACCCGACCTATCAGACCTACATCACACGGAATGGATGGGTGAAGCGAATCGGATCGCAGGAGATGTACGACAAGCTGAAGCAGGTCTGGCTGACCGACGAGCTCTACGAGGAGGTCAAGGATGATCCCGCCAAACTCAAAGAACTCTGGGCCGAGCGGCTTGGAAATGTCGGTCTTTGAGCTTGCGTGTTGGTGTTGCTCTCAGCGACTCCATACGACCGACTGTTATCGCGTGTTGTGATGGATGCTGAGATTATCGGTATGGATGAAGGAGATGGAATGGGATCACTGAAGTCGAGCTGAGCTACTTGCTCATCTTGCCGGCGTCATAGAAAACGGTACAGCAACGATGACGTCTGCCGAAACTGGCAGGCATAGTGGTTATTGTTTTGACCACGATTGAGACGTTGTCTTCTGAGAATGTTAACTGAAAAGGCCGTAGGGGCCAACTTGGGCTGTTAGCTACCTAGGTAGTCTTCATAAGATAATGCATGGATTCTTTTATTTATTGATGTACCGTCTCCAAGAAAGTGCCACGGGAATTAAATCATACGAATCCTGACGAGTTTTATCATTAAAGAAGATCTATAGCTATGCAAATCAGGTCACAAACCATCTGTGCTTGAGCAAATCAGCAACAGATGGACGCTCACTGGGATCATACCGGAAAATGTGCCTTAACATCGACACAATCACCTTCTCCTCTTCCTCATCGATCTCCGGCGGCTTGTGCGTCCTGAAATACGCCTCCAGGGGGTCGAATGGCTTGGGAGGGCCTATTTCTGGGACACTATAATCCTCCATCCCATCATCTAGAAACTCGTCATAGTCCTCGTCATCTCCTGAACGATACCCATCGGAGGCACCCTCCGAGGCGTCGTATGTCTCGAAGTCGTCAGGCCGCACCTCCAGTCGCTCACCGTTGGGGCCGTAATACAGGTTGGCTCGCGACCACCGGGAGAGCAACGGCCCAGGTAAAGGACCGATGATGTCCGTGAGCAGAATTAGGTGATCGTCGTGGATCGTCTCGTCCTTGCGCATCACGGTAGGAACTTGAAACAAGGGCATACCCGTGAGAAACTCGAAGAGAAGGCATCCAAAGCTCCATACGTCGATACCCTTCCCTAAAGGGCAACCGAGAATGCTTTCCGGCGACCGAAGGGGAGTTGGGGTGACCACAGTCTGGGGTGGTTCGCTTTCAAAGAATGCTAGACCGACGCTCAGTACACAGCTCTGCAAAGGAACAGAGCCACAAGGAATACATACCGCCACCCAAATCAGTGATCTTGACAAGTTCGTCGTCTCCTTCAAGGACATAATCAGACAGTGGCATGGCCACAGCCAAGTATTTGGGTGCCCATAAATCGGCTTGCCCATCCACCCGCTCAAGAAAATCCACCTGAGAATTTTCGGGTGTCTGACGGAGACTTTCGGCGTCCACCGCGGCTAAGTCTTTGATTGCAAAAAGCATGTTCCCGGACTGTAGATCGGCGTGCACGACACCATTCCTGTGCAGAAAGCCAAGGCCTTGGAGGACCTGCCGGAGTATCCTCTTGACACGATCCGTTGGAAAACGTCGAACTGGCGGATTCAGGGGGTCGTAAATCTGCTGCGGCGCATTGAGGATCGATGACACACTGGGACCCATTGCTTCAAGAACAAGGCATGAGTGGCTGCCATTGGGTCCTTTATGAGTAAACGAGTCGAGTAGGGTGACCAGGTATCTTGAGCTCTGATCATGAGGCGCTTGAGAAGCCAACAACAGGGCGATTTCGCGCTGCCTACCTTCGTCCAATCCAGCTACCTGGATCTTCAGGGCGACATATCGAGAGGCACTGCTACGACAAGCACTGTTAGTATGGTCTGTGCTGTGATGGTGGCCCGTAAGGACCGTTGGATGGTATGGCAGTGCGAAGTACATACGTTGAATCGAGCGCTAGCCAGGCGGTCGCAAAAGACCCGTTCCCAAGTTTCCGGATGACTTGGTAGCGACCGTGTAGCACATCTCCAAAGTGAACAGGGTGTAGACCTTGCGGGTGATATGACTCGGCCCATTCGCATGGTGTTCCCAAAGCCACAAATCTGAAATCCTTCTCCAAGACTGGATCTTTGGGAGGAGGGGTGGCCAGTGCCATATTATTGTGATGGCAGCGACGATCAATAACGACAGGTTGGGCCTGGGGAGATGGACCGAAGTACGGGCTGCGAAAGGCGACAAACTTGACCTGTTTCCAGCCTTTGATGGTGTTGAACAGACAGAGGAGGTTGGCCTTGATGCGGAACCTAGGCATCTGAGCATGAAAAGATCATTTTCAGCGCATCACCAGCTCCCATCCGTGCGAGATGCGGGGCCCTTCAAGGTTATCATTTACGCGCGCGTGTTTCGTCCTTGAATTTGTAGGCGCTGATAAGATTCTACTTATAGTAATGGGCCGCATACGAGTCGAAGTGATGCAAGGGATCATTTGACCGTACACCTTTACACTTCCGGACACAGATCGGGGACATTCAATTACTATTCACGCATTCAGGTAGCAGCCAACGCGCCTACTCGCCATCGCCGCAATGTTCGCTAGTTCATGCCGGCCTACACGATGATGCCTAGCTGTTTGGTTCTAGGGATGAAGACGGGGTTATTTGATGGAAAGTGTGACATGTTCTTGGGAATCAAGAGGCCGGAACATGATAGCACAGCAGGGGGTAAATTGTTTTAATATATATCTCTCTATGTCCATGGAACCAAAGATTTGACTCGCCTCCATGTTGATACCTTGCCTGGCTGAGGGATAGAGTTGCCATGGGAAGGATCCCGTCTCGTCCCCTCTGCTGGTTGGGGAACTTGTACGTTAGACCCAGCCAAGTCTTTGCGGAGATGCACGTATTCCGCGATCTTATCGCACACGCTCGAAATCTCTTCCATGTACGCACCATGGTCACTGGCGGAGAGCTGGACGTGAAACTGGACCGAACTCACAAGTTTGGTGAGCAGAACGGTCGCGTGGTAGCCTGCTATGGAGCAGTTCACATCTGCCCCCGAGGCAAGCATCGATTGGACCAAGCAGAGAATTGACAGCACGACTTGGGGGTCCTGAAAACTGAAGAAGTCCGGCGGAGACCAAGAAGTCGTGATGGCCAGGACGTAGCGGAGCACAAATTCCCACGATGTCACTACCCGACAGCCATGCCACCGATCCGTAAAGAGAGAACGCAAGTTTGCTCTCAAGTCTTCCGGCGCGAGAACACAGAAATCGACAATACGCAACGCATCCAGGATCCTCCGCCGTATAAGCCCGTCCTTTGTCTCGACGAAGTGGATGAGGAGTCGTGTTGACCAAAGGGCGTCTTGCTGAGACTCGCGATGAAGTACCCTCAGTGGAGAAAGGTACCAACCGGGTGAACTCAGTGCGCAGCGCATGAATAGCCTCTCCTCGTCATCAAGTCTCAACCGGGAGCAGGCTTGGTCGCATGATTGTTCCACAAGGGCGTCTCGCTCTGGGGATCCTGCCGAAGGGTCGTATGGACCAAGCTGGGGAAGAACCCTGTCAAGTGCTGGCAGATACTTCTTGTAGAATTTCTGACGCAAGGAGTGGGAAATCTTCGCCTCGTAGATGAATAGCTTGGCCAGGCATAAGTCCAGCTCGTCTTTTCGCTCTCCTCTCACTACCGACCCTGGCGGGTCGATTTGGCAATGAGCAACCTGTATCTCGGCGAGTGTTGAGTAGAGCAAGGCTTGCTCCGGATTGAATTTCGTGTTCCTAGTCAGAGCCTGAATCTTCTGCCAGTTACTGCCGAGCTGAAGGAACTCGACTACTGTTCGATGGAGAAGCTCCACATACGGACCGTGAAGCTCCAGCAGTCCACAGCATCGGCTCCGCAAGCGGCCCTCGACCGATTTGTCAATCCATTTGATCCTTTTTCTGGATAGAGGTTTCATAGGTGTGGACAATATCCTCTCGTAATCCTCATCTTCAGCGAAGTACATCTGTACCGCAGTCATACTATGGTTATCGCTGAAGCTGAAGCTCAATATCGCAAGCTGAAGATATTTCGAGCATTGCACGCGGTATTTTGCATCGATATCACTCAGCATTCTGTCGTACAGTTGCTCGAGATCGGCAGGCAGGTTGTCGATCTCCTCCAGGAGCTCCGAGACATTGTCGTAGTTCTGAAGTCGCTGCGTTATGATGCGTACAACCAGCACAACCCAGAGAAATACGCCGCAAGCTCTCTCGGTAATGATATTGACAAGCTTATGGGTGATACCACATTCTACCTCTTCCATGGATTGCAAGATATTGTTGTTGCAGAGATGGTCCTCGACATATTTGAGTATATCCGGACGAGTGAGGTCTTGTAGGCATAGCTGGGGACAGAGAGCGAATCGCTCACAGCTCACAGGGATAGGCCTGCTAGACAAAAGGATCTTTACTGAAGATGACTGCGTGACGCGGTTGAAGAGATCGCATAAACCATTGAGTTCTCCAGTGTACTCGTCCAAGCCGTCAATGACAAAACAGATTCGCATATCGTCAGGGATCACATCGACCAGACGACCGAATGCGTTCCGGAGCTCCACTTCAGTTAAGTCGGGCTGACTCTGTACGCGACCTGTGAGGATGTGTCGACAGAGTTGGGGAAAGATTTGGAGTTCCAGTCCTGGTCGCGCACTGAGAATCTGGTAGAGTAGTCCCCGTAGGAGGCCTTCGTGCGACTTCTGGAGAGTTGTCCCGGCATACCAGAAGTAGAAAGTCCCCAAGCAAAGCTGGGCATTGCCCCCAGAGGAGGCCCAAGTCCGAACCGCATTATAGAAGCGATCCTCTCCAACGAGGAATTTGAAGAGCGACGACTTGCCTGAGCCGGCTTTTCCGGATACCCAGAAGAGGCCCGACCCCTGGGATAGCCACTCTAGCAGTCCATCATGCGATCCGGTCCCCTTGGGCTCTAGAATCCAGTCAAATGTCTTCTGGTGGACATGTGAGATTGCCTCTTGTCTTTGGTCAATGCTGCGAAAATGCAACGCATTGAGGATGAGTCTGCTGCAATTTCCCGGGATGTGTGTCGAATAGCCTGCCGGGGCTGTTGATCCCTCGTTCGTAAAACTCATTGCTGATTGATACTGCGAGGACTCGTCACCCTCGAAATCACACTTGCCTTTGGAATTCTGCTGGAACTTTGACAAGTGTGATGTACTTGCTGGCAGAAGGATTGTGGGCTGGGCGCCGCCGCGAGTTGTCAAAATCGCCGCCGAAGCGTCAGAGTTGGCATTGTTGCCTAGAGAATGAAGAACTATCGCTTCGATAATCTCGTTGCTTTTACCCCGAATATCCTCTAGTGTTGACGTCTGCCGTATTTGATAACTGTTTAGGACGAACAGCAGCCGGAGCGCCAGCTGAGATCGAAAGTCAGCTTGTCGTTTTCTCAGCTCTTCGATATCGCTCTTTTTCCAGATCGTCTTGAGCGCTATCTTGGACCTGTTTAGTCTAGCCCGGAGCCTCTCCTTTGCGACCCGGAGCTCGGATCCTATGTTATTCTCGCCGATCTCGTCGTCCTTGCTCACGCCAGTGCCAGTGAAATATGGCTCTCCCTCTTGAGACTGCTTGTCATCCTCGTCCTCGGGGCGCAGGACCAGCCCAGCAATGTACTCTTGGACCTCGTCAGAGATGCCTCTACATTGCTGTGCCACCTCAATCAAGCCTCTTTCTTCTTCCGACAGAGGCCTTTGCTCGAAAGGGTGATAGTGATCAACCAAGCTAGTGCTGAGCTCATCCAGGTCTGTCGACAGCTTGGTCAGATGAATAACAGAGGCGTCTGACCCGTTTTTCGAGATCTCTTTCGTCGCGTTGAATACTTTGACGCCAAAGTCAAGGAACTGGGCGATTGAGCTGGCAAGGCCGACAGCAGACAATGGCTCCATGGCGATCTCGGCCCCTGTGGCACCGCAATAATCTCGAGACGCTTCGGGACGTTACAGACGCCCGGAGGGTAGTATACGGCTGTCTGCTTGATGAAGAGTGACGGGGATGCTTTGCACTTCATCGGGCAGCATTGTGATATGCATCGCCTCAGTCACGTGTGATCACACCTGCATGATCTTAAAGCTCTGCTTACGGCGATGATTGGTTCGTAATTATGCGTAGGCAAGGCATTCAGCTGGGCTCAATCAATTCTGGGTCCGCTGCTGCCTTGAACTTGCATATGTCACAATGGCCAGTCTCGTGTGTTTTGATACCAGCATGCGCTCGCCTCTTCTTCTCCCTCTGTCCACACTACCAAAACGCACATGCATCCAGGCTTTTGAGAATCATGAGCGATCCACTCAGTGTAGCCGGGACCGTGGCTGGGCTGGTCTCGCTGGCGATTCAGCTATCCCAAGTCAGTTATCAGTATGTATCTGACGTCAAAGGCTCATCCAAAGCTTGGTCATCATACATCCAGGAACTGTCAGCTTTGACATCCATCCTCCTCCGACTGCAGACAGCCGGCGAGGCGCAAGAACAAGATCTGGTTCATGAAATCATAGGACCAAACGGACTCAAGGATGCGGTGAGCGACTGCATCAGGGACTTGCGGCAGCTCAAGGCCAAGCTAGAAGGGAAGTTAGCAAAGGAAGGAGTGATAGGCAAGCTGAATATGTTGGCATGGCCCTTTTCCGAGACGGACACGCAAAAGAAGGTGGACATGCTTCATCGCTACCATGGCATTTTTTCCTCAGCATTGATGGCAGATAATTTGTGAGTCTTGCATGCGTTATTCCCTTATTTTGACAGGCTCCAAAAGTGTAGCCACGAACTAATAGGTGCTGGAATGAAGCACGGTCTCTATTGCGAGTTATCGCGAGCTCCGTGGACAGCGGCAAGGTTAGTCTCAGACGCTCCAGGACTCATTCTTTATACTAAGATTTTATAGAGAACGAGTTCAAGCAGGTTCTTGACTGGTTTCGGCCCCTTTCTAGACCACAGCAGGCTGGAAGTATCAGCGAGCAACAGTGCCCCGGCACTGGCTCAACCTTTTTGGAACGAAAGGAGTATCTCAATTGGCGAGACGGACTAGAGACGTGCCTCTGGGTAACTGGGCAACGTCAGTATACGCTTTGCTACGGTGTGATTATCTAAAACTTTTGCTGACACCACCATAAGCCGGTGCTGGAAAAACAATGCTATCGTAAGTTTATGCCTTCGCGGCCCAGCACGGTTCAGCGAAGCTTTCATCGAAGACCTATTGACTTATTCTAGGACGATTATCCTGGATGACATACATGCATCTACTCCGAAAGATGCTATCGTATCCTATCACTTCTTCCGGGCGGATAACGACGAAGACTCTCTGCAGGACTTCCTCCGCCATCTCGTATTCCAAGGCCTAAACCAATGCAGGGACATGATACCCGAGGCCGCTGAAATGCATAGAATCCATGCCGCATCTAGTGCCGATCCTTTACCAAAGGATCTGGTCCACCTTCTGACAGCGATTTACAAGCGTTTCTCGGTTGTATACATGGTGCTAGATGGCTTGGATGAGTGCCACTACCTGCCGAAACTAGCCCGACAACTATCCACGCTACGAGCCGCCGGGATCAAAATTCTTCTCACAAGCCGTAGCATTCCAGATGTGAGAAAGCATCTAGAAGGATGGCACCAAATGGATGTGAGGCCTGACCGGTGTGATATTTCTCTGTACGTCGACTGGAGACTTCAGGAAGACGCCGAGGTCGAGTATGACGGTCTGGAAGACAAATTGAAGGAAGACATAGTTCTGAGGTTGTTTGAACATGCAGATGGCTCGTGAGTCAGCTTTCACGATCAAGATGGCAAGGCTCGCTAAGTTTGGGTTGCAGGTTCCTCCTTGTTCGTCTTTTGATGGACAATATCTCCAGTTTCACAACCATCAAGAAGATTCGAAGGTTCCTTGAGGCTCTACCATCGGATCACCAAGAAGCATACCAGCGCACTTTCGACCGTATCATGAAGCAGAACGCTGGCCGACGCGAGCTTGCATTGAAGGCCCTAAACTGGGTTTCCAACACCAAGAGAGCTCTCACCATGGCGGAGCTTCAGTATGCTATGGCAGTAGAGAACAGCGACGATGTTGTTAGTGAGGAGGATCTTGAAAGCCCAAAATCCATCCTGTCTTCGTGTCTTGGAATTATACGATTATCCAAAACCGATCAGAACGTTGAATTCATCCATTCATCTGCACGCTCTTTCATCCTTGAGAACAGAGCCAAGGTGGACCCAGATGCGGACAAGACAATTCTAGAATCGTGCTTGGCTTACCTATCGAATTCGGAGGTTGCAAGTGGTCCTTCCACATCATTCGATCGGTTTGCACGTCGTCTTCGCTCCAACCCGTTCCTAGAGTACGCCGCTCGTTTTTTCGGCTACCACGCTAGATCAGTCGAAGAGCGTTGCCTGCCGGAACTGAGACGGTTTCTAGAGAACAAAGGCTTGCGCGAGGGCACTTGGCAAGTCCTTCACTTCGGCTACGGCCTCGACCATACCCTGGCTCAGGACGTCTTTGATGGCCTGCCAAGTCGTGCATCGGTCCTTCATGTCGCCTCTTACTGGGGCTTCCCACGCCTTCTTGCGTCTGTATTGGAAGGGAGCAAACGTTCCTCAAGTGGGCTCACCCGCATTATCAATGCCGAAGATTCGCACGGTTGGACGCCTTTGCATTGGGCTTCCAGCATGGGACAGGTAGACTCTGCGAAAATCTTGCTGAGCTCCGGGGCGGCTGTCGATCCCTTGGACTCTGCCGGGTGGACACCCCTATTCTGGGCCGCAATCAAAGACCATCACGATGTGGCAAGTCTGCTTGTTTCTCATGGAGCAAACGTGCATCAGTTGGACCCCAACGAGATGACCCCTCTGCATTGGTCTGTGGCTGCCGGACAAGCCGCCACAACTCGACTCCTGCTCAACTTCGTGGAGAAAGCTCTTGCTCCGGAGTCCATGAGACTGGAAAGACTCCGGGATGTGGAAGGCGGAGACAGCTTATCCATCTCTCAGGCGAAACGCATGGTCGCGCCATTCCGCACGTCCAAAAGCCTCGTTCAGCTGTCCGCAGAGAGTCTAGATGCCGAATGCTTCTCCGACCTTTTGCAGAGAGCTGAGCACCGAGCAGAGTCCGTGGGGTCACGCCACCGGGACCTGCCGGGCCTCGACTACGGTATCGACGCTCTTTTTCGAAATCTATGGAGAGGGAGGAGCAAGGTTGATCTGAAGTTCTGGCTTGGAAAGCGATACAAAGACCCACTGAGAGCCTCCAGGGTCAAGCTTCTCGAATGCGCCATCCAGGGCCAACATGTCTCTCTCGTGAAAGCACTGCTTGATCTCGACAAGGAGTTGGCGCAGGATCTGAACAGGGCAACTCTAGGCTTCAATGGCGGCTATCTCCTCCACGAAGCCTGCGCAATTCGCAACCCGGAGATCGCAGCTGCGCTTATCGCCAAGGGGGCGGACGTGAACAAGCCTGGTAGTGACGGCTGGACACCGCTGCACCGCGCCTGTCGACAAGGCTCTTTTGGTGTCGTCGAGGCCTTGCTCTGCTCTGGCAGTGTCGATATAGAGGCCAAAGACGGTCAGGGGCTATCAAGCCTCATGACGCTTCTCCGATTCGGAGGCTGGAGAGGCCAGGACCACGTCGGTGAAAACCTGGCAATCCTGCAAGACTTGATTGCACACGGCGCTTCTCTATTTGAAGTGGACGAGAAAGCCAATACCACGGCCAACATCGCGATAGGGCTGTGGGATCCAGAGGTCCTTCAACTGCTCGTGGATTCGGGAGTCACTTTGGGCAAGACTCAGCCAGGAGGCATGACGCCTCTTCACTTCGCAGCCTGCGCCCCGATCGATCATTTCCTGAAATGGGTCAAGGATGGGCGCCTAGAAACAACGAGATACGTGATACCGGCCCCGGCAATCGAAAAGACTCTTGACCTGGTCTTCAGTCTATCTGAAGCCACCGACATGACCCTCACCTGCCGCATCTCGTCTGGAACAAACAAGTGGATTGATGATAGTTCCAGTTCCAGCTCTCACGAAGACCGCAGCTCTGATGACTATGAAGACACGGCCTTGGCTTTAGCAATAGCTTCAGAAAACTGGGCAGTGGCTCGTCGACTACATGGCCTGGGAGCGGCTTTCAAGACCAACAGACCACTTGAGCCTTTGCTCATCGAGGCCATCCGGGCTGGGATGCCTGAGCTCGTACGTCTGCTGATCAATAACGGGGCTGTCGCTGACCCGCCTCCGCCAACACCTGTGGAAGACAGTTCGACACTGCACGAAGCTCCCGAGGTACCGATATGTGTTGCCGTCCGCGCAGCCGAGGGCCACAGACCGATCAGACACGGCCGAGATACCTGGTTCTATTCTGCACCCCCAAACCACTTAGCTACCAGTGATTACCATTCCGTGGTCCAAGAATTGATCAGTGCTGGCGTCGATATCAACCGCGTCGACAGGAACGGCGTGAGTGCACTGGAGGACGCGATCACGCGCGGGGCCGCCCCCGGCATTCTCCAGACCCTTCTCGAGGCGGGAGCAGATCCGTACCAGCCGGCAAGGAACGGCTTGGATTACTTCCAGGTCGCTCTGCTGCACAGATCGCCAGACATTCTGTCCTGCCTCTGGGAATACAGCCGGACGCACCCAGCTCCACCGGACCACTGGCTACACCACGCAGACCATACCCCAACAGCCAACCAGGACGAAGCAGACACCCTCACCCACAGGTTTGTCGTCGCTCTGAGCGAGGGGTGCGCCGTCGACGCCAGAGACACCAATGGGCACACATTGCTCTTCAACGCAGCATGGGTCGGCGAGTGTGCCCTCGCGCGAGAACTCGTAGCCCGCGGCGCCGATGTCAACGACGCAGATCCCTGGGGGTGGACGCCTCTGCACGCGGCCGTGAAGCAAAGCGACGCCGAAATCACCAAATTCCTCTTGGAGGCCGGTGCCGACATCAACGGGAGGGTCACCAGCGAGACACCCTGGCCCACCTGGCTGGCGTTCCAACCGCCCCAGCAGAACACGGGGCCCTCATTCAAGGCGATACATCTGGCTTTGCTTCGCAACTATGATCAGAAGGTGTTCCCAGCGGTGGTCCGGATCCTACTCGAGCATGGTGCAGACCCATCCGAGACGGCTACTCGCATCTATTACCCGGACAGGGCCGTGGCTAAAACGCCAATAGAAATCCTGTTCGAGCACTACAAGCCCTTCAGGCCACTGAAAAAGCATCAATCACAGATCGAGGACTTAATTGAAATCGCAGAGATGCTTGTCGATGGGGGCTGTGAGGTCGGAGACGTCGCGCTCGGCCTCTCCGTGGAGCATGTAACCCGGTTCGAGGGGCATGAAGAGCTGTGGGAGAAGCTGCTGGCGGGTATGCAGGCTGCAAAGGCCAAAGCAAGGGCAGAGAAAGCAGATGGTACCGATGAGTAGCGGATGCAGCGAATATCATGAATTGAATTACTTCTTTGGTATATGGCAGAAAGCATGATATACATGGTTAGCATAAAAAGGAACGAAAATCAACACTGTCTCAACGCCGGTTTTTGCTCCTTCTACCCTCCTTGGTTATGAATCGCTGGACTCCCCTTCCTTATATGCCAGCCGGGAAATTGATCAAAGAACAAGAGAAAGAAAAAAAAGGGTGAATGCTTGCAGATGAAGCTCGAAGTTGGGGAAGATCCCTGGGGATATTTGAAGCCGTGACTGGAATGCGTGCACTTAATGGGTCACGATAAAGAAAGTGTTCATGACGAGGCAGACGGCCATGACGCACATGCCGTACACAGCGAGACACAGCGAGAGCTTGCGCAGAACGCCGTGCTCAATGTGCTCGAGGTCCCACCTCCACTTCCTGCGCCACCTGTACCGCGGCCGGACCGACGACCCGCCGACGCCGCTGGTGCCCGAGGCCACGCTGGCGACGCTCTCGAGCAGGGCCGACCCGGCGGGCTCGAAGCCGTCCTCGGTGTCGTTGTCCGAGTCGGCGCCGACGTCGTCGTCCTCCTTGGTCAGCCGCTGGTGGTGTATGCTCTCCGGGTCGCTGATCTTGTAGAAGAAGAGGCCCGGCAGGATGAAGGAGATGGCGGTGGAGCCGGTGCTGCCAACATAAGCGAGCACCCGGTCGAGACTCGAGACGGTCAGAGCCGTGATGTAGCTGCCGGTGATGATGACTGTCGTCAGCAGGGCGAAGCGCAGGTCGGACATGGGAGCCGTGGGAGAGCCGTGAGAGTCGGTGGTGGTTGCTGTCGGCAGAAGGCCGTGATGAGGCGCCGACGAGGCATGTTGCTGCGAGCGGTTGGGCCGCCATTTGAGGACAGCGTCCAATGAAGCTCTGCAGGGATGAATCTGGAGTGGAACGCTGAACATGACTAAGATCACAATGGCGGCTTTGCCGATAGTCGAGGCGATGTTCGCGGGGTCTGATGAGAAGGTAAGCATATGACGTACTTGTGAGGGATGCCATTGAACCTACACATGGAAACAATATTGCCGACGACATGATCGCCGAAGGTAAGGTAGCCAGTGATGGCGACCAGGATATAGATGGAAGCAGCTGATCCAATGCTGGAGGAAATAACCCCAACGATGCTAGTTCCGTCAGCATGCATCCTTTCGACGGATGAATGGTACCATATCTTACCTTGCAGGTGAATTGTCCTTGATCTCATTCAGAATGGAGAACATCTGATATCACTATTAGTAAACCCCGGTCTCTAGATCACCCGCGATGGATCCTGCCTTACGTTCTGGTGGCATGTGTACGCAAAGATCACCACAGGCAAGCTGCTCAGCATGGATACTGGCCCAGCCCAGGTAATAATGCGGACCTGGCCTCGATCTGGATGCGTCTCAGCTGCATAGTGGTAGACGACCAGCACAATGAGATATCCGATCGACACGAGAGCAATCAGACTCGTGTACTTGAGCGAATCCAGTCTGCGTAGGAATGCTAGCGGAATAATGACCAGCATGAACGCCGTGATCCAGAAATGTCGGTCGACCAGGAACGGCATATCGCCCGCGTTCGGGTTGAAACCCAACACCACTCCGGGCATCAAATCACCGATGATAATGAGATACGACACACCAACCCCAAAGCACTTGATCGCAATGGCCGCGTCAAATACCACTGCGGCGTTGGGATAGGTTATTTGCGAGAGGGCGAAGAAGGACGAGTGCCCTCTGTCGAGGTATCTGGCACACCGGGCTTGAAGGTAGAGGCCAAAGGCAGATGTGATGCCCGACCATATTATGATGAACGTCCCCAGCAAGACACCCATGTGAGACATCGCAGACGGCATGGCCAGTGTACCAGCCCCGACAACTATTGAAGCCCGTTAGCTCGCCTGATCTTTCGGTTTTGAACCGCCGCGCGAACATGTCGCCTGCGGAAGACGCACTAGTATTGAGAAGGTTGACATTGCTGCTCAGCATGGAAGCCTGTCCTCCGCCGCTCTTTGGGCTTCGTCCTCGTCGGTGTCTGTGGGGATGGCAAGAGGTTGTCAGCAAGCCCCATTCCCAAGAGTCTACGCTTCTCTGGACCGGAACTGACCTAGCCATGCTTCCTGTGCTGCTGGAACTCGCCACGGAGCTTCCATCAGAGATTGTCGAATAATCCGGCATCACCTAGAACCTCTCTCCCCACACCCAAGTGTGTCCTTGTCGAGGTGAAGCAGCAGTCCGGGGCGGGAATGGAGTGCGCGCGTGATCGCTCGCTTCGTTCAGTCTCGGCGACTCTTGCTGCGGAATGCAACAGAGTCTCTAACGTCGGTGCAAGGGCGCACAGCGCCAGGTGTCGTGTGCCGTGTGCGATGCTGCTCGCGGGATGTTCGGTGGTACCAAGAGTTGGAACGACAGGAAAAGGCTGGTCGTGCCAGATAAGTACCTAGGTAGGTAATCGGCATCGAGCGCCGAGAAGTGCAACCCTGCGTTGTTCCTCCCGCCAAGCCCCACGGCTGACGCTTCTGTTGGATGACAGTTCGGGTAGCGCCTGGGCGGTTAGGTAATGGAATAGCTGGGTACGAGTCGTCGGCTGAGACAAGGGCGAAAAGCGAATGGGATTTGTTCTTGGTCGGGTGTTGTCGCGCGCAGGTTTGAACGAGTGCCTCAACTGCGTCGGGTGACGTGCGATGCAATGTTTGCGACGGATCGAGAGAATTAGAGCCAGATGCTGGGTAAGGTTTATTTAGGGCCATGACGGGATAAGTCTATCGAGTTATCGGCCTTGTGACGTACCCTTTGCTGGCCTTTTGAAGGGGGGTGGCACGGGGGGGGGGGAAGTGGTCAAATGGTGCTAAATTATGGCGGGTCCACTCTCGCGCCCAGCCACTGAACTCTCCAAGAGGCCACGACCAGGTCCCAGACACACGCCAAACCCTCTGCCAATCCCAATTAAGTTTAGGGGTCCTCCACGCCAGCCAAGCTCACTCACCACGCGTGCGGAGAGAGCCTCATCCCGTCCATCCATCTCGTCTCGAGTGTTGGTCGTGTGGATGCTCCATCAAGAACAACGTCTTGGGACGGCATAGGCGACAATGGATACCTCGCTGGACCAGACTCTAGACAAGACATCACTCGCGACGATAGACCTGCTCGAATCCCGCCTACACCGGATAGAGCACCTGCTGTACGGCGCATCCGCACCGCCCGCCCAGCCAAGCAACACCTCCGCCGCCGATTCCCTAGCCGAGCTCGAGCACAGGTTCACCTCTCTCCTATCGCGTTTGAAAGCCTACGCGGAGCTCCTCAAGATCTGTACGAAACCCTCAACATCCATGGCTTCTCTGCTGTATTCAAGTACTAACTGTACACAGACCAAAAGCACCCGTCCTTCTTCCAAACGCCCTCGCCCTCTGAACCCCCATCCCAGCTATCCCCAGAGGCCCTCCGTGCCACCGTGCTCGCGTGCGCAAGCTCTTACCCCTCCGCCGCCTCGGCTCTAACAGCCGTCATCAACGACACACCCATCCCTGACCCGGCGCTCAGCGCGTCCCTGGCGGCCCTCATCCCGCGCATGGCCGGCATAGAGGCAACCCAGCTTGCCCAGGAGGCCGAGATCGCAGAGCTACGGGCCCGCAGCGAGGAGCTTGTGCGTGGCTGGTATCAGGGCCGGATGCTGGGGTACTCCCAATCCGTGGCTGACGTCGAGGGCCGTTTCGAAAAGGTCGAGCAGGCCGTAAGAAGGGCCGAGAAGGCGAGGGAGGCTGAAGCTGCGTGAAAGACTTCAAAGGCTCGGCACCAGGTGCTCTGCAAGAAGATTTGCAAGCTATTAGACGCAGGAGCGCGAGACCCCATATAAGCGCCCAATCTTGAAGGCATCTGGTTGATCACACCAACACATGAAGGCATTCAGTCTCGGCAAGAAGACCTTTCTTCTGGATCCCCGAAATTACCCTGCACTGGGTTCTACGGGATTACTATTCAGCGGGTAGAGCACCTACAATCCATCGGGCATCCCCACAGCATCCATGAGAAAGCCTCAATCAGCAGGTGAGATATCTGGACTCGTCTGCCGCCACCACAGCCTGCTGCTTGTGTGCACAACACCTTGCAACGATATGATTGAGCGCCTGAGATCTAGATTCGTGGAGCAACATAAGAGTGCGACATAGATGTGCTGTGATGCGCCTTGTCAGCCGGTGCGCCCTGGTTTTCTGGGCAGAAGCAGCATAGGTAGAGCCGGGACTGCTCAGCCACTGGCATAAGAAACCGATTCCAGACTTTCGATACCATTACAATTATCGCTACCAAGTCTTGGAAATTAGTAGACTTTTATGTCTGGGTCCAAAATGTGTATAACAGCACTAAGTAGCGAGCACATCCGCAGTTCTGGATTGGCTGCACGTGGACTGTTGAGATACAAATCAAACCATTCTTCAGCCTTTCCCTTTTCCCATTTCTTCACCCCGCCTCTTCGCGCTGATTCCTATTCCCAGCGCCTGCAGATCAATGGAACCATCGTCTCCTTCGCTGTCAATATGTCATTCCGTGAAATGAACACATGTCCGAGTTGTTCGGAAACTCGTCAAGGACTATTCAAGATAATGGCAAATGAGTCCGAGTACATATGGCAACTCAATCTTCGGGGACTCATGTCATCAGCTATGGGAGGGTGTTCATTTTGTCAATTTATCGACCATTTCATCCTTAGCCCGTGGTACACCTGTGGCACCGATGTTGAAATCAATACCGCGTGGTTTCATCAACTGCGCTCGCCGTGTCTACCGTCAAGGTTTCCCAGTGACCCCTCAATCGACCGTTGCAGGGATTCGTACAAGTTCAACATGGCTCAAGATGTATCCTGTCAACTATGCTTGAACCAAACTTCACGACAAATTGGACAACAGGGACCGAGATTTCACTGCACAAAATGTATGGGCAATTCAGTCGTGCATCAGCCAACCGAATTGTACTGCGAACTGTGTTTACGACATGTTGCACGTCGAATAGCTGATGCTATCAAGTACGATGATGTCGATCCACTCAAGACGGCAAGGTCGGACTTTTGGATCCGCGTTGAACTCAAATACCGCAAAGAGTATGGTCTTTTTGTCACTCTGGATGATCTAGATGGAAAGGCATCCACGCTCGGTCAGCCCAGCCGCCTCTTCAGTGTTGAGACGGTTCCAGAACAAGACTCAGATCATACCAAGCTTGAGACAAGCGAAACTACGCAGAAACACGGCATTCTCCCAGACTGTAAGCCACCAGACCTGGACAACTCTTCGTTACGTGCTGTTCAACAGATGAAGTTATGGCTTGAGGCATGTAATGCTCATGGCTGCTGCCCGGTGTCAACTGGCTTTCTACCGACTCGACTGATCGAGATTGTGTCGACCCAGGGTGGGGCGCGACTTCGACTTGTGGAAACTAAGCATACAACAACTCCAAGTATAAACTACGCAGCCTTGACTTACTGTTGGGGAGGACCCCAGCCTGCACAGACAGTGATGGCAAACCTGCGCAAGCGACTGGAAGCATTGGAGGAGTCGGAGCTACCCGCCACTATACGCGATGCTATTGCCGTATGCCGCCATCTAGGCATCATGTTCTTATGGGTCGATTCGCTGTGCATCAACCAGGATCTCAAGGAGGAGAAGCACACAGAGATTTCCATGATGGACAGGGTCTATGCGAATGCTTATCTGACCATTTCGGCCTCGAGGGCTGCTGCAGCCGTCGAGGGGTTCCTTGGGTTGCCCAAGACAGATTGGAAAGTGCCCAGCCGGTGGTGGAGAAAGGATAACATACCCGAGAACCCGCCAGACGCGGTAGCAGTCTCGGGTCTGCAAGTGGATCTCGATCTGCATGACCAAGGCGAATACGTCGGTACGATAAAGCTTCGCGAAACGAGGTTCGACACTGCCGAATGGGTCCCGATATTGCAACGAGCATGGGCGTATCAAGAGAAGGCGCTTTCCCGCCGCATTCTCAGTTTTGGATATCAGATCGAATGGACGTGTCGGAAGGGATACCAGATCGATACAGGCTACGGCTCCGTCTCCAGCAATCCCGAGAGTCCGGACGAAATTTCCTTGATCTGGAGACCCATAGGTCATCTCCTCAATCCTACTTCCATGGCACTTAATACAGATCAGTTTGAGAAGCCGGATGAGGCACGGACTCCCGGGAACATCAATATTACGTTGCTGGATCTCAATGTTGACCCGGCCCAGAGTATGGGGCTCTGGAATGCGATTGTGCACCAATATGCCTCCAGGCAACTCTCCTTCGAACAGGACCGTTTACCTGCGCTAGCAGGGCTGGCCACACGGTTCGCGATGATCGATACAGAGGATGAATACATGGCGGGATTGTGGAAGTCGCACTTTCCAAACTGTTTGCTTTGGGGAGAGATCCCAAAGGGCATGCTCGAGACCTGTGGTGCCGGCCCCTCTCGCCATACAGCAGACAACCCCCTTGATGGAAAGTGCCGTGAGACCGGGCTCTCTCCCAGATGGGTAGGTCCTACTTGGAGCTGGATCTCGCTACCCCTTCCAAAGGGCCTCGCATTCTTCGGGTACGGTAAGCGAGGAGAGCCTATAACGAAGCTTATATGCTACACAGCGAGGCGTCCGCAAGGAGCCTCTCCGTATGGACAACTTGAGGGAGCGAGCCTGTCGGTATTGGGCCGGCTGGGAAAGACAACATGCCGATGGATGATACCCAAGAAAAGCAATTCGGACTGGTATGAGTATACATTCAGCCGTCGTGGTCTGATTCCCATCCGACTGAGGTACGGACCCGAGGGCTTCCTTGATGAAGATATGTTTCCAGAATGTGTGCGTTCCGCCATCCCGAGCGAAGGTATGAACGGCCACACGCACATACTAATGGGTTTTGACACCAAACTCAACATCGTCCTAGACCAGCACAAGATGTACGAGACAACTCGCCTCATAGAGCCTGCTGCGCAGGATAGCAGCGAGGGCGGCCCGCTTCAAAAGTACGTCCACATGACCAGCCCCGTGTGGCTACTTCCCCTGACAGAGATGGTTATTTCACCAGAAGAAGACGGGGAGGGTCAGGTTGAATCCGACACTCAGGTCAGGTCGTGGATTAGAGGACTTGTTTTGATGCCCAAAGAAGTCAATTCTTTTCAACGAATCGGCCATTTCGAGGGAAAGAATCTATTTAGCCGGGAAGATATCATATGGAACGACAGTGGAACTATCCGTATAATCTGATTGTTGGTCGAGTTGATCATCAGTCAACTGCCAGGGAATGTAATCGGGAGTCTCTATTCTACTGGCATCGCCTGGCACTGTCATTAAAGTACTCAAACCAGGGATATAAAGGCTACAGCACTAATGGATATTCGACGGAAAAGCTCTCTGCCATATTCAGCTCAGGCAAGCAGGCCGCAATCGCCCCGAAAAGTTTGAGATATGCTATACGAGCAACATAATTTTATTGATTCTGATAATCCAACACTCTTGCTTCACGCATCAGGATCATTGAAGGCACTCTTCTCCAGATCAAAAATGGATAATGAGACTCCTCCGCAAGAAAATCAACATCTAGACTGAAGACTTTAGTAACCCTTCCTGCCTAACTTTCTGAGAGCTCTTTGAGCCCACCCTATGCGTTTCGGGTTCTCAATCACGCCTACATGATCACCGCTCTCCAGCCACTCCATGTCATTTACAATCGGAGCTTCTTCGGATCACCGAGCTCTATCTACTGGGTGAGCTAGGTGATACTAAGCATAAGGGCCTCACCCTAGAGATATCGTAAGGGTGAGCTAGGTGAGTGGTGGGTGATCAGTAGTTCATTAGGAATACGTTTTACAAATGATCCTAGATACACTTCCTTTTACTATACGCTTTATTAATGGGGCTCGTCTCTGGACCACAACGACATCTCCTTCTTCACTGCCGTTATTCCCACGGGAGTGAGGCTCTATCACGGCACCCATAGCCAGCAGGCCATCACCGGCACGGAGTGACACGTAACCCCAGGACATCTTGCAACAGCAGCACCCTAGCCATATTTACGCACGGATCTAACACGAAGATACGACAAGACGTTTCGGGGGAGGCAAAAATTCATCGCTAAAACCGCACACGCGTCAATCTTCCAAGCCTGTCATTGTCATGTCGTCCACCACTGCTCAACGCACAGCAAACTGCCTCGCCGGGACCCGGCCCCCTCCGAATTCGAAGACTGCCTGGCCTGGCCAGCCTGCTTGTCCTACCATGTCGACGCCACATCGGCGTCAAACCTCACCAATTCCTTCGATGCGTCCTGCAAGTCCTTTCGTGCCTTGGCACGCATATAGAAGATGGGGCAGTCCTTGGCCGAACAAATTACCTCGCAGTGCAGACTGCCCTGACACCTCTGACATTGTGTCCAGAGACGCGAGAACCGTACCTCGAGATCAGAGACGCGCTCTGCCGCCCGCTGGCACAGTTCTGGAATACGACTAGTGCAGTTCTCGCACACCGCGCTTTCACCTGCGCTTTTCAGAGGTCTCTTGCAGCCCATGCATGTCGGCATCCTTTTCGCAAACCCGATCAGACCGCCGACCGTCGGGGCGACCACCGTCACCGTCCGCGTGTGGCTTCCGTTGAGGAGCGACTTGGTCTTATCGCCGAGAATCGGTTCAAAGATTCTCAGTAGCGGCTTGGACAATTGATTCTCGAGGTAGTACTTGGTGTCGATCGGGATGTTGTTTTCCAGGACGTACATTGGGTCTTCAGAGTTCTCAAAGTTCTTAGACCCGATTTTACCCTTCACCATCACGTATGCGACGCGATCGCCCAGTGCTGGAGCCGAACCGGGGTCTCGCTTCCTCATCCGGCGTGCAAGCTCCACATGCGCCTGCTTGGCCTCGTAGGACTCTTTGGTAAGAGCTTTGGTGATGATCAGCTTGGACATGTCGATTTTGTTCTGGAGCAGATCGGCTATGACTGATTTGACATATCTACTCAACAGATTAGTACATTGCCATTATACTGCAGCCCATCTCGTCGCTAGCCAAGTCTTCTGCTTCTCAGATGGATTTGATCCAAGGGAACAAAGAAAGCCACTTACTCCTGCGCGCCAATGATGTCCCGCTCGATAAGGATCATGCGTAAAATCCTCTCGATGACTGTACCGACCAGTGTACAGTTATCTCGCCGCACAGTCTCGATGCCTTTGGTATCCATTTTGTCCCAATGGTCAGACCTGGTCCAAAAGAGGCCGGCATAGCGCTTCTTGTTGATCAGGAGGTAAGGGAAGTAGACCTTCTCAAACTCAAGCTTGATAGGGGCTTTGAACCGAGCTGACACGTGTTGAGCGGCTTCCTCGCCTAATTTCATGACCTGTGCAAGATCAGAATTACCAAATCGTACCATGACTGAGTCTGTGTCTCCATAAATGACATGTGCGTCATGTGAATAGCCATTCAGAATACTGAACCGCTTCTCGACTTCATCTCTTGTTTGCTCAATCATCTGCCGTCCAAAAGCTGTGGTGCTACTGGCAATAGCGAGGCAGGGGAGCTTGCCTGCAGTTGCGCCAGTAAGACCATATACGCTGTTGGCACTGATTTTCAGTGCGAGTTGTCGTCCGTTGAGGACAGCTCTTTTGAATGGGTCTGTCTCTATCGCCAACTCTCGCTTCGCTTGTTTCCTTGCTGTCAAGAGCTCCTCAAGAATCTCAGCAAGGATGCCTTTCCGTTGTTTGGTCGTAACGAAACAATCGCCGCTTGGAGTGATAATATAATCCTCATTGGCCTTGAGACCCAATGTCCTAGCCACTTGCTGGTCTACAAGAGTTGTATAACATAGATTGTGGGCCATTATGATGCTAGGATAAAGAGAAGCAAAGTCAAGGGTTGCAATAGGAATATCATAATAACCCCGAGCCGGTTCAATAACCGTAGCACCCTCATACTGATCATCAGAAGAAGACTCTGATCGTAGATTTGGGATCACTAGGCCTTTTTGTAGAGCCTTACGGAATAGTTGGCTGATGAATTTGACTTGTTGTCCGCGAGAAAGAAGGAAATTGAAGGGAACGCCTGTAACTCGTGCCATCTCAGTATAGTTCTCAAGGCAAGATAGCTTGTCCATCAATCTTTGAGGGAGATATGCATCCTTCAAACAGTAGAGAGCAAGACGGCGCCTTGATTCAGGGTTGCCATTATACAGCTCAGTGATGATTGTATAATGGACATCTTCCTTTTGTTCTCCAAGGAACTGCGAACAAACTGAATTGAGCGTATAGCTCCGTAGCTGATGATCACGTTGAATGAGTTGAAGCAAGTCGAGTTGAAGTCGGCCATTGGTATTTGTTGCTTTGGTATCACGATTCCCAATCTGCTTGCTCGAGAAGCTTGTGTCTTTGGCTTGAGATGGGACGTTCTTTAATCTGGTCCAAAAATTGAAATTCTCGACCCGCAGATATCTTGCCCGGTCGAGAAGGTAAGGGAAGTCGAAATTGGAAATATTGTAACCAATGATAACATCAGGGTCGACTTCGAGCAGGAACTGAGCCCAGTTTCGAAGCATCTCGCCCTCATTCTGATGTTCTATGACTTCAGTGGCGACGATGGAGCCGGTGGAACCAAGACAAAACACATTCCGTATGAACGGCTTCTTTTCCCCATATCGAGTCACGATGTTGGCGATCTGTATGACAGGATCGCAGTCTGCCTCCGGGAAAATACCCTTGCGCCCAGCGCACTCGATGTCGAACGAAAGAATTCTGAGAGGCGCCACGATGGACCACTCGCCCACTGGAGCATGAGCGATGAGATCGCGATAGTGTACTTTGGCTTCGATCTGACATGTCGATTGGCGTTTGGATGCAGGGAGAACGGTATACGTTGACTTGGGGGCCTCGACCCATGACATTCCCGAGATCTGTATCCAGCACAAGAGCAGTCAGCGGTGGTCCAATGACAATCTGGACAGCGGCCTGCAGAGGATACGTACACCACAGTCTACCATGAAACGCACAACATACTGGATGTTATCATACGTCATCACAGTCCCATCGAGGGTCCACATGCCGTGGAAGTTGGCGTCGCCCCTCTCGATGAGTGACCGGACCTTTGGTAAAGACTTGGGGTCTGACAAGGTGATCTTGATGTAGGGGCCTTGCTGGTTTCCTCGAAAGCCGTAGACATCCTCCCGCAGCACGAGCTGAGTGGAGTAGACGCAGGAAAGGGAAGGAAGTTTGGAGTTGAGGTAGTCTTTGTAACCAGCGCAATGTTGAGGCAAAAAGGCAGCTGGAGCGGCAACGTAGAGGTAGTGTCGGAAGTCAGTGACGTGGAGCATAACAGAATGGCCTTCCTTGGTGACACCAAAAAGCCTGACAACAGTAGCGCCACCATCGAGGGTCCCTTCCTCGGCTTCAATCTGCTGGAAGCAAAGATCCTGATTGTCGGGGTCAAAGCCAGTCAACGGCGGCCTGCCCCATGTCTGGTCCTTTCCCGTGGCCCCCTGTTTTATGACTCGGTCGATCGCTTCGAGGACATCGGATTCGAACTGGCTTTTGGGATGGGAAGAATGGGATCGGGACCCGTTCGCATGTTGCTGACGGGGGGGTGCGTTCCGAGGGACAACACCGCAGCTGGAAGAGGTAGTTTCGGCCTTAGTCCGCTTCGATAACAGTACACTCGACACGCCACTGTCATCGTCAGACGCCTCGCGTTTTCTGGGGAGACCCGAGGCCATCATCGACGAGGCTTGTCGTGATAGTGGGCATTTCTGGGGACGTGTGGGATGAAAGAAGAGGTGAAGAAACCAGGAGGTGGCAAGCAAACGCGCCCAAGACGCGTCTGGCCTGATCACGTGGTAGTTGTCAGTGCGCAGATCATGGCTGCCTATTCTGGGAGCCTCATGCCTCTAATTATGCCTTATTATGTCGGCATGAGTGAGGATCAGAGAGTGATGAAGCATCGGGTACACGACGTAGGCTTTCACCTTGTGCGTAGTGTGATCTGATGACCAGTAATAGGGCGGGTATGTGAGCCGTCTAGATTTCCTCCAGCTCAAACCTACCTGTCAGGATGATCTAATACGCAGATAGGCTATTCCGGGCGTAGTCCAATCACCCCTCAAATCAGGATGGCGGTCATCGCGGAAAACATAGTGCCAGACAATGGGCGGCCCGGCCCGCAGCTCCACCACCGATACCGAGGCCGAAGCCGAACCGGGGCCACGCTGTTAGTTGAGACTTCTCAGTGTCCGGGAACACGCGCAGAAGTCCTTGTTTCCAACTTCAAGCCCCTCTTGTCAAGGGTCAAGTTTGAAAGGTAAGTTTCAAAACGGCTAACTAACCTTTGGCAACATGAGTTTGTTCACTATGACTGGCAAAACAGCCTTGGTCACCGGTGGCAGTCGCGGGATCGGCCAGGCTATGGCCGTCGGGCTCGCCGAGGCTGGAGCAGACATCGTCCTCGTCCAGGTATGTGTCTGTATGACCATCGCCAGGTGACGAGAAATAGACTGGATCCTCAAAGGCCATTAGCGAGACCAGACACAAACAGCAACCAAGGACGCCATCGAGGCTCTCGGTCGCCGCTGTGCCATCACCGTCGCCGACCTCAGCGACCGCGAATCGGTCAAGGGTGTGATATCGAGCGTCACGGCATCGCAGCGCGTCGATATCCTCGTTAACGTGGCGGGGATCATGCGCCGCCACGATGCTCAGGACTATCCGGATCATGACCTTGACGAGGTTATGGAGGTCAACTTCAACTGCACTTTTCTGCTCTGTCGCGATATCGGCAAGTACTGGATCGAAAACAAGATTCCTGGCCGCATGATTAACACGGCGAGCCTGGCGACATTCCAGGGGGGTGTCCGCATGGCGGCGTACTCGGCCAGCAAGGGGGCCGTCGGACAGCTCACAAAGGCCCTGAGCAACGAGTGGGCTGCTCATGGGATCCGCGTCAATGCGATTGCACCCGGGTGAGCCATCTCGGATTTTCATGTGGCCGCGTATTGCTGACAGTGATTTGTTCGCGGGCGATAAAGGTATATAGCGACAGACATGAACACTGACACCAGATCGAGTCCTGACCAGACATACTATAATTCGATAACCACGCGCATTCCTATGGGCAAATGGGGCTCCCCAGATGAATTCAAAGGGCCTGTAGTCTTTCTCGCATCGGATGCGAGCTCCTATATAACTGGCCAGATCATCGTGGTGAGTTCTCGTGAGGTTTATCTCGACCTTTCTGCGAGTCCGCGTCTTACCGCTAAACAGGTCGATGGTGGTTGGATGGCTCGATGAGATATGAATGCAGAGTTTAGGAACACTTGTCTATGGAATGGCAATATCATTTCTGAGTCCATTCTCAGGTCAGAGCTGGAATATTCCATACTTCGATACCACTTAATGGACACAATCATTGCCTTATGTTGAGCAACAACCAGATCCCAGATACCGATACAAATATTCAGTGCTGGTATCAGTCATATGGTGTTTTGCAAGCTTCAACACCTAACCGAGCTTGTGTGATCCGGTGACAGGACAAAAGTTCAGAGATCTCGAGATGGACCCCCGGATACTGATGTGCACAATCAGATGACGACCACCTTCGTCTCGACCACCAGGGACAAGTCTAGCATTCATAGGCTACTCAATGACAATCCTTCGAATTGTTTCTGAAATGTTTCGAATACGGATCGGTTCGCACCCGAACAGCTCGTAAGTTTCCTCAACTAAAGAACGCTATGTTGCACGTTTGGAAAGGCTTGCGATGATTGTTTCTAAAGAGGGTCTCTCTAGTGACGCAAATCCTCGTCGCCGCAGAAAACGCCGATCTCTGACGTCGACGAGTATTCTTTTTTTGCGTCATGAGAATATGTGTCTCCAGCCTGAATGCTTCAGACGTGTCGCAGGGCCTGCGACCAGGACGTCGGTTTCGTCCGGGGTTCTGCGCCAAGCTTTTGCGTTTCAACATGCGTTTCCTCCCCGCCACATCAGCTCTTTTGCCCCGGAGCTCCGGGGGCAAGGTACCTGATAAGCCTGGAAGCGTTCAAGTAATGCTCGTTTCTGCATATTCGGTACACTAAGAGTAGTCCACTCGCAAATTTGCCCAATTTAGACGCCCGTTTTGAGTCAGCGCCGCGCATTCGACATTCCGGGACGCTCGTCCGTTGAGAAGCATGTGTCTGATTGATAGAAAACCGGCAAACTAGAGAAAGCTCGTACCTCAATCTCTCTCTCCCTGGTAGATACGAAGCGGCTGAACCACTAGTCCAGATGCCGTCGCCTCACCATGCTCGAGGATCGGCAGTCTTCTGCCCATTCCAGCTCGGCGCCTCCTTGCGTGACGGGTCAGACAAGGAGTGGCAGCCACACCACGTTGTGTTCAGCCACTTGTGGCGTCCATCCTCTTTTGCGCGAGGGCCCAATCAGCGACGGGTGGACTCGAACGATCTCGAGCACAGACCCTAGGCCAGAGCTTCCTTTGTGCTTCAGGGGTGGTGCGACGACGAAGCCAGCGCTAGGCCTGATAGCCAGGGGTTGGGAGACTGGGTCCCGATGCGTGTGAGTGGAGGCTGGCCTGTACCGCGGAGCAATGTACCTCCCACCGTGCGCGTGCACGGCCGAGCATTCCAACGCGGCTTTGTCCGTGTTCTGATGTTCACCACCCATGAGGACAATGAAGCAAAAAAAGAAAAGAAAAGAAAAGTGCGTCTGTTTGCCGTTGAGAACCCGTCCTCTGGCGGGAAGGATGATGCAATATGCAAGAGCGCGGATTGAAGCGACGCAGGTCCAAAGTGGCTCATTTGGCCAAACCTGGGGATCGTGCTGCTAACCACGAGGTTTCCGGCTCGGACGCCGTTTTTAGCACAACGGCTCTGGCTATTATTACCTGCACCTCTCGTTCAGTGCCAGAGATCAAATGCGGACAAGAGAAGGCCAACGCCGGCAATCACGGACTCGTCATGCGCGGAACGTCAATCGACTTGTCTCGCCGCCTCGCCGGGTCACCAAGGGACGGCTTGTGATTGCGCAAAGCGAAGAAATTCTCCGCGACGCGAGGAATGTGGGAGCGCCTTCGCCACAGACAGGTGAAAAGGGATTCTCCGTCGTCAGGTTCAATATATCTACTTCAGCCGCCACATGTCTTGGGTATAACATAGGACTTCGTAAGAGAAACGTGGACTTGTCGCAGATCTCCCACGGCATAAGTCAAGTATTCAAGGTGAGGCGTTCACTGGCTGTCCTGGACGACAATGCATTGGGAGGCCATTTTCGCCAACAGACACTGCTTTTCCGTGCTGGACACACCACGTTTCCCCGACACAGCCGTAGCCAACAGATTTCGAAGCCATGCGCATGCCCATGACGATGACCCTTTGGCAATATGTTCATATCTCGGCGGCTCAGAAACCCGGTCGCAGTTTAAACAAAGCCTGGAATGTCGGTTAGGCCGCCTGCTGGCGAAAGCACCCCGGGTCTGTGTCACACGATCTGGTTGCGTCAGCAGCTCCGCCTCACAATACTGGACGCTGGAGCGCTCTGATCAAGTTGTAGAGAGGGCCGTGTCGTTGAGCACCAGCTTCGCAGTATCACGGGCGTGTTGCATCACAGCAGCACGGTCTTTTGCGAGACTTTGACCCAATACCAATGGAGGAGGCGCTCGGTGTGTTGGCGCAGACAAAGGTGGTCCGTGGAGGTGTCCGTGTGACGGAATGGTTTGAGAGATCTGCTTGCGTGTGCCAGAACATCCCAAAAGGGCTGCGACGGTGTCTTTGAATAACGAGCCGCACAAGCAAAGACCTTTTCCGTCCGATACTTGTGCTGTTCATGAAACCGTTGCTCGCTTCCCCTGCATGGCTGCGCTCACGAAGACCTCTGCGCACCTTCGAAGCCAGTATGGAACTCTGCAGCGTAATGTGGAGCCGCCGTTTTGAGAGTGACGCGCGCACCGACTACTACCATGGTAGCTGGCTCGTACCGCCTCTGGAATGAAGATGAGTGAGCATGCTCAACCGCGTGATACGTACTTGGCCAGAGCTGGCTCGCTGGCTCGGCTGGTTGGTGCAGATTGGAGGTAACCCTCGGATGGGGACCGCAATAGCATGCCAATCGAGAGTGACAGCCAACCGAACCTATGAGAACGCGTCAACACAGCGCTGGCAAGCGGGCGTAGTGGGCGTACGGAGTATTCGACAGCAGGCCGAACCCCTGTCGAATCTCAAACGCGTGAAGCGGATTCGTCAACCACCAATTAGTAGTATGCCAAGTCCTGCATCGATCTCGAGAGGGTCTCGGTGCCCTGCTGGTGATTGGCACATGTTGTATTGTTCGATCGAGTAGGATGCTGATCACGACCTACTTGCAGCTCATGAGGGATGAGATGGTGCAGCACAGTCGGCGCGACGCTTGCCATGTCTACAAAGCACAGGTGAAGCACATGCAGCGTGCCTCTGAGCATACCAAATACCAGAATGCAAGGCCCGCCCAAGCCCACAGGCGCCCGACCCGGAGGATACGGAGTAAGCAACTGTCTCTGGCAGGACACCCGTTGAGCAGCGTCACGACAATGGACGGCGTGCCCAATTCGGTAGGCAAGCAAAGACTGGAAGAGCAGACTGGGCAGTTCAGATGTGAAACGTCGTCTCTTGGAGACGGGGAAGTGAGTGGATAAGGAAGGGTACTTGAAATGTACAGCGCTGCTCAGGAACGCACAGTGCCACCAATAGACCGCTGTACTGGAGCTCTAGAGGGGCCTCTCACTCCACTGCCTGATCATCAGAGGGGAGGTAACGGCTCTGAGCGGGGTGCACGAACCACCACCCCAGCCGCCTCTGGGCTCTTGGAATCGCTGGTTTCTTGGTCCATGGGGGAGTTTTTAGTGAGCATGGGCTGCCTGCCCGCCCTCCATGCGTCGATTGAATCTCTCAATCTTTTTCTCGCTGTTCTCGATCCTCTCTTATTAGCAATTCGTAACAGCATCCGCGACTTACAGTACCTCTTCGGGCACGGTGCGATACCTCGATACTCTGATCCCGCAACCCCTGGCTCCCCTGCAAGCCTCTCTTTATTATCCCACCCACCTGCGCCCATCAAGCAAAGCACAGGCACTGTCCAGGGTAATATAGGTACCTGTCGGTCCTTGCCCAAGTACCCTTTCCTCCCACAAGCCAGATTCAGACTCTGGCCCAAGAATTCCACCAGCGGCGCCCTTGCCTTCCGACGCATCCCTTCCCCAATTTCCTTCCTTGCCTGCCTTCCCTGCGCTCCTAGTCCGCCCTCACCCTCCCTTTCAATCCTCCCACCACCCTCCGCCTCCTCGTCTCCTCTTCTCCTCTTCCCTGTCCAGTCTGGCTCTTTCTTCGACTCTTTTTTTTCTCACCCTTCTGCTTCTGACGACGGCCGCATTTTCGACAATCATCGCCAATCCATACGACGACCAGTCTGTTTCTTCCCGACCCGTATACTTTTTTACGACTGGGGGATATCCGCTGGCAGGTACTGCGAACCCGACACCAGAATAAGGCAAAGAGGAGCTCCGCAAAGCAGAGGCAACTCGACGATTGCTTCAGGGACAAGTGAACGGCTTGATTCGATCTCACCGGAGCGCTTCCCGACAACTGTATACCAAGCGCCTCTACTGTCTCGATTGTTTGGACAACATTTGTGGCAGACAAGCAACTGTTGAAGCCAGCGATCCCATTAGGCGGCGCCGTGCTCCGTGCCTATCGCGAGAAGAGCTGACAGTGCGGCTTGCCCGACAATCCTGGTCGATACGAACAATCCACAGCTTTCCTTCTCCAGCCGGATTCCTTCAATCCGCACATACAGGGGAATAGAGGTTACCTGCTGGGCAATACCTCATACTTTACTCGACCACACAGTTTTCCTTGGACCGTTTTCGTTCTTTCTTAGTCACCACCTGATCCGTGGTTGGCGCTGCACAAGCCTATCGCACTCCTTTTACACTCCCTTAGCCCAACTGGAAACCGGCAAATTGGGAACGCTTGTCGCAGCACTTTCGCCTGCAACACTGCCACACCACAGTCAACCCTCCAGCTTGGCACGCATGCCCACACTGGACCCGGCCTAAAGTCAATCGCCACAGAGCTACCTCCGGATCTGCAGCCCCGTTTCCAACTTTTAATTTTCAAGTGCTAAAAAGCCCACTTGCTCGACCAAGAAAGAACATCACCAGACACAAGCGTTCCTTATGCCATCTTACGGCTCGCTTCACTCACCGTCACTGCGCAAAATGGAACACTCGAGGATGCAGTATGGCGGCGGTCGCAGGGGCATCAACTTAGGCAACATCATTGGTGATCCCTTTGCCCTTGCTACCATCTCCATCTCAGCAGTAAGTCGTATCCTTTTCCTCAGCCGGCGTCTTCATCGGCAGTCAAAGGCACTGCCGATGGTGATGTCTTGTGCTTCTCTTGTGCAAAACTGGTCGCTAATCGTGTGACGCAGCTCGCCTGGATCATCACCTTCATCTCTTCCATTGTTGCTCAGGTGCAGACTGCATTCCCACCCTTCACATGGTGGACCATCGTCTATGAGTTCTTCGTTGTCCTCGGTGTCTTCGTTGTTGTCGCCTCAGACACCATCCAGACCTACCACGTTGCCGTCGTTGGTTATTTGGGCGCCGGCATCGTGCTGACGTCCTCGTCCGTCCACGGCCTGATCTACTCTTCCAACGGCGCCAAGGAGGCCTCCGCTGCTGGGCTGATCCTTCTTTCCATGGTCATGGTATGCATTCCTGTGGATAGTTTTGTACTAGCGGACGTTTGCTAATCCAGATCCCAGATTGTGTGGATCTTCTATTTTGGATCTGCTCCGTCGGCTGTGCCTCGCGCTTACCTCGATTCTTTCGCTCTCACCAAGGAATCCACCATGAACCGCCAGACCATGAACGGTGGCTACGGAATTGGCCGACCCGAAACCTCGACGTCTGTCCAACCTCCTCAGATGTATACCTCGGCGCAGCTTAACGGCTTTGAGAACCCATCACCAGTCGCTGGCATTCCTCAAGGCCCCAACCGCACGTCAACACTAGGCGGCGGTGCCGGTGGCTTTACGTCGTCGGCCACTGGCAATAAGGGCGCTCCCGGAAACGAGGGAGAGATCGTGCCCCCGACTGAGTACCCCTATCGGGCAAAGGCCATCTACAGCTACGAGGCGAACCCAGACGATGCGAATGAGATTAGTTTCTCCAAGCACGAGATCCTCGAGGTGTCCGACGTCAGCGGCAGGTGGTGGCAAGCGAGGAAAGAGAACGGCGAGACGGGCATTGCTCCTAGTAACTACCTGATCCTATTATGAGAACCTTGACGAATCGAGGAGCCGCAAAGGGAATGAGATGATTATTTGAAGCTCTCAAGTGCCCACGGGAGCACACTTTTGGGAAATCGGGATCACGGCGCGCAACGGGACGACTTTAATGCCTGGTACCTGCCTTTAGGAACCACTGTTTATATTATTCCAACTATACCCCAAAACTCGGCCAAACGGGAGATACCGAAGCAGAGCCAAGGGCTCTTATATGCAAACGCCGCAGGGCTAGGGAAATGGGGACATACCCATGAGGGGAGGGAGGAGAGCCAGCGGATAGGCCTGGCGATGGCCAGCTTGAAGACCGTGGCACGGCGCCTCGAGTGCTTGGGTTTGTGGCCTCGGCTGCACGCGAAATGTGCAGGGCCGAGAGCAATTGGATTTGTTGGGAGTAAAAACCGGATTGGGCCATCCCGTGTCTTTTTTTTTTTTTTTGATTCTTCCTTCTTTGATGTTGTTTGAAACGAGACCACTGCACCACCAGATGCTTTTTCTTTTTTTCCTCATTACTTATTCTTTCTGTGAAAAGAAAAGAAACCTTCTATTCGAACAAAAAATACCCCCGACCTGCAATGTCCCTTGCATTCATGTGACGTGTGCTCTGATGTATCTCAGTTGGGTGACTGAGTGCTTTCTGTGAGAAAATGAACCTTTCCGCCATGAATGGGATGAAAGGCAGCATGAGCAAGTCATGGCAAACAAAACTAGCTCAGGTGGCTGGAAAAGCATTGTATCTCGGGCTTGAGTAGCTAAGAGTACTGAGTACATTGGGCTATTTTGATGGAGAAATGGATGTTATATTACAGCCTTCGCAATGATCCTCATGTAATAGAGTGTATTTTGTAGAATCCGCCTCTATCTTGGTAGACTATCTTCTGTTCGCTCTCGTGCAATGACTCTGCTACTCGGGCTAGCAGTCCCTGTCTTGAACACCAAGACCGCGGCCCGATGCTTTTCTTCTCAACCAACGGGAGCCTTTGGCAAGCTTAGAGTACCCGTGAGTGTTTTGCCTTGGAGGTCTAGAGACCCTACCTCGCCGGCCGCGACTGTTGGACGTGCTCTGGGCAGAGTCCATGCCGACTTCGTACCACGCCATCTGATGGAGGAGACTCGGATGGAGACGAGAGTCTCGGGCCGCACACGCCTTGACCTTGATGCTAACGAGGTGTCGAGCCTCACAAATCTCCTGATGGTCAAAGAGATGTGGAGGGCTCGGCCACGTTGCATCTCCCCTCAACACAACGATTTGCAACGAGCAATCATCTCAGAAGCGACTGAAAACCGCAACCCTTCCTCCTTCAAGCCTTCTCCAGCCTCACCCTCAGCTCCCTCTCCTTCTGCCCGACCTCGAGCTCCATCCGCTCGACGCTGTACTTGAGCGCCTCCTTGCGCTGGCGGATCATGCGCGCCCGCAGCGCCGCCTCGCCGCCCAGTGCCTTGCCCGTCTGCTTGCCCTTGCTGCTGTTCCTGCCGCTATCGTAGTGCTGGTCGTCCTCGGGCCCGTGGGAGAGGCGCCCGGCCTGCAGCTCGGCGCGGGCCTTGAGGGTCTCGATGCGCCGGGCCTCGCGGTCGAGGGAGCGGTCGGCGCGGTCGAGGAGCAGGGCTATCGAGGGGCCGATCTCGTCGCGAAGGGAGGACTCTGCGGCGGCGAGGGTGGTCTGGGGGATGAGCTCGTAGTGCTGTTCGTCGGCTGGCGTTAGCGTTCATGTGGATCGGAGGGGGCAAGATATTGTGGGAGAATACGTACGCGCACCGTCTTGAGGACGGAGACGAGCCGGGGGAAGTCGGCGACGCCGTTGCCGAGGGTGTTGACGGAGGACTCGAGGAAGGAGAGGGAGGTGCGGAGGGAGGCGACGCAGTCGCCGTAGGTGGAGATCTGGCCCGGCGCGGTGGTTGTTGACATTGTGTGTTGGTATTCGTCGGAAGCGGGTGCGGGCTATTGACTGGCTCAGTTCCGAAACTTGAATGGATATGAAGTTGCATCAATGGCTCAATAAATGGCTTGGCTGTGCTCGTGGCGTGTGTTCTGACAGAGTCGTTGTGATGATGTTTCTCGACTTTTTGTCGGCGCGTGTCACGGTGTTTTGGCGACGCAGATCGTCCAAACTTTCGGGTTCCTGGGAGCGGGGCACCGAGCCCGGGGCGGGCAACCCCGCTGGAGCGACCCGCTGTGGCTCGCCGTGGCTGAACTGTCCAGGGGATCTTCGTAGGGCAGTCTTGGCATCCTTTTACGCCCCGTTGGCGCTAAAACGTTAAGGTTTCGGGGAGAATGGATGATCTTTCGCTTTTTGGACATCATCTCAACCTCAATGCTCGTCTGCCATGTGACCTCATGGAGCTACGATTCTATGTATAGCTTGAAACCTAGGTGCTGTGCCTCGAAGAGCATCGAAATTGGACGATTGGCTGCGGGATGGGATTTTCATTGTGCTGACCACTTTCGCGGCCGATGAAACGGGATTCCAGTGACCAGGAGTGCATTGACTGTTTCGACTCTGCGGTTCCCCTGCACCATCCATGGGATCCTTCCAACTCGAGGACTTGGCAGGGAGCATCAAGTTGACAGCTAGCCCTGTATGAATTGACATTTCAGAACTCTCGAAGCACTCTCTGATCCCATTGGGCGTTGGACATCATGCATACGCACAAAGCGATCGCTGCACAGCCTCCTCGCAGACATCCCGCACGCTGTCAGTCTTGGACGACCAAACTATCTTGCAACCCGAAGTCATGATGGTCACTCCCAATCTTCTCTGAACTTGCTCTATCCTCGTACTCCAGGTGTAGTCCACTAGTCTCTCTCTCCTTACAATGGACTATCACGCAGACCAGGTCCCCATCGTCCAGCAGGCCAACCGCGTGTGGTGCGTCTACCCCATCAGCGGCTGCTACACCTCGCTCCAGCGGCACCTCTTCTGGGTCGTCTGCGCCTTCGTCCTCTTCGGCCACGCCCACGAGTGGCTCACCCGGGCCGCCATCGGCTTCGCAGCCAGCTACTCGGCGGCCGCGGCCGCGCACCAGGTGCTGCTCGCCTTCCAGGCCGGCCCGCAGCACGACGCCGACATCTTCGCGACGGACCAGGTCACGCAGACGTCGATGCTCATGCTCGTCGCCGTGGCGCTCTTCTGCCCGGGCCTCGTGCGGCGCACGCCGCTGGTCATGGTCATGGGCTGGGTCGGGCTCGTGTTCGCGGCGCACCTGGCCGGGGCGCTCGTCTCGGCCCGGCTCTGGGACGGCGTGTCGCGGTCGCTCGTGCTGTCCGCCTGCCGCGGGGACGGGCCGTGCGACGACCCGTGCGGCCGGATGCAGGCCAGCACGTTCTTCCGCGGCTACGGCGGCGACGCGATGGTCCCGCTGCGGTGGGACACGGTCAACGTCACGTACGCGGCGCCGTCGCTGCCGCCGGCGCCATCGCTGGACGACACTGTCGTGGTTATGCCTGAGAAGGGCCCAGGGTGGGAGGTCGTGAGATTCATGGTCAAGCAGGCGCTCAAGGTCGCGCTGCCCATGGCCGTGGCCAAGGTCAACGCCGTGCACTCCCCGCAGGAGGTGAGGGACAAAGTATTCCTACGGTCTCTGTCACGCAGACAGCTGAGGCCGCATCTCCTCCGGGCCGGGTGGAAGGCGTGGACGCTGTGGACGTTTGTCTGGGCGCGGCAGGCCTGCTGGCTCCTGTGCACGCTCGTGCCTGCGTTTGCCATGATCGACCTGCCCTTTCGAGTGGTCTGCTTCTTCCTATTCCACGCCTTCGGGTTCCGCATCCCCGAAGTCGACGACGTGACCTACCTCGAGCCCTGCATCACTTGGCCGCGCTACCAAGCTGGTAGGTACGCGGGCACGGCGTGGTACGCCCTGGCCAAGATAGGCTACCTCACCTGGTTCCCCGTGCTCCTGCCGCAGATCATACAGGCGGAGACCTTCCTGCGGACGCTGCCCGAGTCCGAGTCCGTCCGCGCGGTCGGGCAGTGGTCGCCCTGGCTGGCCGTCACGCTGGCGCTGGTGGCCGCCATCCTGGAGCGCATGACCGAGGCGCGGTCGCGTCCGCCGCCGCCGCCGGACGGAGGAGGAGGCGACGGGCAGGCCCGCACGGACTGGCTGGACGCGGCCTACGTCCGGCGCGCGTGCGAGGACGCGGCCTCGCGGGCGGGGCGCGAGCTCGCGGAGGCGAAGGGGTGGTGGCGCCGGCCCGAGGACGCGCTGGAGGCGTGGATGCGGGCGAGCCTCGCGCACGACGTGTCGGAGGAGATGTTGCCGCGGACGATGCTCTCGGCGCTGGGGCAGGTCGGCGAGCTCAAGAGGGGCCGGGCGGCGATCCTGCCGCTGACGAGGGTCCGGGGCCGGCGGAGCTGGGCCGTCGTGGTGCGGGGGCTGCACAGCGCGGTGCGGAGGGCGGAGAGCTGGGGGAGGACGACGGATGCAGGGGGTGGTGAGAGCGGGAGCGGGAGCGGGAGCAGCGGGAAGAGTGCGAAGCAGGATTGAACTCGGGGGAAGTGGACAGAGCCATTTCTCGAGAAACGAAATACACCCTGCAGTCAATCCAGATAATAGATTTTATGCGCACTGTGCATTCGAACGTAAAAAAAGATCTTTGTGTAATGTGGCGGCCGCTAATAAGAAGGAAATGCGCAATCATGGGGGAATCTGTCGCCATCGCATCCATGTAAGTCGGCACCGCCCTGGATTGGTCGCCGCGCCGACGTGACACCAACAGCCACAACGACATGTCCACCTCAGATCTCTATCTCTACATCTGACTCTTTCGCTCTCTCGTTCTCTCTCGTCCTCTCTTCATTCCTTCCCCTCGACTCCATCACAAATACGCCTCCCACAGCTTGAATGCAGCATATCCCGCCGCGCCCGTCGTCGCAAAGATGCCCAGCCAGACCAGCGCCGTCTTGGTCATGATGTCCTTGGCCGTCTGCTCGACCGCCGCGGCGTCGTTGGCCCTGGGGAAGGGCTCGTCCGGCACCGGCTTGTCCAGGAACTCGCACAGCGGCTCCCACCCGTCCTTGAGCTCCATGAGGAGGAACTTCTCTGGCGGCACGAAGCTGGCGACCCACCTGTTGTGGACGGCCAACAGGTCCTTCCCGATATCTAAGGGGGTTTGTTACGGTCAGTCACTCACGAGAGGTTCGATGCAATAACCTGCGGGAAGGATATCCGGGCCGGGAGACCTACTCTGCGGATCTGTTACGCCCTCTACTTCCGTCGTCAGGATCTCTTCACCTCTGTTCGACGTTGAGAAACACTACGCGTCAGTCTCTGCCTCATCCTTGCGCATTGACACCACTGTGCGAACGTCCAGAAAGGGGGAGAGAAGAGAGACGGACCTGTACGTGAACCACTCGACCATCTTGGGGAAGTGGCGCCAGCCGGGCACGGGCGCGAGGTAGTACTTGAGCCACCTGGGCGTCGTGTTCTTGATGATGAGCTCGATGCTCTTCCACCACCTGTCGGCGTCGCGGTGCACGGCGACGACCTTGGCGTCCGGGTACAGCTCGACGAGCTCCTCGATGAAGTTGTTGCCCGGCAGGTCGCAGATGCCGACGAAGCCCCGCGTCGCCTCGCGCAGCGCCTTGAGCTTCCTGGGCCTGTCCCCCGCGGCGTGCGCCTCGTACACCTCCAGCCACTTCTTGCAGTACGCTGTGCAGCGCAGTGGTCAGTGTCAAACGTCGGGCCAGGGGGCTTGGGCTTGGGTAGGCAGGGTGTTGGGGGGCGGTACCGTCTTCGCGGCCGAGCAGCGCCGTGCCGCCGTGCATCACGGGCCCGTCCAGGAGCTTCTCCAGGGCCATCTGCATCGACACCGTTCCGGTGCGGGAGTACCCTGCGCCGATGACCTGGATGGTCCGGCTGGGGTCCGTCGGGACTGAGGGTACGCCGCCCATGATTGCTTCTCGGTGGCGGCACTGGCTCTTTCTTGCAGGTCGTGTATATTTGTTTCGCTCGCAGGTGCCAAAAGAGCACTATGCCTGCGTTACGAATGCGTATCACTGGCGAAAAGGGACAACCACAAGGAAGACAGCCGCGAAGTCACCCCCCCTCGACTCAATTCGCTACTGCGCCGCGCCACGACCACCCCTCTCCTTATGAACATTCAGAGCCCTTTTTCTGCACCTGTGCTGTGCTGTGCTGGGGTGCATCCTAGCGTCGCATCGCTCCACCACGGCAAACTGCGGAATCCCCAAGCACCGGCGCGACTCGCTGCCCTACAAGGCTCAGACTAGGTACCTTTAGTTATCTGTGAGAAACAGGAACAAGCGATGGAATTAGTGCTCTCGCCATGCCTCACTAATGTTTGTTAATAAACGCCCTGCGGAGTACGTTAGACAGGGCGGTCTGGCCTAGCGTCATGTAAGCTTGTCGCATACTTTACGAGATCTGGGTCCCGAGACGCCAAGATAACCTTGAGCCGTTGGTCTCCCACTGGCCACTGGGGAATAACTAGTACAAGGGGACCGGACCCGCGAAACGGAAGCTGACCTTCCCGAAGCGGCGTCATCTTTTAGGCATCTTGGAAGGGGGTGCTTCGGGCTAATAGAGGCCGCCGAGCTTGCTGGCACCTGGGTGCTTGGTGGAGAAGAGAGAACACGAACTGGATCTGCATTTTTCGACATAACTACCAAGCTTGGTTATTCGCTGCGATGTCGATCCCGTGTCCTTGGTTGGGCCGAGTCACTGAAAGGGCTCCTCGACAAAGCAGACAAAAGCATTGTTCATTGTCCTGCTTTCCTTAAAGTTCGGGACATGGAATCTACAACCTGAAGTACACGATGACCACCTAAAGAGGGCGGCAAGTGGGTGTCCCGGTATTACCCAGGCGCAGCGGCTCTCACCCTAATATCGCCAAAATTTCCCATTCCAAGGATGCAGTCAGGGACTGCTCCTCCTCGTCTAACCGCATTCTGCACAATGACGCGCTTGGCAGGTGAGTCGGCGGCCGTCATGATGCGAGGGTTCCGCGTCGCGAATACTCTTTCTTCCACAGATACGTAGGATCTCGAAAATCTGAAAGTATAATCTCGTCATGCTGTCCAGAGAAGGAAAGGTCCTCTCTTGATGGCACAGTAGTCACCGTGCTGTACTGAAAGCCTTGATATGAGTGTCACCGCCCTGACAGCCAAACTTACAGCCCAGTACAGTCCACATATCTACAACGAGGCACCCAACAAGACGCCAAATTGGCAATGCAAATATGAAGGCAATGTAGGTCAGAAATCAACCTTCTTCATTGCTCTAATGCATAGTCTCTTTTCGTGGTATCAGCCCTGCAACCTCCCATCTAGATATCCCATCCCGTCCCATCCCATCCCACAAATGCACCCCGGATCTGACTGACCCTTCACGCCTCAAACACGAGCACCACGCCATCATCACCAGCCGTGACGATCCGCTCCCCAGTCTCCCCCTGCACGAAGCCCAGCACGCCCCCGCCCTCCCCGTCGCCCCGGTGCCCCTTCCACTCCTTGACCAGGCCCGCCGCCGCCGCGCCCGAGATGTTCTGCGCCGGCGTCGCGCCCCGCAGGTCCCACCGGCGCACCACGCCGTCCATGCCGCAGCTCGTGAGCAGCCACTGGCCGCCCGCCGAGCCGGCCGACCGCACCCACTCCACTTTCACGACCGAGAAGTCGTCGTGCGCGCCCGCGATGTTGCGCCGCAGCGCAAAGGAGCGCGACGTGTCGTAGACGGCGACGCTGCCGTCGACGGACCCGGCGGCCAGCAGGGTCTGCGGCGCGGGCGCAAAGGCCAGCGTCTCGATGCTGTCGGACTGCACCTGCAGCGCCGCGAGGATGGCGCCCGCCTGCGCCGCGGGCTCGGCGGCGGAGCGGGCCTTGCCGCCCTTGGGCTGCTGGGCGCCGCCGCCGGCGTCGGCCAGCCTGGGCATGCCGACGACGCGGATGGCGCCGCCGGCGCCCCCGCAGGCGAGCACGCCGCCGCTGGGCGAGACGGCGACCGAGTAGAGGCCGCCCTCGACCTCGAAGCGCTGGTCGGCGCCCGTGAGCGAGACGCACGTCTGGCCGTTGTCGCCGACGAGGCCCTTGCCCGCGGCGAGCCCCCACACGTCCCACACGTACAGGCTGCTGTCCTCGGACACGGTGGCCAGCAGGTTGCCGTCGGGCGTCCACGTGCCGGCCGTGACGGGCCCCGTGTGCAAAAAGTACGACTGCACGATCTGCAGCGGGTTGGCCTTGTCCGAGGGGTCGACGGTGTAGACCCAGACGGAGCCGTCCGAGGCGCCGAGGGCGACGGTGTTGGGGTACTGCGGCGACGGGCAGGGCGCGACCCAGTTGATCTCGGGGACCTCTTGCGACTCGGCGAGGAACTTGAACTGGGGCTGCGCGCCGGGCGCCACCCTGACGGCGTAGGCGCGCAGGCGGCCGTCGAGGCCGCCCGAGACGAGGAAGTCGCCGTTGGGCAGCGTGAAGGCGAGCGTGTTGATCGAGTCTGTGTGGCCGTCGATGCTGAAGAGCGGCTGCAGCTGCGTGCCCTCCGCCCTCGCGCTCGGGTCGCTGCTGAAGCTGGGCGGCAGGACCGGTCTTGACTCGGCGGCCGAGGCGTCGAATATGTAGCCCTTGCCGGGCGCGTCGTCGTCGTCGCCCTCGCTGCCGCCGGTCGCGATGAGGGACGGGTATTTGGGGTGTTGGGCGATGCAGAAGACCGAGTCCTTGTGCGCGTCAAAGTAGGCGATCGAGTCGTTCTCGAGGGCGATCTCCTCCTGCTGGTCGTCGTCGTCGCTGTCCATGGCGACGTCGTCGTCGTCTCCCTGCTCAACCTCCTCGAGGGCCTCGTCGGCGTCGAGCATGTCGGGCTCGTCGCCCTCGGGGTCGTCTTGTGGGTGGGGGTTGTGTGAGGACGACATTGCGTCTGTGTTGTAGGGTTTGGACACTGTAAATCTCCAAGGAAAGTATGCGCAGCCGATGAGGGCACTCTTGCCGAGCTTGAGAAGGCAAGCAGCGTGAATGGATGTGAAATGTTCGCTTATAAAGGCGGCGGATTGGTAAGTTTGCGATGTCGAAAAATGATGCAGTAAATTTATTTTGCTTGATAAGCATGCGGCAAAGTGCTATCGGACAACAGATGGCGGGGCTGCGGGCATGAATTGCCCCTCAAAGGTGCCAAAAGAACGGTGGTCGGCAGCTACAAGCTCCGCTATCGAGGCGCTAGCACCAGCTGGAGATGAATACCTAGGTAGTGGATGGTCTTCCTCCAGCATCATCTCTCCTCTCATCTCCGAGGGAGGCCCTATTGTGCGTCGTCGGTTCTTCTCATGCTGGGACCTAGACATTGATAGTTGCAGGTTTATTGCTAGGACCTGAGCTGCACCGATTCTTTTGGCATCAGTCTCGCGCTATGTTTTGCCTGATACCACACTGCTGGCTGGCTTCTGACGGGGCTGACACCTCGATCCGACTCTTGATGTATGGAGGATGTTCGAGGGCATAATACATGTATGCAATTGCGCCTTGAGTTTCTTTGCATCCAGCAACTTCCTCGCTCCAGCGTTAGGACGACTTGAGCCTCAAAATATGGCTTGTCTGATGAAGCCCTCGTATTCAGAGTCGTGTTCAAAAAAAAACCTGGTGAACGGCATCTACGCCTGCGAAGGAATGATAGCAGGCGCCGCAACAAGTCCAAATCCCTCCTCCATCTTGAGGTGTTAACTGATGAATCCCAGTGACGGACTTGTAGAAGCAAGTCCACCCTTCTCTACTTAGTAGTCAGAGTTGCCACATCATATGCCATAGCCTAGTTACTACTGGATACGACCTCATGTTGCATTGAGCTCCAAGCCTCCAAGAATTCCTTGTAATTTACCACCAGTAGGGGTAGGAGGAGGCACTCGAGGCACTGTAAGCCATGAAAATTGATCCTAGGAAATAGGCTACTTCGTTCTAAAATTCCGATCTCGCGCAGCACGGTTTCTGATCATGAAAGAAATCCAGGTTGGAACATCGTTTTGGCCCGGCTGATTCCTTGGAGAAGGCATGATGGGCTTGTCAATGGAAAGGCATGCCTGTTGCGGATCTTTCCGCAGAATGGCTTCATTCTGGAGGAGAAATCCATAAGTATTCACATCACATCGAACACACTAGTCAACCAAGTAAGCAGTCCAATAATAACATATTGCTGACTGATGTAGCTGGAGCAAAGGGAGAAGACTTGAACAGGGCTTTGAGCCTGCAAGCCAGATGCAGCCAAGGTTACACTGTCGGGGCTGTGTGCTGTGAGTGTCAGTCGGCTTTCCATAGGGACGATAGATGTACGATTTGCGATCTTGCCGCCAGCTGAGTCTCTCTACGGAAGAAATGCTCCAGTCAAAGGTCCGTGTCAATGCTGTGGCAATCACGCCATTGGTTCAAGGAGCAAGTCCACGAGCAGGGCGGCCGTCTGATTGAGTTCTCATGTCAGTCCCCTGCATGAAAGCTTCCAGCCCTGGGTTCGTACCAGGTGTACAGTCAGCTCTCTTGAACCTCTCTGGTCACTCACCCCCAGGCAGCTTCTGGTTGCACGATCCACAGTCCGGACGACAGAAAGACCCAACACCAGTGGATTTGCAACCATACATGGTCTCCAAAGGATGCTACGCCCTCTGGCTGAGTAAGAAGCCGTGGCCAATGGCCCCCAACTCATATGTTTTCATGACACAGCTCTCGGTTCTCATAGACTACACACCCGCTTGCCCAGAACTCGGCTACCACATGGCCACCGCCCGAATGACGACAACACATCTCGAGATTGGCCCTCGTACGAAAGAAGGGTGTCATTGATTGTCTACCTGCTCCAATGTGACATTCGTATTTGCAGATTGAAAGGGGAAAGGCGTGCAAATGATTGCGATTGTGTAATAAGATCACAACTCCGGGCCAAAGGACTGCTGGGTCTGGATATATATAAAGATCGAGGCGGCTCGTCTATCAAGATGAACAATAGGAGACCACTCTCGTCACCACCTAAATCAGCCACCCGGAGCCTGCCCCCAAGCAGACCGAAACCAGACGCAACCTCTCATATCCCACCATGGTTCTCGCATCCTTCCTCGGCGTCGCCGCCACGGTCCTCTCCGTCCTGGCCGCCACGGTCAGGGCGGACCCCCCCGCCTGGAAGAACCCGGGCACCTACCCGGCCAACACGGACGACCACAACATCGAGCACCTGGGCACCATCCAGCAGGTGGACAACGTCGTCTACAAGGGCGGCTCGGCCATCAAGGTCACGCAGACCTACGACCCGTCCTGGACGCAGCGGTACCACTCCGAGGTCGTCCGCAACTACGGCTACAGGCGCGGCGACACGGCCTTTTACGGCTTCGCCTTCCGCCTCTCGCAGGACTGGCAGTTCTCCCCGGCCCAGGGCTACAACATCGCGCAGTGGATCGCCGACTTCAGCGGCTCCGGCTGCGACGACTGGATGCCCTCGTCCATGATCTGGCTGCGCGGCAACCAGCTCTACAGCCGCGTCAAGTACGGCACCATCTGCGACCAGCACACGACCGAGTACCCGGCCCTCGCCACCGTCACGGCCGGCGAGTTCCACCGCGTCGAGGTCCAGGCCAAGTGGACGAGCGACAGCACGGGCTTCTACAAGATCTGGTTCGACGGCGCCAAGGTCCTCGAGAAGTACAACATCGCCACGACCATCGCCGACGACCGCACCTTCAGCTTCCGCGTCGGCCTGTACGCCAACGGCTGGCACGACGACAAGGGCATGAAGGGCACCCAGCCCTTCCGGCAGATCTGGTACGACAACCTCGCCATCGGGTCTACCTTTGCCGACGCCGACCCTGCTCAATGGGGAGACTGAGGTGGACAGGTTGTTTGAGTTCCACGGGGGGTCGTGGACTCGGGGTCATGTCGAGGACTGAGAAACATGAAGCTCAGATTAGATCTGTTCCCTTTGCATCGATGTCACTCATTCAACTCCAAACTGACCTTTCCCTTCTTCCACTCCTTTAATCATACGCTCTGGCCAAAGCACAAGTCTCCCAAAAGCATAAGCATACCTGTTACGACTTACAAAGCACCCTCACATATCAATAAATACTCGTTCCCAAGACTGATATGAGTGCACCACGAAAAGATTGTAAAGCAACCCGGGTTTGATTTGAGACTCTCAGCACAGGCGTCTGTTGAAGATTCCAGTGACTGATGCACAAAAACTAAAAACAAAAAGACACACACTCTGTAGATCGACCACTCTCGATGAAGGACGAGCCAGCGCCCTGCCCGAGAACAGTCCCCCATCTCCTCCTCTGCCCCCTTTAAGCAGAAACCTTGGCCTGAGCAGAAGCGCCAGCAAGTCTGCGGAAGCCGCCGTCGGCAGCGACCTCCTTCTGCAGCTGCACCATGCGCTTCTGGTCGCCCACGGGGTCCGCGGCGTCGGCCTCGAGCGCCCACTCGAGGAACTCGTTGGTGTAGTTGGGCTCGAACCCCTCGCCCAGCACGCCGAGGCGCTTGCCGTACCGCGTGACCTTGTCCCAGTCGCGGCGCACGTTCTTGAGGTCCTTGCTGAAGTAGGCGAAGCTGCGCTCAAACATCTTGCGGTTCAGCTCCGTCGCCAGCACGGGCTTGGCGTCGACGAACTCGGCCCACGCCGCGGCCGGCTCGGCGAGCACAAAGTCGGTGGCCCGCTTGACGGCGCGCATGAAGGCGCGTACCTTGTCCGGGTTCTGCCGCACAAAGGCGTCGTTGCCGATGTACAGGATGGTGCAGAAGCAGCAGCAGCCGAGCTCGGCGAGCTCGTCGATGCGTAGCATCTGCACGTCGGATCGGGGCCGGCCCTGCGCCGCGAGCCACTCCTCGAGCTCGACCATCTGCACGTTCTCGAGGCCGATGCCGGCGTCGATGTCGCCGTTGATGATGGCCTTGGACACGTTCATGCCGCAGCGCACGGCAGTGTAGTCGCCCGGCTGCATGCCGTAGTGCGACGTCAGCTCGTCAATCTGGATCTTGCCGAACTCGCCGACGTAGCCGATGCGCTTGCCCTTGAGCGAGCGGAAGTCGGTCGTGATGCCGCTGTCCTTGAGGTAGACGACGCCCGTGAAGGGCTCGTCGAGCAGGCTGCCGATCGAGGTGACCGGGAAACCGCGGGCCTTGGCGGCGAGGGTGTGGATCATGGCCTTGAAGCCGAGGTCGACCTTGCCGGAGCCGATGACCTCAGTGACATCCTGGGATCCCCGAGTCAGCAGTGGGTTCGCAGAGGACAACCAGAGGTTGGGGACGCACGCTAGGGTCGTTAGGCTCGAGGAGAGCAACCTTGATGCCCTCATCCTTGAAGTATCCCTTGGCCTGGGCCAGGTAGAGGGGTGCGTGGTAGGCGGTGGCATGCCTGCGGTATGTTAGAGCCCAAATCTAGAAGACGATGACATTCGTGGCCATGCCTACCAGTTGGTAAGGAAGGTGATCTTGTCAGTCGACATCTTGGCGGCGGACCGAAGCAACGAGTGCTACCAATCGGTCAGCACACAATTGGCCCGTGCCGTTGCTACATAGTTAGGGCACAGAGGGGAGGGGGTGGGATATGTCAAGAAGCATGGTCCTTTCGCTGGTATTATCCAGATCAAGTTGTGCCGGTATTTCTCAGATCGAGCCGCTGCGCTGGCGTGGTATCCTTGCTGCCTCCATCATGCTCTTGAGCAGGTGAAGCTCATCAAGCAGATTGAAGGCAAAGCAGGAGTCACACGGCCCAGCGGAAACGGCCGAACACCCGGTTGCTATCTTGTAAATAACGTTACCTTGATCAACAGATTTCTCCGCTGCGAAAAGCGCCATGGCTCTCTTGTCGGTGAGCATCGTACCAGGCTTAATGAGGGTTGTTGATGGGTTCTGTTGGAAGTGCTTTCTTGGTGAGAGAAGAGAAGTCAAGTGTAGAGGCGAACAGAGAAAAAGACGCAGAAGAGGGGCAGCTGGGATGATATGATGTAGTGAAAATTGAAGGAACGCGTCTCGGTGGCTCCCGGGCCGGTCCGGCCGGTCTCGGACCAGAGATGGCAGCTGGCGGCCAACCGGAAGGGCTCGATATGACCGATCCGTGGGGCACTCAACATGCTCGAGTTGCATTGGCGCGCCGGAATTTGCAGGATCTTAAACATCAGATCATGTGCAGCTCCAAATCGGCAGGAGAATGTGGATGTACAGTCCGCTTGAGTAACCAACAGTTGCAATGCTGCACTTATCAAGTTTTACATAGCAAATACTCGACGAAAACAGTCCGTATAGGTAACTAGGAATAGCCTTGCGTAGAAGCAATCTAGAGTTCAACTACCCGAAAGGTTATTCAACTTGTATAGTATGGAACTGTATTGTGCATGTAGCTAAGGTGGTATGCACTGCGGTGCTTGACTAGCTAAAATACTTAAGCCCGTCAGGGCGCACTTATCAATTTGAGCCGCGGTCCCATGCCCGACAGCCCTCCAATCAGGGACCGTCCCGGACGATCCAGTCCCGTCCACAGGCACGAAGAGGAGTTGTCTGCTACAATTGTGGCGTGCCAGGGCATGTCGTCAGGGATTGTGGACTTCCCCAGAAACCTTGGGCCGACCGGGAGCGCATCCGGCCCAGCATCGAGGCTGGAGTCCCGATCCCAACTGATCTAGACCAGGCGAAGGTGGTCAAGATCAAGGACGATGCACGGGAAACAAACACGCCCCCAAGCAAGCCGGTGAACTCAGTTCGGCTGATCCAGCTGAAGGATTCGGACTCAGACTCTGGGGACAAATGTGGAGTGTCCGTGATGGTCGAGAACACGTCCGCCTCTGAGGTGCCAGTGATGGCAGCCAGCGATGCAAACCCTAATATTTGTGGCTTTGTCAGTATTTAAGCATCGAGCCTATTCATCTCGACTATAGGTTGAGCTTATCGTAGTGCGTGCTCTAATGTAAATAATAGCCCGAAACGATACTTCTCGCTAACATTTCTAATCAGAAGAATCGCACAGCCTTGGTTGGAATCTGTAGCTTTTTCAAAGACTCCAAGTTTAAGCAATGGAACGGGCATGGTCTGCAATGGCAGTGCCGCCTTGTCAGCGTGAATCAAATTATTATTTTCATTGCCATACCTCTGACGGCGCTCGCGGAAGCAGTTGACACGCTGGATATGCTGGTCACGAGAGAATGTGCCATGTCAAGAGAGCAGTGCGACAACCTGGATGAGCTCGATGATTCTACGAGGGTCTTGGTAGTTGGACACCGTATTTCGCCGTTTATAGTTGCGTAGGTTGACCCGAAACGCCCTTGTACTGCGTTCAAAAGGACTGATGTTCAGATAGTGGGATCTCTCTCGTGTTAGCGATATCGGACTGAATCCAATGTCATCTAGCAAGAAAGCCAGGGCCAGCTGCGGCGCGCCTTGCTCAGCGGCCGTCGTCTGCAACTTGAGGTGTGGACCTTTCTCAGGGACAATGACTGGTAAAAGTTGTACTAGTACTGTCTCTAGAGTAGAGAGACCTTATATTCTTGCAATAACTAGGTGCATTCCAACATCCATGTCGTTGATCTGTCGTTCATAATGAGGGGAGAGTAATCAGAAAGCAGCTAGGTAGTCTGAGAAGGATCATATGCATACCAGCAAAAGCAACCAAATGTAATACTCGGTAGGCAGTGATCTTTATCAATATATTGCTCAGAAATTCTCCCTAGGTAAGTTTCGTATCAAGTCGCCATCTCCTGCTCAGTTGGGTACAACCATAATATCATGAAACCAGGATGCTGTACACATAGCGATTCAAGGCGAGATGCGGCGCGTGATCCCGCTAGAATCAATCACTGAAGCCCTCCAGCGTCACCGAGGTTCCTAACCTGTGGTTTATGACAGAGTCTTCTTGTCAAAGAACCTCAACATGAGCGGCGTAAAGTCAAACGGCCCGACCTTGCCATCATTGTCCCCGTTCTTGACGGTAGCAGGCCATACATGGCCCAGATTGTTGTCGACGATCAACGTCACGAGCCCGCCGCCGTACTTGAAGACGCTGGTGGTTGGGGTCAACTCGCTCTTCTCGGGGCTCGTGGAGAGACGGTCCCGCGCCGCCCACTGATCGGCCCAGTGCGGGATACGAGGGAGACAGCGATTCCTCTTCGACGCGCCGTCAAAAGGGATCGTCGTGTCCTTCTTGCCGTGGAACGCAAAAATGGGGACGTTATCCCTGCCGGGTGAGCAGAAGGGGTTGAGGTCGAACTCGAAAGGTGGCTCGCAGTCGTCCACAGCCGTGTAGTAGGCGCCGCTGACGGGCGAGAATGCGGCAACTCTTTTCGAAACCCCCGAGTCGCAGGCAAGCTTGTTGACCAGGCCTCCGCCCTGAGACTTCCCCTCTGCGTAGAGCCGATTCATATCGAGGCAGTACGTATCCTCAAGCGAGTCCAGGACACTGTTGACGAATCCAATATCATCGGCCGTGATGTCTGGATCGACGGACCAGTACAGCTATTCTTCCAGTCAATATGTGGGGGTCCTCGTTCAGAAAGAGGTGGCAAGCCGACCTTGTCACAGGTGTTCTTCTGTTCGCATCCCGCTTTGCTGCTCCCCGCGGGATAGACGTAAAAAATGTCGTCAATGTCCATGGACAGGTCCGGATAGTCGCTTTTGACTTGCAGCGTGAGCTGGTCGACCGTGATGTGGTTCTCTGGGCTGCCGCCGCCGCCGTGAAATGCTAGAATGAGCGGCGACGGCGTGTCTTTGTTGTAGTCGTCAGGGACATTGACCAGAAAACGTCTCCCTCCGACAGTAGCGTTATATCGTCCTCCGTTCTGCTGCCCGTCCGGAAGGTTCCGTCCGCATCCGGCAGACTTTTGGCCAGCGGCGCATACCACCAGAGCAGCCGAGACGGCGAGGGTGCGGAGTAGCCCTAACATGTTGTGAAAATCCCTCGTCGCTGGATCAAGGTGAAGTCGGCTGTTGGTGACAAGGTGACAAAGTCGGCAATGACGAGGGTCTCGGGATGGTAGTTATAATCTGAGAGACACATGGCGGCTTAGTGAAGACAGGCTCGGATCCGGAGTTTACATCAGACTCGAGGTCAATCACGACCCAGTACGCGGCCAATGCAACGCCTTGGCAGGCTGCCGAAACCCCGTCACATTGCGCGTCTCGTCAGCACCCGTTCACGTGTTCCACATGGACCGGAATTTGGTGCATCTCAGAGTCCAAAATAGCCATTGTGTGGAGTCAGGTCAGAATGGTTCTGTCGATCAGTGATTACCGTGCCGCGAACATTCCGTGCTTATGGTAGGCTGGGTCGTTCCAAGGTCGACTCAACGGACAAATATACGAGCTAGCTATCTTGTGACGAGATCATGACATGAAATTGTGTATCAATAAAGAGAACGTCTTGTTGTTCATCCCTACAAGAACTTTAGCACATACTGTATTAAGTCGCTTCGGGGTGTTATTTTCGTGAGTCATTCCCAACGTAATTATGATCTGGAAAGAGCCATTTACAAAGATCGTGATAATTGTAAACCCAACAAGTTTTATATTTGAAAACAAAATCAAGCTAAATTCTAAGTGTGAATGAAGAGTCAGGCGTCGGTTCTTATCTAGTTGAGAGTTGCTGCAAGTCAACATTGAACATCCTGGACATCCGCTTCATAGTAAACTCCACCACCTTTTGAATGACGCTGGATTGAAAAATGATGGGTTGAAAAAAGACTTCAGTGCGCGAGTCGAGCTACTTGCGTAATCGCCAGATTGTTCCTCCTTTTTTTCTTGAAGAGTTCTCGGCCTTCTCCACCGACTCCTTCAACGCGTTATAAACATCTGGAGATGCCCAAGCCCTCAAGGAATCCAAAATCACCCTCCTAGCTGGCAGGCTTTGTCCTCTAGCTGTTTTGATTTCAGCGGAGAGATCTGCACCCTTTTCTATCAATAACAGGATGACCTCTGCCCGGGCGTCGGCCACGCGCTGCGACTCTGCCCATGCTCCAGTGATTGATCTGGCATTGTCATCCACGAATGTCTCCCATTGCCAGATCAAAGCATCCTCACAACAAGTGTTCACAAATTTCTGGTTCGGACTGCCGCCATGTTCCAACAAAATTTCGACCATGGCTTGCGTGATAAGGCCATACGGTGCGACTGGTAGAGGGCACAACGCGTAGCTCAGCAGTGGCCGTCCTCGCTTTCTCTGGGAGATTTTGCTTCCCTGGTCGAGAGCCTTCTTGACGTAATTATTCAGTCCAAACTGAATAGTAAGCGAAAGAAATGAGTCATTCCAGAACCGGTCATGAGAGCACTTGGGATCAAAGTGAAAGTTTGACCAGTGCATTTTGGCTACCCGCCTTGCGTCTAGCCCTCGATCGCGGAGTGCTACGAGCCCGTGGGGATCTTGTAGTCTTGATTCCAGAAATTTCCCGTCCGGCCCTCTCTGCAGAGCAATATGATGGTGCTCCATTGTACGGTCCAACTCTGAAAGTAGCCTCGTATAGGTTTCCTTTTTGGCCTCGTCGCTCTGGTCGATCTGCTTAGCTGCCAGAAGCCCCTGTGTCGCCAGATTCCATAGGCATCTCGCTGGCTCCTTTGGTAGTGGACTGGGAAGAACTTTCAAGTGCTGCACGACCGACTTCAAGTGGGCTATCCTGGGAGTGAAATCATACTCCAGGCCTTTCGTAGCATCGAGAAGGAGCCTTCGGGTCTCTTCTTGCGCAAGAAACTCGGGCACAGACCGGTGGCAATACTGGATACGTGATGCCGCATTCCATCCCTTGTGACCCGCAGTTTGATCAACATTGATAAACCCCGGCCATTTCTTCGTGAACGAACTGGCGATCTGGTCGCACTTGATTTGGAACTGTCCAAGATTCCACGGCCTAATACTTGCTTCAATTGTCGTATTGGGATCACCCACAGCCAGCGCAAGGTCGATGAGGGTCATCGAGTCTTTGAAATTTGGTCCACCATATCTCTGGTCAGTTCCAACCAGTAAGATTTGCAAGATCTGAGACGCATAAGACTTTGTGAACCTGTCCAGCGTTGACCAGATAACGCGATACCATTCTTGGGAAGCTGGTCCGAGAAGGTTGTATTCGGTTTCCCACGGCTCACCACCTGCTTCAAGTTTCTGCGTTATAATCTGGACGGCAAGTTTGGCCCTTAGAAAACTTCCATCCGATCCTCTAGCAATGTACCTAAGAACCTCTTCTGACCTCTCGGGGTTCAACTCCCTTATCGCTCGATAGTTTTCATCTCTTTCAAGAGCCTCTCGGGCATATAGTTCAATGTCGTTATGGTTCAGTTGGTGCAGAATCAAGCTTGCCTCCGCCTTCAGCTGCTTAAGATCTTCCAGGGGCCGACTTGAGAGGAGAGCTTTCGTGTTCTTCGACGCTGCAAGCTCGACAGATAAAAACTTGATGAAATCAGGAAATCTCTCTATGTCAGATACCGAATCATATTCATCTATGCCATCGATGAGAAAGAACAATTTGAGCGGTATTTGGTCTTGTCGGATAAGTTGTTGAAAAGCGCGTCTGAGTCCTTCTATCTTCCACGGTCCGAAGCCTGGGTCTGATGAGTCATTCCCGCTCGACATCGATGAATATAACGTGGTCCATTCCGATGGAAAGATAATAGGTGCCAACCTGGTATCCTGGAGCAAGACGCTGTAGAGCAGAGAACGCAGCAGTCCCTCCTCAGCCCTCTCTAGTTCAGTTCCATGGCACCAAAAGAAAAACGGCGCAGTCAATAACTTGTCGGTTCCGGCCCACTGCTTGAGGCACTGCCGTGTTCGCTCGTGTCTCAAGATGTACTTCATGATTGTTGACTTGCCCGATGCTTCATTCCCTAAGAGTAGAAAGATCCCTGATCCGCATGTGAGCCACTCGGAGAGACTTGCGTGTGTCTCATGCCCGGTGGGGTACTGAAAAGCCCACTCGCATGACGAGCTGTAGGGGTCTGCAATCATGTCTCTTCTGTCCGAGATAACTCTGTACTGGAGCAACCCGAGGATTGTATCATCAACTCCTCTCCATAAATCTACCTCTGCGATTTGCGACCCAGTCACTGCCAGGAGAACTTGAGGCTCTTCTAGTACGGAGGCCCTCGAACCAGTGATGAAGCGCATGACCGCTTTGTAGTAGCGCAGGAGCTCTTCGTCATCGTGGCTGTCACGGAAGCGCTTGAGCAATGCAAGTACTGATGCTTTCTCATGAGGTTCGAGTCTTTGAAAATCTGGAGAGCTCTTGATCGTATCTCCAAGGCTCTCCCGTTGAGCAGATATCTGATTTTTGCTGCGCTTGGTGAGTACTCGAGCTAGTACGCACGATGATGGCAAGCCGAGTGACTTACACTATTCTATCCTGAATTTCACGCAGACTAGAGGTCAATGTTTGTAGCACTTCAACCTGGTTTGCCATAACTGGACTATCCGGGGAGGATCTGTGTAGTCTTGCCCAAAATCCATTCCGCTTTCTCAATTGATGGACCCGTTTCACGGTCCCCCTCAGTTGAGCAGCTACGGATTGGTACAAATCACCCTCTGTCGCGTGATCCAATTCTTGAAGAAGTTCATTCAAGAGATCGAGTTGACCTAGAAAAACAGATTCGTCTTCGTGATGCCTGGGATATAAGCTGCGTTGCGATGAGACAAGTGCCAACAATGGGTGGATAGTTTGAACCAAACTGGCCGCCACCGACAATGCCGTTAATGTGTCCATGACAGTATTCGACAATATTTGTAGTTGTGTGAATTTAAGAGTGGAACATGAATGTGCTATGAGCTTTGGAATCCAGATATCTTGGAGCGACGCCCGAAACACACAGGTGTGCAGTTTGTCGATTGATTTGGAAAAGTTTTCTGCTCATGAACCCTTATCGCCTCCTGAGTCATTTCTGCCCAACCTCCTGCAGCACAGTGTCATGCAGCCGTCTCATCAGGCTGAGCTAAACCACTCCCAGCCTGCATTGTTACCTGACCAAACCCCCGCCGTCAAAATGCGGGATAAATATCATCAATCTCCGAATATCAAAAGACATGCGTACTTGTCGGCCCTAGCATCACTCTTTGAGATTTGGGGTGCACGAGCAATGGCGCAACCTACGATGCCATTAGGTCCTCCTAGAGACGATCACTGTGATCCTGAACCCATGATGTCAGCCGCTGTCAGCATGGCTGCAAATGAGGACGTAACAATTGTACGGCGCTTTGACGAACTCAACATACTCAGCCTCCTGCTGCTCCAGGATGATATCAACAAGCTGAGCAACGAGCTGAAGCAGCTTTGTCCGATTCGCTCTCAGAACACAGAGGCACCAAATGACTGGTACATGTCGCATGTTCGGGGAGAACCCAACCGCGAGGAGCAACAAGGCGACATTGAGGGACGGGACACCCATCGGAAACACACCTGGCTTAAGATAAAAGGAGCACTCAAATAATATAGTCCGTTGATCTCCCTGTACCTTGAATACTTATTGAAATCTAAAGCACACACAGATGCAGCTTTGATCGATTTGGCGCGCCTAAGGAACTTGGAACCTCCGGACCCAAACGACCTGGAGCGGCTGCGAGGTGACCTGACAGACATTGCAACCAAATCTCAGCCCCTGAAAGAATCACTGGAGTGCTGGGAGCCGAAGAATGAGAATGACCTCGTTGTCCTTCGAGGTGGGTCCGGCAGAGGAAGCCGGCTGAACATCTGGGTCAAGCTGGGCCTTGAAATTTTGAAGTGGGAGTTTTGGGGCAAAAGCAAGGTGTGTTGAATGCCTCAAATCCTCTTCAAGATGCCTTCTGCTGATCATACGTTGAGCACGGGATAGGCTCAGACTGTCCATTCTTTAGCAGCCTCGCGTGTGATCGTGATGGGAAAGAAGGGACTAAATCTGAGCAAGGCCGAGATGAAGAAGAAGCATGCATTCGCCTCGAGATTTGTCATGGCGCTTTTGGAGGAATCGCCTTGATTGTTCCGACGGCGGTGATGTCCAAATTTGAGGGAGTCAACACGAGTCTTGTCACAACTTCGATATCTGTCGTCCTCTTTGGCTTTGTGCTGGCATTTGGAGCGAGCGACAGTACCGGCAAGGATGTTCTCACAGCCACCGCAGCTTATACTGCGGTGTTAGTTGTCTTTGTGGGCTCGACATCTGGCTAGTGGAGGCCCGCCAGATCCACTCGTTTTCTAGGAAAGACTGAGCAATTGCAAACACGAGCATGGGAAATAGCGAAATCCGGACTTTGCCAAATTATCAGATGCTTCTGGACTTGTACTCTAGCAAGTCTGTCGAGCCCCCAAAAGCGGAGTGCCGAGCTGAATATCCCAAAAAACTTGGTATCAACTGATATTATCAGATGGGGCTGAGATCTACAATGTCAGGTGGAACGGGGAACAGGAATCAGGATTCCTAGGGTATTGTGGCGAAATTTCGCGTAGCGACCTGTCAGCTTGGTGATGCGTATGTACGACGACCCTCGGAGTCACCAAAAGGGCCATGCAGATAATAAAGGATCTTGAGCAAATCATGAAAACAAGAACAAATTCCACCACTGCGGCTGAGGATTCGGCCACTCGCGGCCGTCGTTGGTCTGCGTTTGGACGTCGGGAGATACAAGATGTCCGTCGCCAATCGGATTTTTCCTTGGGGTGTCAACTCCCCCCCGCGCGTCGCGGGCACAAAGGGTTCCCCGGCGCGGCCGTGCCCGAGCCACAGTGGCGAGAATCGCTTGGATGGTCTGAAGAGGGCATGTTCCCCGATGATCATCCTCTAACAAGGGCCCATTCGCTGCCGCGGAATGGCATTCTTCACAATGTCGATGGGGATCTGGACCAGATCTGCATGGCGCCGCGATCTCCAGGAACGTCAACGTCAGAGGGCATCATAGGTGCGTTTACGGCATGTCAGGCTGCCGTCTAACCTCCGTCACGGACCTGGTTGGCACGTTTTTACATCCCGACTTGACGTCATGCGGTAAGACGCAGAACAACGCTCCTCTTTTGCAGTTGTCTTTTGATGCAATATTGACTCAACCGTGATATCAAATGAATTTGTCAGTGAAGCGAGGTGTCGTTCACATTCCTCAGATGGCGTCGCATTTTGCGCGGGTGGCCAATCTCGGCATTCAGTGCAGTTTCACATGCCATGCAGAAGGCAAAGTCGCCTCTGGCTGTGGGGATCGAAACCCGCCAGCACGCGTGCCTCGAACATCGAACAAGGATGGCCCAGGTACTTAGCCACAGTTAGGCCGAACAAGCCACGGCTCGGGATGCCGGCAAGTCTACCCTGACAGGTTCGTCCCGTCCTGTCGGACCTGGTGTGGCACAGGAGCTATCAAAATCCTTTCGCCCCCCTCTCGGGCCGTCTCGAGGGTCAATGATATGGCGATTGCCTTTCCCAAGAACATCTAGATGGCCGAAAGGTTCTATTTGGGAGCATGATGCCTTTGCCCTGCCCCGCGGATGTTGCACTCGGACAACCTCGGTGACCAACGGCGACTGCAGGTCAGGTGTCCGCCGATGTGTAATATGGCGTTTAGGAAGATCTGGTACGTTCATTGGACTAGGACACATGTTCGCGAGAACAGGCCAAGGTGTCTATCAATGGCGATCTCGCGGACTCCGGGCTGCCATTGGATTGGTGAAGACCACGAGTGCAGTCGGTATCAGGGATCTCTGCGGCACAATCACTGCCCGAAGAATGGACAGACTGCAACGCTGGCATGATGAATAACTATCGCGACTTGCCAATACGGCATTGTGATTGGTAGTTCGGCATCAAGGCCGTTGGTTACCAGCGACAGGCTTCTTCTGCAGTGCGAAGCCGTCGAGAAGCATTGGAAGCCGCCGGTCGAGGGAGTGAAAGGTCCGGTCTAAGCAGAAATGGGGCAGTTCTTTGGGTCTCCACCATGTATCGAAACCGGGGTGTCGCCGTCGGGTTGGTTCACCGCCGGGGGTAAGAAGCGAGATGTACGTAAGGAGGAGTAGGGAGGAAGCACCTAGCCTCAAAGTGGTAGATTTTGAGGCGCCCTTCTCCTGTACGTAAGAGAAGAAAGGGCTCCATCGCCGGGCAGCAATCCTGGCTCTGGTCCTGCCGCATGTACGTACAAGTACTTGTATGCACGCCGCCAGTTGGGTAGCCCCGTTGCACTAATGACATTGAGGCCAGTGGAGACAACCGGACCGTGCAATCAAGGTTCGGGATGTCATGTCGGAGATATTTCCACAGGATGGGTGCGTGCGAGAGTGAGCGAGGGAGGCACGGAGTCAAAGTGCGTGCATGCGTGAATCCCAAAAGTCGTCGAGCTTCCATCTCGTTGTATTTTGTGGGACGCAACGGTTGACACTGGTGATGGTGGGGTTCTTCTTGATGCCGGAATCGCATATCTGGATGACTCTCTGGCCCTCAATCGGAGACAAATGTCCGGGATGACAAGGTGCAGAGACTGGACAGAGGAACAGGCCGTTCCAGTGGCTTCCCAAGCTTCCTCTTTGTCCATGAAGACACGAAGCAAGCCGAAAGCCAGTTGGCCAATGGCCCGGCAAGGTCGATGTTTTTGGACCGAAGAGGAATCCCATGGTGGGGTAATTTTTTGCATTTTTGTTGACTGGGGGCACGGCGATGGTGGGTTTTTGGCGGGGAGGCAGGCGCGCCCAGGAAGCCTGCCAACAGAAAATCCCCCCCCCCCCACCCAGGCTGGACTGGATGCATCTCATCTGCTAGTCTGAGAGCCACGGCGGGAATAGTTATGTCCACTAGGTTTGTGGTCCCGGTGGACATGACAAGAAGCCTTTTGCTGGAAGACATACCCACGATGCCCAGGGCTAGTCCCCTTGCGGCTCCGTGAACACGGGCGGGAAATGCCCAAACCAGCACAGGTCGCGAGGAATGCCATGCGAAAAAAAGGCCCTAACAGGCGGCTCGGCGGCGGGCGGCGCCACAAGACGGCCCTTTGTACGGTGGGGGTGCGCCTCGTCGTAAAAGTGCGTCCATCAAAGTAGGTACCTACTCCGTAAGAGTAGACACTATCACGAGACAAAATCAATGACAGGAACAGACCCAAGTTGGACGTTATCAGCTAGCAGAGGCTGGATGGGAACAGTCGCTGCCGGCTTGCGATTCATTTCCAGATCTTCTGACCGAAACTGGCCCCTCTCATTGACGACATCTAAAACATGCATTCAACCTTTGCCCGACTCGAGACGTGGAATTGAGAAGTGGAATCATGAGCCAATCCCGCATGGCCGGAAGACAGCCCGGCAGGATGTTAGCGGGCCGAGAGACAGTAGCAGCAGTAGCCTGGCAAGCATGTCCCAGACAGACGCAGAAATGGACGTCTTTATGCAAGGCCAGGCTACCTAGGTAAGCAGGGAGAGAGACAGCTGAGACTCGAGTGTCCTCTGTTTACGCTCTGTTTTCGGTACCCGTTTCTCCCTACCTACCTACGTAGGTAGGTAGGTATCTTTCACACTGGCATATGTAGTACAAGTAGGATGGGGATGGGATGGGGATGCGGATGGGTACAACACCCCTGTTAGAGGGTGGATTACAGCTAGAGTTATCGACATACGAAAAACCTACGAAGCAGATCTAGGTGCAAACAGAGCCCAGAATGCGATTAGAGACGGACCATTGAACCCCCCCAAAAAACGAGTCGATGCGGCCTCGAATCTGTATTTCCAAAAAAGCACCACCAAATTGGGCAGGCGGGCCAATCTAGAACGGCCGGCCCCTGTGAGAGACAGCGACCCCGTTTTCCGGGGGACTATCAGCGCAGAAAAAAAAAAGCTGTAATAAGCGCCGCCTGCCGCCCCAGCCCATTGGTGCATGGTCGCAGGAGCAAATGCTCCGGGTCCCAGTCCAAAAGCCCAGGTGTGTGCTCCAGTCCACCCATCCGAAGAGGCTGGAACGAGCGAGCAAAGCACGCACCGCACCGCACCGCACACCTTTGGGGTGGGAAATGTGTGTGCTCTGTGTGTGTGTGTGTGTGCGTGCGTGCCCTGAAGACTGAGACCGCTGTACCGGAATATTAATGCCAGTGCTGAGCAATCAAAAAATGGCGGCTTCCTTTGCTGCTGGAAACTCCCTCCTCGTGGATGGATTTCACCCTCCGCACCCCTGCAAGCACAACCACAAGTCCCAAACCTGGCCGACCATAAGCCTGTCGAATCTACGTGTCACCATGCTCTGCTTTCGCCACAATCTCTTCTGGATCTTCTCGTCTTGATCCCCCGATCCCCATTGTCACCTTCGCACTTGCGGCATCTCTGACAGTCCCGTCCCCCCCTGGTGCTCCGCGGTGGCGAACTGACCAATGCCCTTTGACATATCCCTGAAGCAGCCTCACCCTCACCACACCCCTCCTCATATCCCTCTACTGCCCTCCTCTGCTGCGCCTGAGAAGCCACACTCTTTTCCTTCTCAAGCCACATTCGGATATGAACAGTCTCTCGCTCTTGGGGTCGATATACATACAGAGCACCTATGTCCATGCCGGCCACACCACCGCCAAGTCGTCGTCGTCGTCGCCCATCGCCAACATCACCCCCGCCAGGTCCCTTTGACACCAGCTGAACAGTAATATCCGCTTTTAATGTGCACTGAGTACATTGCCGACTGCCCTGTCTGCGGGAAAGAGTACCTGGTCTATGTGAAGTTTTGCCATCACTACCATCCGCCACTCCTCAAGTGCCCGGTGGGCAAGGTCATCGATGCCAGCGAGATGGACGAGGGGTTCTGCCCGAGTCCCGTCTGTCCAAACAGCCATTCCGGAGGCTGCCAGGTTATATGACACTTGTGGCACTGGCACTGGCACTGGCACCAGCACAAGCACCATAATTCCTCCCATGGAATGCTTACCAGACCACCTCAGCTCGCCCACCCCTTCCGTCGAGATTCTGTACTGCCTTAGAGCTTCTCACCGCTCGGACCGACCTCGACGATCTGGTCGATCCCCTGGTACTCCGGCAAGTCGAAATCGTACTTCTTGGCAATCGTGGGAGGAACGAACCTGCATCCAGCGTTAGAAGGGCACCTTGGAACCTAGTGGCGTTCTTGCATGGGGGTACGGGCCTTCCACCGATGAAGTGCCGGCCTTTGAAGTGCTTCACCAGTGGCTTCGGCGCAGTGAGGCTGATGAGCACCGCAGGGTTGAAGCTGCTGCCGAGACCAGACTTCGGCGGACCTTCTTCGATGTTCCACGACGATGGTGCGTCGACAGATGTTACTGGCACCTTGGTCTCCTCCAGGGCTTTGATGACGGCCGGGAAAGGCTCGCGAACTTCGCCGGAGAAACTGAAACCTGTGCAACATCAAAACGATCAGCCTCGGACAAACCAGATCATTCGAACTCGCGACTAATTACCGAAGATGGCGTCAACGACGTGGTCGGTTCCCTGCAGCGCCTTGGGGAAATCATCGACGAACGGAACATTAAGATCCTCGAGTTGCTTGGCTAGACGCTAAGGCAACAGTCAGCATTTGCATTAGATTTCAAAGACAGCGAACGGAGGAAAGAAAGATGCCGCTGGGAGGGACGAGACTTGACCACTGTACTGGCTGCGGATGGTCTCTCAGAGCAAACGAGAAACCCCGGCAGGCAACTGTATCAACAACCTAGAGGATAGATATGGGGTACACGACACTAATGATGACTCCGCTCAAACCACCAAAATGACCGAGGAAATGACGAAAAGTGCATCTCACTGAAGCGCCTGGAAACGAGAAAGGTTCAACGTAAACAAGCATACCTGGTACAGTTCATATTTGCTGCGCTTGGGATAATAGATCGATGGTTCATATCCATAATGACGAAGGTGTCTTGCCGCAACAAGGCCATCGCCGCCTACATCCGCTGTGTAAGCGGTCAAGCTGTTTTCGGGCCGGAGCGAGATCACTTACCATTGTTGCCCGGGCCGCAGGCTACGAGGACTCTGCGGCCTTTGTTAGGGGGATGAACGCGGTAGACTGACTGCTGTCAGCCGAGTTGTATTGGGGAAAGTTGAAGATGATGAAGTGCTGGGCTGGGCGAGGGATATTGCTTAGACGGGAACCGGGACCACCGTCACGCGGCCAGCCCATCGTCAGGGAATGAGACCGAGCAAGCGTCGGGAGGGCAGTCAAGCAGTGGACCGAATGCCGGCCGACTTACCAACTTGGGACACTGAAAGTCCGGCGAGCTCCATGAGCTGGTCGATGGAAAAGGCACAGGTGCTCATGAGCTCCTTGTCCAGGGCAGCCGCAGCTTTGCCCGTGAGCGTCTAAGTACCGTGTTAGCCGCTGTGCCTGAACGCTTGAGCATAGATTCAGTAGACCTTGAAAGCCATCTTCGATGAGTATAAATCTGGTAGTACGGCAGAAGTGCGCTCCGGAGAGGAGAAATAGAGGCTTCTAAACAGAATTCCAGGATGATGTTGTTGCAAGAGTCCTGCGCTGTGGCATGATGTCAATCGGACAAGTTTGGCGCCCCCCGTGAAAGCATGATGTACTTGTAAATGCCAGGCATGACTAAGCGGCCTGGGGATCTCCAAGGGTAGGGAGCTTGGGCCACGTTCTTACCACAGTTGAGTTGACTTTGCTGGACGGCGGACCCACCTAAAATTTCAAGACGACATCTCGTGTGATCGACTTGAGAGAGCGCTCTGCGTTACAAACAGAGGCATTGAAATACACCACGCGGCCGACTCGCACAGACAAAAATGGTCCTCAAGATCCGCCTCGCGCGCTTCGGCCGCACCAACGCGCCCTTTTACAACATCGTCGTTGCCCACGCGAGGTAAGCGGCGGCCCCCCCCCCTTTTCAATGATGGATGGCACGCCAGCATCGATGCGCAATTGCCGGGCGAGGAGATGGAGGACCAGGCGGAGAGCAAAATGCCAAGATGTGGTCAATGGAAGAACCAGATCGCTAACACGGAAGCCCACACCACAGGACGGCGCGCAACTCCAAGCCCCTCGAGGTCATCGGCACGTACGACCCCATCCCCAAGCCCGACCAGTTCGACGGCTCCGGCAAGCTGCACAAGGACATCACGCTCGACTCGCTGCGGGCCAAGTACTGGATCGGCGTCGGCGCGCAGCCTTCGGACACAGTGTGGCGGTTGCTGTCGATGGTGCGTTCCATTCCCCCCTCCTCCTGCCTGGACGAGATCAGGTTCCCGCCGTGGAATTTGCTGATGGGTGGGACAAGAGGAGAAGAAGAAGAGCTCTGATGCTGACGGAATTACCAACAGGTCGGCATTCTCGCCCCGAAGCAGCGCTCCGGACAGCGGCAGACCCCGCCCACTCCTGCGACGAAAGCGACTCAGGATGCCGCGGCATCATCGAGCCAGGCGTGAGCAGGGCGTGGGTGGCGATGAGGCGCGTAGGATGGGAGAGAGGAAGCCCGACTGTGTATCAAGACTGTTGTATCAAGCATCTGGGAGGCGTTCAAATGTATTTCTAAGCCGACGGCCATTTGTACCATACTGTATCTACCGGAAGTAGATCAATCACTGGCTCATTTGTCAAAATTGGACAGTATGAAAACTCGCTTACTTGACGAGTTCAAGGCTCTGTCCATATGCAAGACCACGCAAATTCAAATTCATGGCTCTGTGCTGTTGAGAGAGTGGCTGCCTGGCCCGTGTCAAGAACGACCTGCCCGCAGCTTGGCATCACGCTGTACCTACGCCAAGTCATGTATCCTCCCAAGAGCCGTAGGAGCATATCATACATTGTACGGTGATTCTTTGCCTGTAAGACAGTATCTTCAAAGAGGGTGTCATACAGCCTTGCATAGCAAACTTGAATTGTTCCTCCGGTCTTGAGGGAATACGGGGTGACTATCAGCGTAGAAAACGTCCTCCTGCAGCCGAGATCCCATTACATGTCACGGTACTCAATATTACAAATTCCCTTGACTAGGTCTATCATTTCAATGAAGAACAACTAAAGTCTAGCAGCGGTTGAAAGCTACCCCTGAAACCACAACCCGAAGGTGTGGAAACCTTCCCCTGATGATAAAAGAAGACCAACCCACTCATGTGTCTAGATAAATATGTGGATATGGTCCGTTATCGTGTTGAAAACTCCTTTTGGAGAGGCCCAAACCTCTCTTTTCTGCCCAGATGCTGTTGAAAAAAAAAACAAGATGCATTACGCTCCGTCACCCGTCCCCATCCACAAGTCGTCTAGTGCACAGACGAGATCGTCCCCGAACTACCCGTCGTATCCTCCACAGGCGGGCACGTGCAGAAGAGGTTCAAGTCACCGTAGGCTAGAAAGCACACACACACACAAGTCAGCTCAATACTGCACAAAGATCACTCCAAAAAAAAATCCCCATAGAGCAAACTTACTGTCGTCAACCCTCCCGACCGACGGCCAAAACTTCTTCTCCCGCAGCCAGGGGAGCGGGAAGGCCGCCTTCTCGCGCGAGTAGCAGCGCTCCCACTTGCCGCCCTCGTCGCCGAGCACGATGTCGTCGACCGGGTGCGGCGCGTTCTTGAGCACGTTGGCCGTCCGGGGCACCTTGCCCTCCTCGACCTCGCGGATCTCCTGGCGGATGACCACGAGGGCGTCGACGAAGCGGTCGAGCTCCTCCTTGCTCTCGGACTCGGTCGGCTCGATCATGAGCGTGTTGGCGACGGGCCAGCTCATGGTCGGCGCGTGGAAGCCGTAGTCCTGCAGGCGCTTGGCGATGTCGATGGCCTCGACGCCCGCCGTCTCGCGGAAGGGCCGCACGTCGAGGATGAACTCGTGCGCGCAGCGGCCGTGCTCGTTGGTGTAGACGATGTCGTAGTGCGGCCGCAGCCGGCTGAGCAGGTAGTTGGCGTTGAGCAGCGTGATCTGGCTGGCCTTCTTGAGGCCGTCCGAGCCCATGAGGAGGTTGTACGCCCAGCTGATGGGCAGGATGCTCGCGCTGCCGTACGGCGCGCTGCTGATGGGCGGGTTGGCCTCGCCGGGCTGCACCTCCGTGGGCGGGAGGTGCTCGGCCAGGTGCTGCTTGACGCAGATGGGGCCGGCGCCGGGCCCGCCGCCGCCGTGGGGGATGCAGAAGGTCTTGTGCAGGTTCAGGTGGCAGACGTCGGCGCCGACCTCGCCGGGCGAGCACAAGCCGATCTGGGCGTTCAGGTTGGCGCCGTCCAGGTAGACCTGGCCGCCGTACTTGTGGACGATCTCGCAGACCTTCTTGATCTCGGGCTCGAAGACGCCAAACGTGCTGGGGTAGGTGATCATCATGGCGCCGATCTGGGCCGCGTGCTGCTCGCACTTGGCCTCGAGGTCCTGGAGGTCGAGGTTGCCCGTCTTGGTGTCACACTTGATGGGCACAACCCTCATGCCAGCCATGGCTGCTGACGCGGGGTTGGTGCCGTGGGCAGAGACGGGAATGAGGCAGATGTCGCGGTTGGTCTCACCCTTGGACTCGAGGTACCTGCGGATGGTCCTCAGGCCAGCGAACTCACCCTGGGCACCAGAGTTGGGCTGCAGCGAGACGGCGTCCATTCCAGTGATATCAGCAAGCTGATCAGACAGCGAAGCCAGAAGCTTCTGGTAGCCCTCGGTCTGCTCGGCGGGAGCAAAGGGATGCAGCTTGGAGAAGCCGGGGAGGGTGATGAGGGACATCTCCACAGTGCCGTTCAGCTTCATGGTGCACGAGCCGAGAGGAATCATGGAGTGGACAAGCGACAGGTCCTTGGACTGCAGGTGGTGGATATACCGAAGGATCTCGGTCTCGGAGTGGTGCGTGTTGAAGACGGGGTGGGTGAGGTAGCTCGAGGTGCGGCGGAAGCCCTCGGGAATTTCAACAGGGCCTTCGACCTTGCTCAACAGCTCCTCGAGCTTCGCAGCCTCATTACCAACAACGCTCGAGCCGGATTTTCCACTAGCAAGAATTCGGATCAGAGCCCGCAGATGCTCAGCCGTCGTGGCCTCGTCAATGCTGATACCAATGCGATCCTGGTCAAAGACGCGCAGGTTGCACCCGTTCTCAACAGCAGCAGCCTGAAGGGCCTGAGCCTGGCCAGGTGCCTTGATGACCACTGTGTCAAAGACAACCCTGCCGTCCTGAGCCGCTGACTCCGTCCTCGTCTCGTATCCGAGCTCCTCAGCCGCCGTCTGGATAGCCCGAGCTCCGCGAATGATCTTCTCGGCGATGGCCTTCAGACCCTCAGGGCCATGGTAGATAGCATACAGAGCATTGATGTTGGCGAGCAATGCCTGGGCAGTGCAGACGTTGCTGGTAGCCTTCTCTCTCCTGATGTGCTGCTCGCGAGTCTGGAGAGCCAGCCTGAGCGCGCGGTTGCCGAGGCGGTCCTTGGACATACCGATCAGACGACCAGGCATCTTGCGCTTGTACTTGTCACCGACAGCGAAGAAAGCAGCGTGAGGGCCACCATAACCAAGCGGCACACCAAATCGCTGTGCGTTGCCGAAGGCGATATCCGCGCCCCATTCGCCAGGAGGAGTGAGAACAGTCAAGGCCATGAGGTCGGTAGCACAGCTCAGGAGAGCGCCCTTGTCATGTACAATCTTGGCCAGATCGCGGAAGTTCTCAACGCCGCCCTCGGTGTTTGGGTACTGGACCATGACTCCAACCAGGTCGTCTCCTAGCTTCTCGACATGGTCCTTGAAATCGCTGGCGGTGACGTCCATCTTCTGCACATTGATGCCAAAACCGCTAGCACGGCCGTGCAGGACTGAGATGGTCTGGGGATGGAGCAAGTGGGACACGACAAAGGTCTTGCCCTTCCTCTTGGCGCGGGAGGACGAGAGCATGTTCATGGACAGGGTCATGGCCTCGGCGGCGGCAGTTCCCTCGTCGAGAAGGCTGGCATTGGCGACGGGCAGGCCAGTCAGGTCCGAGACGATGGTCTGGAAATTGAGCAGGCATTCCAGACGACCCTGGCTGATTTCGGGCTGGTAGGGTGTGTAGCTGGTGTAGAAGGCGGGGTTCTTGAGCACGTTGCGCTCAATAACATCGGGAGTAACAGCCTCATAGTAGCCGGCGCCGATGAAATTTTTGAGGACCTTGTTGAGGCTGGCAGCATGCTCGCCCTGCTTGAGGACCTCCTTCTCGGGGAGAGCCTCAGTGATAGCCCGCTCTATGGGGTCCGTCTCGGATGTCCGGGGCTTGGGGAACAGCTTCCTGTCAGACTTGACATTGGGCGGGATGACCTGTGACACGAGCTCGTCGAGGCTCTTGACAGCAGGAGCCAGGGCGGCGAGCATCTCCTCCGTGCTCTGGTCATCAGGACCAATGTGGCGGCGAGGGAAGGTATCCAGGGCGGGATAGGGGTCCTTGAGGGAGTTCAGGTGCCTCGACGAGCTTGCCAAGGTCCTGGAGGAGGTGTAGACGGCACCTCGTGCGCATGATCTACAGACCCAAGGCTGTGCAGTGAGTGCGCGAGCACTCATAGGAACGGTGCGAGCGTGAGGCACCCGGGCCATACGGCCGAGGTGACGCGACGCAACCCGCGCCGTGGTCGACATGATGAGACGGCGTGTGTGACTTGACAGGGACAAAAAGTCCGATATCGATGTACAGAACCGACAAGATGTCTATGAGACCCGTGGACGCGAAGAGCTTCGCTGGGAGAGGGCAGCGGGCCAATTGGTGTATTCCAGGATCCTCTTCTTGGAGTACTGATTGAAGATTGGAATATGCAATGGAGGGATGAAGTCCGGTGGTGGGGGACTTTTGGAGAATGGAATGACAATCAGGGAGCTGTCTTGAAAGCAGGCATTCGCCACTAATAGGATAAGAAAGGTGTGAGGGCGGCAATACGGGACTAGGGTCTCAAGCAGGCGCGATACCAGGTCCCCTGGGAGAAAAGGCAGCGAGGAACTGAAGAAAAAGGGCACAGCAGGAGATGAAGAAGCTATTTGGACGAGAAACGGAGTGCGAAGTCCACAAACAGGCGTCAGACTCGGTCAAGAGTACAAAAATCCGGGGTCTCGCATGATGTGGTAGACCTGCCCAAAGGGGGAAGCTATTGTGTAATGCTAGCACCACCGCGCCAGTTTCTTGTCCCTGGAATCCCAGCACCAGGGCACCCGCTGTCGGAGCCGCGCTGCTTGCCCGATAACAGCCCGTCTCTTCTTACCACAATCCATTTTTTAAAAAATCCGGTATCCCTTGGCCCATTGACCGCCCTCTCACAAGCAGTCCCAGGGCTCTTTTACCACAGGCCGGGAACACTCGGTTAGGCTGCAGGTGGCAGCATGTCAAACGGAGTTCAAAGTCCTAGCCCGCCTTTCCCTTCCGGTCGCGCGCTGATAAGGCCCGGCAGACCTGCCGCCAGCCCTGGAGCTCCCCTTATCTTAGCCCCCAAGCAAACACTGAACTGCTCCACTGCTGCACGGACTTCCAGTCTCGAACTTGCATGTGCACTTGAGGCTGGAAGTTGTCTCGTGCCAGCGCGGCTAGTCTGCTTATCGGCCAGCACAGCACCAGTCCTTATCAGTTGTCCGGAGCGGGAAAAACGTGCTAAGCTCAAGCTGGACGACGACTGGACCTCTGGCCTGGGAAAAATCACGGCTGCCAAACTTGATCATCATCATAGTCCAGCGAAACGTCAAGTTCGGAGCTCTTAAAATCTATCGATCCTTTCGCCCCGACCCATCGCTCACCGTTCAAAATGTTTGGAGGATGTCAGTCCCTCCTTCTGCATGCCCTCCTATTCCGTGATCAAAGCTAATCCGACGAACAGTCGCACCCCCGCAAGCCTCTGAGGAGGAGATCCGCCAACAGGAGCAGGAGGCTACCTTTACCATTCAGCGCTTCCTCGCAACCTCTGTGCTGCTATACCTCTGTACGTCTCGTCGAGTTGCTCGCGCAAAGAGCACAGAACAGCGTTGACTAATGCATGGATTGCCACAGCCCCTTTCGTCATTGACGCCGCCTCGAAAGTTTTCTAGATGAATAACGATGCGAAAGTCTGCGCGGGAAGCTCTCAACCTATCGAAAACAGCCCCAGCCAACGAGGGCATCGGCGAGATGAGCCTGCAAGGCCAATGATTATGGCAGAGATGCGCGAGCCATGAGCCTTCAAGTGCCGTGTTGACATGCATCGAGCATCCCAGCGCGCCATGTACAATACCTATGTACAATTAGGACATAAAGGGGCGAAAAGCCTCTCCTGTATGTAAAAATACGATAAATAAACTCACACATGACCTACGCGTGGACGAAACATCCCAAAGACCCTGTCTCTATTTCACTACTCCGGCTTCCGGAGTTTCACACAGCTACTGCAGGGTGTAAAGCTCCCAACAGGCCGCAAAGAGCAGCAGTAAAACACCACGATTCTCCCATGACGCCAATAATGCAACCCTATTGAACCTGATCCTGTACCCGCCATTTTGTAATTACCCAGAGCTATGCACACAACGCCCTGCTCGCAACACGCAAACTCATAGCCGCCAATCCAGACAAGCGCAGTGTGGACAAAGCCTAATCATCTCGCGGCCGAAGCAGCCTGCTCCTTGTCATAGGCCTCAAAGTCTTTGTGCAGCAGCTCCGTCTCCTTCTTGAGGTGCTGCAGCTGCTTCTCATAGTCCTCCAAAATCTAGTGCATTGCATGATTAGTACATCGATCGTAATTGCTCATGTGACGTATGACTATACGAGCACTCACCTTCTTCGCCTTCTGCTCAATCTCCTCATCCAGGCCTTCAGCCTCTCCGAGACCGCGCTTGCTCACTTCTGATCGGAGCGCCTCAGAGTAGTTGCGCAGCACAATCAGCCGGCTCCACAGCTCCTCCATGCGGGCGCTCAGCGCCGGGTCCTGCATGCCACGCTCGATCGCCTGCAGCTTCTGCTTAAGGTCGTCCTCATCGCCGGTGAGCGAGTAGCCGCGATTCCTCAGCACCTGGATCTTTGCTGCCAGGGCCAAGCATCGCTTGCTGAGCTCCGCATGCCGCCTCCTCGCCGTGAGGGACCGCACGCTGGTCTCCAGGTCGTGTCGTGACAGAATGGCGTCGAGGCTGGCGTTGATCTCGTGGAGCTTGGCGTTGAACGTGCTGATGGCCTTCTTCTGGACCAACAACCTCTCCGCCAACGTCTGGAACCCAGATGCTTGAACGGGCATGAAGCCCGGTGCCGGCTTGTTCTGCAGCGCCTCCTCCCATTCCTTGGGATCCTCGTTAGGGCCCGGTTGGTAGTAAGGGATGCGCGCCTCGTCGACTTTGTTGTAGAAGTAGTGCTTAAAGACACAGTTGGGACTGGCAGGGTTCCATTTCTCGTAAAGCAGGCCCATCTGATCTGTGACCGATTTCTGGTCTGGAAATGAGTTAGCGTTGACATTCAGGTCCGTGTTCGGGGGAAACCAAGAGCACAGAGAACATACGAGGAGCTGCGGCCGCTGGTTGCCATAGCGAGCTTCCAAGCTGGGCGGTCTGGGGCTGCCCTAATGATTGCGACAGCTGCGGCTGCTGCTGGGGGTTCGCTTGCTGAGGGTTCAGCGACTGGCCAAAGATGGTGTTGGACTGCTGCGGTTGGGCTGGCTGCGACTGGCCAAAAGCACCAGTCGTGGTGGCGCCAAAGGCTGGTTGGCCCGCGGGCTTGTTGAGCGAGGCGAAGAGAGACATGACGATGATTCGAACGCTGCGAGACAAGTTCGTCGATGCTCTTCTGCCGATGGATGTGAAGGTCGCGGGTGTAAAGGTGTCGTCCCAGAGCTTCTCAGCAGAAGGTGAGCTTCTGAGAGACAAATAGGCAGGGAAGCCTGTTCTCCCTGGATTGCGCACAAAGAACCTTTGTTGCTCACAGAAAGCGCCAAAGAAGTGAGCACTCAGATAGAGAATTCGATTGTGTCGATGTCGGCGCCCTGCTCAGCACGATTGCTCTTTGTTGACTCTTGGAAAGGTAGCCCGCCAGAGCAACGCGGGCAAAATTTAGGAGCTCCAACCACGCGCGCCTCACCGAAATGGTGGGGTGATTTAATTGGTCGCTCACCGAGACAGACCTGAGGTAAGCGTCAGCCAATCAGAGCACTCTCAATGCGGATCTTGACATTTGAGCCGAACTTCACCACATCAAGCTCCCTCCGACAAGACATCCACGAATTGAGGCGGTCCTTCTCTACAAACCGTCACAATGGCGAGCCGAAAGCCCGTGTATGTATCTGCGCATCCCATTACCCCTGCACCGGCCAATTGATGGCGCAGCGCCCCAATGGCGAGCGCCCCCAGCCAGAAGATTTCGACTGACCCTCTTCCGCAGCTTCAACCAGCAGGTTCTCTACGATACCACCCCCCTGCCCGACTCGATCCCCAAGGTCGAGGAGATCGGCGCCAGCTCCGCTCCGCTCCTGTCCGCATCGTTCTTCATCGGCGCCCGCTGCCGCGACTACAACGATGACTACATGCAGTGCAAGACCGAGAACCCCGGCAAGGGCGAGTTCGACTGCTTGAAGGAGGGCCGGAGAGTCACCCGCTGCGCACGAAGCGTGTATGTTACGGACCCCCCTTCCTTGGGACACCGGCCAATTCTTCACGGCCGCTGCTGGCGCCGTCAAGTCTCGCAGTATGAGCTGACCCGTTGGATTGTTTTGCAGTCTCGACGACATCAACAAGTCCTGCCTCGAGGAGTTCCGCAAGCACTGGCAGTGCCTCGACGACAACAACCAGCAGCTCTGGCAATGCCGGCCTGCCGAGTGGAAGCTGAACAAGTGTGTCTTTGAGAAGATTGTACGTCCTCTACCCTAGTATGGCTGTCGAGAACGCACCTCGTTTGTGCGAGCCTCGAACGCGGAATATACAACACAAGCGGACGCCTGCAGACCCTACTCCCAGCGGCAGAATAGATGCTAACAATCATTTCCAGGGCCTCGAGAAGACCATTCCGGATACCCCCAAGGGCAAGACGCCCGTCCACCTGAGGAACAAGCAGATTTACGCCCACTACCCCATCCTGAGGGGAGACAAGCCCTTCGTACCCGAGAAGGCCGAGTCAGCGCCGTCATCGTGAGGGCAGTAACGGTTGGATGGAGTGTACGCTTAGTGGTCACAGTGTGTGTATATAGGAACACAAATCAATCCACGATCTTTGATTAGAGCGTCCTGCGACGGAGTGAAGTGCAGTCCGATTCGATTGAGAACATTACGATACAGAACGAAGTGCACAGGGCCAATGAACAATAGGCCTTCTTCCAACCCAGTCTCCTTCAGGTGACTAATGATGCGATCGAGCTACCACGTTCACTTCACGCCGTTTCGTCAATAAGATACTGGTGCCAGGATGCTGTGACCCTTGAAAAGCACGCCCAAAGAGTTACCGAGCATTGATCGGCATTTACAAGTAGATCAAAGTCTATTGTGAACAAGCTGACTGCAGTCATAGCTGACCTATCTGGAAGATACGATTTCGTGTCTGTGTGCACATCCCAATCGTCCGCCTTGATCTTCCTAACACCACGCGGGGAGTGATTTGCATGGCGCACGGTTCATCAAGGCCTCGGGCAAGTGCCCGGATGGCTTCATATGGTCCCAAGGACCGCTAGGGACAGTCCGCCCTCTGGGAAAGGGTTACCAATTACACATATATCACTGATCGACGGGAGCGTTGGCAGCATTGAACATGCGGCCTCTCCGTCCACGGGGTTCTGGCTCGAGGAGTCGTACCGGTGGGACATCCTTGGACATGTCCTGGGAGGCATCTACCGACGAGTTGATGTTTTCGGGCAAATAATAGGAACGGCACGGCTTTCGCATTGCCCTTTCCCCGCGATCTGTGTTCTCCAGGGCGCGCACGGCAGGCGCACTCACGAGTCTCTGGATCTCGTTCCCACGGGCGGTCATCCCACCGACGTCACTGCTCGACTCAGTCACAATCCCCCGCTCTTGATAATGACGTTTATGGCGGAGGAAAGAAGGTTCGTGATCGCGGCACATCGTTCTTGGTCTACACTCTCGTCCCAGTGGGAGAAGACGGCACATCTCGAAAACGCCGGCAAGCCCTGTCACGAGCAACAACGAAATCAAGCTCAGGCTCTCCCCACGACCCGGCGTGCTTAGATGGCCAACAGAATCACCCCTATAACGAGGCCACCTCGGCACAGACTGCCGGACGAACAGACTCGGCGAGGCGTCCAAGCCACGCCCGGCCTACGGCACCAGCATCAAATGCCCCAAGTCTCAGCCAGACACGCACTAGCCCCCTTTTTTTTTGGCCGAGACATGGCGGTTGGAGAACAACGCCATGTGTCAGAATTGGGCTGCCCAGACGAATATGAACTAGAGTATCTATTCTTGTCTGTCTTGTTCCAGGCACGCATCTGGAACATATGATAACTTGGTGTAGTCACGAGGTCTGATCGAGCCCAATTGCCCAATATTCCGCCTCTGGCTTCTTTTCCCACCTACGTTGTTGTCTCGCCGTGGTGACGATGGGATCGAAAGTGTGGTACAGACGTCACTGGAAGAACTTCCGCATACGGCAAACTCGGCCGCGCCTGTGTCGCTCGTGACTGCTGCCCTGGTGATGCTGACTGCCATGACTAATGCGTAGTTCAATGTTCTCCGTGCTACATGGCATGGACCCTCCGGGTGCAACAGGCCATCGAAAGGGGATCTGAATCCATACGCACGCACGCACGCATGCACGCACAAACACCGACTTGCGAAAACATCCCGGACGCGCGTCAACTCCAAACGCATGCGGAAGCCCGGCATTCCCTCTCGTCAAACTCGTCGCCATCCTAATCTATCCCAGACAGACAAGCAGGCGGGCAAGAGAGGGACAAGCGCAGGGCTCGGCCCGCGACTCGCAAAAGATGCATGCAGGCAGCCGGGAAGGGCGTTGTCGCCCGATGCAGACCCCGGGTTGCCCTGCTAGAGCACGTCGGCCGGGTGCTGGGAGCGAAGCCCTTTCGTGGGCAAGTATTGTCGCTCGTGTCGCTGTGGCTTGCAGCGGATAGGGGGGGGGAGGGGTTTGCAGGGGCAAAAGAAAGGAGCTTCAACTGGAGTGCATGCGGAGGGAAAGGCGGCGGATAGGATCCTCGCGCCTCTCCCTCGTATTTGCTACGGGATGGAAAAGGCATTGGGAACGACGGATATTCTCGATCTCTCGACCTTCTGTTGTTCTCACACGTACAACTAATCTCTGCAGTATGTTGCCCTCGTCTAACATGCGAGTAGCTAGAAAAATCAAATTCCGATGTCAAGCCCAGCTTTGACAGCCCTCCATGAACCACACGGGCAGCAGCATAAATCAAAAATGCCAAATTCTCGGAAAGCCGGCGACGATCAGTGGCCCTTTCCAAGGCACCATCTCATGTCGTGTGACGATATCTGAGCAGTTCAGGTAGCACACCGGCTATGATGCGAGAACAGGTTCCCCTTCCCCTTCACCTAACTACCTCTAGGTACGCAGCAGACAGCGCTCCCGAGAGAGAGGTCTTCTCGGATTAGGTAGGTACCTGGCATACTCCAACCCCTCCCCTCCCCTTTTCCCGCCCAAAGCAACGGTCTATTTGGAATGTCTCAGTGAATCCCAGATCCTGCAAGCCCCGGGACACGCGGTCTCTCTGCTGTCCTGGCTCGGATCTCGTAAAGTGAGATCTTCCCAGACGTCGAGGCGCTGACAAAGGGGCGTCGTGTGTCTGAGGCTGAGTATGGGGGGGAGCATGACCACCGGGGAATTACCGTGGTGAATCAACGACTTTTGGCATTATTGCAAATCCGGTGCGTCTCCGGGGGAGGGAACGAACATGCAGCTCTGCATTCAGTGTTGGGTCGACATGCTGCCTGTTGCCTCGTTTGTTTACTGCTGTACAAGTACCAGCTCGCAATTAAGATGTACCAACCCGTACAGCAACGATGTCTGGGACGAGAACTACCGCGGTGAATACTTCATCTCCTGACCCGTGAGGTGTTTGCACGGAGAACCCAGCCCGTCGGGAAATGAGAAGAGCAACGGCTCCCGTAACGTGTATTACGCAGGAAAGGATGACCCCAGCTAGACGCTCCAGGCAAACACGGAGCAGGGAATGGCACTTTGCCTCCAAGTTGACTATCACGGTTCTCAAGGGTATGGGAGTTTCATTTACAGATATCGCGTTCGACGACATGAGAGGGCAGCTAGCTCTCCCCGCAGACAGGAAGGGCGAATATCAAATCCACCTCATCCTGTGGTTTTGTTACGGAAACGCAACCAGGCGCTGGTGTCGAATGGCACCCCGTGCCGCAAGTAAACATTGTTTTTTTTTTTTGTCGTCCGTATGATCCTAGGCAAGGATGAAGGGGTCTCGAGCATCAGATGATCTGGGTTGTTTCCCAATCCCAGCGCTGATCGATCGAGCGAGCCGCCGCGCGGGCATCAGCAAACTGGACGGACGGCTGGAGTACCGGAGCCACTCACACGCCCACATGGGAGCCAAGCTGATACACGCACCTTCTCCTTCTCCCCATGCAAACCGAGAATTTCTCCAGTCCCAAACGGGCCCCCCCGGGCCGCGGCCAACTGTATCCTTCCCAGGCCGCTGGTCGACGGTCTGTTTCAAAACCGGGTGTGAAAGGGAAAAAAAACAAGCAATAAGCAGGAAACCTGGTCCACAGAATAGATTGCCCGCTGGGGTCAATGCCCGCACTTGCATCGGGTCAGACAAAAATGCCTCCTCACTGGGGATACTAAAGCATGTAAGGAAAGGCGAATCGGAAGGCGAACACGAACAATTTGCGAGATCTTGGCCCGTTGTCTGGGGGCAGGGAGTGGCCCTGTATCCGTAGACTACGCACATGCATGGTTCGCGCGAGACGCTGCACGCGCGGGACCGACATTACATCCGCAGGCAGATAACTACAGTGTAAGGACGGGAATTCTTGAGTTGTTGCGGGCAGGTAGAGCAGAGTGAAACCGCATATACTGTGTATTAATTGCGGCGGGGTCCACGAAACCAGGTACCAGGTATTGGAGAGGAGCCTGCTGGTGCATCCCGAGATATTTGTCAAGCAAGGCTGCCAGGGTCAGTGCACAGAGTGTGAAACTATTGTACCTACCGTGAGCCCGCTGCCGTTGATGAAAGGAGCCTCGGCTCCCCTGCTCGCCCTGTCTAAAAGCTGAGTGACGAACGCCCTGGACCCCATCTTGATCAATGCACCCTGCCGTCAGGTCCATGATTGCGGGAACACACACGCGGTGGAATCTCTCAGCGCCCTGACCCGCGTCAGGGGGGATGCCATTCAGCCAAGGGGGTTCCGTCACACGGCGACGCTCAGCTTTCGTGGAGGGAGTGCGGCGAAACGCGAATCATGGGAGGCGTAGGTGCAAGGCCCGACTCAGCAGAACTGGAATTGGAGACCTGATAGATCGGTTTCAGCAGTGGATATGGTCTCTTCCTGAGGGGGCCGAAACTGCTGACGGGCACTCCGAAGCAGCCGGTGGAATCGAAGGGATCGAGAGGCGACGCGCCGCGTGATGGGGGGAAAAGACTTAAGCTTATGCTGCAAGCACTTTACCGCTGCCGATCGCGCATCCAAAGTTTAGGTTTGCGCTGTGCATACAGACTATCGCATGCCCCAAGCCAGAGTTTGGCATGCCCTGTGTAAATAGTCGCTGGAACTAAAGGTATCGGGTGTGGGTAGCAACCATCGTGTTAGTTGCCAGGGAGGGAGGGGAAGGGCAAGAGACTTCAGATGGGCGATCGCCGCCAAGAAACGCCACGCCTGGCGCCAACGACGCCTCCTGCAGCGGCGCCAGCGTGGGAAGCCCGTAGCCAAACGTGCCACATGCATGCCGTGCTGTGCGGGCGCCGGCCGTATGCGCCGGGCAGGCTGTTTCACGTCGGGCGGTGAGTCTAGGTAGGTACGGAGTAGGTGCTGCGCCCTCGTTGGGTGAAAGCCAGCCGTCACGTCAAGTTTGGCTCTCTTTAGCGTCGAGCGGCAGATTCCTCGCGAACAAAGGGAACAATGGATGCAGAGGCGAGCCGGTCTGCATTCCAGCGTTTCGCTTCTTCCCTCCCACGGTTTCGAACGACCAAGGAGGGGCGGGCGCTATCGGGTCCCAGCATTGCTCGCTCGCCAGAGAGGGGGTTGTGGATCGCGGGGGGCGTGGAGCCTCTGGGCGTTTCCCGACAGATCCAAGATTGAGACATGGCTTCCTGGAGGGATTCTAGACTCTTCCTCGGGTTGCAGTTGCGAATGGTCTTGGTCATCTGTGTGTTTATGTGCACTGCCCTGCCTCATGTTGCCCAGGTGAGCATTTGTCAACATTTCCTTGTGTTTTGTAGTATTGTACGTTGGCAAGGAAGAGGTGATGAAGTCTCCAAGATCCGGAACGGCACATGGCGGCCATGGGGGGAGTGGAATGCTTGCTGTTGCTGTTGCTGCTGCTGCTGCCCAACACAACACACGACAATCTGGTGATTGTCAGTATCACAGATGCAGGCTTGACATTGGTGTGCTGCCCTCTGGCTTCCGGATCGGCACGGCGCAAGTGTACGTGATTGATGGGATATTGATGGGATGTTCCGTGAGGCGGGCGGGCTGAAGCATGGATTGCGACCAGCCTACTGCAGATTAAAGTTGCAGATGTGGGAATAGGCAGGGAGGAGAATGAAGGGATTGGAGACCCTGGTGGCACAGCAGAGAAAAAGAGAGAGAGAGGCATTAAAGATGCAGGCAACAGACAAATGACTGTTGGGGTGGACGAGTTTGCTCGCCCTGGAAGGCAGCGTTAGTGGGTTTGAGGTTGATGAGATCCAGCAACAGCGGAAGCCCTGCAGCCTGGTTTGCCTGGTCTAGCGCATCTGTGAGGGACATGTTGGTGGACTGACTCGCCCGGGGGGTTCCAGCCAGACGGGCGCTATGGGTGCTGTAACCACCTAATCCCAGTGCTTGTGTCGCACGACCACAGGCCTAGAGCCTGGCTGTTGTTGTTGTCCTTGCTCATTAAAGATGGTCTGCACACATTTCAGCATTTTCGCCATCAAACCCCCCAGTCTTCCACGCACCCACCACTGAGTGCGCAACTGCAGTGCGGTTGAGTCGACCGAGATTAGCTCCGTTTCAGGAAGGGAGCTACACCCACTGGCGGGCGCTGTTTGGTGGGAACGTGGGAGGCTGCAGGCGCCTCTTGGGCGGGAGACCCCTGGCGCTGGGGCCAAGCCTTGACAGCGGTACCTGGATTCGGAAACGATGCAAGGCACCAGATTGGACGAACTAGACAGATTGGATCCCGAGCAGTGGACGGACCGGGGAAAGGAGGGGCGGGCGAGATGGGGCCAAGGCTAAGGCAGGGGTGCGCCAGAGTAACCGGCCTTGGTGGGTGCAGCAGCTAAAAGGAGGGGTGGAATTATCTGCAACTTCACCAAAGGCAAAAAAAGGGGCCCTCCCTCTCTCTCTCTCTCCCTCAGTCCACCAAAGATTTGGTCTAACCGCCCATCCTGTTTACAAGTACTTGTGACGTAGATCTAGTGGAAGATCACAACCTTACTTGTACTTGTAGATGCTCCAGTGCCCCTAGCTGGTGCCAACCCATGACCAGAGCCGATTGTCGCTGCTGCGGGATCTTGAATGGAGCGTGGTCAAACCCGTCTTCTCTCTCACTGCCGGCCCATCACCTGGCCAGCCAGCTCACTCCTCCTGCAGTGGTGGGTGTCTCGAGTGCCAGGAAGGAGCCTGGAAATCCCAAGGCCTAGCCAAAGCCAAGAAAGAGACTTCTCGACGGCTCAAGATGGAACAATAGACTGCGCACCATTCCACCTGGAGAAACCCGCACATGTCTCTCGCAGCCCTGTGTGCTGCAGAGAGCCGCAGTGGTGGACAACTGCCACGAGATCGTCACTGTCATCGCCGTCGCGATGCCCAGCGGGAATGCTCCAGGCGTGGAGTGTCGTGTCATTCATTCATTGCTACTGATCGTCTTTGCAGTGCAGGCCTCGTGGTTCCTCTCGAGGTGGTGTTCGTCTGCAAGCGAACAGGTGTTGACTACTTACTTCATAGCCTTTTCTTAAAGACACCCCCCTTGGCAGCCAAGGTGCGGATGAGGTGCGTCGATCTGTGAATAGTGCCGGCCCTCTCATGCAGATAATCAGGGGTGCCTCCAATCTGCTAATTATACGCCCCGCTCTGTGCGTCCCCTGGCTCGTCTTCCCCCCAGAATTAGAGAGATTTGGCCAGCACAACAGCAGGCCGTGCCATGAATGCCAAATTGACTCCTAAATTACACCAAGGACTGCCCAGAGGGCAACGGGATTAGTCTCTTGTGCATTTACGGGTATGTGAGATGTGTACTGCATGCGGCGAGGTGCCTCGCCCTCTTGTCCTTTCGCCATCAATTGACCTCTCCATCGTGAAGTGCAGTAAGGGATTCATTGCTTGGTAGCAGCAGCAGCAGCAGCAGCAGCAGCAGCAGCAACAAACAAATAAGCTTGGGATGAAGCAAGTGACTAGGTACTCGGCTGAAACCGTTTGCCTGCGAGTCGGCCGTTTACTTCGTTTTTTTTTCTTTTTCTTTTTCTTTTTACTACTCACACCACATCCACATTGCAAAGTAACGCACACACCCCAAGACTAGATCCAAGTCCAGACATACCGACCTATTCACACCCCTGGTCACTCACTTGTCACATCGTGCGCCGTTTTATTAGCCAGGGGACTCCTCTCGTCATCAACTAGAGGTGTGTTTTGCTGGTACGCTACCTAGCTAGCTAATCTGGTGTGCTGGTGTCCATCTCCATCCAGGCTACAATACGCACACACCACTTCCCCTGCTCTGCTTCCCCCTGCTTCTGCACCCACACCACCACGATTCCACTTCGATACCACCACCCTCATCCAACTCACCCACCACTCACCCTGTCATCACCCTCTTCTCACCTTGACCTTGATACACACCCATCTTTGTCAAGGATTCGTCAAGGATTCTTCGTCCCATCTCTGCCCAGGGCGCGCCATTCCCTTTCCAGCCGAGTCTCTGCTACTCGCCTACTTCTGGACATTCATTACCACCCTCATCCCCAGATCCAATCCCTCCTCCCTTTTGCCTTAAACTTGTGTTTCCACCCCTTCACGACCGCTTCTCCGACCTCTTCCCTTCCTTTCCCCTCCAACCAACTTTCTCTACGCTCCTTTTTGGCCTCGGCCCGCTGTCTCATCAGACACGCTTCCACTCCTTGAACAACAAATCCACACACTGCCCTGCGGCGCAACCACCGAATAGCGACAACCTGCTGTCTCGACGATACCGGTAAGTCGACTTGCTGCTCCTCGCATCGCATCCGGGCGGGTCTCAGACCTCCCGAAGCACATCCCCCTCTCCCCTCCCCGCCCTGCAGCCAAAAGCACCTCTACCCATCTCAGACCTGTCCTCATCTGCATCCTGTTTTTGAGAGGGCGCACGTCTGTGACCAGTCTAGTCTGGTTGCGCACCCCTCTCTTCCGTGCGATATATCAGACGAGGACATCGTGACCTACTTCACCTTACCCATCCATCCACCCATCCTGCTACCGCCCACTCTCGCTCTCACTCTCACCCCAAACCCCCAAGATTTCGTGGAACCACCAAGAGTCATGTCATGACCTGGGCTCGTGTCTTTTAAACTGACATTCGTCACCTCCCATCCTTCTAGTCCAGCCAGTTGTCTCTGATTCTCACCTCAGACAAAAGAAGGAAAGACACAAGCCCCTGGAAGAGGGTTCAGAATACTCCGATATCTCGATCAACTGCACGATACCAAGCTGCAATCGCTGGAGCCATTGCCGTTGTCCACCCACACCCTCAAAACCTTGCTCTCTCTCTCTCAATCACCATCCCCAAGGTCCTTGACGGAATTCGGGAACAGCAGCGCTGCACTACCAAGTTTGAGTTGAGCTCGTCGTATATCTAGCCCTCACGATCCTCTCACTTTTCGCGAGAAGATCCATCACCAGTCTCAAGTTTCTCATCACAAAGAAGAACAGCATCAGGTATGTGTTGATTGCATTTCTGCGCCTTGCACCTGCCCTTTCATTGCTTGCACCTTGCACCCAGAAAGGGTCACTCACCCTCACACATGACAAAGCGTCAGGCGTGACAGGCCCTTTGACTGGATCGGTCCTCCTTTGACCATGCCATTGACTCCGTCCGACCACCACCATAATAGCACAAAGGCCGCTCTTTATTTTTCTTGGTCTTGTGTATTTCTCGAAACTTGTCGAGTCAAAGCACATTGCATCATTTGTTGAAGAAAAAAGAGTGCCTTGAGCTTCTGTGGCGATGGACGGGCTGCGCACTCGACTGTATAAGTCGGGGCCAGGGAGGAGGAAATGGCAATCTCCCAATTACCCATTTGCACTCCCTTCTTTCCCATCTTGTCTCTCCTTCCCTTTCCTTGCCCCTTCCCAAGAAAAAAACACACTGCACTATTGGCCTGGCCATTCCTGCTCCAAAAAAGACCAAGTCGAGGCAAAAGCCACCTGGGTCTGCGACTCCATCACGACTTCCACGGTGCACCACTGCCTCCTGCCTCGGACAACTTCATTTCCTTCCATTCTGCCTCTTCTCCGGCCTCCCTCCCTCCCCTTCAACACCCAACATCTTCTCCAACCTCATTTCTGCACTTCGTTGCAGCACCTTCAAGTCCTTGTCTGCGCCCTTCTTTTTGGTGTTTTGGTTTCGCTTCCTTTCCTCTTCGTCTCCCCCTCGCGTCTTGCGCAAAACCTCTTTGGATCGCTCCAGTACTTACTAAGGCCTTAGAGAATCGCCTCTTTTGGTTCTTTTGGTTACTTGAACAGCAAACAAACACAACCTAGACGACAATCACCATGAAGGCATCTCTCTTCCTCGTCGCCTCGGGCGCTCTTCTGGCCATGGCCAAGCCCCTCGAGAAGCGCGTCCTCGAGATCGAGACGGTCACCGACATCGTCTATGTCACTGTCACGGACGGCATTCCCCTGCCCACCAAGTCCATCATCAACGGCGGCCAGCACACCACTGCTGCTCCTCCCCCGCCTCCCCCTCCCCCGCCGAGCACCTCGGCCGCCCCTCCTCCGCCCCCGCCTACTCCGGAGCCCGTCCCTCAGCCCCAGCCTACCCCTGAGGTCAAGCCCGTCGAGATCCAGCAGGCCCAGTTCGCGCCCGCTCCCTCGCCCCAGCCGGCGCAGCAGGAGCAGCCCAAGCCTCAGCCTGCCGTCCAGGTTGCTGATGCTGCCTCGCCCACCGACTTCCCCAGCACTGTCCTCTACCACCACAACATCCACCGTGCCAACCACAGCTGCCCTGCCATGACCTACAGCGAGGAGCACGCCGGCTACGCTGCTCAGTCTGCCAAGAGCTGCAAGTTTGCCCACGACCTGTAAGTTGACTGCTATTCCAAGCCAACCCTCGGTAATGTCTCCTGCACACATGGCTGACTCAAAGTCTCTGTTTTTAGCACTCCCGGTGGTGGTCACTACGGCCAGAACATTGCCATGTACGCTGCTACTGGCGATGTCGAGTCCAAGGGCGCCTCTGCCATTGTCGCTCAGGCTATCACCGACATGTGGTACAACAGCGAGCTCCCGCTGTACCCCGACTCCGGCTACGGCCAGAGCAGCCCCGACATGAGCAACTTTGAGGGCTGGGGCCACTTCTCCCAGGTCGTCTGGAAGGGCTCCACCTCGGCCGGATGCGCCGCTCAGTACTGCCCCCCTGGCACCATGTTTGACGGCATGGGCGCTTGGTTCACAGTCTGCAACTACTTCCCTGCCGGTAAGCTTTTTTTATCATCCTGCTCGTTCCATCCATTGGAATATCTCTAACAGGTCTTGCCTTCAGGTAACATGGGCGGCGCTTATGGCGACAACGTCCTCCGTCCCCTCGGCAAGTCGACTGTCACCGCGTAAGGGGTTGGCACGTAGAGCTGCATGTTTGACGGGATTCAGCCATGCTGCCGTTCAAGACGTCGTTTCTTATGTCTAGCATCGTCGATCTCGGTCTAGGTGGAGGTCAGTAGCCTGGATCGACTCATCGGGGGAGGCGGTCGTCTCTTCTTCTCTTCACTTCTTGTTGTGTATCAAAAATTCTGTACACCAGATCTTTTTCAAGCCTTGACTTCAATTCTCTTCGCCCAGAACCACTTTTATGCGCCTAGGACGCGACTCACGAATCTTTGCATCTTTTTCTGAGAAAAAAACCACCAGGTCTCTTCTGATGAATGGAGCAAATGTGCATCCCTGCAGACGACTCTTCGGCATGATAAAACGGACAGCTTTGATCAAGGCAAATGGCGAATCATGGTTGGGCATAGGGGAAAACATTATGATGGAAATGCACTTATTTTCTACGTCCTTGGGTCCCGTGCTTCTCTTGTCTGTGTGCCTCGTATGTGATCGTGGTGACTGCCCCTCGACCCTTTCTCCCAGGCTACATGGCCTGGAGCATGTTTCTCAGCGGTCTTGTGTGTTTTATTCTGCTCGGTTCTGTCATGGCCAGAGTCTGCATGGTTTCTCGTGGGAAGTATTTCTAGGCCTATTCTACTTAATCAAGAGCTTGTCCATACATCTTTCAGTACTTGGACTTGCGACAGGATGAACATGGTAAGTGCTTCATTTCATGTTGACTGTCCTATTTGCTGCAGATCTCTACCTCACGACACTTGACTGTGGACGCATGTGATATGGAGACCATCCTTCCTGTCCTTGTTCGCCCATCCTTGATGCTGAATCTTGCATGCTGAAAGAAGGGACCAGACCCCGTGATGGACAAGCAAAAGTAATGATGCCACCAAAGTGCCGATCATGCCTACTCAAGCAGGGGTCAAGATAGTTGACGGAAGTTGCATCAGGAGATACCTCAATGTTGATAACGCATATCTCTCGCTCTGTGACTCGGAGGGTTAATCCTATTAGCACGTGGAAACGGAAACGTGTTTGATGGATAGATCACTTGCCACTACTTGTACACCTGCTGCCACCGCCCATGTGCTGGCTGCAGCAGTTGAAACAGATTATCTTCGCCTTCATTTCATAGCACTGGGGGACGGACGGGTCACTCAACAGGGACATAACCTAGAATACTTTTGCCAAGCATTATTTTTTTGTTCTTGCATTTCTGGTCAAAACTAAGAGGCTGAGAACACAAGAAAGGGTATCTTCGAGAATAAAATATCGAAGCAAACAACCATGAAAACACGAGTCCACCAAGTATCGCCGACAAGCCAAAGGAACAAAGACCCAAACCCGAACCCAAAACCATGAACAGTGGCAAAAAAAGGAACAAGGAACCCAAACAAGAACCATCAAAGGCCAATCTCATCACGCAGCCGCCGCAACAGCAGTCCCGCAGCCGAGCCAACCCGCATCCAGAACCGGCGCATCCTTGCACTCGCCCGCCTCGACGACCCTCAAGCCCCGAATCGACAGGCCAAAGTACCGATCGCTGCCGTCAAACACGTCCGTGAGGTCCGTGAACAACGACGCCGCCGGGGCAGGTGCCGGTGCCGGTGCCGGTGCCGACTCCGCCTCGCCTTGGCTGCCGCACAGCAGGCCCTCACCCAGCGACGACTGGAGCGATGTGATGTTGCCCTGGATGCGGTCGAGTATCACCTGCTGCGGAGCGAAGAGCGCCTCGTCGCCCTCTTCAACGTCGCCTTCCTGCTGGATCTGGGCCAGCACGGCCGACAGCTGGCGCGCCTGGAACAAGGCGCTCTCGAGCGCCGCGGCGGCACAAGGCTCGGGAGAGGAAGAACGAGGGCCGAGGATGACAGGGACGGACCGGCGGAGTCTCTTGTCGCTCGCGCCGTCGAGGGGGATGTCCTCCCACTCCTCCGTGACGGGGATCCACTGCGCCCACTGGTTGCCGGGCTCGCCCACCCACTCGCAGTAGGCGAGCTTCTGCCCGGGCCGGTGGCCGAAACGGTTGTCCTGCGGGTCGTTGCCCCCGTCGCCGTTGGAGCCGCCGGGAGCCGAAGGGGGGGGAGGCGGGGAGAGGGCGCCGTCTTCGGCAAAGGCGACCTTCTGCTTGCCTTTGCCATTCTTGTCGACGGGTGCTGCCGGCTCGCCCTCGTCGTCCTTGATCTCGATGCCGGGCGCCGGAGGGGGAGGCTTGACCTTGGGGACAGCTGCTTTTTCCGTCCCCTGCTTCTCCTTGCCCTTGGACGACGGACCCTGCCCAGACGACTCACCAGGCTCGTCGATGACGATCCCATGGCCCGGGTAGGCACCGCGGTACTTGGGGCGTTCCGCGAGCGCCGGCACCGACTGGGACATTCTCGCGTCCGCCTCCTCGTCCGTCTCAGAGTCGGCGTTCCCGCCCTCGACCTCGGCGTCCCACTTGACCTTCTTGCCCTCGGCCTTGGACCCCTTGAGGATGCTCTTGGGCGGGCCCTTGAGCTCCTCGATCGTCTTGCGCATGCGGTCCAGCTCGGCGTCCTTGCTCGCCTGGGCAGCCCACATCTCGTCCTTGGCCTTGTTGACGGCCCGGCGGGCGGCAGCCTCGGCCGCCTTCTCCACCTCGAGGCGCGCGTCCACCGCCCTCTGGATCTCCAGCTCCTCGGCCCTCTCGTCGGCGTGCGTCAGCTTGCCCAAGATCTTCTTGCCCGTCTTCTTGGCGATGTGCTTGGCCACCTCCTTGGCCACCTTCTTGGCCGCCGCCTTGCCCAGCTCGCCCAGCACGCCCGTCACGCCGCCGCCCGCCGCCGCGAGCGCCACCTTGGGCGCCGACGTGATGAGGCCCTTGAGGCTGCTCTTGGCCACGTCCTTGGTCACGTCCAGGACCGCGTCCGCCGCCTTGCCGCTGCCGCGGTGCTTGCCGTCGAGCGACGAGAAGGGCGCGTCCGCGTCCTTGTCGTCACCGACCTTGGGCGTGTCGAAGAGGCCGCTCCAGTCCGCCGAGTCGCGCTCCCCAGGCGCCGCCGTGGCCCCGTCGTCGCCGACGGGCGAGTCCCAGACCATGTCCTCGCCCGTGACGGGGTCGCCCCAGTCCCAGCGCTTCGCCACCTGCAGCTCGCTGTCGGCCTCGACCATGGCGTCGTGCGCGATGCCCGTTATGTTGCAGAGCGAGAACAGGTCGAGCTCCTCCGGGCCTGGCATGGAAGACAAATCGATGGTGGCGGCCGCAGAGGCAGGGTCCGGCGTCTCGGCTGTCTGGGCGAGATCGAGGAGACCATTCATGACGAAGATGTGCGTCATGTTGATCGGGACTGGAGTGTTGTGGACGAGGTACTGTTAGCCCTGATCCCATCTCGCAAGGTGTCATGTATTCATCAGAAGGCGGTGGGAAAGTGCTGGATGAAAGACGAAAGAAGTAAAGAACGAATGAGAGTCTTTTGACCATGTCCAAGAAGGTGCGACCTTGATGTGGCCACTTCGGATCAAAAAAAGAAAAAAAAAAAAAAGAAAACACTTACCGAGGCTGTTGGCCTTGAATCCCTGGTTCTCCTTCTCCCGAAGCACGTCCATGATCTCCGACGCCGACGCGACAGCCACATTCCCGACCGACTTCTCTCCGCCGACCGTCGGGGGTGCGCTAGCGCTCCGGGGCAGGCACCAGCTCGAGCGGCGGGTGCTGCCACCGTCGGAGGCGCCGTCCTCGTCCACTTCGTAGCCGAGCATGGCCACGACGTCGCCAGACCGGTCGTCCACGACCCTGATCCCCGCCCGGCTCGCGATCAGGGGCTTGCCGCCGTCGTCCGCATTGGCGGCCGACAGCCCGCACGCGTGCCCGGCCACGTCCGCGAGCACCTTGTGCAGGAACTGCATGAGCAGGCCGCTGCTGGCGTCGACGGAAGACAAGGAGGGCGCCGCCGTGTCGAGGTGGCGGTGGTCAAATGCAGTGACCTTGACCGCGGGGAGACCATGCTGGGGCACGATGCCCGTGGACAGCGTCGAGACGTTGAGCGCCATGGCCGATACGATGTGGGCCGGGCTGAGCTCGTCCGTGGACGCTTCGAGGAATCTCGGGCTCCAGAATAGCTCGAGAGAGTGCCTTTGGGGTCTGGACCCCGCAGTGGTGGTGGCGGCGAGGCTTGCCGCTAGGATGAAGAAGACGACAAGAGGGAACATCGTGAAGAGGTGGCCCAAGAAAACTAGTTAGGCAGCGCGTTGATATCCAAGGGTAGAAGAGTGAAGATGTCTTCTCTAGTAGAAGAGATGAAGATGTCTTTCGTCTAGAAGAGAAGATGTCTTGAAGGATGGAGGATGGATAGCAGACGCGAAGATGTCTTGGGTGCTCTAGTGATAGAAGACGATGAAGAAGCTGAAGAGGATGAAGAGGATGAAGAGGATGAAGAGAAAGGGAACAAGGGGATGGAGGAGACGGGCTTCTTATAGAAAACGACTGTCTGCGTTCCTCGGCAGTTTCTCCTTCTCTTGTCTGCTTCCCTCTGTTTCTCTCCTTCTCTGTTGTCGTGTTCTCTTCTCGACCCATGTGTTCCAGACGTCCGTGGGGAAAGGACGAGAGCACATATCCTCTCGGTCACAAGTTCCGTGTTCCCGGGGTACTGCGCAACGGGGTATCGTGGTTCCCTTGAATCTGGTACGCGCCTCTCCAGGTTGATATTGGTAGGCCAATCGGATATCTCCATACTTGCTCGTCTTGGATGTGGTTGTCAACACTTCTTGAAAGTACAATATATATAACAAGCAAGTTGTTGCCTGTTCGGCTCTTGGCCCGCGGCAATTCCCATGGTTGTCAAACTATGGCTGGGAAGTGGCTCCCAACATGAGACAATTGTGAAGGGTTTGTTGTGGTGTTTCCGAAAGTCTGTTTATCTGCGCAATTGAACTGCAACTCTGGTTGTGCCCGGGCCGGATTGATAGTGGCAAGTCCGAAAGTCGATTCACTCATTTGGAAATAAGGTAGCGATGCGTGCCTGAGGTAGTTGAAGCGCTCCCGGCCACTCTGCTACTCCGTTACGGTATTGTCGGAGTTGCGAAGACTCGCCCAAATTTCACCTCCCTTTAGAACTGCACTTGCATGTATTTTACAGATGAAACTTACTCACGCCCCGGACTCGGGAGTTTGAGAGCCACCCCCGGAACTCCAGACCCGCGCACCAAGAATAGAAGCATCTAGATCGACCTTCACGCAACACATGAGACACAGAAGTTGCTCGAAATACCAGGCGTGCGGACTTTCCGGCTCCCCAAATGGTGACCGTGTGCTCCACTATACAGAGTTCAGCGCGAAGCATCTGTAACAGATTGTTATTTGCTCTGGCAAGGTCGCACGCATGGCAAAGATGATCAGGATGAAGAGCCAGCGTTCCGTGTGGACGGGGACTGCACTGATTCGAAAGGGCATAAAGGCAGTCCTGGTTCCCGGTCCCCGGAACTCTTCCATCTCCCTTCTCCTTCCCTTCTTGTTATTTTTCCAAGCCATCTTCATCTCTTCTATCCCAAGGCGTCATCTCTTCTTCGAGCGAGTCAGCATCTGTCCCGTATAGCCAGGGCAATCATTTTGCTGTCTTTGCTTTTGTTTTATATCTTGACGCCTCGGAGTAGTCATCAATATGCTGGGCTTCGCTCGCACCCTTAGCTGCCTGTTGGCCCTCACTGCCGCCACCTTCCAGGCCCAGGCCCAGGAGAGCGGCGGTAACCCCAGCCTGGTAGTCCGCAAGGACTATATACATCCCTTGGTAACTCCCGTCAACGGTGGCATCTATCGCCCCGAGACGGAAGTCTTCCACCCTCTAGTGACACGTGTCCCCGAGCCCAGCCCTCCTCACTTCAGGCGCGATGAAGAAGGTGCCAGGAAAGGCAAGGGCAAGAACGACCGCGTCAATGCCCCTGATTCCGCTGCCGCTGCCGCTGCCGCTCCTGCCCCGCCTCCACCGGACAAGAGCGGCAAGATCTCGCTGCACTACTCGCCCATGTTCATCGAGATGCCGCCCGGGTTCAAGGTCACGCCCAAGCAGATCGTCAACTGGATGGTCGTCGGCAACCGCACCCTCATCAACGCGGACCGGCTCATCACCATCACCCCGGGCGTCGGCGTCACCTTCACGGGCTACGACCGGACCATCCAGGGCCGCCTGCTGCCCATGCTGCACCAGATGCTGCTCGACAAGGCGGCCAACTCGTGCGGCCTGGCCGGGTACACCGCCGGCGCCGGCGCCAAGGGTCAGGGTGCCGAGCGGACGTGGCAGCTCATGAGCGCCGTGGGCCTGCGGGCCACGGACCACGATGGCAAGGTCGTCGCGCAGATCGGCTACGAGCTCGTCGACCCGGACGCCAAGGACGACGGCGACGAGCAGCCGGCGGCAGAGGGCGACGCCAGCGGCAACAAGGGCGAGAAGAAGAAGGCGGACCCCGCGGGCTGGGAAAAGGGCAGCAAGAACTGGCACAAGATGTGCCTGTGGTCCAAGATCGTGCCGGACGGCATCAAGGTCCTCCATACCGACGGCACCATGTGGCTCAAGGCGCTCGACAAGTACCGCGGCTGGAACGAGCACTTCGGCCAGGAGCACTACGCGCGCGAGATCGACAAGCTCATGTGGGAGGGCGAGAAGAAGCGCATCCCCATCCATCCCGACCTGCGCGACCGCCTGCTCGACGGCCGGGGCATCCCGAGCCTGTCCGAGGCGGAGATCGACTCGCCCCAGGACCTCGAGCAGTCTTCTTTCGAGGAGATCATGTCGCGGCTGTCGGCCGACGACGAAGAGCGCGAGCGCATGAGGACCAGCACCTCGACCGGACCCCCGGGCGGTGGCGGCAGAGGAGGCCCGCCCACGGACGCGCCCGACGGCCATGACCAGGGCTACGACGCGGACGACTCGGGAGCTTCCACGCCCGAGGAAGAGCAGGAGCTGGCCAGGGCCCGCCAAGAGGACGGGGCCATGGCGCTGCGCCAGGCGAGGTGCAGATGGTTCGACAACTCGGGCAACTGGGAGCAGATGATCCCGACCATCCAGGAGGAAGAGAGGATCGAGACCGACCAGGGGGTGCACATCCTCCCAACCATCCCGGAGGGAGACGAGCCCCCTCGCGAAGAGCTGGACGAGCTGCGCCGCATACCCCCGCCGAGGAACAATCTACCCCGTCTCCGTTCGAGCGGCGTGAGCGGTGCCGAGCGTCTCCGTTCGAGCGTCAAGTTCCGCCGGGCCCTGGACCTCGCCGCGAGGGACGACGACAAGGACAGCATCAACGGCGGGCCGGACGCAGCACCCGCCGAGAACGCCACCCTGCTCCTCACGCGCGCCATGGCCCACGCGCAGCTCCTCGGCGCCGCCGTGGCCTCCCTCCCCGCCGCCGTCAACGACAGCGCAACGCACCCGGAGCTCGCGGCCCTCAAGGACCTGACGGCCCAGCTGCAGGGCGCGCTCTCGCTGAGCGGCGCCCTCGACGGCACGCCCTCGGCCGACGACACGCTGAGCCTGCTCTACATCCCCTACTTCACGTGGCGGCACAACCTCCGCCGCACGGACCCGGAGAAGTACGAGCGCATCCAGGCGCTGCGGCGGCAGAGCAAGGAGGCCGTGCGGCGCGCCAAGTCGGAGCAGCGCGGCGAGCGCTGGGAGCACCACCGCGGCCTGCTGAGCGCCAAGTGGGAGCGCGTCATGGCGGCGCGCGAGCGGCGCAAGGCGGCCAAGGCGGCGCACAAGGCCGACGAGCCGCCCTACGCGTGGCGCGGGCCCAAGCCGCCCGTGCACATGCCCGAGGAGCTCGTCGAGCAGGAGGAGTGGCGCCCGCACGTCGGCGAGCCGTGCTGCGGCGGCGAGGCCCCCACCGACCACGACGAGACGACGCAGCAGCTCCAGAAGCTGTACGACGACCTGCTGGCCGTCGACCACCCCAAGGACGGGCACCGCCGCACCAAGCTCTTCCACGCGAGCTTCTGGGAGTCGACCGTCGACCCCAAGTGGGCGCCGAAGCAGGCGGCCAGCGACGTGCACAAGGCCATCGGCGCCATCGACCACATCTGGAAGTACGCCAAATGGGGCGTGGGCCAGGTCGAGATGGTGCGCTCCCTCACCTGCGACTACCACTTCTCCCCCGGCCACTCCAAGGCGCGCCGGCAGCTCGGGGCCGGCGACGGCGAGGAGGAGGAGCGCAGCGTTGACTTTGAGGGGTGGTGCGCGGCCAACCTCTCGCCGTCCGAGGACCTGTTCACGGGCGAGATCATGCCCCCGGCGGAATAAGGAGGAGGAGGGCAAGAAGGGGTATATACGGTGGACGACTTTGGCGACTTGTTTGGCTCGCTCGCATTGAGTGTTTCGGGGTTAGTTCTCTGCATTATGGTAGCTGTTTCTGTTTTCTCGAGCCTGCTATTAAGGGAGTGGGCGCTTGGTGCTTGACTCATCTCTGTATTTCGATGATTCCCCTATTTCTTGTTCATCTCGATTACCTATTCATGTTAAGATTCATAGTTTTCAAGTCTAGCGTGTTGTGGCTTGGTTTGTGTCAGCAATCACACCCAGCATGAGAAAAGCACGTTTGGAAAGAATCACCACAAATTTTGGACAAGTCCCAGGAAGAAAATGCTCCCAAGAGATCAAGAGACATGGTTGGTGAAAATCGTCTGGTCGTTGCAGTGTGCATGGCCGGGGAATGCTCATGGCCCCCGGTCCATCTCTATGAAGGCCTTGCTTTGCTCTCTTGGGCAAAATGGCCTGTGGTATGAACCCGTAGGGAAAGAAACAAGACACGATCGCGCAAGACAACAAACACAAAAATGAAGCCCAACTCCTGACCCGTTCCAGATTTTTGAGGGATGTGGGGGGAAAAAAGAGTAACGAGGAAATGCAGCGTGGGAAAAAGGATAACAACAAAAAGACCAACACCAGATCGACTCGGGAAGTATCATCCGAGGATCTATATCTCTTTCTTTCTCTCTCTCTAATCAACCTGCTTTTCGCAGCCAATGCGGCCCAGCAGCTCCTTGCGATCGCTGTGGCCGGGGAGACTGACACCCGTGGCCGAAGACGCCTGCCTCTTAACGCCAGACCTCCGCTCCCAGCCCTTGAGGTCAATGTCCTCCACGCCGACCTCCTCCTCGAGGGGCTGGGCCTCTTCGTAAACGAACTCGTCCTCTTCCTCGCTCTCGCCCTCGTCGTCGCTCCGGACGTCGTCGGCACCGGTGCCGCTGATGACACGGACCGCGACCCGCACGATCATGGTGAACCAGACTAGGATGATGAGGTTGAGCACCAGCAGCACCGACAGGAAGCTCCACTTGACCGTCGAGTTGAAGCAGACGAGGCCCTCGCTGTCGACCAAGGGATCGAGCAGATACCAGTTGTTGTCGGTGGGCGGGTCCATAGGCCCCGACATTTCCGAGTGGGAGCCCCTGAAGCAGGCGATGGGCATGACCTCTCCGGTGTGCTTCCAGACCGAGTAGATGACCATGGGGAAGATGACCTGTCGGCAGACGAACCAGCTGGCCATGAAGACACCAAACATGTAGTCACAGAAGTTGGAGTAACCGAGATACTTGGAGCACTTGGCAATCTTTCGGGGTGCGTTAGCATTGTATCAAACAAAAGAGTCCCCGCGGGGCGAGAGTGACCACTTACCGCCAATGTCAAGTCGCCAATGTCCATGAGAATAAGGATCAGGTTACCGACAGGGGTGTGGTGGTAGCGGATGGAGCAGTAGACGAGGGTAATGGTGAGGATGTGGTGGCTGAACATCTGCCAGTGGTCCTTTCTACGGGGCTCGATGTTGACGACGAAGATCTGCTGCAGCCAGAACGCCAGCTGGATCAGCTGGTACCACTTCATAAGGGTGTCCATCTCCCGGTTCGGCCAGTGAGCCCACAGGTTCCTCAGATTCAACCACGCCGGAGAGCTGTAGTAGAGATACTAAACAATATCATTGTGAGCTTTGCGTTTACGGGTGCAACGGTGCTCAGCCAGGGGCTGGCAGGAGAGTAAATCGACCACCTACCACTCCCATGCTCCAGAAAACGGCGCAGTAGATCAAGAGCCATCCCTGCTCGCCAAAGCGGGCCAGCTCCTTCTTCTTGCTGAGATTCCAGCGCCGGGCAAACGGGCTCAGGATGTAGTCGATGGTGAAAGTTCGGACGCCGGTCAGGAGAACGACGAAGAAGACGATGAAGTAGGTATCATCGGAGCCGACACCATAGCGCCCGGTCTGGGGGTTGAAGTAGGAGAGGGTGAAGAACTTGGTCGTGTGGGCTCGGAGGGACGGGAAGAACGAATGGGCGAGGAAGAGCAGGGCAATCAGGTTGAAGGCCAGACCTAAAGGATACGAGTCCAATTAGCTTTAGGGCGCATTTCCAAAACGAGGCCGGCGCTGAAGCAGTGTGACGATGACGGCAGAGCCGGAGGGAGCTGCCATTGGTGACAGCCAGTAGCAATCCCTCGTGTTGGTCGGCGGGGTAGAAGAAGCACGAAACCGCAGAGAGGGCCGCAGGAGCAAGTAGCTTTGGGACTATAACATACCCGTCTGATTGTTGACAAGCCAGCCGGTGAACTGCTCCATGGGACTGACGTTCTTTCTCTTGATTCTGCGCACCAGCACCACGTTGCTCTTGGTGGACGCATTTGCGCGGAGGGGGACTGTTTCGGGACCTCTCTTGCCGGCCATTTTGAGCTCCGCGTTGACAACGTCTCTGCTCAGCGGCTCGGCTGTGCCGTTCTGCCTCGGGGCGGCATCGCCTATTTGATTCGAGTTGATCATGGTCGGAGAAGCCATTGTCGAGAATCCCCAGACCCTAGCTGGAACCAATTGGCTCTGCCAGGCAAATCCAAACGAGCGAAAGGGGGGTTTTCTATCGTGCTTGTCCGGCGCGGGAGGCGGCGGCAGCAACTGGTTCGAAACGGCAGGACAGGGCCAAAGCGGCCAGACGATTTGGGCGCGAGAAAAAAAAAAAGAACCACCAAATCTAGGGACACCTCTGTTGCTGGATGCCGGGGAGGAGCGTGCAGTGGACTCTGTCGAGAGAGAAAGGAGTCGAGACAGGAACAGCAATCCAAAGCACAAACTGTCTGCGGCCGTCTACGAAGTGGAAGAGAAAGTCTGGACAAGAGGAGACCGAGACAATCGAGGTGGTGCTGCGCCAAGCAAAAGCGATTTTCGGGCGTGTTACGCTTGCTGCGCTGTGTTGAATTTCCAGGTGGGTCTGGCCGAGGGGAAGCTAAGGCGGTGAAGCTGTCTGGCCTGGCCGGAGGCAGGTTGTGGCAGGGTTCGCAGCTCAAACTAGCAGGCAATGGCGGTACGAGATTTGCCAAACCCTCTGCAATTACTAGTGGAACACCTAACTAACAGTAAGGTAGGGTCAAGATGTCACCACAGACTGGGGTCCACACCTGGGGGTTCCAAAAGGGGGGGTAGAGAGAGGTATATCTGGCGAGGTTTCTGGCTTGATCTAGGTACATAGGTAGACTTGCCAGGCGGTGATGGACAGGCGAGGGCGGGGAAAGGTCACAGCGATTGGCAGCGCAGCCCGCTCTTGGACTCGGTATGTCCCAATGGAGCAGGACGGTGATGCAGCCATGTGATGCCGATTTGCGCGCACTTCACACACAGCTCGATGCATGCTTCTGCGAGTGTGTGTGGATGGACATGTGGATGTGTGGATGTGTCTGTGGAGAGAGAACAGAGTTGCATGTCTCGACCAGAGCCAAGCGCAGTGCCAAGTCGAGCCTTTCAAGGTTCAGTTGCTTCAACCCGACAAGCCAAACTGTTCATCATGCCAGCTAGTCTGGCTCGCCTGGGTGTTTGGACGCCAGGGGGGGCTAGGTGCTGCAGATGCACAGATCGGCACCAAGCCTCCTCAACAAAGTTGGCTCTACAGTTTGGCTCTTTTTTGAAAGATCAGATCAGTTGTGATGGGTACCTCCTTGTACTCTCAGCGCAGTCCTGGTTGCGATTGGTGTAGTTGAGCAATCGTCTCGCTTCCCCTCTCCCATCCAGACCTCCCCTCGTTCCAATTCTTCAGCACCACACTCTGCATGGCTTTAGCTAAATTCTTAAATATGCAAATGACAAGTCGACAGGACACACCCATGAGGACCAACCCTGCAAAGGTGACAAGATTGAGCAACACCAACACTGATGGTTGGCGCTCTGCCGGCCCTTATCCCCCTCTGTGGCCCAATCAGCAGCCCATTATTCTCCACGGTCGTGCCCCTTTCCCTATCCTGCCCCGCCCCAAGCTCCCGCTTTTTTTCGAGCCAGGGGGGCCGCGCGCCGCTTCTCTCCTTTCCCGGCACCAGCCCGCTAGCCAAGCCGTGCAAGCCGTGGGCCAGCCTCCCTCGCACGTGAAGAAGGACCAGAAGAATGGGTCTCAGCCACTCCACGTGATTTACCTGTTGCCAGAGCTGTGGCGTTTGGGGGAGCAAGTTACAGTGGACCCCCCTTGCTTATTAGGCGGAGGCGAGAATGAATGATGCAGTGCCGTTGGTCAGTCAGCAGGCAGGCAGTCAGGTCAGTTGATGATTCGACGAACCTTCCAGAGAGTCGTGACACTTAGCTCTCCGTCCCCAACATCGCTTAATTTGATCCTCCCTGTGTTTCCCAAACCTAGAGGAAGCCTTCTCTGCTTTTTCTCCCTATTGTGACAGATTGCGGTCCATCATCTCGCTCTCCTTCGGTTCCCGCCCATCCCGCGAACGAACATCATGGCCTCCGCCGCAAAGTACACCCCCGCACCACAGGTCGACCCGGACGACCACGCCGACTACACCCAGGCCCCGCCCTCGTACCAGGCCGACGCCGGCGCCAGTGCCAGCGCCGCCTCGCGCCGCGACGAGGACCTGCTCGCCGGAGGCGTGCCCCGCGGCAGCCTCGACAGCAACGGCGAGGGCGATGTCCCCGACGACTTCAAGTTCGGCGGCTCCGTCGCCGAGGCCACCATCGACATCCGCAACCAGTTCGTCCGCAAGGTCTACGCCATCCTGACCGTCCAGCTGCTCGTCACCGGCGGCGTCAGCACCATCTCCTTCATCAGCGAGGACTACAAGCGATGGATCCAGACGCACCCGGCCCTGGTCTGGGTCTCGGTAAGCTCCTCCTTCCTCCATGATGATGGCTCGTCTAACCAGAACACAGCTCTTCGGCGCCATCGCCTTCATGCTCCTGACCTACTGGAAGCGCAAGTCCTACCCGACCAACCTGCTCTTCCTCTCGGGCTTCACCCTGCTCGAGGCCTACACCGTCTCCGTCATCGTCTCCTTCTACCAGACCTCCATCGTCCTCAACGCCGTCCTCCTCACGGGCGGCATCTTCGTCTTCCTCACCGCCTTCGCCTGCCAGTCCAAGTACGACTTCACCTCGTGGATGCCCTACCTCTTCGGCGCCCTCTGGGGGCTCGTCCTCTTCGGCTTCATGGGCATGTTCTTCCCCTACAGCTCCGTCGGCGAGCTCGTCTACGGCGGGCTCGCCGCCCTCATCTTCAGCGGCTACATCCTCGTCGACACCCAGCTCGTCCTGCGAAAGCACCACGTCGAGGAGGAGATCGCCGCCGCCATCAGCCTCTACCTCGACGTCATCAACCTGTTCCTCGCTATCCTGCGCATCCTGAACAGCCAGCAGAATAACTAGATCACGGCTGGGGGAGTTCTCGATCTGGAGGGAGGAGGTGGATGCTTAGTCAGGAGTCAGAATAAGAGATGAGCCCATGGGAGTACTGTAGAGAGAGAGAAACCAAGCGGCGGATATGTGTGTTTTCCCCCAAAGGCTTTTCGTGGGATTGGGTAATGGCGTTATGATATCTTTCCTTTCAGAGCATGCTACAGTTGTCAATCATGGTTTGTGTGGCTTCAAGCCCATTCGTCGACCAGCCCTGATACTTCACTTCAAAATGACGGGTCGTGCAGTTATTGTTTGTGTTGTGCATACAAGTAGCTTATCAAATACACTGCCTTGATGCTCAGGAGCAAACGCAGTTCTATGCTGTGCCCAGTGCCTTACTAGTACCGCGTTGTCAATCTTGGTGGGGAGAGTGAACTTTGCCACATCTTTCCCTAGCTGATATACAGCAATCATTTTTAAAACACATTTGTTCCTGTCACACGAGGAGATCAAGACATATATAGGGGAATATCTGCATTAGAAGTCTTGTACTAGAAAAGACGAGAGAAACAACAAAGGGGATATGTTTTTGAAGGTTGATGACAAAAACTACAAGCCCGCAGAGGAAGAGAAGAGAGTAAAGTGAAGATCGAGGCCAAGCCCTGGCTGTGACCGGGTGATGAGAGAAGATAAAACCACAAAAAAGGTATTATAATCCACGACACAACATCCCAAATCAGACAGAACTTTTTCTTTCAACATCCCTTTTCCCCTCTCTAAAAAGAAACAACCCCCACGGCCCAGTGAAGACTGGCACGCGCAAAAACAACACAAAATAAGTTCTAGAGAAAGAACCGTGGGGTGGGTGGGTGACCTTCTTGCGGGCTCGCAGAACCCGCCCCTTCGCCTCCATATCTTTTTCCCCTTTCTCACAACAAGAGCAAAATTCATTATCCTTTCGTGCGCTCCTTTGCGGGAGCGGGTCATTTTTTCCGAGGTGAGGCTCCTCCACGAGAAAAGCCCTGTGCGCACCTCGACAGGGTCCTCGCGGGGGAGGAAAATAAAAGGCAGAAAGCAGCGGGGGAATATCTCTTTCTTCAACGCAATACAACAAGTCCAACGCCAAAGGTGGAAGACCTGACCATTCTCCTTTTCGAGGGGCCTGACGCCTGCCCAAAGGGCCGAGCGTTGCGACCCGTTCAAGCCTCGACAGCTGTTCTCGATGACGCCTAGTTGCCGTCGTGCTCGCCGTTGGCCTCGGCGACAGCCGGGGGTGGCGGCGAAGACATGGCGGCAGCCTCGCGCTGCATCCGAGCTTCGATCTCGCGCAGTTGAGACTCGCGGGCCAACAGCTCCTGGCGCTTCTCGTTGATCTCGCGCTGCACCTTGACCTCAATCTCGCGAAGCTTCTCCTCCTCGCGGCGGAGCTGCTCCTCCTTGAGGCGGACGGACTGCGAGGCCAGGTCCTCGGGGTTCATGGATGAGTCGCTATCGGTAAGTTAGCATTTCACTCGTTTCATCCGGGGGAGAACAAGGACACATACACTCCAGCGCCGCCCTCAACGCTCTTGCTCAGCTTCTCGGTACGGTAGTTCTCGTACAGGAAGTCATGAGTGATCTCCTTCAGATCCGCCAGATGGCTGTGCAGCAGGGCAGATCGGATGGCGAGGAAGTCGGAGTGGCGGGGGTTATCAACCTCAACGACACCCCAAGGGTACTGACGGGCGCGGACCTTGCGACCGCCAATCTCGACAATCTCCTCGGATCCGACAATGGCAAACGGCATGAGGCCGCGCAGCTCGGCGTTTTCCTCGACGGTGTCCTCGTCGTCCTCCTCAATATCGTAGGGGAAGTTGTAGACGGGGATTCTGTAGTGCTCAATGTCCTCCATGACCAGCTTCTTCGACTCGGCGAGCTCAGCAGGCGTCAGCGAATCGGCACGACCGATGACGGGGATAACGTTGACACGGGGAGCGAGGCGCTTCATCAGCTCAATGTCGAGCTCACGGAGGCTGTTCTGCTGTCAGTGGAAAGCTCGACAAGATTACAGTAGGCTTCCAGTCCCAACGTACCCATGGCCGGTAGGGGTGATGAAGTAGAGCATAGCATGGACACGGTTGTCTCTGAAGCGAGGGTTACGCTTGATCCGAGACTCCTCGGCCAGAATGTCATCGTATTGCCTCTCGAGGTAGCCGACAATCTCGGAAAAGCTGCAGATAGGGGTCAATTGATATCTTCAGAAAGAGGGATGGGTGCTACGAAACCTACCTGGCCTCGTTGTCGATCTGATCGCCGAAACCGGGGGTGTCGACGATGGTCAGGGAGATGCGAGTTCCCTCCTCGTCAAGCTCAAGTTCTGCAGTCCAGTAATGTCAGCGGGCCGGACGGTAATATTGAGCTAGGCATGTGACTGGATTCCGACATACCGACGGTGAGCGGCTTAATCTTGACGCCCTCCTCGACGTGTGCGCCATTGGGGTCGTCGGACTCCTTATGGTCGAGGACGGACTTGCCGCACAGAGTGTTGACGAAGGTGGTCCGGCCTGCGGGCAGTCGAGAGAGAATCAGCATCGATCACACGTAGGGAACAGGGTTGTGGAGAGCGGCGGCGTACCAGTTCCTGAAGCGCCACAGACCATGAGGCAGAACTGGATCCCCTTCTTGACATTCTTCTTGCGGCGGATCATCTTCTGCATTTTGGCGGCGAGGTGAGGGTTAGCTGGGGGGAGCAATTCAGGAGCGGCAGACGAGGCGCAGGCGACGACGAGTCGGTGAGATGGAATGGGGTAGGTTCTTGGGAGGTATCGTGAGGATGGAAGGAGACAGCACAGCAGAGCAGAGCAGAGGCAGGCCAGGTAAGGGTAGTTTAGGGGGAGTGGAGTCTGAACGTACGGCTGGCGAAGACATGATGGGCCGGAAACCTGTCTGGCAAGTTGAGTGCTTGTCGGGGGGGTGTGGAGAGAGAGAGGGCAGGCAGAGTGGCGTCGAGAAGAGTTAGGCTGGTGTCCGACTGCCGCGAAATTTGTTTCGTTTACGTTGTTTTGTCTGGGGGGTCGGGTGGGTGATGAGGATGTCGCGGTGTAGAATTAGTTTAAAAGGAGGTGGTGGAGTTTCGAGGACGGCGGCGGGTGTGTGTGTGATGGGTGGTACTGCTGGTGGTGGCCCGTCCGCAGATGGATTGGGCGGTTGATGGGGGAGCGAGCAGCAAGGCGGCGCCCGAAATGGATGCAATTTCACACACAAAATGCTGGCTAGTCCAGGCTTGATAGTGCTCAATTGACAGCAGAGGGACGAGAGCGAATAGCCCCTCTCCCCTTTTTCCCCAGTAAAAAACGGACAGCTCCAACGGAAAAAAACCAGAGCTAGCAAGCAAATGGCTGGGCTGGGAGGTGCGACCGGACACGACAGGGGGGAAAGGACAGCTAATTTGAGAGCACGGGCCACCCAGTCTTGGGTACCTGATCAGGGGGCCTGATCTTGATTGATTTGACGGATGAGATTGAGAGAAGGCAAATCAGGGGTCGGGTCGGGTTGAGTAACGGAGCACGGTCCAAGCATCCAAGTACGGAGTGATCCAATCTTCCAAATCTGCCAAATCTGATATACCAGACGTATCAATACAATACCAGATGCCAAAATGCCAAAATGATTCTCGGTACATTACCCAGGGTTTGATCTCAATGGCGGTTCCTTCCTGGAGAGAACATCTGGGTGCTAAATTACTAATTCCTTGTACACGAAGCTTGATTACCCCGCCAAATGTGACAGCCATCTGTCTTCTCCAGTCCCGTCCTCCGTAACTAGAGCTTTCGCTGTACGAAATCAACCAAGGTACCTTAGGTACCTACATAGGTACCTACTTGCCCAGCTTGTGCCAGCTGCCACCAATGACGGACCCAGCAGCTCCAGCCTATTCGCAACCAGATTACCTAAAAGATCGGTAGGTGTATCATTCGCATAAGCTCTCTCCAACCACATCGGATTACATGGACCAGCCAAGCTGTTCTTGATCTGGTTTCAACTCTTCTGTTTACCAGAGTGACTTGCTTGCTTGTTTGTATGATATCTTCTGTTTTTGTCCTTTGCATATTGCAAACTCTGCTCTTGTCTAGGTTCTGCTTGGGCGTGGAACAGCTTGTCACTTCATTAGGCAACCGGATCCCCGTCATCTCAATTCCTATTTGATCTCATACGACACGTCCATCCACCGCGACTCACCTTCCCCGCCGTTGCCTCCCAGACCAGGCAGAGCTTCTCCTCCTCACGGGCTCTACGAGCGCATCTCGCTCCTAGAACCTTTCTCTTCTCACAGCGGGTTTTTTTTTTTAATTTTAGGTTGTAGAGAGTACTGGGTAGAGAGACGGTTCACAATAGCGGCTTCGAGAGCTCAGCTCCGCGTGCAACAGCAACCTCCAGCATCCTTTGGCCTGACTGAACGGGAAGGCGGGTCCCCGGCGCCAGCATTCGTCATCGGGTCAGACACCAGACATCCCCATCCACGTCCGGGCCGGCACAACGCCCAGCTTCAGACAGTATGGACGCAAGATCACCCATTGAGGGTACAAACCCGACAATTGCCTTGTCAATCGCGTTCAATGCTGACTCCAGCCACTTCGCTGTCGGCTTGAATTCCGGATACCGGAGTACGTGTCCCCACCGTGCCCCGTGCAAGCTGCCGAAGACATGCGGACTGACCGGGACCCTCTAGTCATCAATGTCATGACATGTAGGACAGAATCTTCAAAAGGTATGTGCGGTTGTTGAGTCCGACACGGCTTGGGCCTCGCTAACTCTTCAACAGAGCTGCAGAAAGGGGTCGGATTCGTCCAGATGCTAAACAGAACCAACATCCTGGCCATTGTGGGTGGCGGCCGTCGGCGACTGTTCAACCAGAACAAGGTATGTCCGCGTGGTCTTTTCCTTTGGGCTTCCATCGGTGCCATACTGATGCTCCTGTTCAGGTTGTCATCTGGGACGATGGCAAGAACCAGCCCGTCAGAGAGATCACCTGCCTTTCTCCAGTGCGCGGCATCCGGCTTGTGCGCAACGAGATTATCGCCGCCCTCTCCAACGAAGTGCGCGTGTATAACTACCGCAAGTCTACGCCGGAGCTGCTTGCTAGGTACCCAACGGCAGATAATTTCCAGGGTCTGTGCGCCGTGTCTGCGCGCATGTTAGCATTCCCTGGCAGGACTCAGGGCCAAGTCCAGCTCGTTGAGTCGAGGAGTGGCGACGTCAGCATCATTCCCGCACACGCCAGTCCCTTGAGGGCACTTGCCTTCAGTCCGGATGGTGATCTCTTGGCCACGGCCAGTGAAAAGGTTCGCACTTCCCAGGTCTAACTATCCAGTCGTGGAGTCGTGACCGCTCACCATGTTCTAGGGTACCCTGATTCGAGTTTGGTCAACCAAGACCAATGCCAAGGTTGTAGAGCTGAGACGAGGAGCCGATCCTGCCTTGATCTTCTCATTGGCCTTCAACCCCTCAGGCACCCTACTCGCCTCGACCTCTGACAAGGGCACCCTCCACATCTATGATATCCCATCATCAGCACCACGGGCCTCGGAGCACAGTAGATCTGGCACCGGCTCTAATGACTCAGAAACCTCCTCCCTGTGTGAACCTGGTCCCGACATTAGCAAGGTCGATTCCAAGGGGAAATGGGGCCTCATCGGGAAGCTTCCACTGTTACCGCAGTACTTTCGAGACATCACCTCCTTTGCCAGCGTCGAGTTTTCCATCGGCGACGACCCGGACATGGCCCCTGCCATTAGCCAAGAGGCCGCATCGATGGGCTTGCCACAACTGCCCAAGGGCATAGCCGTGTGGCCAGACGAGGATACCGTCATCGTCATTGGCGCCGGGGCTGATGCCAGGTGGGAGAAATTTGTCATCACCATGGGCCAAGACGGATTGCGGACGTGTATCAGGAAGGGGTGGAAGAAATATCTCGAAGACAATTGACAGGCGAGAGCATTGGCGTTCCGGATCTGATGGACTTTGAGGGACACACCATCTATTATGGTGCTTTTCGTTTTTTTTGTGTTTGACACATTGGATCATTGGGAGGGTCAGAAATGGGGTGCAGGGATCAGCGCTGTCAGCGTTCCGATACATGATTTTTGATTGCTACGACACTTAGAAAGCGAGCTCGATATGACTAGGACGCCTGTTATGATGAATGCTGTATGGCTTATTTAGATTCCACCTTGCTCGCTAGTCTCGTGATGCGCGAGGTGACCTGCTCCGGTCTCTCCTCCGACTCCTGTGTCCGTCGCCATCTTCAGAATCGTTGCGATCTTGCCGCCTCCTCTCTCTGTCATGGTCCCGCCGCCTGTCCTGGCTGTTGTCGCGCCGCCGGCGTTCCCTCTCATCTCGGTCGTCGTTCCGGTCCTTTGAATCACGACGCCGGTGCCTATCCCTTCGAGACTCTCTGCCGTGCTCCTTGTCCTCGTCCATAGTAGGCGTTTCGTCTCGCCGCGACCGATGTCTCCTCTCAGAGTCATCGTCAGTGCGCCTCCGCCTCGTATCCCGATCCCGATCCCGGTCTCGCTCCCGGTCCCGGTCCTCACTCCCTTCCCTCCGTGACCTGTGCGACCGATGGTGGTGATGTCTGTGCTTCTGCCGATGGCTCCTCTTCTCCTCCCTCCTCCGCGCCTCCTCGACCTCCTTCTTCTTCTCCTCCACCAGGAACGCCTTCATGGGATCGTCGTCGTCGTGGCTCTCCATCAGCAGCGCCAGCTCCTTCTCCTCCTTGAGCATCGGCCGCCGCGCCTCTTCCTCTTCGCTTTCTTCTTCTTCCTCCTCGCTGCCGCTGCCCAGCCCCCGCGCCGCCCTCTCCCGGCGCATCATGTCCTCCCACCCGATCTTGCCCTCGTCCGGGTCGTCGTCGTCGCGCGCCTTGTACCGCGCGTGGTCGACGCGGATGAGCCTGTCCCCCACCGTCGCGCCGCCGAGGTTGTCGACCGCGAGGTCCGTGCTGCGCTGGTCCTCGTACTTCAGCCAGCCGAACCCTTTGCTCTTGCCCGACTCCTTGTCGCGCACGAGCTTGAGGAAGGTCGGCTCGCCGTACTGGCTGAAGATGGTGATGACGTCGCCCTCGGACATGTCGTAGGGCAGGCCGCCGAAGTAGACGAAGGCCGTGTCGCGGTAGTCTGTGTGCCAGGAGGCTTCGGGGGAGCTGTGTTTGTGTGTTTGCCGGTGTCAGTCATTGGCTTTTGGGAGGGGGGAGGGAGAAAAGAAGGAAAGTTTGATTGCTTACATTCCGGCTTCGATCTCCTTCTTGTTGAGCGCCTGGATGGCGCGAATTTGGTTCATCTTGGACCGGAAGGCTCACTCTGGCGGGTCGCAGAGACAGAGTGTGTCAACAAGAAGAAGTTGTTGGTTTCCAAACGGGAGGGAAGGCTGGTAATTTTGTCGCCAAAAAAGTGACGTCGCGCAAGGCTGCCGTGGGCCTTTTTTGACATGCGCCAAAATGGGAGTTTGGTGGTGCTGAAACGCGCTAAAATCACTGTGTAAGTCGCGAGACCAGGTGACATCTCAACCCTCTCATCAAGGTTGTCTTTCAGCCTTTTCTCCCTTTTTAATTCAGAACCTTTTGGTTTCTGTAAACGCCTTAAGGTGCTCCTCATTTCCTCCAAGACTCACACTACGCCTTACTTGGCGGCGTTGCACCTTTTCTACAGGGAGTGTAAAGTTGCATTATTTAAGTAGGATTAATCAATTGAGATGGCAAAATGATTAGAACCCAGGTCGAAGGGAGACAGAATCATTAATAAATCTCGACGCTTTTGTAGTTGAAGAATTCTTCGAATACTTCCTCCAGCTTGATGTACAAATCTACAAATAGTTGAGTTGGTACATGTAGCGACCCCTGTGTCGGAGTCAAGCGGCCCGGCGGCGTTCGGTAGTGGTCAAATTTGGGGGGTTGCAGGGGTGTTTGACCATTAAGTCAGGGGACGTGATTCTACATACAGGGACCGCCCAGATTCTCCAGCAAATCAACGAAACATCTTTTGCGAAACGCGCCTCAACGGCGACACCAACCCCTCTGTCCAGAGACATCCAAGCGACCGCCTGGCAAACAAGCACTACACACTATCACACGCCATCGCCATATCAAGAAGTCAAGAGGAACCGCCTCAGACGCCCGTGTTCCCCTCCCCAGACCGCTCGCTAGTGGAGGGCGGCGGACGACGCGTCTCAACAGCGACCGCGCCCCAGCTCCGGGGGATGCCCGCCTCCCACGTCCAAGCTCACAGATGCGACACGGAACGGCCTGGCAGTGATGGCTACAAATACGAACAGATTCTCAACGTACACCGCCGCGTCCGGCGGGTCGGAGAGCAAGGATGGCGAGAAGAAGAAGGACATGTGGAGCTCCATGCTCGACTCCGTCGCAAGTGGCAAGCGGCTACCAGAAAAGAACCTGCTGGTGCTAGGTGCGTCTAGAGCAGGAGGCTGAACCTATGTGGGTGTTACGATGCTGACGTGTGGCCGTCTGTGCAGGAGGAACCGTGGAATCGCAACGGGATTTCCTGGAAGCCCTCTCGACAAGCGAGTCCAGGCAAAGCCTCGATCGGCAAAACAGCAAGATCCCGCCCTTTGCCAACAGCTTCGCTCTCGGCTATACTTATCATGACGTTCTTGACGCGGACCAAGAAGGTGACACTCCTCAGCAAGTTCGCACAAGGTCATGACTGATTTCGGTACAGATATCCTCGCGCGCATATCTCTGTACCTCCTGACGACGCCGTCGCCATCCTTCAGCTCCCTGATCCAGCCCCTCCTCACGCCGCAATCCATACCAAACACCCTGATAGTGATCCTTCTAGACTGGTCGCACCCCTGGAGATGGATGAGGCAACTACAGGAGTGGATCCTCCTGCTTCGAACCGTGCTGGTCGGCTTGAGCAACGAGTGCACAGAAGCAATGGAGGAGGTCATGGTGGGCTGGAGGGATCGAGGAAGAGGCGGCGGAACTAATTTGGACGGTACCAGCGCCGTTACCGGTGGAGAGGGGGATGTCGCATTGCCCCTCGGTCCCGGTGAGTGGGAGGACGCTCTTGGGCTGCCGCTCTGCGTAGTGTGCCAAAACGTGAGTCTCCCGTGAGATATTGGACTGGGCGAGAGACCCCGACGACTAAACAGCATGCTAGGCCCAAAAGATGGAAGTGCTGGAAAAGACCCATGGCTGGAAAGAGGAGGAGTTCGATGTCGTCCTGCAGTACATGCGGACGGTTCTCCTGAGGCGTAGGTCTATCCCTGGCGTATCCCATGGACGCACAGCTGACCATCCTTCGCAGACGGCGCCTCGCTTGTATACACCACCCCCAATCTCCCCTCGCAACTGCAAAGTCTCATCCACTCTAGCCTGGGAATCACATCGCTACTGAAACGACAACCCCTCAAGCACAACGTCATCGACCGGGACAAGATCGTCGTGCCCCCGAACTGGGACTCGTGGGGCAAGATCAGAGTCCTGCGGGAGGGCTTCGAGGTCGAGGGCATCAGCAACGCCTGGTCCGTGGACCTCAACCAGGACTTCCCGCTGCCCGAGACCAACGGCGAGCCGGCCGACGAGTCGGAGCTCGCCTCGTCGGCGGTGCTGCAGTACGAGCAGTCCATACAGGACCCAAGCGTCGACGCGCTCGTCCTGGCGGGCCAGAACAGCCACACCACGAAGCTCGAGGTCGAGACGGCCGACACGCAGGCCTTCCTGGGCGAGCAGCTGACCTACCTCGAGGCCCTGCGCAAGAAGATGGAGGAGGCGGCCAGGGCGGCGGAGGGGGACATGTCCAAGGGCGGCGGCACGCCCACGCGCGGCGGCGCCGGGCCGATGGGCGAGTCGGACGGCGGCCTGGCGGACCCGGCGAGCAGGGTCAACGACCACATCGGCCCCGTGCAGTTCAACATGGGCGGCATCCAGGTCGATGCCGACGACATGTTGAACCGTCTCAAGGTGAGTTTTTTTTCTCTTTCTTTATGTCTCTTTCATATGTGTGTGCCAAGACATGGCGGGCTGGGCTGGGGCTGGGGCTGGGCCTGGACAGAGCAGCGCGTTTGTACTGACAGTGTGTGTCTGGTTAGAACCGACAGGCGTATGGATCCTCGCCGGAGCCCGACGACGTGGAGGCCGAGCAGGCGGCCGAGGAGGCGAAGCCGCGCGGCACGGAGCACCTCGAGGCTTTCTTCTCCGGCTTGATGAACCGCAAGGGTGCCAAGGCTGGATAGAAGGGGGTCGACTCGAGGACCGAGATGTGGTGATCAAATTCTACGCCCCAGTAGTCAGCGGGCGGATGTGTATGAGAAGTCGAAGTGCTTTTATTTTCTCGAGTTTGTGTTGAAACGGGAGTTTTTGTAGATAAAGATACCCCCCTTTCGTGCAATCGAAGAGAGAAAGACGAAAAGGAGAATGGAGTGGGCGACAAGACGGCGATGGGCAACTGTACTTGATCTGACTTGTGATGATTGGACTCTGTCTCTACATGGCCTTATCCCATATTCTAACCTTTCATGCAATCCACCCGCCACCAGACCCAAATGCAACAAGAACCAACACAACCCAACTGTACAACAAACGCTACTTTGATATCAATCCCCGCCAAACTTTCGCCAGGTTGAAACAAATGGGAGGGGGGCGATCCAAGCGAGAAGCGTCATCCCACGCATCAAACCTCCTCAAAGTCCTTGGCCGTAGCCTTGCGCCACTTGCCATCCTCAAAGACAAACAGCCCCTTCCTCTCTCCGCCCAGCAGCTCCCCGAGCCCCGTACTCCTCTCCTCCAACCACTCCCCTTGCTTCTGCTTCTCCTTGTCCCCGCCAAGGGTAAGCAGACTCCTCAGCCCGCCCCGCGGCAGCGCAAAGTACCGCGCAACCAGCTCCCCGCCCTCCGCGCCGTCGCCGCCGCCACAGAGCGCGAACCGCCGGCCGCCGAGCCGCGCGCTCACGACGCCCGACAGCAGGCCCGGGAACAGCCAGGGGTGCTGCAGCATCTCGACCTCGAAGGCGTGGACCGTCTCGACGGCGAGGCGCGTGTACTCGCCGTCGTCACCGTCGTCGCCGTCGCCGAGCAGGCCGCCGAGGCGGAACAGGTTGGACGCCGAGACGGCGTTGGTGGACGGCTGCGTCGTGTCCATGCCGTCCTTGAGGCGGAGGATGACGTGCGGCGCCTGTGCGGGGTCGGGGGTGGAGTAGAAGGCGCCGCTGGCTGAGTGGGTGGCCGAGGAGGAGGAGGAGGAGGATTCCTGGCCCGCGGCGGTGGAGGGCCGGGAGCCGGCGGTGCTGCTTGCCGGGGCGGGGTGGTCGTAGAAGAGGGATATTTGGTTCTCTGTGGGTTTCTTGTGTTAGTCTCCTTGGTGATGTTTGTCCCCGACTCGGGGGGATGAGTAGTATAGACTAAGTGACAGAACTTACTTTGAAGCTGGTCCGCCCACTGCAGCCACTCCGCCTCGCCCGTCGCCTCGTACAGCTCCAGCAGCCCGTCGATCAGGAAGGCGTAGTCGTCCGCGAAGCCCCTGGTATCCGCACGCCCTCCGCCGTGGTACATCCGATACAGGACCGCTCCCTCGGCATCCCACAGGTTGTCCCGCAGGAACCGGGCGGCCGCGGCCGCGGCCTGGATGTAGCGCTCCCCAGCGCTCTTGTCGACGCCCGTCCGCGCGAGGGCAGCGCCCGCCCGCGCCAGCGCCGCGATGACCATGCCGTTGTACGCCGTGACCACTTTCGCGTCGACGTCGGGCCTCACGCGCTCGCGCTCGCGGTGGGCGCGGAGCTTGCGGCGTGCCGAGGCCAGCACGGCGCGCACCTCGGCCGGGGACAGGCCGAACTGGCGGCCCAGCTCGGCGGCGTCCTTGACCATGTACAGCACGTTCTGGTTGATGAACTCGTCGTCCGGGTCGAACTCCTGCTCGACGTTGCCGTGCTCGAGCACGTTCCAGTGCGCGGCGGCCACGGCGCTCGCCGTCTCGCCGTCGGTGGCGGACTCGCCCCGGCCGGGCTGGCCGACGACGGCGTCGAACTCGCGCCGCGTCCACATGTAGTAGGCGCCCTCGCGCATCTCGCGGTCGCCGCGGCGGTAGAACGAGTCGGCCGCCTCGCTGGTGGCGAAGCTGCCGTCGGGGTTGAGCACGGGCGCGCTGGTGAGGTAGTCGGCGAGCTCGAGGACGACGTCGGCGAACTCGCCGTCCCTGGCGGGCTGCCTCCCGTCCTCGTCGGCCGCGGACAGCCAGGCGTCGAGGAAGAGGCTGAGCAGGTGGGCGTTGTCGGCGACCATCTTCTCGAACGTGGGCAGGGTCCAGTCCTCGGTGATGCTGTAGCGCGCGAAGCCGGCTCCGACGTGGTCGCGCACGGCGCCGTCGCGGATGCGGCGCAGCGTGTGCAGGGCCATCTGCGTCGCCTGGGCGACCTCCTTGTCGCCGACGACGTCGCGCACGGCGGCGGGGAAGCGCGCGAGGCGCAGCAGGAAGGAGAACTTGGCGGGCGTGATGAACTTGGGCAGGAAGCCGAAGCCGCCGTGGGCGCTGTCAAAGGTGCCGGCCAGCTGCGTGTAGGCCTCCTCGAGCTGGTCGAGGTCGAGCTCGAGGTCGCTGGCGATCGAGGGCTTGGGGTCGGCGGTGCCTGCTGCAGCAGCAGCACCGGTTGCTGCTGACTCGCCAGCAGAAGACGTCGTCGTCGTAGTCGTCGTCGTCGTCGCGGCTGGCTTGGCGGCACGGCGGCGTGCCCCGAGAGTACCCTCAGCGGCGAACTTCTGGAGCTTGACGACGGTGTCCTTGGCCTCTGCGCGGCACTGAGCCTCCCGGTCCTCCCACGACTGCTGCAACTTCTTCAGTATGCCGAGAAAGTCGAGCGTGCCCTCCTCCTCGCTGACCCTGCCGCCGGAGGCGTTGGAAGCGGAACCGGGGGCGGGCCAGTAGGTGCCGCCAAAGACGGGCTCGAGGTCGGGGGTGAGGAAGACGTGGATGGGCCAGCCGGCGTTGCTGTTGAGGGTCTGGATGTAGTTCCAGTAGACGGCGTCGACGTCGGGCCTCTCCTCGCGGTCGACGACGATGGGGACAAAGGACTTGTTGAGGATGGCGGCGACGGCGGGGTGGGAGAAGGACTCGTGGATGGTCAGGCGGCAGTAGTGGCAGGCGCGGAAGCCGATGTTCATGAAGATGGGCTTGTTCTCGGCGCGGGCGCGGTCGACGGCCTCGCTGTCGAGCAGCTGCCACATGACGGGGCTCGAGGCGAGGGCCTGGACGTAGGGGCTGCGGCTGTCGCCGGCGCGGTTGCGCAGGGGAGCGGCCATCTTGATGGGCTGTGAGGAAGACGTCTGCGAATCCGGCTGCGCCGTGAGGGGGCGTGGAATAGAATGACCTGGTCCGGCGCCGGGGTATCAAAGGGAAGAGAGAAGAGTAGGTGGTGGGTTGGGGCGGAAAGACGAGGTAGACAGGATTGGATATCACATGCAGCTCTGGGCCATAGCAATAGCGTTTCTGGTTCTGCTTGTTTCCAGATCCCGATGTGCTTTCTCTACTACCGTCAAAGCTTGAGTTCAGCCAGCACAGAGGCGTTGTACCCAATGTTGTTGGTGTTGCGGCTTATCGTCAGGCGGTTGGTGGGATGGAGGGGTAAAAGTTGACGATGCCTGCTAGCTCGAGGCCCAAAGTTAACTGGGGCGCGAGGGCATTCCGATCAATATCCCATAACTACTCAAGTCAGTGTACATACTGCTTACTGAGGTGTCGAGTCAATCCGGTGGAATGCCCCGCTTTTGACCTACCGGTGCAATCATGGAATTTACCTACGAGAGCAGCTATCATGCATGCCGGACCCCCGGTATCTCGAGTCGGTACTGTTTTCGTTGCCGCTACCGCGAGTCAGTTCCCCCAAGGCCATACACCTCACCCTCCTTCTCCGGCTTACCATCCGGTCCTCCGTCGTTCTACCTGCTCATGGCTGCTCAAGAGGGGTATGGCTGGCCGGTCCGTGCTGGATGCATCTGTACATAATTAGGCCAGCATAGTTCAAGTAGAGGCTCTCGTTGGTTTGTTTCTTTAGGTCAGGAAATGGGACATCAACCCATCAAATGTTTTCATTGTGCATACTGAGTTTGAAGCCCTGTGTAATTGTTCTCTCTGCCTTGCATATCGGCAAGGTAGAGTGAGCATCGGCAGCGACTAGCTTTGCTGGCTACATTCCCATGTGAGGAGATGAAAGCGTCTGTTGTGATCCTATTGCTTGCAAGTGTGCTGTCCGTACCATGCATGGCTACACGGCTCGACTTCAAATCACCCTTTGCGAAATTTAATCAATCTTCTTTGGAGCGCTACTCTCCATGCCTTTCTTGAAAGCCGCAAAGAACTGTTCCTGTATGGAATAACTAAGTATGCCATTCCAGCGAACAAAGGGTGTTTTCTTTTTTTTTCAATTGATTGAGCTGGCATGACATCCATGGATCTCGGGCTCTCTCCGCCCCAGTCAGCTCCAGGCCTCTAGCTACCACCCTGGCCTGTATACGCCCACTCTGCCGGGGGGTCTCGTGCCTTACAGGTCACGTTTGGCCCCCTGTAGTCGCAGCGGCAGCTCTGAGCTTGTGTGGAGTTTTGCTTCTTAGCTCCCCACGCTCCCGTAGCTGCCTCGCTGCGCAGGAGCTTTTCTTCCAGATCCCTCGCCAGCTCCACATTTTCCGACTTCATGACGTTTTCCTCCGCTCTCGAGACGTCAAAATGCCATTTGAGCTGGAGCTGGAGCTGGAGCTGGGCACTATGTACCCAAGTTAGCAGTTTGTAGGTCTGGTGTCCCTTCTACCGCTGCAGACCTTCCCAGATCCCCGATGGTCTATGAAACCCGACCGACGACGGTGGGTTTCAGGTACGCCCATGAGCAGAGATGACGTCAAATAGCTCGACTGTCGTCATAATGGACGAACAAGTATCCCTTTCTTCGAGATAAATAGAGCTTTGCGTCTTCCTCTTCTTGTATCGTGAAGGTCGATTGATCCGTCATTTCCACACCCAAGACACAGAAACAATCTCTTTTGCAAACAAAACAACCCCTCAAACAACCGATCAACATGCCTCGTGACGGAAGCGGACACTCTGACAACGCCATTGAGACCGGCCACGACATCATCCACGGCGCCGGCAAGGAGACCGTACGTTTTTTTTCTTTTTTTTTCAAACAAACCCAGAATGAGGAAGAACACACTAGCTAACACATGTCCCCTCGAACATCAGTCCTCGCACGTCGACCGCGCAGACAAGACCGCGCCCCTGCCCACTCAGGAGGGCGGCGCAGGTATCCCCGGCATGAACGCCGCAGCGGGAAGCAGCCAAGGCATCAAGGAGGGAGACAATGTCGGCCAGGGCGGTCGCGGTGACAAATAGCCCTATTGTTGTCTGATGGTTCGTACGAGGATGATGTCAATCCTTCGTGTGCGGACCTCGGGGGCGGAGTCAAACGCGCTTTAAGCAATTGCTCCCACCCATAGCGAGTGTGCTTTACTATATAATAGCGGAATGAAATGAAATTATGAGAAACTTGCCTGTGCTGAAGTTCTTCAATGCTGACTGGTGTTGTCGAGGGCTGTAGGCGTTGGACTGATGGATGCAATGATGAATAGGTGGCGATTGGCAGTACTCACAGCTATAAAATGTTTATTCAAGTAATATGAATAAAATTGCCATGAACATGTTTTCCCTCTAAGAATTAGACGAGATCCTTGAGAAATAGCTTCATATGTCTGCAAGATTTCTACATTTGGTGATGTGAGAGCAGGGTTCCACTTTGCTGGAACGCCTCATCTGGGGCTGAGCGAGCAAATTTAATGGCTTTGTCCAGTCACTTGATTGCATGGCCTCAAATTGTCTGCAGTCTAGCTACCTAGGCAGTCATTCCCAAAACCCCTTCACCTTGGTCCGATAAAAAAAAAGACAATCTACTGCGAACAGAGAATGCGCCCAGCAGCGATTGCCCGTTGTTGTGTCCCACTCTCGTCAAGCACATCTCTCCTGCGTCTCTCGAAAGCTTCCAACTCGTCCTTCAGCCGAACCCTGGCATCCCGAATCGCCATGTCCACTTTCACCCTTCAAGACCACGGAATCCCCGTGACTCTCCCCGACGGTCTCTCCGAGGAACAAGTCCTGGGCTTCCACCCTTTTACTGTTTGTCACACCCGAATACATTGAAGGACATCCCCCACTGACCACATCACAGTCCTGGATCAAGACCCTCACCCACTCCCTCAGCCTCCAGGCGCGGGACACCACGCACCCCTTCCACGGGGACCCGTACCGCCTCCGCTCCGTCACGGTCCAGTCCTTCGACCTGTTCGGCGGCCAGCGGCTCGGCTTCCTGAAGCTGACCTCGGACGTCTCCAACGGCGCCGGCGAGCGCCTCCCGGGCGCCGTCTTCCTCCGCGGGCCCAGCGTGGCCATGCTCGTCGCGCTCGTGCCGGACGACGCGCCCGCGGACACGGACGAGCGGTACGCCCTGCTCACGGTGCAGCCGCGCGTGGCGGCCGGCAGCCTGGCGCTGGCGGAGCTGCCGGCCGGCATGGTCGACGACGAGGGCCAGTTCGCGGGCGCCGCGGCCCGGGAGATCCGCGAGGAGCTCGGGCTCGAGATCCCGGCCCGCGAGCTGCGGGACCTCACCGCGCTGGCCCTGCGGGGTGCGGAGCAGGGGGGGGAAGAAGGAGGGGAGGGGGAGGAGGACCTGGCCAGGGCGGTGTACCCTTCGCCGGGGGGCTGCGACGAGTTCATCCCCGTCTACTACCACGAGCGGCGGGTGCCGCGGGCGCAGCTGGGCGAGTGGACGGGCCGGCTGACGGGGCTGCGGGACCACGGGGAGAAGATCACGCTCAAGCTGGTCCGGATGCAGGACCTGTGGCGCGAGGGCGCGCGGGACGCAAAGTGCCTCGCGGCGCTGGCCTTGTGGGAGGCGCTCCGCCGGGAGAAGAAGCTCTGAGGGCTGGCTGGCTGGCTGGCTGGCTGGTTTGATCATCCGTTTTGTCTACGGGGGCCAAGGCACACAAATTCTGATGTTTTTACAATGGTCTATTGGGGCGTCTGAGGATTCTTTGTTTTTCTACACGACCTTGAACCGCTTGGCGATCTCTAGGCCTTCGGCCAAGGTGCCTACGCGGGCGTCGATGGCATATCCCTCGGCCTCCAACTTCTTGCACTCGTCCCACATGGTGGCGAGGGGCACGTGGAAGACCTCGATGAACTCGTTGTCCTCGAGCTGGGGCTCTGGGTCCTGGTTCTCGGGCAGGCTCATGTCGATGGTGACATGGACCATGCGCGTGTTGGTGTTGCAGAAGCCGGGGTCTACGTGGCGAGCGGGGGGGGGGAGTGATTTAGCATGCAATGGCAGGAGGAGGAGGACGGAGGAAGAGAGAGTGCGAGTGCTGACCGTTGAACATGATGGGCGACGACTCGGTCACGTTGCCGACGTAGCCCGTCTCCTCCCTCAGCTCGCGGACGGCGGCCTCCTCGGCCGTCTCGCCGGCGTCGACGAGGCCGGCGGGGACCTCGATGCTGACCTTGTCGGTGGGCGGGCGGTACTGCTTCTGCAGGATGATCTCGGGGCCTGGGATGGGTGTCAGCATTTTGTCTTGTGCATATCGGAGTTGGGGGAAGGTCGGGGTCGGGATTCCGCACACCACGGCTCCACACACACTCTGAGAGGGAGATAATATCATTGTTTCACGTACCCGTCGACTTCTCCAAGATGGCGATGATGCCCACGCCGTCAATGTCGCTGCCCTTGGGCCGGGTGCGGCGCTCGGCGGACTCCCATGTTCGCGTCTGACCGTCCGGGTCCTTGTACGTGATTCTGTGAGCTTGTTTAGTGGGTTGTTGTTCGCAAGCAAAGACAGATGAGAGCGAGCGTTGTGTGCTTGCGACAGGAGCATAAATTGCCCACATACTTCATGAGTTTGGTCCATCGCGCCTCATTCTCGGGCTATTCCGCGTCTCAATCAGTCCATCCCCATCCAACCCGGGGCTTTTGTCCGGCAGAGGCAGGCATGTATCTTTTCGGGCGTACCAGGGGCTCCGCAGAGATGATCCTCGAAGTTGAAGATGATGACGACATGACGGGCAGGAGGCGCGCGTGAAGGCGTCTCTTTAATATGTCCTGAGGACGAAAAGAAGTGAGGGCCTTCCGAGCGGGTTGCGACTGGAACGGTCTTACTCCGATAGTTGAGCGCCGAGATGGACGGAGTAAGATAAGATGGCAAATGCGAGGCGGGATTGGGTGTTGACGTCAAAGCTGAGTGCGCCCTGGAATTGGAGCCTGTCAGATATGTACAGTGGGGGCCGGAGCTGGCAGATGGTGGGGTACCTTTAGGGCTGTCGGTGCCTGGAGTCTCTGCGCCTGGGCTCAAATGAGGTGACCATTGGGCATCTCGGCCCTCAATCTTCAATCTGCCTAATCCAACTACATCAATCAAATATCTGGTGACTCAGCCGAGAAAATAAAAACAACTTGCGCGTTCTGTCCGAGGCCGACGTATGCTGACTACCTAGGTATCTCATTGCTCTCGGTCCTCAATATCTCAAGTTCCATCAGGACGAGGTGCGCCACGTCAATGTTGGCGCGGCTCCTGCAGGCTGCATGTGTGGCCATCAGCCTCCCGTCTGGTGGTGAGGGTGTGCCGCATCATTGCTTCTCCCGTGTGTGTCATCGCAAGAAAAGAGAAGGATTCGCCAGGTCGGAGTTCAGCCGTGCGTGTGCTGTTCTGTTATCAATGGACACGCAACTCGATCCTGAAACGTCGCGGCCGCTAGCCCAACAGGGCTCTGACCATCCCCGGTCTTGCTTACCTTCCTAGATAAGACAAGCCCAGAGCGTCTGTTCTCACCCATGATGACGAGCGACCTCTCCGGCCCAACATACCTTACTTGGACAATGGAATGCCGCAATGTTGACTGACATTTGTTCCATCTTTTTTACTTTTACTTCCCTTGTCTGGCTGATATATCTCGGAGAACATCTTCATACCTAATATTCCATTATTTCTTGTACTGTCACGGGCCATTCGCTCCTTCTATCTCTTTTACTCGATCTGTCGTCTCTTGTTCTCTTGTGAGGTGATCCTCAAAAGCCTCACAAGCCACCCGGTTTCCTTGTCTCTACAAGTAATTCGCCATCTGCGGATCGTCGCGAGGAAAAGACAAATGAAAACCGTGCCATAATGGCAGGCCACAACTCCAATCGCGACTATGACGACGACGACGACGACGACCTCACCGCCGTCGGCGAGGAGACGCCACTGCTGCTGGCGGACGAGGTCCCCGAGGAGCCCAAGTTCCTCTACCGCCAAAACGTCACCATCCTCTGCTTCGCCGCCATCTTCCTCGCCGAGCTGGGCATCGCCATCATGACCCCGGCCTGGAACGCCGTCATGGAGGACCTCATCTGCCAGCGGTACGTGCCGCGCGCCGCCGACGGGCAGCTGCTGGCCGACGACCCCCGCTGCAAGGACCCGCGCATCCAGGGCGAGCTGGCCATGCTGCGCGGCTGGCAGGCCTCCTTCGAGGGCATCCCCGCCATCCTGTGCGCCATCCCCTTCGGCATCATGGCCGACAAGGTCGGGCGCAAGCCCGTCATGCTGCTGGCCTGGACGGGGCTGCTGCTCAACCTGCTGTGGTACGAGGTCGTCTTTGCCTTCTTCCCGCTGTGGGTGGTCTGGCTGGGCGCCATCCCGCTCTTCATCGGCGGCTTCCCCTCCGTGGGCCCGGCCATGATCTTCACCTGCCTCGCCGACGTCACGCCCCAGCCCGAGCGCGCGTCGGTCTTCTTCCGCGTCAGCGCCGTCTTTCTCGTCGCCGAGCTGATTTCGGGCCCGATCGGCGGGGCCCTACTGCTTGTCCACCCTTGGCTCCCTCTCCTTGTGGGCATGCTCATCAACCTGCTCAGTTTCTTCACCCTTTGGGTGCTGCCCGAGACTGCGCATCTGATCAAAAAGGTCGACGAGCAGGAGGCTGAGGATGCAGCCGATGAGGAGGAGGTGGACCGCCCTGTGGAAGGGACGTGGCACCACATGATGATGACGGCCAAGCGCGACCTCCTCGAGACAAGCAAGTTCATCCTGGGCAATAGGTCCATCGTCATCCTCATGATCCCGATGGTGTTTTACGCGGTAGGCAAGTACGTACAGGAGCTGCTGCTGCAGTACGCGACCAAGAGATACCACTGGACGTGGAGCAAGGCTGCCTTCCTGCTCACGATCCGCAGCAGCAGCAACCTCATCCTGTTGGTCGCCCTCCTACCCGGCATCAGCTGGCTGATGCTGGAGAAATTTCATTACTCGGCCATACGCAAGGACGTGGTGCTTGCACGGTTTTCTGGCATCACCCTGGCCATCGGCTCGCTGATGATTGCCTTTGCCTGGACGCCCGGGGTGCTCTCAGTTGGTAAGACCTCGCCGCTGCACTTTTGTCTTTGCCGCGAACATGCATGCATTTACTGACACTTTTCCTTTTTCCACCAGCCTTGGTCGTCTTCTCGCTGGGGGGCGGATTCAACTCGCTCGTGCGCAGTCTACTCAACGCCATGGTCGAGGTGCACCACATCGCCATCCTCAATGTGCTGCTGGGCATCGCCGAGTTCGGCGGGCTCATGGTCTCGAGCCCGATGCTGTTTGCGGCGCTCCGGGCGGGCTTAAACGCGGGAGGGGCGCTCATCGGACTGCCCTTCCTGATCGCGGCGGTGATGTTTACCATTGGCACCGCGATGGTGTTTCTCTTCAGGGCGCCTGAAGAGCGAGTGACAGTCGAAGATAGGGAGGCCGAGATCGGGAGGGAGGAGGAGGAGGAGGCGGAGGAGGAGCCTTGAAGTCCGCGGGGAAGGGATATGCATGAAAGAGAAGAGAAGAAAAGACAAAGCGATCATACCGGTCTGATTCTGGCACGTCGCGGGGGACCCCTTGGGACGTCCCTCTTGGTCTGCCGGCAGGGCGAGCGCTGCTTGTCTTCCTTACCTTCTCTGACCGCAGTTCGGATTGCACTGGTTGCATTTCGGGTAGAGGTGGTCATGGCCCTCACGGGCTGTAGAGCCATGGTTCGGGGTTTGGTTTAGAGTTGCATCATACTCACTGCATTTAGAGAGATATTCGGTCTGCATATATTTTGGCACTTATTTACTAGAGATACCATACACGCAAATGTACATGACATTTATTTACTGAGATTTCTGCAACCTTCGTGGTACTGTGAACATATCCACACTTTGATGCTTGCCTTTGTCACGGTCAACTCCGGACCTGGCCGGTCGATGACGTATCGATGGAGAAGAAGAAGCTCCCCTTTCGTCTTCTAGAATATGACACCCTTGGAGCTGTAGCGAGCTAAAGAGGGTCGTTCGGCGGAGGACGATGCTGATTGTGGTGAATGCATGTGCGGAATAAGCGTAAGTGAGTGTGGGTGTGGCTCGCCCCTATTTGTTAAATTGAAATTAAACCGAGCAGGGGGGCCACGGCGCGTGTCTTCACGCTTACACACACGTGGGGGAAGGGCAGGAAACCGCTTTGGGACGCGTCTGTTCGCTCGTTCCTGCACTAGTTGAAGTCTTAGGTGGGTTCGAAGGAAAGCACGACTGAATCCCCGCCAGGACACGAGCAGGCAAGGAAGGACCCTGCTGTGCTGAAGAGTTGCTTTGTCTGCGAGATGAATTTTGGAGATGTCCGGTGTTCAATTAGCCCACTTTCGTTCATGGCGGCCAGCTCAGCTGGCATCTCTTCCCTCGTGTATTCCTATCTCCCTCGAGTCCCTCTCCCAAAGAGTACCTCCTTCCTTGCAGTTGAGGGGGAACAATTTAAGCTCCACGGGATGTTTCAGGGCGGGCACATCCATCCCTCTATCCTGGACCATCCGCCACCTCCCGCACACCCGGTTCGCCCCAGCATGCTTGAGCGACCCTGGACCGACCCTCTCCTGTCTCTTTTCCGTCCTCGGCTACCTTACCGATGGCACGATGCCATCCAACGTGCACAACGGTGGGGGAGCTTCGATCCACTGAGGACCAGTACAGCTAGTTAGGTCAGAGATCCAGCAAACAAAGAGGCCTCAAACGATCGCGCAAGGGACTGTGGCCAAGCCCAACCGAGGTGTCAAGCGACTCCGGACCATCTAGCCGCGCATTGCTTCTTTTTCGTCATGCCTACCTGGCCCGTCGCCGCCCTTGCCAGAGCCGCAAGCTCGCTTGTAAGAGTTCAAGACACGGGAGCGGAGTGACGCCTTGATTTACCTAGGGCCATCCGAGACAGCCAGCCAGCCAGCCTCTGCTCGTCTAGGCTTTGCCCTTCTTGATCTGGAGATTGGGCGACGTTGCTTGGCAATTTGGCTCTGGCTCTCGCTGGCGGCTGTAGCTCTTCAATGCCATGCGGAATGCTCATCAGCCACCTCTTTACTGTCCCGCTGGCTCATTGCAAAGTGGACAGACAGCTCCACGTCTGCGTCTACTCCGTAGACATTCAGCATCGGAGGCCAGCAAACAAGAGCCGACAGCGTGCATCGTGGATCTGCACCGTGGAGGGACTCAAAGAGGACGCTATTACGACTGTGACCTTCCCCCGGGACGTTAGTGTCTCACGACGGCGAGCCGCCACGGCCCCGGTCCCCTGACAAGCGTCAGTAGTCCGTCCATGGATCCTCTCAGCTCTGCGCTTTTGGGGCGCTGGTTTCTTGGATCCCCCATAATATGGCCCATGTTTGCACCTCTTTGCCCACCTGCATCGACCCAGTGAGTTTTATGGAGTAAGTTGTCCCATTTCTATTTTATGGACACCGTTCTGCAGAAAGCCAGCTGTGCTTTTCAAGCTGTGTGTGCGTGCGCGCATGTGTGTGTGGTGTTGGGCATGAGCTGCTTGTCGATTATCTCGTTTCTTTTGCAAGGGGTCGCCCGTCCGCCTTCCTCTTTGCAGCTGGCCTCAATCTTACTGTCTCTGAGTGCATTGACTCTGCTTCTCTTTTCAGTGTCCTGCATGGGCCTCTCCAGTATCCGTCTTAGCCGTATTCAAGCAAAGCAGAGCAAGCAGGCATAAAAGGCACAAACACGAGCCCACTCGCTGCCACCCCACACTCCTCCTTTGGGAAACGGTCATTCGCTTTTCGGTCCAGAAACCCCTGAAGATCGGCCTGCCAAACCACACACTCAATCCTCTTTTGCCTTTTCCGGGTCATTGTGCTCGTGGGAGGGAATCCACAGCCCTATCGTTCCCTCGTCGATATTGCTTGTCATTACACCCCCCATCAGTCCCCTCTCTTCTCTTTCATCGTCTCCAGACCCAGGGTGGGCTGTGTGGCTTTTCTTCATTGCCGTACCTCTATTCCTTCCTTAACCTGCTGGCCGGCTCTACTCATCTTGTCGCAAATCCCCAAACCTCTTGGAGGACTGCTCTACTAGCGGTATTCGACTGGGAACTCACTCGTCACTCCTTCGTTGCAGATAACCTTTGCTCCGCTTCGAGCGTCCACTCTCTCATCTCGTCTCACCAACATCCACCACTGCGTTTCGTAGGCGATACAGACGACCGGCCCTTCTCTCGATCTTATTTCTGCCTGGGATCTGCTCCGTGAGCACCAGGCTATCTATCCTCTCATTCCATGTCTATTTAGACAAATCTCTCGGCTCAACTGATCCCACCCGTCTTCACCTCAAGCATCCCTGCTTGCTCTTCTCAAAGATTCATTGCATGGCCTTTGTCACTCCTTTCCCATCATGGTTTCCTTCTTCGGCCTCAAGTTAGGCGGTGACAAGAAGAAGTAAGTCTGACGAATCTCTCTCATGTCACTGATCTTGATGGCCTAACCTCACCGGTGCAGAAAGCCGGACAAGGTTCAAGAGCCTCAAGCTCCGCAACAGCCACGAAAGATCGATCAGAACCTTCTCGGTGAGGGTCAGTTCTTTGGTACCAATGTCAACAAGAAGGGCGTCGTCAATGGCAGCATCCGCTCCTTCTCGCGGCCGGGCACCGCATATTCAAACAGGACCAGCGCCTTCAAGACCACGCCCTACGCCCACGACACTCATAACCTCGCGGCCTCTAGCATGTATGATCTGTCTAACATGAACAACCTCACCCGTGTGCCAAGCTTCACCAGCCTCAAGCAGTCCGCTTCCGACACCGCTCTGCGCGGTAATTTTGGGAACACGTCCACCGTAAGCCTCGGCCTCCCTCCGAGCATCAGCGCAGGTGCGGGCTCGTCTGCTCGCCCGAGCACCTCGCACGGCGGCCAAGGTGCGACGAAACCATGGGTGAACCCGCTCGACGTGCACTTCAACCGGCCTACGCCCACTGGGTCCAAATCGCCACTCGGCCAGTACGCGCTGCAGCTGAACGTTGACAGCGACGGATCATCCTTGTTGGGTGACAAGCCCGAGAATATCGCCGACGCCATCTCAGACCAGATCGACCGAGATGAGAAAGAGGCAAAGGCTCGGGCACAGCGAGCCTTTAGCTCCTCTTCAGGTGTGCGGCCAAAGGACCTGCGCGTCCCATTGACCAGCTCTCACTCTTACCCGTCCCCTCCTGAGTCGGTTACGGGGGAGCGCGCCGTTTTTGCTAGTTCCAAACGACCCATGGATCGGTCCCAGAGCCCTCTCTCCAAAGCGGATGCTAGTAGTGGCCCTCATAGACCGCTGTCTCACGGCTTCAACGGTCCGACAGAGCTGCCGAGCCCACCGATGTCGCAGGAGGAAGACGACGAGGAGCGAGCAAGCTGGGAGAGCAGGCCCATCATCCAGAACGTTGCGGCGAAGCGAGATACGCTCACCATCAACCCCGGACGGCGACAAAGCTTGTCGATGAAGATTGAAGAGCTCGAGAGGACGCTCGTCAACCAGCAGAGGGCCCACGAGGGAGCGGCACGGGCGGCTCAGGCGGCTCAGCAAGAAGCGGAGCAACGATTTGGCCAGGGCGAAAGACGGCCATCTCTGCCCTTTGCTGAGCGAGGACCACGCTCGCAGAGTCCAGCAGGTACGCCAGGCATGCGGCCTCCGATGCATCACGGCGAAGGTCCTCGACCACAAAGCCCTATGGGACGACCGGTACGGCCACAGAGCCCCGCTGGAATGCGAGGTCCTATGGGCGGACCTCGGACCCAGAGCCCTATGGGCAGACATCCACGTCCACACAGCCCGGCTGGCATGCGAGGACCTCGACCGCAAAGTCCGGCCGGCTTCCACGGCCCGCATCCTCATGGTCCGGCCGGTATGCGGGGCCCACCACGTGGCCCTCCGCCTCGAGGACCGCTCCCACGCCCTCGCAGCCCCGCGGGTATGAGAGGGCCTCGCCCAGATAGCCCGAGCGGCATGCGCGGTCCGCTAGACCGACCTCCACGCCCACACAGCCCTTCAAGCCACGGCTCCCGGAATCAGAGCCCCATGGCCCGGCATCGCAGACCTGAGAGCCCGGCAGGACAACAACCTAGGCATGGCCAGTGGTCTCAGCCGCCGCCAATTGCGCAACAACCTCGGCCACAGAGTCCTTCGGGTTATGGACCACACAACCATAGCCCAGTGGGACGGGAGTCTAGGCCAGATAGCCCGGTAATCAGGCATCCTGTCCAAGTGCGGCATCCGCCCCCGGAGGAAGCACAAGCACCACCGCCTCGGCCACATAGCCCTGCCGGTCTGCAGGCCCCCCGATCCGGAAGCCCACTGAATCAGACTCAGCGCGCAGAGAGTCCCATGGACCCGGATCGGCGGGTCATTTCCCCTGTGAGCCAGTCTACGATCAGCAGTCCGCTGGCAAATTCATTCTCGGCTGCTTCTCTTGGCCGTCCGCCTACGAGCCGACCCCCTCGACCAAAGCCGGATGAGTACGGCGTCCCGCAATCCGAGCGACGAGCACCGCCCGCAAAGAGGCCGCCCCGTCCCAAGCCAGAGGAGGCACCCCCGCCGCGTGTTGCAGTCCCCCTGATCGATCCGCCTCAGCTGCTACCACCGTTCCGGGCCCCGGAGCCCGAGCCCGAGCCCGAGGTCTCGAAGCCGCCCAACTTTGCCCGCCCGCGTCCCCCACCGCTCAAAGCCACGTCGCGGGCCCTCGTCCCCCCGACTCCCACGTCGGCCGACTGGCCTCTGCCGTCTCCGAACGCGCCGCAGGCCTCGAACGGCTCCTCGCCGCCGCTCTCGCCGACGTCGCCGCCGCCGCTGTCACCGCCCCTGCACTCGCCGTCCTCCTTCACGCACCAGCCGCTCTCGCCGCCGCCGCGCAGCCCGGCCCGCCCGATGGTGCGCGCCAAGCCGCCCCCTCCGCTCGAGTTCTCGGCCGAGAGCTACACCGCGGCCGTGGGGCCGGGGCCCTGGACGCCGCCGCTGCGCAGGCCGACGATCGACGGCACGGCGGACCCGGACCAGCGGCCCGTGACGGCCGGCAAGCAAGGAGTGGGGTCGGGGTCGGGGTCGTCGTCGTCGCCTTCGCGGACCGTGGTGCCGGCGGCGGAGAGGGAGCAGTTCTTCGACAAGGGGTTCGACTTTGGGCTCGGCCCGGCGCTGTCGCCGTCGTCGCCTGTGCGGAGGCCGAATCACGGGCTGCAGAGCCCGACGGGGATCGCGGATAACTTTGGGACGGGGTTCATTTGATGTTTTGTGTGTGTGTGTGTGTGTGGAAAAGGGTATTTGAAAATGGGAATGAAAAGTCATGGGATGGGATGGGATGTATGAGGGAGGGAGGGACATACATCATCATGGAATATATATATATATATATATATATATATATATGTACGTTATTGGGCAGTATTAGACAAGTCCTTGGGCTTCCGGGGAGCGATGCATTTGGGATATGATAGATAGATACCACAGAGACGAGATGTCCACCAGTGTCTGGACAGTATTTGCACATGTATATATTATCATCTAAGATTACACTTGCAGCTCATTCGTTGTACATGTAGATGGAGGCAGTCCTTGGCTGTTCTCGGATGTTCACTTTGCAACCTGCATCACATTCAAGAAAAGGAGCATTTTTTTTTTTTTTTTGTCAATTTATGCCATTTTTATTGTTTTTTTTATATATCTTGTTTTTTTCCCCTCTGGTTATTTATCTCTCCATTCCCCCTCCTCTTTTTTCGCCTGTAAGTGATTTGTAGTAGTCTATTTTGGTCATAAAGTTCACACAATGAAGTTTTTTGCTTCGCCATCGCCCACCCCTTTTTTCCTTGTCCATCCCCTACTCGCCCTTTTCCCGCACGCAAACGGGGGTGGGGGAAGGGGTTCGTGCATGCATCGATACAGAGTGTGATATCTCTCCTTCACCCGAGTGCTCTCTGAAACTCCCATCGGCCCTCGCATCGGGTATACCTCTCCACGCAGACCTCCTCTCTCCCAAGCACAAGAAGAGACAGAGCCGCTGGTTCCCAGGATCCCCGACCCATTGCTCCCGCGGGTATGCATATACCACCACAAGACACACACGAGAGAGAGAGAACCGAAGAAAAAAAGGCCCAAAGTCGCATGCCAGACCCGACCGGGGGGTTTTCAGTAAAAGAAAAAAAGGCTGTATGTAGTGGAAACATGTATCTCCCCAGGCTGTGTGCAATCCCCAATCGCTGAGCCGTTCTGCAAAGCCAGACAAGTATGCCATTGGATCTTTTGTTTCCCGTCTTTTCCACCCCCTTCCCCTCCCCCAAGCCCCATCGGTAAATGCAAACATCGTACAAGTGAAGGAAATATAATAACCGCCAGCTGGGTGGGGAGTGAAGCAGAAAAGATAAAAAGAAAAACCCATCGACATCGCTGAGACCATGCCGCTTTGCCTGTAGTCGTTGCCCATGCTGATTGTGATGTAAAGCAATGCAAAATACCGAACAGTCGAATCATCACCGTCGAGTAATCGTACCCACCCTGATCAGACCCTGGTCGGTCTCTTCCATCCACAGCCAACAACCTGGCCTGTGGTTGAATAGACGCCTCGAGTGGTGGCGTCGACACCAAGTCACCCTTCCGAAGCTTGTGAACTGTACTGTTTGACCAGCAACAAACATGCAATCCTTTCTATCGTACACCCCAGCCCAAGGGAAAATCTCTCAACCGGGTGGTCTTCGTGAGAATGAGGCAGAGCTGGCATTATCGAAAATGTCCGACAGCCGGACTCAGCTCCAAACTCATCTCAGGCCTGCCGCACTTTTCAACCCGATGCAGATACTCAAGGCGACCCGCACACCACGGTGACCATCCAGAATGACAGCAAGCATGCATGGTTGATTATGCAAAAATGCTGTCAGCCCCAGGCAGAAAAACGATTCGCATGATATCCAAGTGTGCTGTTGGCTGGCTCTTTTGGCATCTCGTATTGCACGAAGGACGCTGCTTGTCGACCTTCCAAAAACACGGCATCAACCACCCTTGCGCTCGGCATCGTTCTTTGGTGGTGTTTCCCCATGTGACTGGTTGCTTGCAGCATTCTTCGCGTCTCCGCCCTTCCTGCGGGACTTGGGCTTCTGCCACCCGCTCGCGTGATCACTCTCGCTCTTAGCAGCCCGGACATGCCCATTCTCGCGGCTTGCAATGCCATTAACTCGTGGGTGATGCTTCTGATGACCATGGTGTGACTGGTGCTCATTCTTAGCATGCATCTCAGTGGGAGAGGTCTTCTGCTGAGACTTGGGTGTGTCCTTATGCAGCTGTCCATCTTGATGTCCACCGGCGGGGACAGGAGTCGGGGTGCCATTTGTCGCCTGGCCATCGAATCTCCTAGTCACTGTTGGCGATGGAGTGCGCGTCTCGTACACAGGGGACAGATGCTGCATCTCTGGAGAGAAGTGGTCAGCAACAGCAAGATCCAGGGGAGCTATGCCGTTCTGCTGTTGGCGAGACACGGCTCGCTGGCGGCTCATGGGCGAAACCTGGGTCATTCCATTCAGAGCAGGGCCTGGCATGACACCGTACGGTGATGGAGTGAAACCCATATATGCCATGCGCTGGTTGAAAGACTGATAATCTTGCGGAGTTTGAGGAGTCGCCGACGCAGAGCTTGACCCATTGACTACCAGAGGGCGGTCAGGGTACGGGGGGCTATGGTCGCTGCCAGAAGCCGGAAAGGAGCCAGCTTGCTCGAATGAACTCCCGTTCACGCTCGGGCTTTGACTGATGTGAAGAGGGTTATCGTAGGGGCCGATGTCCTCGGAAGCCACGCTTCCACTGACAGAGGGTTGCCGAGCCGACCCGCCTAGCGTGCCATTAACAACGATAGGCTTCTGGGGCTCCTTCAGCAATGTGTTGCCCACGGGCGCGAAAGGAGCCGAAGAAAGAGGGGCCGAGTTGGTACCCATCGAGAAGGCCCGGCTATGCCCAAGCGGCGAGGGGCTGCGCGATGCCCTCCTCATCCGCCGATCCAGAATTGTCTGCGGGAGCTGGTCGGTAGAGAGCCGGCGGCGCCCTTGACCGACGTCGGCAAAGGGAGGGATCGCGTTGGGAATTGGCATCGTCTGCTGTGTGGGCGTGGTCTCGGTCACATAGTAGCCGACATAACGTGTACTCTCTTCCTCTGTGGGAGACTCGGTAATGGCCCCAGTCTGTCCTGCTTCTGTTTCCGAGTCGCCGCTCTCGTCCGGGATGAAGCTCGGAAGCGGCCCTCCTCCACTAGCGTGCCTCGTGGGATATACGGGCATGCCGTTGGGGCCAGTGATGCCAGGATATCCTGGAATCATGGGTATGCTAGGCATGGAACTCCTAGACGCGGGCTGCGACTGAGATCTCAGTGTGCCAGTACTGGAAGGGGCACTAGCATCCGTTGCTACGCTAGACCGGTGCAGACTTCTCCTGAACTCCGGCGCACCGTTTGTTGTCGAAGGGGATGACGGGTATGTGGTGAACGAAGTTCCCTGGCCGGCGTGGGTGAAGTACGGAGCCTGTTGGACAGCCATTGGGTACATGTACAACTCTGGGCGGATTGGTGCAGTCAGCGGCGGGTTGTCAAACGAGTTTGTCCGAGACCGGTCGCCGGACTGTGACGAGGCGCCGCCCTGCATCCGTTGCGCATGCTGCAACGCCTGTTGCTGCGCGTACGCCTGCGAGTGCGTATACTGCGTGTAGAGTTGGAACCGCAAGGTCTGCTCCTGGATCTGCAGGGCACTCAGTGCAGAGTTGATGATGTCCCCGTGGAGGGGATAGTGGCCGTTCGGCGCCTGGCCCTGGTACCACTGCAGATCTTGAGGCGTCATGATGGGAAGACTGGTCTGCGTATACACTGGGTTGTTCTCGTATGCTACGCTCGACGAAGCCCGACGGTTGTTGTTACCATTCCGGTGAAACTGTCGGCCGCCCCGGTAGTTACCCCGGCCGCTGCGGCCCGTCTGTTGCTGCTGTGAAGAGCTGCGCAGGAGGATGGGGCGAGGCGCCGAGGCCGGCTTCTGCCAGATGCGCTCCTCCTCCTTGGGGAAGACGTACTGCTCGCAGCACTCGTCGAACTTCGCTTCGGATATCAACTCATAGGCTCTCCGCAACTCCATGTGGAGTCCTCTGAAAGAGGTGTCGTCGGCCGTGTTCCCCAGGTTCCGCACGGTGTTGAACGGCTCCTCGACGCAGAGCATATTGTTGATAGACCTATGCCATTCCTTCTCCGTCTTGGTGATGGTCTTACCAAGCCGCACCGACAAAGCGAGTTTATCGTAGTCGAACTCGTGAGCGTAGAACTTGAAGAAGTGGAACAAGAGCTCGCCAAGCGTCTCCTTGTTCTCTTTGCCGAAGCCGCGAAGCTTGTTGAGATCATCGGCGAACTCGGACTGCCGCCCATTGGCGGCCGGCCGTTTCTGGTGCGGTCGCTGATGAAGCGCTGGGAGGACGGGAGGCTTTCGAAGTTGAAGGAAGCAGATGATCATACATATCCAGGTGTACGAGCTGAGCGTTCCTCCAAATGCTGAATGGGGTGTTAGCATCACGGATGCTTCAAGGGGTTCAGTTTCAATCAATGGACGTGCCTGCATCATTGATGATTCTCCTCCTTGTCCAGTGCTTGATAATCATGGCAAGCGGCCGGACCCGTTCGTCGATTTCCACATACGTCAAAACCATGCGGGTATTTTCCAGAGCCAAAGTGTTGTTGACATTCATGTCACAAGCCAGCTTGAGCTCTGGGTCCCAGATCTTGACGATGGGCACTTTCGCAGACGAGACGCAGACGACCTTCTCCATGCCACCTTTGCAATGTTAGCCCCAAACACTCCAGGCTTGTCCGAGTACAGGTGGCTGCGCTTACGTTTTGCCAGCAGTTCGGCAATCATACAGACGTTCTCGAGATCTTTCCAATCTGTCGTAATGCAGATATCGACTGTAGCAAAGCAACAAATGTCAGCTTTGAAAAACAAAAGCCCAATACATAGACCAAGCGAGAGAAAGCCTAGTTGAACGCACCATCGGAATCGTCAGAATAGAGTTTGTTCCCCGAGGACCCAAAGAGGTGCACGCCGATGTTATGGCCGGGCCATTCCTCGTTGAATATCTTCTCGAGCTTTGATACAAACTGGTTTCGGTTCTGCCTACTCTCCTCGGTCGGCTTTAACCTGTCGTACAGCTCGCGCATGTCGGTAGTGAGTTTTCGCTCCTCGTCCTCGGACAGTTTGCTCTTGATCTTGCCCAGGTCGCTCTTCTCCAGCCTGTCGGTGCCCAAGCTGTAGGGCATCCGCCTCCTTCCGCGAACGAGCGCCGTCTCGAACTTGCACCCGCCAAGACGCGGCGGGAGGGGACGGAGGGAGGGCAGGGTCGAGTTGGTCTCCGAATAAGCAGACCGCGGCGAGTGGTTTTGGGTGGCGGTGGGCGAAGTCTCGTGGGACTCGGGGAAGATGGAATGATTTCGCGCATGTTGGTGGGGGGTCGAGGGCACCGAACTCGTCTGAGTAGGGGCGTTCTGGGAGGCGCGATGGGCAAGCGGACGGGCGGAAAGAGATTGGGCCGTGTCGCCCTGCTTGGGCGGCACCTTGGACGTCTTGTCCTTGGCCATGGTTACCGCGCGATCGGATTTGTCGGCGTTCTTGTTGACCCTACTCCCATGGCAGTTTGACGACGCGCCGGAGGGCTTTCCGTTCTGCGAATCCTTGTTCGACGCTTTGGAGACTGACCGAGCTCTCGGGGCGGCTTGGATGTGCGGGGCGGACACGACGGGGGGGAGCGGAGGAGTGGTGAGCCCGCCGCCGCCACCTCTGCCGGGAGAGATGAGCCGGTTGTAGTTCAGAAGCTGAGCCTGGTAGTGTTGGGGGAACAGGATGGGAAGCAAGTCGAGGTGCGATTGCGGCTGGTAGCTGGCCGGTTTGTCGGGGAGCGATTTGTGACCCGGTGTGGACGATGCAGAAGACACCCGAGAGGAGGAGGACCACGGTGTGGTAGGAGGGTAATGATGCTTGATTTCCGTGGTCGTGGACTGGCTATCCATCAGGGCTGCCCCAAACAGGCTCCCGGAGAGAGTGCAAGTTTGGTTGTACGTCGAGAGGAACAAGCGACGCTAAGCATGTGCGAGATGCAAGACTGGCCAAAAGGGGGGGTTTTCGGCGAGGTGACGAGAAACGAAGCCCAGGCGAGCCCAGGAAAATGCAATGTCGTGGCGTGCGTGGCTGTCCGAATCGGGCGGTCACTAAAAACAGATCTACTGTAGGTAGCCAAGGGTATCTAGGAACTGCCGTGAAAACGATTGCTGGTGCTCCGATGCAGGGAAAGGAGGAGTCGAGTGGGAAGAGAAATAAAGTCAAAGGGAACCGGGCCTGAGGAGGCAAAGATGAATGGTGGAATAGGAGCCGGGTTTGAAATATACAGACAAGCTCTCGCTCTCTGCAGGCAAGAGAGAAAGAAACCAGAAGTGAAAAGAGCGAGGGTTGTGAAGACCGCACAGAGTCGCGCGGTCGAGCCAAACGATTGTCCGAAGAAGAATGATCCGACCGGTGCGGGCGTGCAGTCGCTCAAAGCTATTTCGAAGAAAGAGTCGCCTAGGTCGCTTTTGAGGGCGCAAGGGTCGCGTAGAAAAGGAGCGCTGCAACGGGGGGGCCGATGGAGTGGTTCACCGGTGACTGCAGCAGGTCAAGCTCGTCGATGTCGGTCCTGGGTTTCGTCCGAGAGAGTGCAGAAAGGGAAGAGGACAAGGTGGTTTCCTCACACTCTCTGCCTGGCTGTGATGGAGGAGTGAGTAGAGTGGTGTAGAGAAGAGGTGTGGAGGAGGATGTGACGAGAGAGAGTCAAGACCAGAACGGGTCAGTCAGGTCTCCGCGAGAGAGAGAGATTGGCACGGAGAGCGAGGGTGAGAGTGTGGGAGTGTGTAGCGTGTAGCGTGTGCCCACAGGGACAAGTGCAGCTGCAGGCTCAACTGGGCTGGACAGCTGGAGCAAGCAGGTGGGCTAGCGCGTGGTCGCGGGTCGTTGTAGCCCTGAGGAAGAGGTCCCAGGTCATTTGGCCACCACTGTACCTGCTTCCGTAAGGCAAACCTGGAAGTACCTGGCGCTGTGAGCAGGGCAGCAGCAGCAGCAACTCCCTATGGATAACTAGCCCACTTGCAACAGATCAATGATACAAGTTACAAGCACAGCACAGCACAGCACCGAGCCCACACACGCCGGGACGAAAAGGGAAAGGGCCCCACTGTAAATGCGCGCTGCGGCGACTCTGAGTGGTCGGCTGCCGCATCGAGTGAAGTAGGTACAAGTACTCGGGGGCGAGTAACGACTGAGGTGAGAGTGGAGGGGGGTGGGTAAATGATCCGTATGGGACCCGTACGGCTAGGCGTTAGGTACCACCTCGCCTGGACCAATGCGTGTTGGCCGGGGCTGGGGGGGCGTGGCCACTGTGTTCAGGAATTAGCACCCTCCGATCCATCGGATTTTGTGCCTGGGCGATGCATTATTCCCCGTGATTTCTCTCTTTCTCTGTCCCTCGCTCCGTCTCTCGCGCGCTCGCTCTCAGGACTGCACCTAATATCGATGATGTCTATCCGGCCGATCGAGGACCTACCTAGGTACTTTATTGACTGCCAATGGAGCAGCGAGGGAAAAACCAAGAGACATACATCCACCCTCTCTCACACACGCACCCACTCACACCGTAAATAGCACAATAAACTCGCCTCCTCCTGCGTCGCTCTGGCTGCCCACTTTGTCCGTAAACGAGAGCAATCTAAGATAAAGGAATGAAATAGGCACCGTTACCGTTCCAGGCGCGAGGGAGACGGGCACCAGGAGCAGACCCGGAGGGAGTGGCCTGTCGGGTTTTTTTGCTGGTAAAGCCGTTCCCAGGTTCGCGCCGCTTCTCACTCTCTCTGGCTCACCCACACACGCACGCACGCGTTTCGCACACAGGGACAACACCAGACACACACACCAACCCCGACAAGCGCCAGCAGGATCGTTGTCAAAACGGCCCCTAACGAAAAAGCCAATTCTCCTCTCCATTCCTTGCTCCACGAAAAATACAACAATATCACACTCCCCCAGTCACACCTTCAATTCAAATCATGGACCAGATTGGATGGAGACGGCGTTCTCTAATGAAGGCCAAGGGCCAAGGCCAGCATCGAGTCGTGCGTGCAGGTGGATAGCCATCCGCCGCCTCGTCCTTTGTCCCCTTTGTCCACCGCCCACGCATCGCCATTCCCAATGCACTCTCTCTCCCCCCTCGCCCATCCTGAACCCGATCCACATCATGAACACCACCAGCAGTCGAACGGCGGCGCGTGCAATCGAATTTCCCATGAATCGCGGCCCCGCAATTGTACAGCATGCGATCTAACTACTCCGTACCTTAGGTACCGCCAGAACCCTGGCGGCCGATTTTCCCCTTCCCCTTTCAACCCATCGCCCAAGAAGCAAGCATATCCTGTCGAGTTGCTCGAGGCTCTAACCGGGACCGGATACTTCCATCCATAGACCGCGCTCTGTTGTTTTCCCCATTTCACTTGTCACCCTGGACCACTTACCAGGATCCGAAGCACCAGCACGCGTCTTGGACAGCTACTAGGTAAGTAGGGTTCTCAAATTGATATGGGGAATCCCATGCCATGTTTCGGCATCTCGTGCTGGACGAGCCCCTTTTCCTTCCTGCCCTGCAATCCATCTCGCTACTTGCCAATGATGCTGTACAAGTAAATCCACGCTACCTAGGTAGTTTGCTCTTCCTCTCTGGTACGTCGTACATTGGCCTGTGTCCAGCAAGGTCACCAAGTTCTTTCGTGGATGATCAGCGCCATGGCCCGTATTCAGGGCTGGGAGCTCTAGGTCGCTCCGTATTCCCAGTACTTGTAGACTGACTGGACCCCACCGCCTCTGCCCTCATCCATTGAACCTGGCATTGAGCCTCCTCTACCAGACTACCTCGACCTCTGGGAGCACACATAACTACATAAATACATCGTGTACAACTAGGCTGTACGAAGCAAGGCAGGCCAGTCTCCCCGTGGACAGGAATGGACACTAGATGACAAGTTGCCATCCATCTACCTACTTCGTAGTTAGTGTCTAACAAGTAATCGCACTTCGGGCCACGGGAAACGTTCCGGGAGCGACTGTGACATGCACTCAGCAACATGCTGCTTGCTCATCGCCGCTCACCAAACAGCACAGCACAGCGGGCCAGGCTCTGAGCCACCTGGTCAGCTCTTGCCTCGATTCGCCATCATCCATCATCTGGCATTTGCCGCATCTGGGCTTGCAGGGTACAGCACGCAAACCGGTGCGCGTCCATGGCCCATGGAGAAACCCGCTGGCAAGATCTTTTGCCTGGGACGGTGTTTCGTATCCTGAAGCGGGCACAAAAACGACGAGCTTGCCCCCCCCCCTCCTCCCTGTCTCGCCTGGACTGCTGACGAGGGCGACTGAGCTTCCCGGATTACCACCAGCTGAGCAGTTCGTCCCAAGCTGTGTCACCCATCCGGGATGGAGATCACGGCACCAGGACCACAGGCCCATCCTGCATCCTACCCAAGGCTGATGCAGCCTCACGCCCCAATCATGCGTCAGAGGCGCTCTCACTCCCCTCCCGCACCCTCCTCGCCGGATGCATGTATGCATGCATGCACGCTTGCATCTCCGTACCTGGTCGCCCCTCTCTCGTTCTGTATGCGCGCAAAGGCGAAGTTGCGTGAAGCGTAAGACACGATGACGGAGGGGGTGGGCGCTGACATGCCGGACACCACTCGCCTCTCGCCGCCCGCTGACTGACCTGGATAGAAACCAGCGTCGGTCTGGTTCTCATGCTTACAGTCACGGCTTACGGGATACCGTCCAAGTCGGACTCTGGGGGCAAACAACGCATCAAAGTCGATGGTCGGCGGGGTGGCACAAAGGACATCCAGCAGAACCAGGTAGATTGTCACATTCCTGGAACGAAACCCCCCCCAAACAATCTTCAATTGTACCGCCCAATCGCCGTTATTGCATCTCTTTTCCTCTCCAGGATGACTGTCAGGGTTGTCATGCTTTGATACACTCTGGTCTTGGCGTGAAAACAATTAGTCAATCAAGCAAAACGACATGCTGGAGAGCAGGCATGCAATTTCGTCAGCATTGCAGCGATGCCGCCCTCAGGCTGAGCTTATCAACTGACACAAAAAGGTTATTTCCATCTCAAGCTCCATCTCGCCGGACACTACTCGACAGCCCCAAGGCTGGCCATCTGGCCGGGCAGAGCTGATCAGCGAAAATCGACTCCAGACCCGGCCAATGCATGTCCCGGCCCAATTTCTGCCGGGAATGAAGCAGTTCTACGCCACATTTCCGGGTCGGCCAGAACAAACGGGGAGCCCCCCCAGGCCATGCTCATCACAAAGCATCATCGACTCGTTTTTTTGCCCAAAGAAGCCACTCACTCTCATGCCAGTGCTGCGATGGACCGCCCTCCCCGTCGCGAAGGCCAACAGCCTTTTTTGACATGGAAAATCTCAATCCCCTGTGCGTGCCCCGGCAGTCACCCGGGCCGCCGCCGCTCTGCTCTAAGCTCGACCCCACAGTGCTTAATTTTGTCGATCACCTCAGCATCCCGTTTGTGTATCTGTGTCAAAAAGGCTGTCCAAGGTAAGGTAAGCAGACAGTCTAAGTTCAGATGCACAGATCACAATATATGCGAAGAAGACAAAAATACAAACCCAGTCTCTGTCGAGAGAAACAAGACATGAACCATAGATTCATCTGGCCAGGCAAAAAGTGCTTCCAAGCAAAAAGATGTGGAGAAATTGGGAATCGAACCCAACACCTTTCCCATGCTAAGGGAATGTCATACCACTAGACCATATCCCCATCGGTGATCGTCTCGGCTCCGTCCCAGTGTACATGTGCCATCGGCAGGTTTCGACTCTGACAACCACATCGTGTGCGAATCAACGTCTCTCTATATCACTGATATGAACGCTGGTAATAACTCTCTTGCAAACGCTTCCCTCTCTCAATGATACTTTGGGAGGCATCTAACTAGCACCTTGAGACTAGCGCCAAGTCGAAAACTGTGTGTCAGAATTTGACCTTTGATCCTGGCTGGCTGAATCAGAGGCATGGACACATCTCGACAGTGGTCTGTGGTTGACTTGGCATACTCACAATAACTACCTAGGTATGTGAAATAAAGATTGCATCGTCTCATTCTAAGTAGACTCAGAAGCCCGCAATTTTCTTCCTTCTCATGTTATTCCGGAGCCCAGCCCAAGATGCGTCTCAACACCACATCTGAGAGGCTGCGATACCTCGGGTCCAGCTTCCCCACAAACCCCTGGATCCGTTGAGTCGGGAGCTCTGCTCTGCCAGGTACCCCCTGCCAGGGACTCGCCCTCCTTTTCGCCAGACCCTGACCTGCTCCAGCCTCGTCTTTTTGTTTCGTTAGTGATTTTTCCTCCTAGGGTTCTCGCTCCAGGGGTCTGACCGCCCACTCTCGCCTGGTCATAGCTGCGACAACCCCTGTATCAGGACCCCTAGCCTCGCGTGTGCCCATCTCCCATTGGGAAGAGGGGGCGATTGTTTCAATCGTGAAGGAGTGTGTTTCATCCCATATCTTTGATTCATCCTTCGCGGGCGTTTTAAACAACGATCCTTTTTGCCCTCGTTTATTATTTCCACGGGAGGTTGCTAAGGCTCGAGCTTCTGGAAACCTTCACAATTGACTGAATTCGGTTTACGGACGTACATCAAACCCTCAAACTTCTTCAGAGCAAGCAACCTGAGTTGAAGAAAATCAAGTTCCTCAAACACCCGTACCCAGCACAAGTTGCACCCCCCTCTCAAGCACTTCCCCCGCGCGCCCAAGATGTTCGCCAGCCTAACCACCAAGCTGGCCATGAAGAAGCTCGGCATCCCCAACGACCCCTTCAACCTGTCCTCCCCAGACACCTCCTCCAAGAAACTCACAAAGAAGCAGCCGGCCGCCGGCTCCGTGCCGGGCCTCGACGAGGTCGACGGCGCGGGAGGCAAGGCCTGGCCGCCCGCGTGGATGACGGTCAAGAACCTGCCGCTGACGGCGCAGGCGTGGCTCACGCCGCCGCCGCCGCCCATCCCCGTCGCCGAGTGCCCGCGCGTCGGCGACCTGGCCCCCATCGACCGCGACCGGAAGCTCGCCTTTGGCGGCGGGCGCAAGGTCCTCGTCGTGTTCCTGCGCTGCGTCGGCTGTGCCTGTAAGTTCCCGCTCTCTCTTCTCCTACCTATCTCTTCCAGTACCAAACCTCCTTTTTTCCGAAACTAACATCCACGGGGGAAAAAAAGTCGCCCAGAAGCAGTTCCTCGCCCTCCGCACCATCGCCAACCGCCACGCCAACGAGCTGACCTGCATCGCCGTCAGCCACTCCTCCGAGGCCGCCACGACCAAGTGGCTCGACCTCCTCGGCGGCGCCTGGAACGTGCAGGTCGTCGTCGACGAGGACCGCGCCGTCTACGCGGCCTGGGGGCTCGGGCTGGGCTCCGTCTGGTACGTGCTCAACCCGGCGACGCAGGTGCAGTCGTGGAAGGAGAAGGGCTGGCTGGGCGCCTCGGTCGCCACCTCTATACAAAAGACGGCCGCGCGGGAGGCGTCTCTCGGCTTGCAGCCGCAGCAGAAGCCGACGCCGGCGGCGGGAGAAGGCGACACGGTAGAAGGGCCCGGCACGGTCATGGGGAACAAGTGGCAGGAGTCCGGTGCGTGGGCGGTCGACGGCCGGGGCTCGATCGTCTGGGGCAATAAAGCGGCCAAGGCGGACGACGTGATGGACCTGCAGGCGGGTGTGGCAGCTTTGGGCATTAGGTGAGGAGACCTCGGAGCAAGCTGAGCTGGAGGCGCAGGCTGGAAGGGTGGAGAAATGTGTCATGATATACCCGGAGAGAAAAGGAGAGCGTGTGCTGCGAATGGTTGTTGCCACCTGTGCGCTCTTGTATCATATAGCATTTGCGAGTTCATGAGTATTCCATTGCATTTATAGGCACCTTGATCCAGTCTCCGTAGGCTCCATGCGGTTGCATAACTAGACGCCGGCCGCCGTGTTGAAAACCCGGTACCGGCTGCGCGGCGGACCGTTGTTGACCAGGCTGTCGGACCATAGCTCCGGCACGAGCCGCCCGGCCACCCGCACGGCAAACCCGGACGCCAGCCCGAGGCTCGATATCAGACCAGCCAGCCACACAACCGAAACTTATTGCTTTTTTTTCTTGTGGCATCTTATAGACGTTGGCATCCAGCACTTTCTCACCTCCCCCAATATTCACGCAATACATGTCACAATCCCGTCACGCAAAGAAGGAACACGCAAGGCACCAGCAATAACATCTCCTCTCTTCATTATGGTAACTTCGCTCGGGGGTATAGCCTCGCGCCCTAGGTATGGTTTTTTTCTGACTCCCTTATGTTTTGATTTGTGTTGTGCTTGTTGCGCCGCGTGATTACCGTTGCCGTGAAAATCCTCAAAATGTTTCAAACGATGTCCCCTCCTTGTGCCGTGTAGAACCGTCCCCCCAAAATCAGGTCGAAAGACGAACAACTCCTCCGGATGAAACACTGGAAAATAGAAAAACAATTTGTAAAACAAAGGGGGGGGTAGTAACGAAAACTCCAACCAAGTGACCGTCCAGTCCGTCTCCTCGATGCGTTCCCGTCCCTGACGAAACTCCAGACCGCAAACGTGGAAAGTAACTCCCCGTCGTCGATGTGCACCTCCGATCCTGCCAACTCTGTACAGGCCAAAACAATAACCGCGTACATCAAGAGGAGCTTGGCATGGTTCCCCGGTCTCACTTGAGATCGCGTTGCCGACCACCTCAGAGGCCAAGGCGAGAACAGCGAGAAAGAACATTAAAAGAAATGTACTAGAAAAGGGGAAAGCCATGCATGCCCACTCCACCGACTTCTTCTGTTGTTGAGGTTCCGACCACCGCTTCCTGGCTGTGCCAAAATGCGCCTCGATGCTGAGAGACGGCTCGGTCCAGCTGTTGCCAATGAGCCTCGCCTCACGGATGAGGTAAAGGCACGAGACACAACACAGACGCGGCGGATACAGGAAGAAAGCCAAAACAAAAGTTGCACCAAAACAAACAAAAACAACAGTGCTCTGTAACCAGCCCTTTTTTTCTGAAAATCCCGTGTTGCCCTTCTGAACTGCCAGCCCACCATGGAGAGTTCGACGCCGATGCCGATGCAGGATATTTCGCTCTTCGCATAGACACGCTACCCGGATATGCCCTTTGAACACCTGTCCCATATTGTACTGGAAAGACTTTCCACCGTCCATTACACCCAACTTCGCACCCCCAGCTTCCATCCACCTCGCTGGAGCATCCATCCGCCAATCTTCCTGTTCTCATCAACGCCGAGAAACGTATGCGCCGTGGGCTCTCATCAAGTCAGCGCTCTAGCCCCAGACACTAGCCTGGACTCCCAAGCCAGACTTGTTGTTGCCCCAGACGCCGCCGCCGCGACCGCTCCAGCCCGACATACCGACGGAGGCGGAACCGTCGGTAGCGCTGGTGGAAGAATTGGTAGCGGCCGCACTGCCTGGGGTGCCCTTCTCGTCGCCGCTGTCGGCGGCACTGAAACCGTGGCTCAGAGGCGAGGGAAGCGGCGTAGTCGACCGCTTGTTAAGGGCCGGGTTCGGCGCGCTTGCCACGGAGCCGGCTGAGCCGGCAGAAGGCCGCGTGCCGATCGGGGCAACAGTGCTGCCACCGGGGCCAGACTTGTTGCTCGGGGAGTCGCCGGGCGACGAGGTGCTAGTGCGACTCGAGTGCTGGGCGCCCGGAGCCTCAAACACGCCCTTGTTACCGGCGGGATTGGACTGGGGGCTGGCGTTGCTGTTGGCGCGCGAGCGCTGGTTGGGGCCAGCGGATTGCGATCCAGGGCCGCCTTCAGGGGCACCCTCGGCAGGCGGAGTGCGACCATACTCATAGGCCAGAGGCGAGGGACCGCGGTGAGCGCCGGGACCCGGATGAGGGCCGGGGAGACCGGGGCGGGGAGTGCCAGTCTCATCGACGTAGCCGCCCGTCTCGGCGAACGGACCTTCCCCGTAGAGAGCACTGCGCTGGCGCGCGATCAGCTCGCGACGCTCGTCCTCCGACATGCTGGCAGGGCTGATGGTGCGGTCGGGCTTGGCGCCATACGCGGGGATATCAGCGAGGACAGCTATGAGAGGAGATCGTGTTAGCCAGCACGTTCTGAATAAAAGGCAGCGAAGCGCGCGCGAAGACTTTCCACCTCTACAAGAATCAAAAGTGGTGGTAATGAACATTTGGTGAAGGAAGCAGCAAAAAGAGGATATGGTTTCTGTATGGCCCCTGGTGGAGGGAACTGCTTCTTTCTTGTCTTTGCATTTTGTTTGCGATAAAAGGAATTTGTGTGATGCTATACAGAAGAGGGCGGCCTACTTCGGTTGTATTGCTGCTCCTGATGGTAGTTTCGCAGCTCTCGCTCCCGCTGAGCCGCCATCCTCCGCTTCGCCTGCATCATCTGCTCTGCCTCGTTGGAGCCACGGGAGGACTGGTGTCTCTGGTTGGAGTAGAAGTTCTGGAGGTTCGAGGGCGGGTGGCCAGGGCCACCTCGCGACTCGCCAAAGTCGGGAATCGAGTGGGGTCGGGGGCCGGCGTTGGATCCCTGGCGGCCTTCTGCAGTGGGTGTATTAGCTGAGGGTTGCTGGCGGCAGCAGGGGTTTTGCGATGCAAGAGAGTCCCAGCCATGGTTGACCTAGGCGAACTCACCGTGGTCGGGCCGGTATCTGGCGGCGGCGGGGGAAGCGTTGCGAGCAGGGTTGGACTCACGTCGACCAGGCATGCCGAACATCTTACCGCTCTTGACAAGGTTGTCGATGGCCCTGTCCACCTCTGGAAGGGAAAGGGTTAGCACATATGATTCTGGACAACCTCGTTTGGACCATGCTTTTTGTCTGCCTCCAAGCAAGCCGAGTAACCACCTCAAGGAGCGCAAATCTCGGCGGTATCCGATGCCGTCTGTGATTGCCATTCCACCAAGCCGAGATTGGATATTCACGTACCCTCCAACTGATGAGTGAAAGCCTGCGCGTCTTCTCGAGGGACTGCAGAGCTGGCGCCTGTGTGCGGGAGAATTCATATTAGCTCGGGCTCGGGTCGGACACCTGCAGGGACTTCGGAGCGCAAACGGACCGGAGCGGACCGGGGGAGTCTGGTGATCCCAGCCAGACTGGCCTGCCGGGGGCCATTGCTGTTGCTGATTGCTGTTCTCGTAGTACGACATGGTTGCGCCTGTTTGAGGAGTTCAAAAATTCCTCGAGATCCCCAATTGTATCGTCGTCAATGCGGCGAGAGACTTTCAGGAGAGTCGGCCGGGAGAAGTAGCCGAGGGTCGGGAGGGGAGAAAATGTGGCGCGCTCGATTCGGTCGCAAGGGCTTCTTGCTATGTGCAAAGCAATGTTAGCATCTGCGATCCAAAGGACAAATCTCGACGGGTCCAGTCGTCGTCGCCACTGGGCACAGGAAAAAAGAGGCAGTTGGCGGACTGGATTGCAAATCAGACCGCCACAGCAGTCATGGCGCATGTCCGAAAAAAAGTGTAGTCCCGGTGCGGTGCGTGTCTTTCTGCCCTGACTTTTTTTTTTTACAACGTGCCGGCGCGCGCGACTTCCCCGAACCATTTTTGAAATGTCTCTGGCCTAGCTCGGAAGATATTGGAACGTACCCTTTTTTTAGTAAAACAAGCAAGAATAGAGTCCCCCAGGTATTCTTTTTTATCCCCGGCGGTGCAAAGGAGAAGCAGGAGAAAAAAAAGAAGCGACAAGCCAAGCAAATGCACACAGTAGTAAGAAAGGAATGGAAGTGGGAAAAGCACACCACGATGTGTAGAGGCTGGGAAGGGGCTCGTCTTTCGTCCGTGGGTTTCTTCTTGCAAGAAAAAGACTCTCTTCCGTTCAGAGGGGGGGAAGAAGAGGAGGAGGAGACTCTGGAGGAGCAGCAGCAGAGCAGCAGGAGCAAGGAAAAGGGAAATCAAGGCGGCGCAAAAGTGGTGTCGGTTTCGGGAGAGGAGCAGAGATTATGAGCGCGCAGTCGATGTGGGGCTCTCTCCCATTTGGCTCCCTTTTTGCTCTTCGCTTTCCCTTCTGTGTACCTTCCTGCTACCTGCTACCTACTACCTGCGACCTCCTACCTATCCCGTGGGTCTCCTCTTTTCCTTCCCACACGCATCTTGATCCTTGATCCACCAATTCCCTGGTCGGTGGGCGCCCCTTGTTCCCTCGATGGAGATTTGGGACTCGGGCGTTTCTTCTTCTCCTTCTGGTGTCGTGTCTAACTACTTGTAGTTCTCTCTTGCGGATACATGCTGGATCTACCCGCAGGATGTTCTACAGGAGGCAGGTCCGGTAGTTAGCTAACGAGAAATAGGGGTGCCGAAAGTGCCTGGTGCAGCACAGGGCATCCAGTGTGCTATTGCTTGTGCCTTGTACCTTACTTCTACTGTCTGATGGCACATGTGCAGGCAAGGAAGGACTCGGCCGGGAAACGGGACTCGACGGGATCAAGCAAAAACCGCTGCGAGAAGCACCTACTACAACCGACGTAGTCTCAGTAAGTCTCCCGAGTACCTACTGTACATGCGAGGCGACAAGAGCGTGTGGTGCCAAGTCTGGCTTGCACCGGCAACCCATCAACGGCAAAGCGCAACGTGGGCGTGGAGGGAACAAGAACCCTTGTGGGGGAGGGATGTGGTACATATCATCCAGTTGCTTCACATCCCGGGCGGAAGAACTAGCAATAGGTGGCCGGCGCTCGTCACCACTCCCCCATTCCATAGTGCAAGGCAGCGAGATAATCACTGGTGTGCCACTCATGACGAGGAGTCAAGCTTGCGATTGGACTGCGCGCATTGTCACGACGAGAGGAATACGTTGCTCCCATCATCCACGGCTCAACGGGGGTGTGACTGGCTCCGGGACAAATCACTCCCTCGCTCGACTGGAACTGCCTGCCCAGAGTCGCTCTAGAGTCGCGCATCTCCGAGACGCTAAAAGTCGATACATCTCCTCCGTAACGGCGCCCGGTGGGCCACGGCTCTCTACCTGTACTTGTAGGGGTCTTGATGAGATGTGACAGTTGCTTTTCTCTCTCGTACAAATCGAAAGCATCACGTCAGGGCTAGCTAGCTGATCCGGTCCGGACAGGGGTGTGTGTGTCTTGTACTCCAGTCTGCTGAAGAAAAACGGTTTCGAGCGACAAGGGAGAAACCCCGCCCGGCGTGCCTGGGAAACGGGCAGCATCTCGAGAGCTGTTGAATTGGGATTGTCGGCACCCCGGACAAGGTCCTCACCATCGAACCACTGTCGGTGGTCGTGAGCTAGCACGATGCTAGGTACCTACGTTTGTACGGACAAGCCTGAGTGTGAGTGACCGCATCAGAGGTGGCAGGTAACGTGGGACAGAATCGTGGAGGCTTTCCTTGCCAGACCATCCAGGGTCGGTTCGGGCGGCCAATCGACAATTCCAACCTGCCGCCAGCGAGGGCGGAAACGGTTCTTGTCGCGGGTACTTTGGATCTGCAAGTGATGAGCGCATGCAGCAAGCAACCAAGCCAGCAGTGCAGGTCGGTCATGTACAATCCAAGCACGCACAACCACTCGAGATGACACCCACGGACGCACCCACGCACAGGAGGATAATGTCCCGGGGACAGAACGGTCTAATCTTGGAATGTGACAGGACCGGGACAAGTCTGCTCCAGTTGGGTTAGAGCAGAGCACGAGATGGAGAGAGGCCAGTGGATAAAAACCCCGGCGTCGAGTTTTATTATTATGGAACGAATGGAAAATCGGCACGGCGGTTCTTTTCTGGCTCGTCGTGCTGTGGCCTTTGATCCATTGAGGTTCCCCCCTATTTCCTTCCATTCAAATCTCCTTTTTTTTTGTGTCTACTGGTAATTAGCCCATTTGGCCTCTGCACTTGATGCACCAGCGCTATTCCTCCCCGACGCCAGCGTTTAGGTAGCACACCTGACAACTGGCCCCATCCAAGTGTAGCCAATTTGCCAAGGCTCTAGCATGGCCATCGTCAGTCGAGCAATTCCACCCCATCGCTTATCCTTACCCACCACGCTGCTTCGTCTCGACCACTGGCAGTCGACGGATTTTCTACGGAATCGACGGGACTGTCCTGTTGCGCAGTAGTGCTCGTGTCCCTCTCTCGTCTGTACACACATATCTTTCCCGGATCCCCTTTTCGAGAGTCGAGAGCGCGTTCCCTATCAGTTTACACCGGCGCCCTCAAGCCTCCTCGAGCAAAGGGCGCGACGACGGCCTCATCCTTAACTATCCCTCGCCTCGCCGCGCCCCATCTCCATCCCCCGAATTACTAACAGGGTCGCAAGGGTAGGACCAGATGCAAAAGGAGGGCATCTGTGCGTCATATCTGGCGGGAGAACCCACCCACTAATTAGCTTCCGTCTCCCTTCTCCGTCTCGCCCGACACCAGCAGCCAGCCAGCCAGACAGGCAGACCCTGCCCAAATCGATTCCACGAATGCGCATGCTCATTTCTAGAATATACCAGACTGAATGCAATCTCTCCGACCAATTTAGCCTCTCCTACCGAGATGCGCCGGAGCACCACCAGGCCGTTTTATTTCCTCTCCACCCAGCGCCAGCATCGTGAATAGGGGTGCCATCTAATCTACCTACAAAGGTACCCTGTTACGGAGTAGGTCTCCAATTGCTCTGTCGGCCCAATTCCCGTGCCCTTGGGACATATTCGGGTGGGATGCAAAGAGCCGGGCCCAGGTTTTCTTCAGCAGCGCAAGCGCGAGCCGAGAACCGAGTGCTTGAAACCGTGCTGGAACGAAGTCTGACAAACGACACACATGTCAATCTTCTCAGCGACAAGACGTCAGCAGTGTACATGCGATATGGAGAGCGAATGCGCCTGCATGGGGGGAAAACCGTTGGACATGCCGTCCCCCAGACCGGTGCACCCAACGTCTCGGTAAGGACCAGCCCATTCATGCCATTGGTCCCCTGCCTACAGGTCCGCCGCGAACACCCTGCTTGACCTGGGGCCCAGAGTGGTTGCATGCATTCCACATCAAGACATGTGCAGCAGGAGAGAGAGAAAAAAAATGAGTGACGGATGCTTCGGGCATAGATCCCGATTTGCCTCGTGCGCTTGATGGACATAAACTGCCTCATTCTTCCCGTGTAAGCGGCAGACGTCTGGATACTAAAAGCAAGTGAAAGCCTGCCCAGATAACAAACACATGGCGCAACCAATGGCCCATCACCACCACCACACGAAATGAACTAACAGTGCTCGGCAAACTACCAAGCTCACTGTCGGCGACAGGTGGAAAGATCTCTCCGATACATGCACGTGGATTCTTGGCCGATGGACTGGCCACCAAGTCGTTCAAATGGAGCATCCAACACTGAGTCAGTACAGTACTTGACTCGAGTCTTCCACTCCTTGCTCACGGCATGAGACGCGCGGGAGGGATCGGGCCGTCCAGTTTTGACAAGTGAACATGGCCCAGGGTACCATGGCGCCCAGCAGAAAGTCAAAAAGACCAGCAGGCTGAACGCGCCATGTCTCATGCCAAAACAGCCTTCTCGTCCTGCTCCAGCCATTACGACGACATCTTCAACAGCAGCCGAGGCGAGCCCTCTCGCCGACCAGGCAATTGTTGACTCGTCACACGATGCGACAGCCAGAGAGGCCCGGGTAAAAGGCCGTTGCACCGCGACACCTGCTTGGGCACGTCAAGCCGACATCACCTGTTCTCCCACTGACGCACCGATTCTGTGAGCATCGACGCCATCCCATCGATCATCGACCTAGAGAGCACTCGGCTACCGCCCGGCCCGCCCGCTACGTCTGCTAAGAAGGGCCGAAGAAGGCGAACCCTCGGTCACCAGATTCTCCTCCCAAGCAAGACGCCGCTTGCGGGATTTGGAGGGGGGGTACTCGTCACCCAAACCTGCACGCTCTGCAGCCCAGTAGCACCTATCATGTGTGCTGCAAGTGATCCAATATCGACGAATCTGCCCAATCCGAACGGTGCCGCTCCTCAATCGGGGTACATTGGAGTGTAGGCCTTTCCTTTTCTACGCCCGTCCGGTCCCCCGCGTTCTGTCCCCTCTGGAATGTACATGTAGTGTGGGGTCCCTTTTTGCCTGCCCATGCCCCCGCCTACCCGCGCCACCACTGGTGGTTTGCGCTTCTGCAGCTCCCAAAAACGGCCATCCTGATCCTCGAGATATCAGGTTTTCTCGACAAGTAGCCCCCGTTCCTCACGCATATGATTGACGGGAATGGGGGGGAGCTAGCTGATGCACCTAAGCCCGCCGGACTTGAACCCTTACCTTCTGCGGTCAGGTAAAGTAGACAGTACACGCGCGCGCGCAATACCCCGCACTCGTCCGTCGTCAAGCTGTGTGTAAGCATTGTGTAAGTGCGACTGGTTCGATGAGAGACGTTCTGGTTCTTGTCGAGGAGTCAGCACAGAGCCATCACTTCCGTCATGTCTTCGACCCACAACTCACCTCACCCGGCTTTTCCCATCCAAAGTGCATATATATAACAGAGAAATCTCATCTAACTACGACGACTTCTTGATGCATTATTGCTTGTTGTTAGGGAGATGGCACAAAAGGTCGCACTAGGTGCTGGCAGTCATTTGTCTATCGTTTGGCTTGTCTTTCGTAATACTGTGGTGAGAGTTGCTTGGAAACCAACTGTTACATGCACAAACATAAACTGCAAAAGATCATACAACCAACAGAAGAAACCAGAGAATGGTCTCATTCTGATCATCCTATTCATTCGCTGTGACTCGTTCTGGCCCCCTGTACCGATTACTCCGGATCCTGTCAATACTGCAGCGCTACACCAGGTACTTCAAAGAAGACATCGTACATGCTGTCATTCACGTCTTAGCCTCGGATCTTCTGATCAAAAAGCACCGTTGAGCTATAGTCAGGCCAAACTGCGCCTTTGAAAGTGTGACCGGTATGGGAGTGCAACTCAGCTTATATGCTGGAACGATGTGTCAATGAGCAGTTTCCTGGTCTGATGAGTTATGTGCTGATTACGGCAATTATAGTCCTAAAATGTAATCAACTGAATAGCCAAGTTGCCTTGAACATGGTAGATGCATTCGATAACCAGCACAGGAACTGAGCCTTGGGCAACGGCTGGCTCCCTGAGCATAGAGTGACTTTATACCTCGATAACTCTCGCCAATGCATGCCAGTGCATAAAGTCAATACTTGGTACAGTAAATCGGGCATGATGTCCTGTGACCAACATCGAAGCTGGCTGGGCTGGGAAGAGAATTTCCATCAAACCTTGAAAAGGTGGAACAAACCACCCTTGGAGCTGGGTGACGGTGGCACGGAATGGCCGGTTCACATCATGTAAGACATTCAGGCGAGTGAACGAGATCTTGTTGAATATTCAGTGCGCTTTGTCGTTAACACCAGGTGTCATACCAGCAACCTCAGGGGTAATATTCCGAAAAGACTCATGGCGGGATCTTGCGGCTTCAGGCAAGTTCTTAGCACTGGGGTGCGCCTTTACACCTGTCACAGCACCTAACACGCGGGGGGACCAGTCTGCTTGAGTATAGGTATTTGGGAAGGCGTGGATGTGCGTAGATGCTGTAGGTTGAGACCAAGCCGTGCCTTCCTGATCATCGTCCCTCCTGCCCTGGGTACCTGCCTCAGGGCTGCCGCCCTTCCTTTTAACACACCAGGGAATTTTCACGTTCTCTCTCTCCTCCTCTTCTTTTTCTCTTCGCCCTCGATCCCAGACGTAAGTGCGGACCCCTTGCGCGCAGCTGCAATTGTTCTTTCCGGCGTGTCAAGATCCTTGATTCGCTTCACCGGCATTGACGCTTGTCGTTTCCCGCAACCCCTTTCCTGTTTCCCTTCCTCACCTCTCGTTCCCGAGGCATTCCGGTCTTCGCGTGCATGCTTGTTTGACAGTGGCCTTCGTTCACGAACAGCCCCTGATCACTGCATTCATTCTATTCGCAGTCCTGTGTCTATGTTGTTCAGAAGTATCTGCTAACAATGGTTGAAACAGTGTGTTTTTTTTTTTTAAAAAAAAAGTTTGTCAAGGTAAGTCCTTCGGCTTCTCATCCTTTAGAGTAGTTACAAATACATACTGACAGTTTCAGTATCATCATGTACGCCTTACGGCGGGCCAATGACTCGATGAAACTAAGACTGACATGAAAGAGCACAGAATGTCTGGCACCGTCCCCGCCTCGCCCGCCGCCGCCGCTGCCCCGGCAGCAGTAGCAGCAACAACAGCACCGCTGCCGCCTCCGCCGCCGCCGCCACCACCGCCTCCGCCGCTGCCGCCGCCGCAGGCCGCCGCGTCTCCTTCGGGAGAAGGTGAGTGTACACTCTGGAGAGTGTCTTGAGGACCCTGGACAGCTGATATGACGTAATTAGTGACCATTGCGGAGGGTGGCCGCACCGTGACCTTCCGGGCGCCGGAGGGAAGGCGCGCTAGCGCGGCCTTCTTCCGGCAGATGTTTGCCGCCGTCTCCGGCTCCTCCTCCCCCTCCCCCTCCTCCTCATCCGCCGCCGCCGCCGCCCCCAAGAAGGGCAAGAAGAGGGTCATTCATGTATATAATTTTGTGCCAATCCACAGTCCGGACTAACAGCCTTGCAGGCCGAGCCCTCCACCGCCGACGACGACGAGGAGGAGCAGCCCAAGAAGAAGAAGAAGATGAAGAAGGCCAAGAAGCCCCCGGCGGCCCCTGTAAGTTCCTCGCAAGGCCCTTTGACGAAACTGAGCTGACCAATAGCAGGGGCAGGGAACGTCGTTGTTCGCGGCCGAGCGCCGGGCCAAGGCCGCCGAGAAGGCCAAGGCCAAGGAGCTGGAGCAGCAGCAGCAGCAACAGCAACAACAGCAGCAGCAGGAGGATGAGAAGGAGAAGGAGGTCAAGAAGGAGGACAACGACGACCGCTCGGTCTTTTGTTAAAAAATAAAAAATTGACCAGTTTGGCTGCCCTCGCTGCCGCCCTCGCCGCATCTCGTCTTTTCTCTGATCATTGTGGCTGGTGACATGTTTGACCCTGGGTGATCCTCTAATGCCGTATCACAGGCCATGCAGCATCTCGTACTCTAAATCCTTCATTGTGCCGATTCCAGACAGTATAAGTGTTGAGTACATCGCGTGTCTCGACGCTGTCGCCCCTGTCTACTACAGTTTCTTCTAAAAGGATTATCCCACTACCTAAATCTGCCAATAATTATACCTCTGTTCACTGGAATTTCTTCCAAAAGGATCATCCCACTACCTAAATCTAAAAGTTCACCCTGCCCACGTGGCCCCTACCTTCTGGTGTCTGTTCGCCATGTGTTCCTCCGTCAAGGCTGGCCGTCCTGGATCATGACCGAGAAGCAGAGAATGTTCCGCGGCATGTTCAATATGGCCGCCGATATCATTACGGAGATCTGTGTACAATATGTCAGTCAGTAGTAGCCGCAGAGGCCCAGGCAGAAACGCCCGCATTTATGCCTGCCTATTTAAGTTAAGGATAAGCCAATACAGGCACTTACAGCTTCATGTCAGGAATTTTATAAAAAAGTAAGATCACAGTGAGATCCCGGTTTGAATCAATACCGACAATTTTCTACAAGATATCAACAAAAGAAAATCACACAGCGCCCCTTCCACAGCCGTTCCAGAGACATCTCAGGATGTAGCATTAAGAAGTCAGGTATAGGATACTAATACGAGTTCAAAGAGAAGCAACACCGGCAGGCAGGCTCAAATCCAATAGGAATCTATTGTACTACTTGACAAGTATCTTTGGCATCATACCAGGCTTCTGCTCGCCAGGAAGAAAGACCTCACACCCGAATTAGTCAGGGATGCGATCTTATCAAGCAAAATCCGTTAAAGCAACAAGTTGAGTAAGAAGCAAGGGGGATGGCATGGCCAAATCCAGAAGGGCGGAAGACTCCAGAGCTTGAATACTAGGAAGTGGACGTTTGAACATTTTGGCTGGATATGGATGAGAAAACTTGTGTGCTCAGTTGGTACACTGTCACCTCCTTATGTCGGCTGGCGCTGGTGTCGTCTACCGACTAGTCTTTAAAGAAATGACTGTGCTAGTTTTCTAGTTTGATACCATAAGTATTGTCTTTTGCATGCAAATGGCTCTATCAAGGTGACATCAGCGGTTCGTTGCTGGCTAACTCAAGGGTTGCGATGATAAGATGGGTCAAACGATAGATATATCAGTAGTGCCTGCACATGACGAGATAGAGAGGAGCCGTTCATTCAAGCTACTTCTGTTCAACAATCTATTCTCGTTCATTCGTGACACATAACATGTTCGTAGTAACGCCATTCCCTCAGCCGTCTCTCCCCGCAGAACTCAGCGGCCGAGCTCGATCAGAACACGCCGGATATATACCTGAGTGAATCAAATAGTTACTGGAAAAGAGCTGCAAGGTTAACAGATCAAGCTGCGCCAGCCTCCCTCGGAGGGATCAGCCCGACCATCTCGTCCCGCTCGCCACGGAGCTGCTTCCCGTCGACGGACACCAGCATCTTGGCCTCGGATATGTGCAGCACAGTGTCGTGAGCGAGAAACTTCTCCCTGGCGGCGTCCGTCTCGCCGTCTTTCGGAAAGGGAGGCGGATCATCGGAAGCTGCCGTCGGCGGCGGCGATGCGACGACCTGTTCGTCGTGCGTCGTCTCGGGCCAGAGGATCTTGTACGCCTCCTCCTGGGTCATCCTTCCCGCCGTGCCACCCTCCTCATCCGATGTCACTTCCTCCCTGAGAGTGGCGGACTGCATCATCATCGTCACAGCACCGACGACATCCTGCTTCTGCTGCTCGTCCTTACTGCCCTGTCCGTCCGTCATCGTCCAGTCTTCATCTTCGTCGTCGTCGTCGTCGTCGTGGGCGTGTCCACTCTTATCTATCCTCATCGCCCGCATCTCGTCCACGACCTGCTGATCATCCACCTCCCCCCCTTGAAGAGAGACGGCCTCCTCGCCAGCAGCAGTGTACGACGGCGCCGTCCTGCGCGACCCGCCCGCGAGCACCGAGAGCACGCGCTGCGGCTCGTCCCGCTTGCGCCGCGAGAGCGCCCAGCCGTGCGCCCGCCCGCCGCTGGCCTGGAACAGCGTCAGCCCGGAGACGCTGTTGTACACGTCGTTGGCGAAGTCGCGCAGGGCGCGCGTCGGGTCGCAGGCCGCGGCCACGGGGTGGGCCGCCTGCGGCGGCGAGGGGATGGAGCGCAGCGCGTCGATGAGGTCCGACACCGACCGTCCTGGGGGGTGGAGTGGCGGCGGCTCATGGGAGCCCGTATTGGAAGGTTGTTGCTGGTAAGGAGAGAAGGGTGGGCGGGGGAGGAGGCCCCTTTGCGAGAGGCCGATGACGAGCCAGCCTAGATTCGCGGCGTCGCAGGCGATATTGCCCGCTGGGCAGCGCGTCGTGCTGTCGGAAGATAGAGATATGGTGTGGATTGCAGCAGCCGGATGGCATTGCTCCGCGTTCGGTGGTTCGGTAGATGCTGTTTCGTCTTCGGGATCGTTTCCTCTGGGTGCTGTTTCTGGCTCTTTCGGAGGTGCTGCTCGAGGCAGGTATTCCTGCACAGCGGCAGCGCAGGCCTCGTAGATCTGCGCCCGTTTCGTCTCACACATGGCGGCGATTCGTTTCTTGAGCTCGGGAGGCCAACTGGACTGGGCTTCGATGTCCTCGTCCCCGCGGAGGAACAGGATGGCCGTCTTGGACGTGCGCGTGAAGAGCCGGCGGAGGCCAAACGCGTAGCTGATGAGCAGCATGCCGTGGGGGACGACGGCGTCGGCTTCCGGCCCTGCGGCGTAGTGAATCCACTGGTTGAGCCAGAGGTGCTCGAAGGGGAACTCGACGGGCGTGGTGCAGCGGTAGCGCAGACACGTCTCTGCCAGAGAGACGAGCTGCTTGAAGGACAGGCTACGAGGGATCTTCTCGCTCTGCATGTGCGCCGCATACAGGAGGAGCTTGAGCATAGAGTCTTTGTTGAGCTCGAGCTGGGGCATGCGGTAGAGCATCGCCGTGGACCCATCGGGGCACGTGAACTTGTTGGGCTTCGGCGGCAGTTCAGAAGAGACGTCTTCCTCCATGTCTAGATGGTCAAGGTCCAGATCTTCGGCCTTGACGAAGAACATGCGCGCAAAGATGGGCGAAGTCTCTCTGAGCATGTGGGACGAGACCCGGAACCTCAAGATGGGGGCGTTCTCTAGAGCTGCGTTCTCGAACTGGAGGATAGCATCACCGCGACGAGCAATTACGTAGTCGATCGTTGTTCTCTCCTGGGAGACCTCGGGTGCTATCCCCGTCGACGCCGGTTCAAGCAGGCGGTCGATCTCGTCGAGGTCCTGCTGGATCCGCTTGTAATGCGTGTGGCGTTCGTTGGACATCTGTCGGTCCGAGCGGGAAGGTTGGTTCTCGCCTGTGCCCTCGGATGCGCCAAGCAGACCTGTCCTCTCAAGTCGTGTCCTCAATATCGCAGCCAGGTCCTCGAGGCACTTCCTCCATGCCTGTACATCTGCGATGTACTGTTGAGACGCCTTGGCATCCTCGCCGGGCTTCCCACGCGAGAACGCTCCTGAAAATCTCGAGGGCGCATCCACCTCTCTGGGCTCAGTGGGAGGGGTGAGCAGAGCACGCACTAGGGACGCGCACTCTTCTTGAATCTTGGCATAGGACGTGCAGGCCAAGTCAAGAGGCTCAGAGTAGAGCGTGTTCCGCATGTTTCTCACATGGTGCTTGAGCTTCTGGTGATTCATGTTGTTGTCGCGATATTTGGAAGATACCGTCTCGCCTGGCGACACCTCAGACGACTCTGTCTGGGGTGGTTGAGGCCGACGTTAGATCTGGATGGAGAGTAGGGATGTTTTCAAGTCGGCATCAATGGTAACTCACCGCGTTGACTGAAGTGCCATCATTGCTCCCAATAGAAAAGGTGCCTGGGACAGTAGAAGATGGAACGATCGACTTCTTTGTCCGACCCATGATGATGCCAGCGCGGTCGAGGGTATTCTCGACGCGGTGCGCTTGATTTCAACACGAGCACACCTCCTTTCCGAAGCCCCAATCAGACAAGTCGAGACGCTGAAAGTCAGAACCCCGAGACGGCATTGGCCCGTCGCATTTTCACAGAGTCGCCTTTTGGTAAATCGCCGCCGACTGGCCCAAGATCACAAGGCGCGTCTTATCAAAAAACATATCAGATCGAAGGAGAGAGAGCTGTGGACGGGATGCAAGCCGTGTCGCAAACACAGCTGCGTGTTGGGGACGGTGAAACGCGGGGATCTGCGGTCAGCGCTAGACCCTTGCCTCTCGACCTCGACCTTCCGGGCTGGCGCTGCATGCATGTGCTTACTGCGCCTCGAGGCATGCCTCGATTGGAGATACGAGCCTCGCATTCAGACCTCAAGCCCTGTGACAAGCTTCTGCCTGGCATAAGTTGATGCCTATGCCATGTGGCGTGCTCCTCTCGTCCAAGCTGGGCAGGTCAGTGCACATTTTCACGAGGGGCTCTCCTCTGCCGCCCATTCATTGACCAGGCCTTGCATCTTCTTTGACAGGCCATCGACTCGGGCAGGTGTGGATTCGCCGCCTCGCCCCGTTACTGAGTGACGGTTAGGACCGCAGCATGGCATTCCACGGGCGTGCAACCTCTAGAGCAGCTGTCACAGTTTACTGTATCTCTTTGCTAACCTCGTGGGATAAACCCAAGCCACCCGCTCGAGTTCTGATAGCGCGTTTGCCGCACTCGAGGTCGACTTGACAGAACACCAATTGCAACTGATGGAAATGGCAGCTGGACCACCCTTGACCATCCATTTTAGACCCGGAAGCTAGAGGGCACTAGACGGACGAGACAGGGCTGGGCCAGCTTATCGAGTGCTGCTTCGGCGTGTGGTGGGCAGCAGAGTGGGGGTTCCGGAGGGGAAACGAAGCCAGGATTCGACGTCCTAAGTTAGTGTGGCGATTCTGTAAAAGGCGAAGCGGCTACATGCGAATTGGTGAAGAAAAAAATCTCATCTCTGCAGACTAGTGCCAGATCAAGAAAATCGTCCCTCAGCTGGGTCGAGACGGCAACCTTCAAAAGCTCTGCTTCACTCCCACACTCGAGAAACCTGTCATTTCTTGAACCGACCTTTCTTACTTCTGATCTGCCTCGCCGCTCGGAACCAGTTCACGCTCTGCCCTGGCACCGTGAGAACTCTAAATCGACCCTAGCCTGGTCATCCAACCTCACAACTCTCGATACCTCAAACGCATCAGCCCATGTTGTGCCTCTCCACCAGGATACCCGTCATCACCACCATCTTCTCGGCACTGGACCGCATGTGCCGGCTCAGTAACTTATAGAATTACCAGCAGGCGACTTGAAGTCTTTGCGCTTGCTGCATCGAAACACCCGGGGACGTTAAGAAAGACTTACAGACGAAGACAAAAACTTCTCCTCTGTTGATTTTTATTCTGTTGCTGTGATACCCCTCAGAGAGAACTCGTCCGGATCCTTTATTCACTCAAAATTTATGAGAAAGGCCGCAAGCTCCCTCTACGCCTTCATTTCTCGCCCGTTCATTCCATCAAACTCCTCCTACTCTTCACAGGAATACCAGCTCCTGCCCACCAGCAGCACCATGGCCACTACCATCAACGAGAACTACAACAAGGCGCATGACGCCTACGAGCCCCGGCCCGGCGGCCTCGGCGACGCTGCCGACCCGGAGACGGCCCGCGGCCCCACGGCCGCCGACACGGACGAGGTCGTCGGCGTGACCCTCGAGGAGATCGCCGCCCAGAGCGTCCACTGGTACAGCTACTTCACCACCGTCGACTTCTGGGCCGTCCTCGCCCTCGGCCAGGTCCTCGCCCTGTGCATCACTGCCACCAACACCTTCACCACCTTCCTCGGCAACGAGGGCACCAGCATCCCGGCCTTCCAGACCCTATTCAACTACGTGCTGCTGATCCTCGTCTACGTGCCCGCCATGCTCTACCGCTACGGCTTCAAGAAGTTCGGCCGCATCGTCCTCAGGGACGGCTGGAAGTACTTCATCCTCAGCTTCTTCGACGTCGAGGGCAACTACTGCACCGTGCTGGCCTACCGCTACACCAACATCCTGTCGGCCCAGCTCATCAACTTCTGGTCCATCGTCATGGTCGTGCTCGTCTCCTTCTTCATCCTGCGCGTGCGCTACAAGCCCTTCCAGATCGCCGGCATCCTCGTCTGCTGCGGCGGCATGGGCCTGCTCCTGGCCTCGGACCACCTGACCGGCTCCAACGGCGGGCCCGGCGTCAACCTCGTCAAGGGCGACCTGTTCGCCCTGCTCGGCGCCACCTTCTACGGCCTCTCCAACGTCTTCGAGGAGTGGTTCGTCTCCCGCCGGCCCATGTACGAGGTGCTCTCCTTCCTGGGGCTGTGGGGCGTCATCATCAACGGCGTCACCGCCGCCATCTTCGACCGCCAGAGCTTCCAGGGCGCCACCTGGAACGGCGCCGTCGGCGGCTACCTCGTCGGCTACACCCTCGCCCTCTTCATCTTCTACAGCCTCGCGCCCCTCATCCTGCGCATGGCCTCGGCCGCCTTCTTCGACATCAGCCTGCTGACCGGCAACTTCTGGGGCGTCATCATCGGCATCCACGTTTTCGGCCTGACCATCCACTACCTCTACCCCGTCGCCTTCGTCCTCATCATCATCGGCCTCGTCGTCTACTTCCTCGCCGGCAGCATGCTCGGCGACTCCAAGAAGCCCTGGCTCGGCGACAACCAGGAGGACGGCGTTGCCGGTATCGGCACCGCCAAGCTGCGCGCCCTGAACCTGGCTCGCAAGAAGGGCATGGTCATCGCCAGCGAGACCGAGGGCGAGCGTGGTCTCTGAAGAAGCTGCCGTGGACTCGATGTGGTATGATGTTGATGCTGCTGATGTGTGGTGAAATTTGGTGTTTAATGTTTACATCTCTTTATTTCTGGAGACATTTTTGGAGAGATGGGAGTGGAATGAACTCTTTTTTTTTTCCCCCTCGGTACTTGCATTATTTTACCTGGTTTTGGAGCTGTTTGGATCGTGGGATAGCTGGTATTGACAGTAGTCCTTGTAGGGGCACTCAAGAGTCGATCTCGGGAGTTCAGCAAATGGATAATTTAGTGGACGCTTACAGTGACATCTGACCCCCTGGGCCCACTAAAGTCCATTGAATCACATCACTAAACGATAGCACCTAAAACCCGGCAACAAGACCGAGCCTGGTCAGGCCTCGTCCTACGAACAAAAAAGATGGCATTGTATTCTTACAGGAACGAGACAGCTGAGAGTGTCTCTCGGGCTGAGTTGCCACCATGAAACCCTGTGTTACCCTCTCCCTCCGACTTTGAGCTGTTTAGACACGCTTGGAGAAGGATGTGCTCCTTGCAAGTAGCCAAGGACTGCGGTTCACGACTGCTGTGGCGGTGATCCTAGGACACAACATGATGCTAGTATTTTCTATGCATTACTTACTTTACTAAGCTACCCATCAAGTGTAGGTCGGGTATTTAAAGGTCAAATATAAAGTGTTTGAGCTTATCCTTCACACTCATGTGGCCTGTGGGTTGCGTGAACAATCATATTGTAGCACTATTGATTAAGACAGTTATTACAAAAACATAAAAGAAACAGTATCCGTATGGAAGGCGCTGTTCCTGTCCTGACCCATCTCGTGTTATTTGGTCCAACCAAATGCATAGAATGTACCTGCATAATGCAGAATTAGCGCTGTTCTGGCACGTTTGGGCAAGATGGCCGAGTGGTAAGTCATAGAGATTCTTTTCGAATTTCCACTTAGCCTCTAAGCTAACCCTAACCCTCAGGTCTAAGGCGCTGTGTTTAGGACTCTTTCTAGTAAAGATCCGCAGTTCGAAAGAGCGTGGGTTCGAATCCCACTCTTGTCAAACTCACTTTTTGCTTCCTTGACTTTTTGTTCCTTTTGACCTTCTTAGGCTAGTATTCTATCTTTAGAGAAGTATGAATGTCTTACAATATTGTTCATAACAAGAGATTCTAAGAGATATTTATATAGATGTTTCTATAATTGTAGTAATGGCTGGTCTAGTTGTCAAGTCAGTGTAAGATTAACAACGGGTACCTGGAACAACACACCTTGTCTCATATCTCCTGAACTAAGTTACAACTTCGTCTTTTGATGTTGTCTCGGCTCTGCTGCAACCCGCACATACGCATCCACACTCGGACAAGCATCCCGTCAGGACTTTGTATGCAAAGGCTGACTTTGATCCTGTTCCTAGCGAACACTCCAGTATCAGTGTCGATTCTATATGGGACAACTGCAACTCTGTCTCTGTGTACCTCTTCGTTCGTTGGAATCTGATGCAGGACACTGTTAGGATTCTGGCAATTTATGCTCCCTTAGTCGCGCAAACACAGCAAATGCACTCGAGATCCTTTCAAGGCGATTTCTCACTTCAATGCAAAGTCATCCAAATAATTTGATCACATGATTGCCAGTGTGACAGGGTTCTATACATAGCGAGTGAAAACACGATTCAACAACCAACTCCTTGGGTAGCCCTCTCAACACTACGCAAGGAATATAGCGATTTGCACTTATCATGGATGAGCCGGCCCTCATGTGTGGGAATTTCTTGGTTGTAAATTCACTTCTTAGGTTATGATTGCTAATTACAATGCAGAGAGGTGCTCCAGCCCGGTGCCAGCACAGAGACTGCTAGCACATGTGGAAGGGGATTGAATCTAGGTATCTCGGGAAGTCCAAAGCCATGCGAAACGCCTGCCAAATCGTCGTCCATAGCATCATTACTCATGAGCAGAGGCAGAAGTATGCCTCTCAAATCGTCCAGTACACCTTGACCTGCACCTTCTGGACATGATTCACCCATCCAGGGAACCTCGCCTTGGCCCAGACAGTGACGACGTCGCCCAGCTGCAGATTCCTGACAAACTCGCCGTCAGCGGATAGTGTGCCGCGTCCTTGTTCTTCAAGATCCTTGGCCTCTGCGGACTCGGGGTTGGTGATGTTGTCGGTCCAGGACCAGGTGATCCGGTGCGTGCGCATGTGCTTATCAACCACGACATTGCTCTGCAGCATCTTGGCAGAGGGGACGAGGTCGTGATGTAGCTTCAGGCCTGCCTCGGGGTCTTCGTTGTCGACAGGCTCCAGCTCTGGTATGACTGGCCTCAGGCTGTCAATGGATAGGCCGGGGGCTTCCGTAACATTAGTGTCAGATGTTTTATCGTTGCCTTTTGATAAGTGTTAGTTTACCAAGGAGTACTGCCATTGCGAGAGAAAAGGCCACCACTTACTCTGGGCGTCGGCATCAAATCTCTCCAAACCAACGTCGAACCAAGTCCAAGAATGGTTGTAGGTACCGTGGTCGGTTGGCATGCCTCCCCATCCTTGATCTCTGCTGGTGATCTCGAAGGCGATCTTGCGGCAGGGGTTCTTGATCATTGGCTCAGGGCTGGCAATCATCTTCTGAAAGTCTTCCAAGGAGTACTCCCGCTGGAGTGGCAGAGGGGCGGCTGATCGGATGCGGGTGGCGACGGGCGTGTCGTCTGGGTACTTGTGGTGGACAAAGCCTAGGGGCTGGGTGCGAACCTGAATAACGGCGACAGTTGTTAGGTGACGATTGAAAGTGACACAGCTAGGCCGAGGGGCGAAGGGTGGCTTACAAGAAACTTATTCTCTCCAGTAGATCTGCCGCCGAGAACACGAACAGCGTCGCCGTATTCTTGAGAGAAGTCGGCGACGGCGGTGGTGTGCAGCCAGTATTCGGCATGGTCCAGGAGGCTGTCGACAATCTCGGCAGGCAGCTTCAGGCCCTTTTGCAGCATTGCCTTGACGATAAGCACATCCATAGCAGAGGGCTCGACAAAATCGACAGCGCCGTCAAGCTGGGCGGGAGAAGAGTTGGGGGAATCCATGTTAAGACCTTGCCAGAAGCTGTTGAGTAGGTTTGAGGCCGCGGCGAACATTTCCTGAAAGAAGGAAGTGTTGTTGATGGAAGTATCACGAGGTGGCGCGGAGGAGAAATACTGGTCTTGACTTCGGATCGACGGATGCTGGGTTCAGTGGCGATCCTCTGAACAAGATACAGGCAGCGACTAGCCTCTAATATCGAGAAGACCGGCCAGGGATATCTCTGTGAAAAAGGGAGTGCTTTGATTGATTGATTAGGAGGTTGTGCCGATTCACATGTGCCTGCGTCAGCACTTGCGTAGGTTGTGCATGACATCACAAGGGTTCGCACAGCAGATCTGGATCGCTAAAGAGGTACAACGCCCAGAGATTGCGGGGTAGTCGAGAACCCCCTGTGAGTGGTCGCGTTGTGCCTGCGACTAGCATCGTTTATGCCTATCACCCGCCCCTAGCGGCTAGCGATAAAGAAAATGTCCAGCATTTATCAGCACGTGAAATGGCATAATTTGTGTTTCCGAGCAGCTTCCCCAAAGCTCGAATGCGAGTGCCGGCCTCCAAGTGCTGCTGACAAAACACCGAGAATGACCACTCCCACCTCCTGTATAAAACCCGGGATCGCGGCATTCCGACCCTTCTGGACCTGATTCTCCCATTCCTTTCTGGGAGAACTCAGCTATGAGGTCCCAGAGGTATGCCCACGCGCTTTTGCGCCGTGGCACCGTCATTCCCATGTCGCCAAGCTCCGGCCGAGCCCCGACATTGCGACTGGCGCAGCTTTCGCCGAGATCAAGTCAATCGTCTTGCTCACCATGGCCGCAACCCGTACGGAGTTTCCATACGTCTCCTCTGCGGAGGAGCGGCGCCTCGAACCCTGCAATGGCATTTCCTTGTCTCGACGCCCTCGAAACCCGATCTGCAACCCTCCAGGCCACCTCCGAATCCAGCGGCCCCGAGCCCTCCTACACCACTGGTGCCACGCTGAACTACCACTGCCGCGACCCATTGCTGCTTGACTGGGGAGGCGTCCTGCCCGAGTTCGACATCGCTTATGAGACCTGGGGAACCATCAACGCCGACAAATCAAACGTCATCCTGCTGCACACAGGCCTCTCGGCCTCGTCGCACGCCCATTCGACAGACCTCAACCCTCAGCCAGGGTGGTGGGAGAAGTTTATCGGCCCCGGCGCAGCTCTCGATACCGACAAATACTTTGTCATATGCACAAATGTCATCGGTGGCTGTTTCGGCTCCACGGGCCCCAGCAGTGTCGACCCAGCCGACGGCCAGCTCTACGCGACCCGGTTCCCGATCCTGACCATGGAGGATATGGTTCGTGCCCAGTTCCGCTTGTTAGACCATCTGGGAGTGTCTAGGCTGTACGCGAGTGTCGGCTCATCCATGGGCGGCATGCTCTCGCTGGCTTCGGGACTGCTGTTCCCCGAGCGGGTAGGAAGGATCGTGTCCATCAGCGGCTGTGCGAGGAGTCATCCCTACAGCATAGCAATGCGACACACTCAGCGCCAGGTCTTGATGATGGACCCCAATTGGAACCGCGGCTTCTACTACGGCAAGGTGCCCCCCCATGCTGGTATGAAGCTAGCTCGCGAGATCGCCACCGTCACTTACCGTTCCGGACCTGAGTGGGAGCAGCGTTTCGGACGGAGGAGGGCCGACCCATCCAAGCCCCCAGCGCTCTGCCCGGACTTTTTGATTGAGACCTACCTCGACCATGCTGGAGAGAAGTTCTGCCTTACCTACGACCCTAACAGTCTGCTCTACATCAGCAAGGCCATGGATTTGTTTGACCTTGGCCGCGACTACCAGCACGCTGCAGCTGCTCGACGTGCTGAGAAGGAGAAGCTCCTCGGAACGGGAGTTGAACTCACCGACGTGGCTGCTTGTAGCTTGACCCTGCCTGATGTGCCATACGAGGAGCAGCCGGAGTCCGGAGTCGATGACAGCCCGCTTGTCGTCGGAGGCAATCGGCCCCCAGAAGACCTCATCGCAGGCCTGGCGCCACTCAGAGACCACCCGACCCTAGTCATGGGCGTCGTCAGCGACATTCTATTTCCAGCTTGGCAGCAGTACGAGATTGCCGAGGCGCTCAAGCTGTCAGGAAACAGGGGTGTGACACATGTCGAGCTCAGCGAGGAGCACAGCCTCTTTGGACACGACACGTTCCTATTGGACCTGAAAAATATCGGTGGGAACCTCAAGAATTTCTTGGGGTGAGTAGGAGGAGATTGCATAGCAGTCGGTTGCTTGGGCATGTGTACATATTTAATGATGACACTTGTGCCCATCGGGCATGGGCATTGGGCAGCGTTGCATGTAGGTCGGCGTTCTGGTTCGGTAAACCTAGGAAGCATTTTGTGATAGCAAGAAAAGAACATCTTGCCTCATCTGCAGACCATATCTGTGCCACAGCTTTGAGTACTAATCATCATGATGTTGAACATCTTGAATGAATGTGTCTGTTCAGTAGTGTCAAGATACAGTCTACTATGGGCAGGAGGGTTCTTATCAGTCTTGATACTTTGCAAGCCCGGAAAGTGTTGATAAAAAAAAAAGAAAAGCGGTTTCTTGACATTTTTGCCATCAATAATACAAGAGGAAGCCTCATACTGATCCAAGCACTCCATCCTGGCCTGTAAGAGAGACGAAATTCTGCCCTTCGGTCTCGGGAAACATGTCTATTAAAGAGTCCAATTCCATCAGCGAGTACAAGCTTTGATCTTTTCCATCCCCCGATAAAGGGCTCGCCCCAGTAAGAACGGAATCGCCATCCGCGGGTGGTTGAAGTGCGTTGCCAGTGCCAGGAGCGCCTGGATCCTGAATCGAACCAGGCCACAGTGTGGCATTAAGGCCTGAGGGTTGAGCATCGCTTTGGCCGCCAGCCGTCTGGCTGTAGGAAGCGAGCGATGCCATTGTCGACGACTGAATCTCTCGCACATATTGGGCCTTGGCCATCAGGCGCTGAACAGGTCGCCAGAACGCGTATTTCTTGTGGCTCTCTCTCATATTCCACTGGCTGTAGACGGTGCTGACGTAGGCCCAGGCGCGGTCGCAGTCTGGCGACGGCGGCCGACGACATATCTCCAGCAACACGAAGGCCAAGGCATGCCACTGGAAGTGCGTCTGTGAGTGCCATCTCCACCGGCGGAGGTCTTTGTTCGTCATGAGGAAGCTCGACATCTCGAGGACCTGCACCGAGGTGAGGAAGAGCTTGTCTCGAAGGGTCTCGGACGATATCGCCTCGAGGCAGTCCTTTCGGCTTCTCGGGTAGTGCACCATCAGCCACGAGCGGGCAATTATGAGGCGTGCAACAGTCACGGAGACGAGGTAGAAGGGTATAGAGAGGTCGCAATGCCGGATGAATTGGTCCTGCAGCTTTTGGTTGAGGCCATCAACCAACGCCTCACAATCTTCCAGGGTCAGAGCGTGCTTCTGACCATCCAGCCTTTGGTCCGAGGCCGCTTCCTTGCTGGGTGGAATGTTGCCAATTTTCCACATGACGCGCATGGAGTGGAATCGGATGAGGCAGAACGTCATCTCTGTCGCGCCTTCTCGCTCCGGAGGCGGCTCAGTCATCTCGGGCGTGATATCGCTGTCGTTGATGTTCAAGGGTATCTTTGTATCAAAAAGAGACTCATGCACGATTGGCTCGCATCCATGATAGTCTGAGGAGCGGTTGTCGAGCAGGCATATGTGCCACCAAAGCCGTCGACGAAGCTCAGTCTCGAAAGGTCCGAGGCCGAACGCCGGACCGTCTCGGTGGAGACCCATTGCCTGAGCGATGTGGTAGACCAGGGCAGTCAGGGACCAGACTCGCCGGGAGTCGTCTTCATTACGCAGGGCTGACAAGAACAGGACTGCAGCCTGGAGGAGAACCAAGTTCTCGGTATTCAAGAGGTCTGCACGGGCCAAGGCTTGCTGCGTGGCGAAGAGGTATCGCTCGAGAGCTGTCGGCCTGTCGACACCCAAGATGGAGACGCATTGCTCCGAGTCCATGCTAATGATGGCAGAGTAGTAGATGGTAAACAGTAGAGCTTCAGTGTTCTTGTCGGGCGAGTCCAACGAAGAAACAGCATCCCAGTAGAGTTTGATGAGAGTTGGGATGTGGAAGATGCGGACCAACGGAGCGACGTTCTGCTTGAATACCTCGAGAAGTGCTACTGAAACCGATATCTGTGGATGGAACTCATTGAGGGACTGGGCGAGCGATCGAAAGCCTAGGAGCATAGCATTTGAGCCAATTTCAAGGGATGACGAGTCTGCAGCTGGACTCTTTGTAGACATGGGTGTCTCGTCATCAGACGTAGGCTGATGTAGCAGGTCGCGGAGCTCCTCGATCTGGCACTAGCCTTAGTCGTCTTCTCGATGAGAATTGGAAAACAAAAGACATACCTCATCGCTCAAGTTGGCCCATAGAACACTGCTGACATAGTAGCTCCGAGAGTCGGCGATCATGAGGCGTCCCAACTGCTTGTCGATGGGCGGCGACTCGGACCTCGACCGCTCCGACTCGGAGCCTGTGCGGTCCTGAACGCGCACATGATCCGTGCCCTCAGCAGACTCACGCGGAGGATTAGACCGGCTATTGTTGTCTTTGTCAAGGGCCTTAATAATGCTTTCGAGCCGCGAGAGCCGATTCAGTAGCTGCACATCGCGCTCTTTCCGTGGCCGCTTCGGCGCCCGGCCGGGGCCCGGAGGATAGACACAGTCCACTCCGGAGCGGACACACTGCGCGCACGGCTGTTGTTTATCACACTTGACCTTGCGGGACCGACAGGTAGTGCAGCTGCGAGTGAACCCGCCGCGTGGTTGCCCCGACGGAGGCGTGCTAGTGCCAGAGCCTTCGGCTGTGCAGGTGATGTGTGTTTCCATTTTTGCGTGTTGTATGGACCACTGTGCTCTTTCTTATGGCCAAGTGGATCGTTTTGTCAATAGAGACTGTCTCTTTCAAAGGTAGATTCGGAAAGAGAATATTGGGATGCGTTATTACGATGATGATCACGACTCGCAGTAGTGCGCTTTTCGCATAAGTTATGCGAAAGCCGAGTCTTACGGTGGCCCCACAAGCTCCGAGCCATTCGCATTGTCTCAGACCGATTGGGTTTCCCCACTCGTCCGGCCATGTTATCCGGGCTCGGTGTTAAACAGGTAACAGATGCGGCGGCTTCCGCCGTTTGATACCGGCCGGCGCTATTGCCTAGCCGACGTTCGGGCGTCCGACTCGGAGCACGAGTCTGTCGGATTGTGTAGGAAGGAAGTGGAGAGCAAGCACATTACTTATGCGACCCTCTGGCGACTCCTGCTACTTTGGCTGTGTGTGGTCTCCAGGCATTGACTTGTATTTAAGTAATACAGAAAGTCTCATGTCTTCTTGATACAGTCCAGCAATTCGAAAGTAATTAACCCAGATCAAGACAACACTTGAAGCAGCCAAAGACACGATGAATCGAGCCTCCTCCCCAAGGGTGCTTATCATCGGCGCCGGTGAGCAATTGCTTTGTAAATTCCTGATATTATGGTCGCCTGTGCTAAATACAATGTACAGGTGCAGCTGGCTTAGCTCTGGCACAAGGGTTGAAGCAGGTATAATGTCTTTGAATCCTCGTCTTTACCAACTATGAAGCTAAGCGGGTTTTCTTCAGGCAAGAATTCCATTCACGATATTCGAGAAAAATGCATCCCAAAAAGAGAAGCGGAATTGGAGTATGAATCTGCACTGGAGCTTTGACTCTCTTGAACCTCTGGTACCGAAGGAAATTCTGTCCAAGCTGGAGAGTACCCAGTGCGACCCCCACATTATTGCCAATGATCCAAACCAGCTTTCTTTCCTGAATGGACAGACTGGGGATGTATTGAAGCAGGTCGAATCGTCCAGGCTGTACCGAGTCAGACGAGACAGGTTTCGGGCCATGCTGCTCACCGGAATCGATGTTAAATGGGGCAAATCACTCTCTGACATCAGCTATGCTGAGGACGGCGCTACTGTTACGGCGCGCTTTGCAGACGGAACTCAAGAAACCGGCTCTATCCTGATTGCAACAGATGGTCCACACTCCGCAGTTAGGACCTTACTGCTCGGCAAAGAGAAGGCGAAGACGAAACCCATCGGTTACGCCGCGACCATGTGCTTCACCAAAGTCTCCCGTGAGCAGGCTCTGTTCCTCCGCAGCCCACCACACAATCCCCTCTATCAGGTCGGTGTGCATCCCAATGGCTATTGCGCTTGGCTTGCCGTTCAAGACGCTGAAGACGCCGAGCATCCCGAAGATTGGACCTTCATGCATTACATCTCCTACCCAGAGTCGGGAGGCGATACCATAGGCCGGACTACCCGCGAACACGTGGCATATCAGAAGCAGCTAGCCAAACAATTTGCTGACCCCTGGAAGAGCATATTCAAATGGATGCCCGACGATAGCGAGACTGCTTGGAATATCAGGCTGCGAAACTGGGACCCGAGTCTACCAGATCATCGTTGGGATAACGCACTAGGACGTGTAACGCTCGCCGGAGATGCAGCACACCCGATGACATTTCAACGCGGTCAGGGACTAAATCACGCCATCGAAGATGCACACCAGATATACAAAACCATTCGATCGTTCTGGAATGGAGGTGGTTTCACCAACGGCGATAGGGCCAAGGCTATTGAGGACTACGAGACAGAGATGATTGAGAGAACTGGCAAGGAGGTGCGTATGAGCGAGGCCAATACTGTCGCGGCACATAACTGGGACCAGATCAACAGTAGCCATTCTCTGAAGAAGGGCCTGATGAAGGATTGATTCACTATGTAGTTAACCCGAATTTCATTAAAAATACACATTACATAGACTATTGCCACTCAAATGCTCCCTACCGAAAATACTCCGTGGCGCTGCCTTTGACGATATCCCAGCCCTCATCAAAAGCACGGAGAAGTTCCTCTGGGAGAGGTCCTTTCTCGAGGCTGGTCAGGTTTTCCTTCAACTGGTCGACACTGCTAGCTCCAACGATGATGGCATCTCCTGCTTCGGATTTCAACAGGCTGTGGTGGTTCGCCCATCGGAGGGCGGCCTCCGCGAGAGGGACATCCAGTGCCTCTGCCATGGGCCTTACCACATCCAGCGCGTCAAAGTAGAATTCGGTCCAGTATCTCTCTCGATAGCTGGCGCCCTGATTCTTATCAGGATCAAAGCGGCTTCCAGCTTCGTGCACCACCGTGTCACGGCGATACCGATCAGTCAAGAGGCCCCCGGCAAGCGGATTGTACACATAGAATGCGATTCCGTAGTGTCGGAGACAAGGGAATAGTTCTGGCTCGACCGCACGGTGTAGGGCATTGTAAACACCCTGGTAGACATCTGGTCGTTTCCAGCCGTTGCGGATGCATACCTCACTGATCTGAGCGACCTCCCAGGCCGCGTAGTTGCTGAGTCCAAAGCGTTTGAAGTAACCATTTTGATAAAGGCGGTCCACCTCGCGCAAAGTGTCTTCGTAGGGCACTGTGTGGTCAGGCGCGTGCAGATACCACATATCAACCTTGAGTATCTTTAGCATGTGCTTTCAGACTTTGAAAAATTGGCTTTTCGAAGCCTTGACACTTACCTTGTCTGCTTTCAATGCCTTGAGACTCTCCAGGAGATGACTCTCGAGCTCATCAGGACGGTGCGTGTACGTCGTCGCATTTGCATCGTACGCCTTGCGAGGAGAGAGCTTGGTATCGAGGATGATACCGCGCTTCTGCCAGTCAAGTTGTCCAAGATACTCTTCAGAGCTTCCACCGCCGTACACGCGAGCTGTGTCAACCTCGCTGTGACCAAAATGCTGGAAGACATCGAGGATAGCACCACATTGGTCGAGGCTGTGTACGCGGGCTTGTTCGGCATTCTCCTTGCCAAAGGTCATCGCCCCGAAGACGACCTTCATCTTGGACTGGGACTCGTGGGCCTCCATACTTCATTGACTTGTAAGGGCAGTGATGTTTGAGTGACGTGATGCGTGAATGCGAGAGGGCAGATGGTAATTACGCGGTGGAAAGGATGATAAGTTAGGCCGAGGATCGGAAGGTGGAGCCCGCGTGTTATCAGGAGCTAGGCTAGCAGTTATCAGATGATGCCAAACAAATCTCTACGATGGATTTAGCACTAAGTTGGCTTTCACCTCTTAATTTATGAAGACTTTGTAATGACTGACTTTCAATTGTCTTTGTGGACTCGGTCTTACTTAATATATCAAGATCCGAGGTGAATGAAGATAACAAGATGTGCATGCGAAATATCTTAGAGACTAGGTAGAATGAGTAAATATTCAACCTACACGTAGCTGATGTGATCAGATAGGAGCTCTGCTTAGCAAGCACGATTGTGAGCCCGTTTTCGCTTTACAGATACTCGTACATATTGTCGTCTAGTCTGTGGTGCTCTTGCAAAAAAAAAAAAAAAAAAAATAACCCGATCACCAAATCTTGAAACGGCACCGGTCATCCTTGAAATAGAGATTCATTTTTGATCATCCAGAACGGAAGGTGGCAGAATGAAAGGAGGCGGGCTGTCTTTCGGCATCGGGAGAGGCCATGCGCAGCACATCGAAGCGGGGTTCGGTCATGCACCGGCTCCGACAAGCGGACCGGCCTGAGTTGAGTCATCCGGCAAGAGGCGCCGTGCCACAAATGGCTTACCCATGCTGCACTCGGTAGCGGCGAGCACAGCATTAGGATCCACAAACCACAACCCGGGCAAGTACAAAGATAGGGCCAAGAAACTGTCGTCAACAAGGAAGTTCTAATCAGCTTTCACAGGTCTACCATTGATAGCAGGGCTCAAACCTTCTGCCAGAGTCCCATCCCGCGCCATGTCCGCGATTGCTGATCTTCACACCGAAGCCTTAGCTTCTTGGAATGATAACGCAGACTACTGGGATGACGGCATCGGACATGAAGGCAATAAATACTGGAAGCGGCTCCAGGAGCCTTGTCTCTCCCGGTTTTTGAGTAAACATCTAGCCAAACACGATTGTCGGGCCCTGGACCTGGCGACTGGCAATGGATTGTGTGCACGATGGCTCGCCGATCGAGGTGCTTTTGTGACAGCAGCCGATGGGAGCGATCGCATGCTCGAAAAAGCTAGAGAACGATGCTCCAACAACCCTGGTATCACTTTCCGGACCATTGATGTTACGAAAGCGGAACATTTTGAGGCTCTGGTCGCTGATATTGGAGGGGAGGTAATTATGAGCCATCCATCTCTTTTTCGAGGCTGGGCAGCTGGTGGCACCACAATACTGGAAGCTGACATCTCTTCCTTTTGAGATCGAGGGTTTCGATGTTGTGCTTATCAATATGGCACTCATGGACATTGCAACCTTGGAACCTCTTGCTGCCGCATTGCCACGGTTGCTGAAGAGTGATGGCGTGTAAGTGCATACTGTAGGCCGACTTCTCGAAGCGCACAGCATGCCAACTCTTTGTGTGCTTAGCTTTGTGGCGACGCTGCTTCACCCCGTCTTCTTCACATCCGACCATTCGCGCCTCATAGATGTGAGGACTGATCCGGAGACCGGAGAGCGGGAAGTTATTCGGTCGAAGGCTATACGAAAGTACATGGAGGTCCCTCCAACAAGGGGTATAGCTCTTCCTGGACAGCCGGTGAAACAGGTTAGTGAGCATCCAAAGACTCGATTCCCCGTGAGTGAATGTGCCAGATGATGAATGGTTATTGGCTAGGTCTACTTCCATAGACCTATTCATGAACTGCTAGGCGTCTTCTTGAAGAAGGGTATGGTGCTCGATGGACTTGAGGAGCCAACCTTTACTTCCGAAGAGGAGGAGAATGACCGGCTTGAAGCTACCGCAAACTTTGCCCAACTGCCGGCTCTGATGGCTTTCCGCATGCGGAGAGGCTTCTGAAGCCTTGAAGTATGGGACGGATGGTCTTTTGGATATGTTAACTCCTGCTACGTCCCCGTTCATTTCCGTTTTTCTTTTACCTTTTCTTTTTTTTTTTTTTTTGGACTCACGTCATTTTGGTGACGTTACAAGCGCATGCTCGCAATCACACCCTTTCGAAAACGTGAAAAGTGTTGCAGGGTATTCCTTGTCAAAGGGTTTGAGCCCGTTATAGCCGGGATTTTCTCTGGATCTGCGAACTGTCCTGCCGGGAACGGCTCGGGGGTGAACGGTTAAAATGGCCGTCTGGAAGGTCCTGTATTTGGCGCAGAGAGATGATTGGTCTCCGGCGCGACGTGCCATGCGACTGTACCTGCGATTGATATTTCATTGCGACCTAATCAATATATTACCATGTCAACAGTCCACACGGAGAGAAGGAGGTCCATCTGGGATGGAACTATTCTGCACTTTTCTGTTGCCACTTAATACCACTGACTTCAAACCCGATTACCGGCGCTGATAAGGGGCTTCCTGGCTGTTAATATAAGGTTGATATACATTACGTCTACTTGTCTGGACACTTTTCCTGTTGAAGTGCACGTATCAACAAAACATTTCATTGCATCACCTCCAAGTAATCTACCAGACGACAGTTTGATTCGTGACGCACACGATCATGAAAACTCTACTTCGGTCAGCTGTAGTGACAGCCGGTATCCTAGCACAAGAGGTGGTCGCACAAGTCCCTTCAGGATGCTGCGCCACAGCTGCCATGCTGCGATTCTCCTGCTCGCAGCTTGTCATTGAGCGTCTCGACCCTCTAGTGAGCCCCGGTATCGTTGGGTCACCTCATAACCATCAGATTGTGGGCGGCAACTCTTTCAATGCGACCATGACACCCGTCGATTACGATCCGTCAAAGGAGTCGAGCTGCACTAGCTGCTCCTTCAGCGAAGATTTCTCAAACTACTGGACGGCGAACATGTACTTCAGAGCACGCAACGGCACTTACAGACGAGTGCCGCAGATGGTCAATTTGGGACTGAAGGGCGAGGGTGGTATTACGGTTTACTACATCCCGCCCTACGATGGCAAGACCAAAGTCACCGCGTTCAAGCCCGTGAGAAGACTGCTCAAGGAACATGCGATAATGAGAAGGTCTAGCTAATCGAGCCTAGGGCTTCCGCATGCTTGCCGGAGACCCCGGTCTTCGTGCCGCCGAAGGAATGCAACGCCAGATCTGCCATCGATGCTTCAGCAACATGCAGCAGGATCCCTTTGGAGGGGCGCCTTGCACAGGGAATGACACCGCGGCCTTGCCTTCAAAGATGTGTGGTGGTGGTATCAGGTCCACCATCACTTTCCCAACGTGAGAGAGAATCTGGTCCAGTTTGTGTTCCAGCTAGAGGCTAATAGTGCGTAGCTGTTGGGATGGAAAGAACGTCGACAGTCCTGACCACAAGAGCCATGTCGCCTACCCGAGCACTGGAACCTTTGAATCGACGGGCGAATGCCCTCCGACCCACCCAGTCCGGCTTCCCCAAGTCATGTACGAAGTGATGTGGGATACAACGCCGTTCAACGACCCTGACTTGTGGCCTGAGGATGGATCTCAGCCTTTCGTGTACAGTATGGGCGATGCGTAAGTGTTCCATGTCCCTGACGGATCGCAAGCAAGCCAATACTGATGAATGTTTCGTAGCACCGGATACGGGCAGCACGGAGACTATCTCTTCGGATGGAAGGGCGACGCCCTTCAACGGGCTTTGGACGCTCGGTGCACCGGAGACCAATGTAGCGTCCTGGACAGTCAACCTGTGGAGAAGTTTCAAGCATGCACCAAGAAATCTGACATCCACGAAGACGTGGATGGATGTAAGTACTCAAAATCTTCAGAATAGGGAGCAAGCTGACCCTTTTCGGGCTAGGGATGACGGAACTTCCGGGAGGCATGTCTATGAGCAGTTAAAATGACGTATGCCGACTAGACCTATGGGAATAACACCGGGTCTTAGAGAAGACGAATCTAGCCATCAGGTTAATTATAGTGTAGGAAGGCTAGAGAACGAATGGCGGGCGGCGTTGTGTGTTTGAGATAGAAGAGAAGTGCAGGCTGGATGAATTGAGAGACCTGACTAAATACTCCGAACTGAGGCCATCTAGATACACGCAGCAAACAGCTTGCAGCCAGAATTCCCATATCATACACCGTCTCCGGATTCCCAGCTCCTGACTTCTACGTCAATCTCCTGACTATAGTCTCCTAATTCCTTGAAGACGCTCTTCATCATGTCGTTGTATCGCTTGGACCACCTGAATCCCTCGAACAGAGCCTTTGTGCAGTCCCAATACTCGGGATAGTAGCCCGAAGTCTCCCAATCAACTATTCCAGTAACGCGCCACGATATGCTGCCATCCGCCTCGATGGTTCGGTCCACCAGGATGTTGCGAGGGTTGAGATCAGCATGTGTAAAAAGAATCTTGTGCCCACGGCGGCTGGGTTCGTCAGAGAATCGCAAGATCTGACTAAAAGCAGCCTCATCTGGAAATGGCCCCATAGGCTGTTCACCACGTATGCGCGGGTCTCTGAGCGGGCCACCTAGGGTGTTGCAGATGGCCATGCTTGGATTGGCTTCCTTGGGAATATCTCGAAGCTGGCTGATGTAGTGTTGCAACTGAAGAGTAATCTCCTCGCAAGCTCTGTCGGAGAGCATATCTTCGCAACGTGATAGCGGCACGCCCGGAACTTGCGTGATGAGAAGGAAAGCTCGTGATGAAGAAAAAGGGTCATCCTCATCACATCCTTTGACAACCATATCAAGAGGGTCAGGAGATGGAATGGAGGTGTATCTGCGGACCATCTGCAAGGCGTTAAACTCGTTGCGATATCCGTCAGGTTCTCCCTGGTACTTCAGGTACAGCCCAAATGGAACTCTCTGAACAGTGGAGTAATCGCCTTGCTCTCCGTAAACCAGCCTCCCGAATTTCCTCAGCATTTCGTACGCAGCTATCCGAGCTTTTCTAGGGAACAGGAGCCAGACATTGAGAGTAGCACGCGCTAGAAAGCCCCTGAGAAATGCAAGTCCCCACGAGGTCTTATGGGACTTTATATCAAGAGTTAGGTAAGAACTGGTCGGTGGCTGAGAAGACGACTCCGACGCAATCTCGCGGGCGATGGCGAGAAGTCGAATTCCCTTGCAGAGCCGAGCATGCGTGCCGACGAACCGAGGGTCTATCTTCTCGATACCCGAACGCGAGTGGTCAGCCAGCAGCGCATACGGGGTTTCGACACTAATTGACTCCAGTGTTCCGACGGAGACAGGGTTCACCGCATACTGCCATGCATCCTAGAGTTAGAGGTGGGAGTCGCAATAAAGAGTATCCCGCTGTTCGTGACTCACCTCGACCATCGAGGGCTGCAGCCTGTCGAGTCTGATGAGGCCTCGCGACAAGGCCCCTGCCACTGATTTCCGGATCAGCCAGTGGCTGTGCAAAGGCGTCATGTATTCAGGTTCCCTGGAGTACGAAAGCCACCAGCCCCTATATTGAGGACCAAAGAAAGCACCCAGCATGTCAAAAATTCCCGGCTTCGGACATGAACTGTCAGCGTTTTGGTCATATGGTGGTTTTGGGGGTGGCCAAACTACCTTGTCTGTTGCCCAGCCCGATGGAACAGGAAGAATGGGCATGACTTGCAGAGGATCTCGAATTGTGCCAACTTTTCCCGTTACACAGCACCTGTTCCCGTCCCGTTTTATAATATCCCGTCGGATCTTCTCATTTGGTGGCGGCGGAACGTCACCATTGCTTGAAACTAGCAACGCTTAGAACGAAGACGAAATGGTCTGGAAGAAGGAACATACTGGATTCAATAATGTGTGTCCACCCAGATAGCAGTAAATCGCATTCACCAGCTGATAATTTGTCCCTTGCGTAGGCGGCAGCAAACGAAGGGTTAAGAGCCTCAGTGATGAATGTTGTGAGTAGTCGGCCTGAAGGATGGGGCAGTGCCATATCTTCAATGAGTGACAGTGTGCTCCGCACACCATCCTGAGTAGCGCTCATGTTCCAAGATACAGAGAAGCAAAGACTTGATGAATGTGCGCTGCAAATAGAAAGAGAGAAGACGTTGGACAAAGTTGCGGTGCGGCGGTGACAATTAGCCGCCGAGGAAACCTAGGCCCACACTGGACAACAGCCTGTCCAACCATGTGACGCGGTCGAGCATTATGTTAAATCCATCGCACCAGGCGTAGACTGCTGGTTCGCCAGAGAGCTGTCCTTCTTCACTACATGTTCGTCCAAAAAGGCCACTACATCGTCAATTCCATGGGGTGCGCTAAACCAATGCCCTCCATTCGGATACTCCTTCCATAAGACATGTGCTCCAAAACGGTGAAGTGTCTCTCTTAGGCTGCGGCCGTTCTGAACTAAGACCAACGGATCATCGACGCAGTGCTCAAGAAGCATGGGCGTGTTGCGGAGGACATGGTCGTGATCCGGGACTTTCTCCAAACTTAGGGTCCTTCTCATTCCGGCGAGGGACCTGCCGTCAAAGGGGCATCGGCATGAGAAACCGAGAAATGCTCCGAGCTTTCCTCCTGCTGCAGTCGGTATGTCCAAGTTGAACATCGTGTGTATGCTCGTGGCGCCGCCCATGCTGATCCCCGCCAGCACCAAACGGTCCCAACGGCCACCCAACCGTGCCACTTCCGTGGCCATCAACTCGCGGATGGCCGTGACAGCCTCCCTTAAACCCACTGCCTGTAGCTCTTCACGATCCGCGAAGTTGGAGGTGTCCCAGACGTCGAACCACTGCGGCCACGTAGTATTCAAGGAACTGGCGCACTGGCGCATAGGAGCCTGAGGGAAGACCCAGCGCAAGGATGGGAAGGCCTCAAAGAGGGAACGGCTGTGCGAGTCTTTCGAGTTCACAAGAGAGGCCGCGAAGCTGCGTGCATTGTCGCCGCGGCCATGCAGGAACACGACTGTGTGCGTGTGGGGTGGCCTGGAAGGCTCGATGATGAAGACTCCGTCCATGGCTTTCGTACCTAGTAATCGGCCTGCCGCTGTTGGAGAGGGGGTTATTACTGTACACAGCTACTGATGTGGTGCTGGGCGGAGAGAAATTAACAAAGTTCAGGTGAGGGGCAAGCAGTTTAGAAGAGGTGTGGTGTGTTGGTTGAGTGCTGCACGTATCCTACCCCGCCCCGCTTGAGAGGCCAACACTGCGACCCGAAAACCGTATCTCAGATCGATAACATGCCCTGCCTTTGACTGAAGCTACCCCTGGCTATGATCTATCACCTCTAATCAAAATGCTGAGAGAGCCAATCTTAGGCTTATTTGGATCTCGCTTGGTATATCCTTCAATAGCTCGCTTCTGCGGTCTCGTCAATGAAAGCGGATATTCATGATCGAAATCGTGTACGAACGTCAGACCTACAGCTACCCGCGCCATATAAGATGTTTAGCAGTATTTGAAGAGTATTAAAGGATGCACAGGTGGGCATGCTCAAAATCAAAAGGCCAAGTGTGGAGGTAGATACAGAGTGTCTAGGGTGTTACTGCAACATCGATTGGACCTATCGTTCATTTCTTGCCTTGTAGAGTCGAACTATATCGACGTATATTACTGTAGTCTGAAGAATAGTGACTACTACATCTCGCGGATATGCTAGAGAAAAACAAAATAATCTAGTCTGCCTTATCTATGGGAGAACGGATGGGATCCCTGGTTTTCTACCATCTATGGTCGTACATCTAGTCTGCCTTATAAGATGTCACAATTCTTTGTTAAGGCTTACAGCGTTTCCACTTGGTATACCCTATCAAGTATGGGGACTTGGCTTCTACATGTGAATTCAATTTTCACATAGGTCATAATTCGCCCGTCATATAGGGAGTTATCATGTGCCGTGTCATAGCGACTCTCCGAGAGGCTCGAGCCAAAAGAAAAAGGTGTCTCAAGCAGCCAATGACGATGCGATCCCTGAAAGGTGAGAAAAATAGAACAACTCTAGGTATTCTTCGAGTGTAAGACTGACATCATGCCGTACATGTACTCGCCGCCTGCCCCTTCTCTTTCTCCGCTGTGATTGTTCCTTGCCCGGCTGCCAGTCCTCAGCTGATTCGGGAATGAACTCAGGTGGCCTGAACTGGCTCAGTAAGAGTCATATACCCTCCTCCCGCTCCGCCCCCTGCTCGGTTCCTCATAAGCGTACGTCGCGCTGGGCCGACGCGGGCTCTTGGACGCCCTCCTAGCATCGTCCCTGACCACCACGACAGGGGGGCGCGACGACGTGCGGACCTCGGCCACGGAGCCGCGGCGCGAGTGCGAGTGGTGGTGGTGGTTGCCGCTGTGCCGGCGGCGCGTGCTGGTGGGCTCGACGTCGTGGTACCAGCTCTCGCGCTCCTGGGGCGGCGCGCCGATGTTCATGCAGGACCGGATGATCCAGAGGAGGAGAAGGATACCGACGACGCTGCCGATGACGATGCCTGCGATGGCGCCGCCGCTTAGAGTTGATGCACCGCTTCCGCCACCGCCGCCTGCCGGTGCGGCGGTCACCGTGACGGTGACGGTCGCGGGGGACTGGCGCTTGACGCGGTCGGGCAGTTGAAGAGTGACTGTCGGGGCTAGGTGGGCGGCAGCGTCGCGTGCGAGAGATTGTGCCTGCTCGCTACCACGATGGAAAAGGTGCCCCAGCTGGTTTGGAAGCTCGGAGAGCGCAGCGGGTAAGGGAGCCATGGTTGAAGTGCTGTGCGGCTGGAGAAAGATCACCCAATGCGACACCGATCAAGGGCTGGCCTCTTATATCACAGTTGACGGGCAAGTAGAACCCTGTAAGCAGATTTATTCGCCTCTCGGTAGTGGGAATAAGAGGAGTAAGTTTTGACGGAATAGCCTTGTGGATGTTTTAATACAAAAGGGCCGCAGTGTCGTTGATCGAATGGCGCTGGGCTAGGGCGGGAATATAACGAGATCTCTTGGGCAGCTCCATTGCTTCGGAGCACACCAACATGACCGCATGTGGGTAATCATCATCGCCTGTCAAAGACATGCTCTGCTTGCTCTTAGTCCTTACAGATTCGCGAGTACCCACCAAGGACCGAATGCTCCGCGTGATGACAGGGGCACCCTCTCATTCTAAGATCACTACTTTCTGCACATCATGGCCATTGGTGGAGCAGTCAGGCACGCTATGTATCAATCGGGACCTGAAGCATGTGTGGCAGATAAGTGAGACATGGCGGGCGGCGGGCGCCAGTACGCCGGGCGTAAGCGGGACGAGGCTGGACGGGACGAACCCTCATGGAGGTCTAGTGTATCCAGTCGCGACGTCATAAAGGCATCAAGCAGATGTCAGAGGGTGAGAAGGATGGTCGGGCTAAGAGAGGGGTTGGGTGATACTCGGAGCGATCATCGGCGCCAATGCATGCAATCCCAGTTTTGCGACTTTTCTGGTCGACTCCCAAGCCTGGGCCCAATGAAGTCTGCGCGTCCTCTGCGAGGAGAGGCAAGATGATCGATGACGTCGCCAACTGCATCCAGCCAATTTGCACTTGTACTACTTGTTCGAGTTGAGGCTGGGGCACTATGCTCAGTGGGGATTGGCGCCGTGGTGAACATGCAGGGGTGTCAAGTATCGCGATGCCTGGGTGGTTGGGAATTTACGGATAATGTAGAGATGCAACACTCCCTCCCACAATAGGATACGTCAAATGAAGAGGACGTAGGAAATCCGTAATATCATCTTCTCATCATTGAGTGGCAATTCCTTTATCTGGAGGCAGTACAGAGTGTCTGAGGGTTAAGCGTGCTTCCTGCACATCGTACGTGTAAGTAAAGCTGAATGCTGTTGAAATATTCGTGACTCGTCTTGACCGGGCCGGATCTAAGTTCGGGTGTTTGGCCGAATCTTTGTAATTGGTTAACGCTTCAGACAAGGTAACCAAGGTTATCACATTGGAACGCCCCTGGTCTGGAGCACTCCAAGCCTGCATGGGTCGATCCAGGAACCGACCACAAGAAACCCATTGCCTTCTGACATTGCCATGCTGGAGAGCTGTCCATCAGAAGTCCCGAGATCTAGTCGGCCCCCGGATAATAAACAGTCGTCTTTTCAATCCCACTTTCAAGCGTGGATACAGTGATGCATCATTTGTCATGACTGCTTTTGTCTTGATTCCATTTACATGCTCATGTCTATCTAGCCAAAGTCCAGTCTATGCCTTGTAGGTGACCTCCTTACCCACCACAACAGCCGCGGTATCAGCAATGTCCACAGCCGAAGATGCCAAGTGGAACTCGTACTTTCCGGCGTCGACAACCCACTCATGGCGCCCCTCGTCAAAGTAGGCAAGATCACGTCCGGCAACATCCAAGAGGATATTCTGCTTCTCGCCGGGCTGCAGCCGGACCTTTTGGAACGCAACCAGCGACTTGACCGGATGCTCAGCCGAGTTCTCTGCTTTACCAACATAGATCTGCACCGCAATACCACCAGCGACCTTGCCGGTGTTGGTCACCTCGGCCGACATGATGAAGCCTTCGCTTGACGGCGCAACCTTCAGGTTGCCGAGCTGGAAGGTAGTGTAGGAGAGACCGAAACCGAAGGGGAAGTTGACCTTCTCGCGGGCGATGCGGTCGTAGTGCCTGTAGCCGACAAAGACACCCTCCGCATAGTTGACCTTCAGTTTTCCATTGACGTACTCGCCGGGGAAGTTTCCGTGGGCAGGGGCATCTTCGATATGCTTGGGCAAGCTGACCGGGAGGTGGCCCTCGGGCGTGACAGCGCCGGTCAGAACGTCTGCGATCGCATTACCGCACTCCTGGCCAGAGAACCAGGACTGAACCAGACCGGAAATCTGGTCGAGCCAGGGCATCGCAACTGCCACACCAGTGGAGTTGACAACAATAGTCTGAGGATTAGCACCCGCAACCGCAGCCACAAGCCTGTCCTGGCTACCCTTGCTTGGGAGATGGAAGGAGTCTTGGTCACGTCCCTCAGTCTCCCACTGGGGGTCGTGGCCAGTGAAAACGATCGCAAGGTCGGCCTCCTTGGCAGCCCGGACCGCCTCGCCCTCCAGGTCCGCATCATGCTCCGACTCGAGCATAAATCCCATACGCACGCCGGTGCGGCCCTCGATGATCTTGGAACCAATATTCGTCGGTGGGTGGCTGCGAATACGCAGGCGGTAGGTCTTGCCGGCCTCGAACCTGTGCGTGAACTCGTCCTCATTCATTGACTGGAACAGAGCACCCATGGGATCGTTCGTGTTCCCCTTCTGCTCAAAGATGGTCTGGTCGTCGACGAAGATTTGCGTGGTGCCAAAGCCGGAGGCTGCAATGTAGTGGTTGCCGGTCTCCTTGGGAGTAAAGTCACCGACAATCTCAAGGATCTTCCACATCGTCTCTTGTGAACCAAGCGGGTTGTAGGTCGAGTTGGGGTATGAGTGACGTGTGGAGGTGGGTTCTGATGTGTTGTCCAGGTCGTAGAGGAGGTAGCTGAAGCCGGGTTGGCCATCCAGACCGACAATCTTGCCCTGAGAACCATCTATGGGGATGGGTCTGAGCAGACGTTCTCGGTGCACACCCTTGGCGTACGTAAACTCGACACTATCACCGAGCGCAGCCTGTAGGCCGTCCCAGGGGGTAATCTTGTAATGGGCGTTGACACCAGCACTGCCACCGCCGTTTGTCAAGGCATCCTTGGCTAGACCGATGAGCGCAATCTTTTTGCCTTTGACCTTCTCTTTTGTCAGGGGCAGGACATTGTTTTCGTTCTTCAGCAGGACCATGCCCCTCGCGCCGGCATGCCGGATGAGAACACGATGTTCTGGCCTGTCAACTGCAGTCTCGACCTCGACCTTGTGGTCGGTGTCGAAAGCCTTCAGCTTGTCGAGAAACTCGAAAAGGTTTCTTAGCCGCTCGTTGATGTCCTCCTCGGTCAGCTCGCCGTTCTTGACAGCCTCGAGGACAACCTCAACTTTCCGAACACGTGGTGGACCAGGCATTTCTACCTCCATACCCGCCTTAATACCCTCAGCGACAGAATTAGTACCACCCCAGTCACTGATGACAACCCCCTTCCATCCCCACTCTCCGCGCAGCACTTGGCCCAGGAGCCAGGGGTTGGAGTCACAGTGCACACCGTTGATTTTATTGTAGGCAGTCATGACAGCCCAGGGATTCGCCTCCTTGATAGCAATCTCAAAGGGCCGCAGGTAGATCTCACGCAAAGCCCGCTCGCTGATGGTCTCGTCCACAGTCAGGCGCTCAGTCTCCTGCTCGTTGGCGACAAAGTGCTTGATCGTCGCCGCCAGGCCGAGACTCTGGGCGCCCTGGATCATCTGCGAGGCGAGCTTGCCCGTGAGGAAAGGGTCCTCGCTGTAAGACTCAAAGTTGCGGCCGCCCAGCGGATGCCGGTGGATGCAGACGGTCGGCGCGAGTAGGCATGATGCGCCCTTGCTGCGGCCCTCCTCGGCCAACGCCTTCCCCAATGACCGCGCAATCTCGCGGTCGAAGGAGGCGGCGACACAACTCGCTGCTGGGAAGCAAGCCGCCCGGGTGTTGCCCAGGAAGTCCACACCTCGCGTTCCATTAGGTCCATCCGAAGTCTGGGAGTCGTAGGTCAGCACTGGCTCTTGAGGTGCTGGAAAGCCACAGTACACAAACCTTGATACTCGGAATGCCTTTCTCAGGAATAGCAGCAGTGTCCCAGAAGCTCTGCCCAGCCAAGAGTGTTATCTATCTAATATGTTAGTTCTGCGAGCGTCTTGAGTAAATTTTGAGTCTGGTGCGGCTTACCTTCTCCTCCAAGGTCAACGAGGCAATGAGGGCCTCGATATCCACAGATTTTCCCATTGTGAGTCTACTTCGACAACCTTAAACTTGAAAAGGGTAGCGGGCCAGCTGTAGGTTCGGGATGAAGAAGTGTCTTGAGGTCTAGGTACTGGCGTGGAAGAACACTCGCCATATTTGTCGATATTGCTTCCCCGAACCAGACTGCTGGCACGGCGAAGCCATCCAAGTGGAGCACCCGGGTGGGGATGGCAGTGCGTGAGAGCCGGCAAGGCGCACGGTCATTTCGGGGAACGTTCCGAGAAGCGGATTTTGAGCTTCTGGAACGCACCCTCGCTCAGGTCAATGCATGAGAGCAGTCACATGCATTGACTTAGACGCCGAAATGACTCTGAACCTCCTCTTGGCCTAAAAACACCAACGACGAGGCCATCCATGAGACTGCTGGATTTCCACCGAGGGATTAATGTTTCTCCCCGACCTGATAGGAATCGAGGACCCTCCCCCAGATTTCCAGTCGGGGCCGCCGACTTCCGAAATACCCCACAGGGATAGCCATCGGCTCCGACCCGTCAAAACTACCTTCAATGTTGTCAGAGAACACTCAATTCTACTGATAGATTGATCATAAACATAATGCTACCGTCATTATTTCTCCAACTCTCGTAGATGTGATTTGGAAGACTCCCACGTGAAAGTGTAGTATTCGACTTTGTCTAGCGAAATGGGTTCAGTTCCAGGACAAGACACTGCCGGCAAACGGCCCAACTTCCTCATCATCGTTGCGGATGACCTAGGTTTTAGCGATTGTGGCTGCTTCGGATCCGAGATTCAGACGCCCAATGTCGATAAGCTGGCAGGGGAAGCTGGCTCTCTGCGCTTCACAGAGTTCCATGTCGCAGCAGCCTGCTCACCGACGCGGTCCATGCTTATGACTGGAACGGACCACCACATCGCCGGCCTCGGGCAGCTTCAAGAGTTTACGCGCATGTCCCCAGCTCACTACAATGCGCCGGGCCACGAAGGCTACCTGAATGAATCAGTAGTAGCGCTGCCGGAACTGCTTAAGGAAGGGGGTTATTTGACTCTTATGTCGGGCAAGTGGCACTTGGGACTCAAGCCGGAGCATCACCCTATCAAACGGGGGTTCAGGTTCGTTACTTTGAATGCGTATTTGACAAGCCCCAGAGAGACAAGAACTAATACCAGTGAAAAGCAAATCATTCGCGCTCCTTCCCGGCTGTGCCAACCACTATGGTGAGTGATTAGATCCTCGGATTTCAACATGACCACCAACGGCCCATGCTAATCTGTGTAAAGGATGGGAACCGCAATATGACGATCCCACAAATGAGCCCATCAAGTTCCTAGAGACCTCAACACGTGCCCTGCACGTCGAGGACGAGTACTTCATCAAGGAACTCCCGGAGCCGTGGTACTCCTCCGACGGCTATGCAGACAAGATGATATCCTATCTGCGTGAGCGGAACGACGAGGAAAAGGAGAAGCCGTTCTTCGCGTACCTGCCTTTCAGCGCGCCCCACTGGCCTCTGCAGGCTCCCAAGGAGAGCAGTGACAAATACAGGGGCATGTACGCCGATGGCCCGGAAGCCCTGCGGAACCGCCGCGTGCAGCGCCTCAAGGACCTGGGCCTTGTGGCGCCCGACGTCAAGCCGCACAATGTGGTCGTCACGCCGGGCGAGCAAGCTGACTGGGACACGCTCGACGAAGAGACTCGCGCAAAGTCTGCCCGTGCCATGGAGGTCTACGCCGGCATGGTGGACAGAATGGACTGGAACATTGGCCGTGTGGTAGACTATCTCAAGGAGACGGGAGAGTACGACAACACCTTTGTCTTGTTCATGTCTGACAACGGGGCTGAGGGTGCCTCTTTTGAAGCGATTCCGATCATGGGGACCAACATCTCGTCGCACATCGCCAAGTACTACAACAACAGCCTCGACAACATCGGCAACGGCGACTCCTTCGTCTGGTACGGCTCCCGCTGGGCGCAGGCCGCCACCGCCCCGAGTCGTCTGTTCAAGATGTTCTCCACCGAGGGCGGCTGCCGCGTGCCCCTGGTCGTCAAGCCTCCCAAGCGCAGTGCCCAACAAGCCGCCGCAGCACCCATCATCACCGACGCCTTCTGCACGGTCATGGACCTGGTCCCCACGGTCCTCGAGATGGCCGGCCTCGAGCACCCAGGCAGCACCTACAAGGGCAAGCCCATCGCCATGCTCCGCGGCCGCAGCTGGGCGCCCTTCCTCGACACGCTGGCCACAAGTACTACGTCAGGCACTGCCGCGTCGGCAGGCAGACAGCCCATCCACGCGCCCGACTACGTCGCTGGGTTCGAGATCGCTGGGTCGGGCGCCCTGCGCCGCGGCGACTTCAAGATCACGTTCGTGCCCGCGCCACGTGGCCCGCAAAAGTGGGAGCTGTTCAACGTCCGCGAGGACCCGGGCGAGACCAACGACCTGCGCGAGCAGATGCCCGAGCTGTTCCGGGAGCTCCTGGCGTGCTGGGACGAGTACAAGAAGGAGGTCGGCGTAGTGGGCCTGGCCGGCGAGTTCAAGCGGCCGACGCCGGGAGACCCGTCGTTTGCAGTCGATGAATTTGCCGACCCGCTGGGGTGGATCAAGTACATAGGGAGGCCGGAGATTACTCCTGATAGGTTGAAGGGAGTCATCCCTGATAAGGTGCGGTAGCTGCATCGGGTTGATTTGGTGAGCCAGCTCGCGAGCATTTACTTGTTATGTTATATCATGCCACTCAAAGTCACTCATAGAACTTGATGCATCAATGTATTCTGTATCCAAGATTCATCAAGCACTACTCCTGGCCACGCACAAGCCTTACTCCAGCCCATCTCCAGGATAACCACCCCAGACATGCTCACTGGCAGTCCTTCCCCAAGTCAAGAACTCCGACATCTCGTCAGCAAGCCGCATATACGACCCTGGGGAGAGTGTCTCCATAGGCGAACCGCCGAGATCGGCAAAGTCTCCCTGGAAGAATGATTGATCCTCTGGATACATAGGAATGGGCTCATGGTGTGCGTGGATGACGGGCAGCGTGCTTGAGTCCAGAATGTTCGGAATTGGGGCCATCTGGTGTTGTTGCTGATGCAGAATACTACCAGAGGGCGACGATCCTTGGTGCAGTGCTGTGGTCGGACTGGCGCCGAAGATAATGGGCGGCTGGCGGGACAAATCGGCTGTCCTGCTGGCTTCGCTTGTTGCCGTCTCGCTGGGCGAGCTTGCGCTAGCTGCACGCTCCTCCATCTTCGATCTCGCCAGCCGTAGGATGCTGATAGCCGAGAGGTGGTTGGCCGTATCAGGACCCGTGATATCGACGCCTTGTGTTGTAGGGCTATGCAGAGGTCAGTGATCAGTGTCATCCAAGTTGGCATGATGCTAGAAGAATGGTCTTACCTCGACCTCCGACTCTGACCCCATTCTAGAGCGATAGAATGGAAGCCGAAGCGCGTCAACAGGGGCATCAGTGTGCGTCGCTAGGGACAAATACGGTCAGCAAAAAAGCAGTCACCGGCCAGGCAGGCTGAGTAAACATACGTGCATGACGGTTGCATCTCTTCCCTTCCTCGAGATGAGCCGTATGTTTGTCCGTATGTCCTCTTCTATTCTCCTCCTCTCCTTAGTGTGGCCCGTGATGCCAGCCACCGCCGTGTCCACAATCTGAATCTTGGTCGCCTCGAATGCAGCAACATAACAGAAAGCGTCCTCAAAAGCCCTGTCGGCATGTGAAAGACCGAGGCGTATGATCCGTGTAACTTCGTCTGCATGGTATCGGGCCCGGCGTTGAACCTGTGCCCTGAACTCTCCAGGGGCGTTCCGGAAGGCGTTTGCAAGGGGAAAGTTGAAACCGGGTAGGGCAACTCTCGTTAGGTCCGTGACCGCAAGGTGATAACCAAGATGCAGGAAGAATATGGAGCTCAGGACATTCATCTCCTTGTGGATGTAGGCTCGAGTCTCGTCTAGCAGGAGATTTTCTGGCAAATTTTGGTACCATCTGCCTATCCGGTCAATGAGGGAGAGAAATTCTGAACCAGAAATCCAAGGATCTGTGGAAAGTCGATGTTTCCTGAGCATTCTAAGGAGCAGTCAGTTTTAGTAACGAAAGTTAGGAGACGGAGATGGAGGAGCTCATACTTGAGTACCTGACCTCTGAGCCAGAAGATATGGACTATGTGAGCCCGCATATTCAAGCGCCCCGACATGGCAGGGTCGTCGAATATTTCCATAGTTGGAAGACTCGATGTATCTGGGATTACCTGCGACAGGAAGTCGTGGTCTGACAAAGGCAGAGGGATGGGCGGATACGTTTGCCAATTGAGATTCGGCTCGACCCCTGACCCGACCGTCTGATCGAGAATAAAACAAGACCACACGAGTCGCCTTTGAGATTCATATCTTGTGGCTTCTTCGCAGGTTCGTGGGACAACCGTGTGACTGGGATCATCAAGGCCCAGGAGTCGGACCAAGCGATAGCAGCAGCCGACAAGTTGAAAGATAACTTCGTAGTTGTCTGCCACAAAGCCATAATCACAGACCAGAACCATGGCCTGAAAACGGGTTTAGTCCAAGGTTCATGTCTGACATGGAGAAAGGATGGATATACACACCATAAGGTTGTCTAATGAAGGCTTTTTGATGCCCTCGAGCACCAGATCCTCTGCTCTATCAGCCCATTGCCGTCCAGGAACAACGCCCGAGAAGGCATGGCGTTGGCGATCGGTGTCGTCGATATACAAGCACCTATGGATTAACTCGGTCAACTGGCTTGCCTTTGACGCCTTGTGTGATGATCATGGCTTCTTACCTAGCCCCGAAAGCACATATAATGTAGATGAGCGCATCACCATAATCCTCGACTAGTGTTCCCCGATCAAACGAGTGCATGAAGGACGGAGGGTGAATGAAGCCTGTGCATCGTAACTGATGGACGCGGGAGAAGAACAAGTCGATAAGCTTTTTGAGAGATGATTTCTCAGTAGGTAAGCGCGCGTCGTAGAGCCTGGTTTGCTCGTCAGCGGCTGCGATCATGAAAGCCACGGTGGGAAGCTGATCAAGCTTACCATTGGAAGTCATTGGCCACCTGCTCAAGCTCCGCATCCTGGGCAAAGTTGACATGTGTGGACAGTTTCCTGTTGACGAGCGTTACAGGCGACGGTGAATTCTGCATACTGGATGGTGGCAGCGGCGTCGAGCTCTCATCATCGCTGATGGGCTTGTACTTGTCCGGGTAGACACAAGGGATCCGGCGCTGTTGACAGCGTAGACACGTCGGCCGCGTCTTGGAACACCGGGTCTTGGACTTGTGGCAGGCCTCGCAGGAACCCACTCTGCGCTTCTCGACACCAGAGGCTCTGAAGATGCCGCTCACAGACGACTGCAGCTCATCTTGCGATAAGTGAGCTTCGGGGGAGCCATAACCTGGACAGCGAAGGCGCAGGCGGTTGCATGCGCGACAGGTCGGCAGTGTCCGATCACACTTTACCTGGGGTGAGTGTAAGCAGCTAGTCGTTTCATGCAAAATGGGAGGCACTCCTTCCTTACCTTTCGGGAGCGACAGACGAGACAGGCTGTGGGCATTGGCTCTTATTAGCTGCGACTGTCTCAACATGGAGGTGCGAGTCCGGGTGCCTACATGTGGTGGCTCGGACAGCATGAGCAAGGTCTCCACCCTCTTCGGTGCTCGGTGCCGATGCCATGGGTCTGGTATTCGTTCAGCCAATGTCTGTCGGCGCGCACGTTGCGAGGTGGCTGCCGGGGTTGCAGTGTCTTTCCTCTGTCTGGGGAGATTGCGGGGCCGCTCCCCGGATCTCTTATGAAGCGGCGCAGTTCTGGTGGGTGATTTTCTTCAAGGAAGAGATCGGGGATTGTTTTTGGAGAAATCTGTTTGTTTGGAGTCAACGGAAGTCGCTGTCTCTCAGCCCAGCTAGGTCATGGCGAGTGGGTCTCCCACGCGCGCAGATGTGATGGAGCCTCATCATCGCTGACCAATGAAGTCGGGGGCTCGGTGAGCTCCGAGTCAGGTCCTTGCTCCTCCCCATACGTTGGCAACGACGGGAGGTATCCTGCCTTGCCTGCAAAGGGATAGGACCACTTACAAGCATTACATGGACGCCGGCGCTTGATTGCTCTCAAGACATACCAACACAGGATTTACGGGATACACAGGCTACAAAGACACAACACCTCACTCAGGACTGCAACTCAAATCATAGACACGCATGTCAAAAGATCGCATTCCATCCCTTTCAGACAACTACATATTTATATGAAGGGACTAGTATTCGCTGGTGTCGCCATTGCCATGGGGTCTTTGTTCACCGATGAAAGTTTGCCTGTTGTATTGATGCCCTTGCCTGGATGACTGCCTGAAACACTCTGCTAGCGAAATGATGCCTGGGTGCGCTCAAGGGGTGAAATGCGAGAAAGAAATACGCGAATAACGCCGTAGACATGCCATGGACTCGGTTCCATGCCGGAGACTCGGCTCCATCCCGACTCCAGGCATCATGTTTGTGGCAATCATGAAATGCGATCCGTCAAGTGAGAGAGAATGGGTAGACTCGAGGGTCCAACACCACCATCAAAGGGTTCCGTATAATTAGTACAAAGGGGAAGAAGGGTGGATGACACATCGCGGTCATAGTCGTTTGTTCGTGATTCAGTATGTGATGTACAGTGGTCAAGCTCGCAGGTCCGGTCGTAAAGCCAGAATTGGTTCTACTGGTCTAAACGACCCTGCGGCTGCCATCCGTTCAGGTACGCCATAAGACCCATGCCAAAGATGACGACGCCCAACATAGAGGCGTACGGCATACCGTGTATGAAGACGGGATCGGATGCCTGCAGGGCTTGGGTCTGAGGCGTCGGCGTGATGGTGTTGGCCCTTGATAAGGTAGGGTATTCTTCGGCGGGGTCAGCAGGCGATTCCTTCTCTGCCGGACCGGATTCCGAGGCCCCATCAACGGCCGACACATCAGGATTTGCCGGCGACGAGATGACAACTCCTTTGCGACCAACGGAAGAGGATCGTGTCCTTTCTTTCGCCTTCCTGCGAGCCTCCTCCTCGTCACGCCGCCTGATCTCAGCGACCATCTCAGAAAGTGTTTTCCTATCCTCGTCACGCTCGGCCTCGGCCTTCTCAGCCCGCTTGCGGAATTCTTCCACCAGATCTTTCAGGCCCTTCACCTCTGCGACCATGGCATCAATGCGCGCTTGCATGGCTTCTGTCGGTTCTGACGGCGTCTCGGTTGCTGCTGTGTGAGTGGCATCGTCGTCAGCAGCAGAGGTTGACTCGGCCGCAGCCACAGCGATCTTCTCTTCTAAGGCGGGAGTGGTGTCCGGGCTCACTGCAGCGCCATTCGCCTCCTTAGTTGACGCCGCATCCTCCAATAGTTTCACCTGCTCCTCTGCAGACTCGCGCCTCTGTCGCTCTTCTTGATACTTCTTTTCAAGTTCTTTCATGCGAGCGTGATGGTTGTCAATCTCCTTCCGAGCGCTGTCCAAGGCCTCCGTGAGCTGCAGGATCTGGCTCGTGTTGTCGGGACGGACGGGCGACGCGGTTTGAGGCGGGGCCTTCGGTCGTTCGGTTGTTCCTCGTTTTAATGAGGGGACATCGGGCTTCTCAGGAAGGGGTTGCTGAGGAGGAGGCGCAGGGGGTTCAGAGAAGCGCGCCTTGGGGTCCGGCCGGAAGGGGAGCGCATTGCCATTAACTAGGTGCGACTTGGGCGGCTCGGGGACCTCGGGCTTTTGTTCGTTCTTGATGTCTTCTTTGGAGAGGAGGGCGTGGATAAATCGGTTGGTGCGTGATAGGTCTTCTGCTTGCAAGCGGGCATTACGCATCTCTTGCTGTTGGGAATTGTCAGTATCGTATTCAGGATTCATTCGGAGTCAGGGCGAGGTAGTAGGACTTACGTGAAGCTTCTTCACAATAGCCTCGGTAGACGGCTGGGTCAGAAACAGCCCCCCTCTCTGCATAGCCATGCCGTTGACTTGGCCATTCATATTCCCACCAAGACCTAGCCGACCGCCTGGCCCCATAGACGCTTGACTGGAAGTCCTGCCACGAAACTGGCCACCCATTTGCTGCATCATCGGGTTGGTCGGGTCCAGGTCCCCAAAACTCATGTCCAGTAGGTTGCTTGAAGGGTTCAGGAACCCGGCGTGTTCAACTTTAGCTGCCACTTTGTGGTGTACAACGGACTTTTGATCCTCGCTAACAATATCGATGCCGAGTTCCAGGTGGTCAGAGGTTTGCAACTCGTGTGGTTCGGACTCGCGATTCTCGGCGGAGAGGCGGGTGCCGTTGACAAAAGTACCGTTGGATGACTTGATATCCCGAATCCAAATCTTGCCTTGTCGATCTGCCCAGATCTCTGCGTGTTGCCTGGACAGCACTTTACTGTCAAAGAAACCGTTGACGGGTGTGGGCACAGTTTTGGCGTTGGTCTGACGACCTATCCGTAGAGTTTCGGGAAGAAAAGGCACCGAGATGGTTTTGCGTTCAAATGTTCCGTTGAGCGACAGAAGATAGAGAACAGGCTGGCCCGCGGCGAGGGGATCGGCCATGGGCCTCGCCATACCGCCCTGGGCGCTCATCTGGCCTTGCGGGGGCAGGAAACTCGAAGGTTGATGGACAGAGTTAACACCGTTGATGCCCCCCATCATCTGCGGCCGGCCGGCAGGCATTCTGGCGAAGTCGGGCTGGGTGTCCGGTTTCTGCGTAGGCCATTGCGAGCCCTTTGGCGGCGGCCGCTTGCGCGTGTTGGCATTCGGCCAGCCGCTCAGGTCCCCCGCTGCCGAGACTTGGGCGCCGTTGGTAGAGCCGTTGGAAGATACCAGGGTAGAGGAGGAGGATGTGGACGAGTTGGAAGAGATGGAGGAGGATGAGTTGGTTCGCTGGATGGTTTTGCGCGTCGCAAACATGCCTCGTGGGTCGTCTGAGTTGATAGAATTGAGCGACTGCCCACCATTAACACCCCATTGCGGCCGGTTGAGATTCGATAGGCTCGGAGGATTTGCTACCGCAGTCATGGAGAACGCTTCTGGGGAAGTCCCGACGATGGAAATGGGATGTGTGGATGGAGGACGTGGCTACCGTGTTGGCGCGTGGTCGACTGAACGAAACTCGCCCTTCCCTTCTTCTGGAGTCTCGATGACGCAGAGGGCGACTCGACAGACCTGGCTTGTGCGGCCAACAAAAATACTGTCATATGGTTGATATCTGTAAATATGTAATGGAGAACGCGTGTCGCAGCTGCAGGCCCGGGGGGGCTGTTGGACAAGATGTCAGTAGATCCGGAGCATGCAAGGTTGAGGGGGCCAAGGAAAGAAAGCGCCAGGGCGAGAGCGATTGACTGCTGGGCCGAGAAGCGGGATGGCACAGGCGCGAGGATGAAATATAGCAAGAGGAACAAAAGACCTACAATATGACAGAAATGAAGGGGTATCAAAGGCGAAGAGCGCTGGACAGGCACAGGTGTTGGAGAAGGCGTTTTGGAGCTGTTGTTCTCAAACCGGCCAGAAGTGAGGGTGACGGGAATGTCGAGGTGTTCTGCCCCCGTCTCGCTAAGCGCCTTGCTAGCGTGACTTCTTTGTGCCTTTGGGTGCAGCAAGTGTTTTTTGCGGTTGGCAACGGTGGGTGGTGGTGCTGTCAGCGAGGGGACAGTGCAATACGCCTGCTACACGCACCCAACAGCACAATGACACAAGCCCTGGAAAGGGGGGGTGCCAGCTGGCTCTGACACGCCACACAACCTGGAAGAGCCACAGCACAGAGGCACAAGGGAGCGCACTGACCAGGCACAACCCTTGAAAACCTGTTGTCCACCCTGTCAACAGGGCGTCGATCCAGCTGGGACAGGCGTAAAAGACAGGAAATTGAGAGAGGAAGAGGAAGAGACTGAGATCAGAAATGGAAAGCACAGAAGAACGCGAGGATCCCAGGACAAAAACACCGAATGGATCCAAGCTCCCCTCAGAGCTCCGCTAAATCCACACAAATGCGTGATGCCACTCAAGTACTGTACCTAGTGTACAGCACTTTACTGACTGAATCCAGCTAGCACAACCGTGGACTCGAGCCTTTCGCTCATCTGGAATGGATGGCACGTGATGATCTGGTTGTTAGCAAGCAACTTGAATGAACGCCAAAAGTCTGCTGGGGACCAGAGTACTGTCACAGCTGGTCAACATCCCACATTTCTCCGCTCTTAGTTACTTGGTCCGTGCTCCCGGTGCCCTAGTCCTAATTTGATTGATGCCGAAGCTTCGAGGCAGCGGTCCCATTTCACGGTGACAGGTGATGCTGGTGGGCCGGCAGATCAAAAAGACCTTCGCAAGTCCGTCCATTCCATGCGAATTGAATTGCGCAAACGACACCGATACTCAACCTCCATCTCGACTTCTCCCAAAAGGAACTCTAGCATTTTCCAATCCGTTTAACCCACGATGCCCGTCCCTGTCAACACTGGCCAGGTCGGCCCGTCCAACGCTGACAAGCGTGAGTTGCTTGCCACTTTACCAGACAACGTTTGCCGTCTCTGCAACCGCTAACTGATTCCACGCAGTCAAGATGGGCGCCATGATGGGCGGAAGTATGCAGCTATCACGCCCCATGGACTAGCGTTGACGATTGCTAACCTTGCCACAGCTGTTGGTGTGATCATTGGCTTCATCTTCGGTGCGTGCCTGCCAATACCTCGGCTTCCAATGCACCTGGCTCGTCCGCTGACCTTGTACTTAGGCACCGTCAACATTTTCCGATACGGGGCTGGACCTAACGGCATCATGAGGACACTGGGTCAATACATGGCAGCTTCGGGAGCCACGTTCGGGTAAGCAGTCTTGGTGTAGCGTTCTCGATTCTTTGCTCACATGCAGCTTGCTAACCTCTCTTCCCCACTACAGCTTCTTTATGTCTATCGGCAGCGTGATCCGTTCCGATGCCTCCCCCATAGTCCAAGAGGCTTACGCCTACTCCCGACGCCGGCCCTTCATCATGGCCGCACACCAGGCCTACCGCCCCGAAAACATGCGACGCCGTGACGACTAAAGTCCCATCCATACAGGCCTTCAATAGAGAACAGGAACGAGGGAGAGGTTGCGTAGAGCAGGAGACGGCAATCCATCAATTGCCGGTGTACAAAAATCATGCCATGTATATAATGAAGGGATGTCTAGTGTTTTGGGCGTTCGCATCTAGCGCACGACACCATGTTGTCACAAGTATGGCGGCTTGGGGATTCAGGAAACGACATGGATGGGTAGCCTGTCGTTTCTTCATTGAGGATATGTGCTTTACAAGTAGAAAATGGAAGCAGCCACAATGAGGGCCGTGTATGCAAGCACCGTCAGCTACCGGCCGTGTCCCCAATTAAGAATTCTAGCACCTGTGGTATTGACGCCTCGCCCACCATGGCTTGTACATCAGTAAATACCTTCAGTTATTGTATTGCAACAATCAGATGGCCAGTGCTAGTCCTGCACGATGTAGCATCACATAGACTTGTAGGCAGCAGGGCGGTAGTGTTTTATTGTGTAGTCTTCAGCCTGTCAGGCCATGAGCTCTAGACCGTGGGTTGGAGGGCAGTCTAGGGCTCACCCTCGCTGCTCAGTCTGCCCTCGTCCTCCGAGTCCGGGTTCTCGGACCGATCGTCCCGGACCTCTCCCTCTTGCTCCTGTTCTTGGACCTTGTGTTTCTTTTCTTCCTGGTCCTTCTTTTCCTTCTCCTGGGGTTCCATATCCTTGCTGCCCTTCTTCCTTGATGCTCTCCTCGATGTCTTCGGCCTCCGGGTCTGCAATATCGAATAATTCAGTTAGCAGGCCTTTCGTATGTAAAGAAGAGGGCTTCAGGGTGCTGGCGCTGGTACCAAACATACCCGACCCCTAGGAACGTTGCTGTAACAGTCGAGCTAGTTCCCACTGCAACATGTAATACCAATTATACATGAGAGTTCCCGGAGCACTGCCCCGGAGGGCAGCAGACACCTCAGTAATCATCGCCTGTAAGGTGAAGCCACAGGCAAGTTTCTCCTGTACTACGCGTCTTGAGGATATCGCAAACGACATGCTCGAATCCCAGTCTGTTACTAGTTAATTTTGGTTTCAATGAGTTGGCAGAGGGTGAGCACAGGGCAGACTTGCCCCTCGAGAAGTCAAAAATCCTTTCCCAGGAGTTAGTAAAGAGTGATGAGTAAAGAGTGATGGCTAAGAGGTAGAGGATTGGGGAGATAACTTACGGCATCTTGCTTTCTGCACGTTGTCGAAGTGTTGCACAATCCGTTATGTTGACTGGCGTTCAAGAATCTTTGGAGTGTAAAAGAAATTTTTTTTTTTATTTCAGGTGCAAATGCGCCGTCATGTTGCTTGTTCTGAATGGTTCCATCATTAAATGGAGTTGTGATATTCACTTTGTGTGGTTACAATTCACCTTGCGCAGTAAATTTGCAGATTAAAATTCACCTTGCCTTCCTATTCGTCAGGAGATGTGGTTATTCTTATACAACACATATTTACTTCTGTTTTGTTGACAAAGTTTCGGCACCAAAGAACCAGCATGCAAACTTGTTCATCCACCTTCGCTTGTAAGCATGAGGTAGACTTCACCTAAATATCAAACTGAAAAGTAATTCAACAATCAAGTATCCTAACAAAGGCAATCAAGCTGCAAAAGAATCACTGGAAATCAACATAGTGTAGAGTCGCCTGTTCTTTGGATCATGTATGGTGCTATCAAATATTATTACTTGTTAACGCTATGTAAATGATGGGCGCTTCTTTCATCTATGCCCCGGCAACTTGCTGATCCCCAGGTGGCTGGAAACTCTTCATCAGATCAGCCATTCCTCGGGCGCCATTTTCCGAGAATATGAGTTTGCGATTGTCATCCGTCCCTCGAGCCTTCTCTTCAGAGCGAGCGAACATTGCCTCGTCAAACTCTCTGAGAATCGGGGCGACAACCTTACGGAAGGTGGCCGCATCTCCAGCCGATTTGAGATGGGCAGTGATGATAGCATTAGCCAAGTCAAGGGAGTCCCACATGGCCAGATTGACACCTTCTCCAGCAAACGGTGTCATAAGGTGGGCAGCATCGCCGACCAGAGTGATGTTTGGCTTGCTTTCCCAGCGGTGTCCGACTGCAAACATATACAGCGGTCTGACATCAGCAGGACCGGGATTTCGGGCTGCCTCCTCCTCGCAGGCCCTTGATAGATATTCCTTCATCTTGGAGCCCCAGGTGCTGAGGGGCCCATTGTCCTCCAAAAGGCTGTCCCGGATTTGAGTTGGGGTCTGCCCGACCCAATCTGACGTCTCCTGCTCAGAGGAGACAAAAACATACAAATTGGAGGAGTTCTGTGCTGCACGCTGCGCAGAGACTCCATGTCGGTCGCCCAGAACAAAAGCTGTCCCGTCGCCGAGGTATTGGGCAATGTCGGGGTGTTTGGTAGTGACATCAACGATGGTGAGAGAAAGGTATTGGATGCCTGCATATCGTGGTTTGACATTGGTGAGTAGATTGCGGACCTTCGACCAAGCTCCATCTGCACCAATGACGAGATCGTGGATTTGAGTTCCCTTGTCCGGGCCAAAGTCGAGTGTCACTTGCCCTTCCTGATTTTCGCTGCAACAGACAAGCTTCCAACCCCACTTGATGCTGTCAGGAGGAAGTGCAGACATCAGTAGACTGACCAGGGAATGCCTTGAGATTTCTGGACGGTACTCGGCCTCGCCATAGTCTTGGTGTAGGACATTGTCGTGTTTGTCGATGATGCGCATGCTGTCAGCGCAGTCTTTGGTCAGGGGCAAAAATTGATCCCAGAGGTCGCATTGGCGGATCGCAGCCAGACCGGACTCTTCATGCAGATCCAACATTCCCGAAGGCTTGGAAAGCTCCTCATCTGTAGGCTTTTGCCTGAATTCGTAGATGGTAAAAGGTACTCCTCTTTTGTGGAGGAGCACACCAAGCGTAAGGCCAGCGGGACCGCCGCCAACGATGGCGATGCGAGGTGAGGAAGTCGAGTGGGACATGGTTTAATTCAATTGAAAAAGGCGATGATTGATGGAGTAGATTACAGGAGGCTTTCACAGCTCAAAACCGATTCGAAAAAGCAGGCAGATGCTGAAGGAAGATTGTTACCGACGTGCGGGCTCTGGGTGAGGCGATGGATGTCATTTATAAGTATTTGAAGCCACTTGTCGGCATGTAACCAAACGCGAAGAGCTCTCCGGCCCCGTCAAACGCTCCATCACAATCTGGCCACATCGGCCTATTGAATTGGCCATATCGGCCTTTCTTACGTCTCTGACTCGGAGTGTCGGTATCGACAGAGGTCGGGGAGCACCAAGAGGCACGTGACTCGGGACGCTGCTCGCTTGGTCGGACCCGAACTTGGCATTTTGTAGGCATCGGGTCCTGATTGGCAAGCACAAAATGCTCCAGCACGCACTGCATTTGATGCAAAGCACAAAAATGTACATGGGCGAACAATGCATTTTATGCACCCGAGCTTAGCATAGCATAAATATTATGAAGTCTGCATCTGATGTCCATTACCCCTTACCATATCTGTGTGTCCTCCAGCATATGTATATTCATGTTCTGAACACAGCACACAAGGACAGTGCGGTGAATGATATGATGCAAGAATCTTGGCAGACAATCATTCATTCTGTAAATGCGCGAATCCATCTCCTCAATTTGCTCTGACATCTAGCCAAATTTGCGACCTCCTGGGAACGGCAGCCGGCTGTGCTCTGTTGATCTGTTGATGGATGTGGGCTCAGAAGTATCGCGACAAAGTGGGAGAGCTGACACAAAAGGTTCTTTCTTGTTTGCCCAGGGGGTCACTTGCAGCTTGCTGTGTGGCCAATTCATCTGTTTGCCTTGATGTGACTGGGAGCACCAGAAGCCCTGTTGCACTCTGCGATACACACTGAGTATTCAAGGACAAGCAAACTCTGAAAAGGCTCTGGAGTAACTAGGGAAAGATCGCAATGCTTCATATCATCTTTCTTGCAATCCTTGAGACTCCCCCAAAGATCTGCAGGCAATATTGCATGCTCAGATGGCCATACCTGGCGAGGTGGATAGCAATGCGACCAGCACGGGCAGAGTCTGGCCTCAAACAGGAGGAGAATATCTCAAGAATTCGTCCCTATGAGGCTACATGCACTTTATCAGTGAGTAGCTGGCTACCTGGGCTACTTCTGAAGAGGACGCTGAAGCATTGCAGGCAGACGCTGGCCTCATCCGCTAGTTGGGCATCAGGGGGAGAGCCTCCCCTGAGCCCCCCTAAACACCATCCGAATCTCTGATGGCCAGGTGCCAAGCATCTAGAGCCTGGAGTGCTCTTCAGGCCTGCACAGACGGGCGCCTTGCTCTGACAGATCGTGACAACAGTGGAAGGCACCATCTCTGCAATCAGTCCCCCGAACAGCTCCAGCTTCCTCACTTTGTTAGAGCCACCAAAACAAATCGCCCTGTTTACTTCCCTCCATCTTCTTCCCACCCCCTCACCTCCTCGCCCATTCTCCTTCACCTCTCATCATCATTGCGTCCTACATCGCCACACTTCCTACCAAGGACCTAAACCAGACTTCAATCTACCAGTCACTCCTTTCGAACACACTCCTTTCGAACACACTCCTTTCGAACACACTCCTTTAAGAGTTTGTCTACTCAAAGCAAACAATCTACTTCGACATCCTTTTCCTGCCCTCCGCGAAGAGAGCACTTCGGCACTTCGCGCTGCACGTCTGGGGACTCTCAATCCCTTCCTCACTCCTGGCGCGTCACGTTCCTTTCACTTCCATACCTACCAAAGCGCGTGGACTCTTCTCCCACCGTAAGTCTCGCACCCTCCTGAGTTCCTACAGTCTTCTTCCTCAAGCCTACAGTCCTCTTCCTCAAAAGTCCAAAAGAGAGATCTGAATAACCAAAGTCAACACCGTCTTCTAGCCAACCAAAAACCCCCTACGACCCAGAAGTCAATACCCTAGCAAACAGCTTCCAGTCAACCTGATTTACCATGGCCCCTCAGTACCTCGTCAAAGGTCTCCTGACCGCCTTCGTCATGCTGATGGTCTCAACTACTGCCATGGGACCGCCAACCCTTTCCCTCCGCGATCTGCTCCGGAACTTCACACCATCTGGGGCTTGCAACGTCTGGGCCCTACATTGCTTCTCTGCTGCTGGCACTGACATGGAAGAAGACAGTGTTGACAAGGTCGACCCCGAGTTTGCTCCTGATGGAACAGATGAGGGCGACCTGGCTGCTGCCCAGGGTAAGGACGTCATGGTGCCCGAGTGGCTTGTTGGACTCTGGCTCGAGATCAAGCTTGAGGCTGATGACATGTAAGTCCTCTCCCCTTTGCTCGCTCTCTTGCAAATCAGCAAGAACTTGAGCCAGAGGGTCCTTGTCGGCAGCAGTTTCTTTTCTCCAAACTCTCCAACAAGGGGTTCTCAGGCTCTTCAGGCCGTCTTATCGTTGGTTTCTCTGTCTTTTTGCAACTCGAAAAGCTATGGCAATGCCTTCCTCAACCCGATCCGCTGGCTGATCCCTACAATCAAAACCCTCCAGGTGTCACTTTGGAAATACCGATACTTGTTCCGACCCGCTGTGGTACCACCGTGCCCGTGGTCTGGCCTGGGCGGTCCCGACCAAGTATTAGGCAATTCTGACCTTCTCCAGATGTGTGTCGAGGTGTACATGGACTCGTGAGGGAGCTGGAATCCGGAAAGGGAAAGGGGTTTGGCAACAGGGTTGGCAGCAGTGGCAGATGCGAAGCAGGGCTTCAGTCGTTTCACTTCGAAATTATTTCTTTTGTTGGCTTTCCGAGCTCATTGGAATCACACGAGGCTCTGGTAGCTGCGATTGGCACAGGATGCTGGACCAAGCTTCATCTAGGCACAGGGTGCCCCGGGCAAGCTCTGCATGCGTTGCAGAAAGGGCAAGGACATCAGACATTACAAACCATTTCGCGCGCAGATAAAATGCTTCCAAATGCTACCATCAATACCACTTGGTTGACCAGATTGGCTCTCCTTTCGCGTGGGCACTTGGCCGAGCTTGAGGCAGTTATATTACACTTGACTCAGCAAGCAGATACTTCCAGAACGCCGAGCCCCTTGCCCAGTCCCGCCAGAGATCAAAGCCATGGAGAAACATAAACACACAATGTCCATCACTGATTACAGCAACATCACCAAAGACCCGATAGCGGCGTGTCGCGCGAGCTCTGTCCGACCAGGAGAGTGTACTGACCACCCATCACTACCACCCAGTTCTGTTGGTACACGTCCCAATAGCTCAAATCACGCCTGGTCAGGTTAAACTCGACCGTCCTCTTCTCCCCGGGCTTCAGGAGCACCTTTTCGAAGCCCCGCAGAACCTTGACGGGGAAGTCGGTCTCCCTAGCTCCCTGCGGGTAGGCCACATACAGCTGCGGCACTACCTTGCCAGCCCGCTTCCCCGTATTCTTCACGTCCACGGTGACGCGGACGTACGTCTCCCAGAGGTCTGGGTTGCCGCCTTGGTCGCCTCCTGCGCCCGAGGGCGGCTGCACGACGTCGTAGCCCTCCGGCAAGGGATACGGCACCGAGGCGTCGATGCCCTCCACACTGTCGAGATACGGGTAGACGTACTTCTCAATCTTGCGGACCTCGGGTGGGAAGAGCGCTTCTTGCGGGTCGGGGATCGCATTGTCGTACTCGGGGGGCGCAGCGCCGGGGTTCGGTCGGGGAGAGGGCATGGCGGATTTCGTCTTGAGACCCTCGATCACGAGGTTGGAGATCTCAAAGGTTGTGTAGGAAAGGCCGTGGCCAAAGGGGAATCGCGGCTCGATGTTGTACTTGTCGAAGTGGCGGTAGTCGATGTAGAGCCCTTCGCTGAAGTCCTGCTGCGGAATGACGCCGTTGGGAAGGTACATGATCTTGGCGCCTGGACCGTAGTCGTCGAGAGACTTGCCGATGGTGTATGGTAGCTTGCCGCTGGGGCTCGTGTCGCCAAAGATGAGCTCGGCCAGGGCGTTACCGCTCTCCTGGCCGGGGAGATTCGCTTGCAGGACGGCCTTGACAGTGGGCAGATTGACCCAGCGGTCCATCACCACGGGGCCGACCGAGTGAATCACGACGATGGTCTGTCCCTTGCCACCACCGCAGCCCTCTGCAACCTTCTTGATGAGCTCGTCGCCTCCTTTCTGCAGGAACAGGTCGTTTCGATCGCCGCCGACGCTTCCCCAAGCCAAGAAGCCCTCGCCAGAGTCAGCATTCCCGAAGACCATGCAAACGTCCTTGTCGCCAAGAATGTTGGGATCCTTGCCGAAGCCGGGAGTGTTGGTCAGGTATTCACTGAGCTCGACTTTGCTGCTGTCAAAGCCCTCGCGCAGCGCGTCGACCGGCGGGATGAGGTAGGGGTACTCAACGGCGCCGGATCCCCAGCCCATGCCCAGCGTTCCTTGGTTGCAACCCCGATCTTTGCAGTAGTTCGCGCCTCGGCCCGGCCCAGCATCCTCTCCAAAGATTCCAACCTTGAGTTTCGTGCCGTCGCGCTTTCGACGTTGGCCGTTGATTCCCATCGAGCCGTCGCGATCGATGGGAAGGCAGTCGTCATTCTTGAGGAGCACAGTCCCTTCTGCAGCGACCTGACGGGCAATCTTGTCGTGGTCTGCCCGGGCGGGCACAAATTTATTGATCTCCATCTTGTCCTGCGGCGATGGGCTGCCGGGGAACTGGACGCCCACCTTCTCATGAGACCAGGACGAAAAGTTGGGCCCCTTGTTGTCGAACTTGGACTTGTCGTCCTGGCCAAGTTGATACCAGGCGGCGACGATGCGTGTGACCATGTCGTTGAGGCGATCCATGGGAATGGAGCCGTTCAGGACAGCCCTGCTAAGCTCTGGTCCCCATAGCGAATGGCCATCCTGCCATTTCAGGCCATCACCCGGCATCGTCATGTCCAGCCCGGCCAGCGCGCTGGCAACACCGCTTCGCTGGGCGAGCCAGTCGCTCATGACGAAGCCCTGGAAACCCATTTCGTCCTTAAGAATGCCATTCAGGAGCTTCGAGTTGTCGCAGGCATAGCTGTTGTTGACCATATTGTAACTGCACATGACGCTCGCCACGCCGGCCTTGATGGCATCAGCGAATGGCCAGGCGTAGATCTCGTGGAGCGTCCGGTCGTCGATGTTGGTGCTGATTGCGTGCGGAAGGCCCCATTCCCAGGGCTGGCGAAAGTGTTCTTGTTCGTTGGCTACGAAGTGTTTGATTGTCGCCATGATGCCCTCGCTCTGTATGCCGCGGATCGTTTGGCCGCCGGCGATGCCCTGGAGGTATGGGTCCGGCCCGAATCCCTCCCAGTTACGCCCACCAGCTGGCATGCGCCCGAGGGGGCCGATGGCGGGCCCCAAGATGACGTGGATGCCTTTGGCACGAGCTTCTTGCGCGTGGGCCTTCCCGCGAGCGAACATAAGCTCCTTGTTCCACGTAGCGCCGACCGTGATGCCGGCGGGGAACGCCGTTGCGTTGTCGGCTCCTCTGATGCCCAAGGGACCATCCTGAAGATGCAGCTGAGGGAACCCAACTCGCAGAGCAGAGCCAGTGGCGCCCACTGCCAGGCCCATCATCCAGCCTGTGCCCGTTGTGACGTTGACTTTCTCTGGCAGTGTCATCTTGCTCACCAGCTCAGCAGCGGCCTTGTAACTGTCCGCCCAGCTTTTGGCGGTGCCACCTTTGGGACTCGGGTACCACGGCGGGGACTGCCCGTAGGGAGGCTCCTCGTTGTACTTCTTGTAGACAAAACCGCCGCTTGCCAGTATGAGGAAAAGAAGCACGCCGAGGACTACGAGCAGGGCGATGCAGCATTTGGACCGCGGGCGGCGCAGGGAGAAGAATCGCCATCTTTGTCGCAGGCGCTGCTCATTTATGAATGTAGGCTCCGAAGGACTCGAGTTGGAGCGTGACTGGGAGTATAAGGGATCGGAGGTCAAGAACTCGGTGGCATCGATATCGGACTCGCTGTCGGAAGTTTCGGGCTCGTAGGAAGGACGGGACTTGTCACGAGGCCGGAGCAGACCCTCTGCCGAGGAGTCCATAACTGCTCAGTATTCTTGGGAAGTCTGGGCATAAACCTCGTTAACTAACATTTAGCAGACTCTTCAGAAAGGGGATCCTTACCGTGAAGAGAGCACACACGTCCTTGTGTCGAGTCGTGCGTGTGTGCGTGTAGCGTGATTCAGACAAAGCTCTGGCAGAGCTCTGAATAGTCCAGCGTGTGCTCAATTGACAATGGAAACTGCCGGAACTGCACGCAAACTAGGAATCCTGACCTTCATGGAAGCAACCAGAGGTCCCTTTGAAGGCTAATGTCGAGCAGGACAAACACCCTGTCCATGAAGGTTGGAATCTTGACTGAAGAACCTTGGAAAGCTGGAGCGCGTGAGCTTGAATTGGTGGGGGTAGCATCCAGTGCGGAGGCGCTTGGCACGCAGCACTGGTTGGAGGTCTCTCCACTGTTACAGCCCACTGGGACAAGCTCGGACCTCGTCGAGCTCGTGTTAGCGAGGTCACAGGCAAGTCCTCGCCTGCAATGCCGGGAGCTTAGGTAGTGGATAGCTCTGGCTGGGCCGCTGTCACCCTGGCCCACTGATCGTCAGCCATTTATCGCTTCGGATGAACTGTCCGAGTTCATTCCGTTTTCTGATCTTTGAGACGCCAGGAGGGATTCATTCTCGGACGCAGGAGTGCGCTAGAAACCACAGACGAGCCCTTTCAGCGATGCTATTCGCATAGCTATCTGTCTGGTCAGGTCGAAGAAGCATTGTGATATTTGAGCTGCCTACTGTCCCTATTTCTCCTCCTTCTTCCCATCCACAAAGACATCCACCTTCTCATTGTAGAAGCAAAGAAGTCCCTGGACTGCAGCGGACTCGGGGAGCGGATATTCATAATACCAAACTGCATCCTCGATCTCCTTGTCGCCCACTTTCAGGGAATAGTACTTTGCTTGGCCTTTGTAGGGACAAAAAGACCCCGAGGAGCTCTCCTTGAGCATGCTCCAGTCAAGGACCGCCGTCTGAGGCAAGTAATAACGGGTCCGGAGCATAGTCTCGAACAGAAACACATTGCTGGTGCTCCGAGCCACGACCTGACCGTCGACCTCGATACGGATCTCACGAGTGGAGTGAAGGCATTCGATCCTCTTGTAGGGATCCTTCGGGTGCGGACCCAACAGCTTCTCGTCCTCCACAAACCAGGCATCTGCGCAGAGTGAATCAGTACAGACAACAAGAAACTAATTGCCAGTCGTGCCAGCACCTACCGAGGTAGCCTGCAGTGATCTTGACCAGGCCATCAAGTCTACCCCCTTCAAAACAAACAAGCCTCGTCTTTCTCTGGTCAACGGCTAGAGATCCTATCCAGTAGCCTTCGCCGCTCGGTCCATCCTTGGAGAGTTTGCCAGGCCCCCCCTCGATGGATTTAAGGGGGATGTAAAATACCGGATCTGTGAACCAGCCGGTCAGTGGGTACGCCGGGCCAGCCCGAATCAGCGCAGGACTCACAGTATGGATGCTCCCAAACGTATTCGGCCTCTTGGGTGTCAAAAATGAATCGACTGCCGAGGACACCCCGAACACGCCTCTTGGCCGGCTCATGTTTGACTGGGCCCTCTTTGGCCAGTTTGATAGCCAACTCCTGAAATCTGGACGGGTTTGTCAGCGCCACACCCGACCTGCTCTGGCTATGAGAGGGAGATGCGTACGGTAAAGAACTTGGGGCGGGCATGTTGATGATCAACGGCGAATTCCTGATTTGCTTTTGGGAGCTGATGAGTTGATGAGTTGGGGTTGATACACTTGGGGCTCGACTCACATACTTGTTAGGATGTGGAGTTTCATGCGGGGAGAGGAGCAGGTGCCGGCTTATGAAGCACGCATGCGGAGTGCGGAACCTCGACAAGATGATGACGCGACTGACATAATTAATAAGCACCCATTCACCTCACTTCACTTTACACTATGCTCAGCAGACAATATTGGCTACTTGTGATCAGTAGCCTCTTTACATCACAATAATGACTATCTGGGGCTTATTTGATCTCTGTGAACATGGACGCATTCTCAGGCATGTCTCCAACATCTGCTCCCAGATGAAACGAACGTGCCGTCAACCTGGCAGTTTATGCCGGGCGGATTCCATCTCCGGGCCTCTCTCGAACCCTCTCCCATTTGTCCCGGCCCCTTCACTGAAGTGTTCCCTCGCATCTGACATTGGCCTTGACGTGCCTGACACAAGGCTATCGATCCTCCGTATCTCTGCATTCGACAGCAGGTCTGCCGGGACGGTGGCTTCCCCGGTATCGTCCTGCTGAGGGTTGACGCTTTCGTACTCGAGAGACTTGACCAATAGATAGAAGCCAGAAGCCACCAACGCACCCATGATGGGGCCGAGCCAGTAGATCCAGTGATAGGTATCAAATTGGCCAGTTACCACGGCCGGCCCGAATGACCGAGCCGGGTTAAGGCTACCGCCAGTATAATATACGCCCCTATTCCAAAGAGTCAATCATCGCTTGAAATAATGTCAGAGCAGAAAGAGAATGCATCCTTACATCAGCTCCGCGATGAATAGAGACAGTCCAATCCCAACAGGTGCAATGAATGTCGCACGATGCTTCTCGTTGGCCAGCATGAAGATGGTGAACACGAGCTGGGCAGTCAGGAACATTTCGAGGAACAACCCCTGGACCACAGAAGTCCCGCCCCCGAGCCCGGTCGAGACCGCCAACGGCCCAGGCAAGATTCCCGACACGACGGCCGCCGCCGCAATTCCTCCAATGAGCTGGCTGATAATGACCAGTGCTCCGCGTATGTATTCAAGGCCGCCGACCGCCATCAACCCGAGCGTCACCGCGGGATTGAATAGCCCGCCGCTGATCCGGAAAAAGACCCATGCGTTCACAGCGAGCGACATGCCGAAGCAAAGTGAAATATAGAGCAGTTTAGCTGGATTGGCAGCGAGCGAGGGTGGCTGTTCCTCGGCCGGCGCCGTGTTGACGGCATTCGTGCCCCCAAAGGCAAACAGGAGGAACATGAAGGTCCCGACGAACTCGCTGATCATGGCGACAGCATGATTCTTCAACGTGAATGGCAGGATGTTAAGCCAGCCCAGGCGTCGGGAGCCGGTAGTGGCCGTGTCGTCTCCGGAGAGAAGGTTGCGCCCGCCGGACCAGGCTGAAAACATCCCCGGTTTGCGAGGTGCCATGTTTGTGGTGCTGCCACCGTCCAGATGGCAAGCGGTAATCAAGGGTGACAACTCTTGGTAATCTTCTCCGACCTGGCAGTCAATATTACCGTCTATGAGTGCTGGGGCACAGCCTTCGATGGTGGGAAATCTCTCTCCGTGATAGTTAAAGAGATAGCTAAGAATCCGGACAACACGCGGTTTCCATCTGCTCCAATATGTACGAGGGTGCAAATCGAACAAAACAGTGACCTGCTGCGTGCGTCATCGCCTAGCAACACTAGACACGCCTTACTCGCATAGACAAAAGTCAAAGAAAGGACGATCGTGTTGGTGTGGAATTGCATCAAAACCCCCACATTCTTTGACACCTATGACGGGCCACGCAAAGCATGCCAAGAGGTGACTGCCTTTGCCTTGCCATTTGTTAGAATCCATTTAGTTTGCAGTCGAAAGAGTCCCGTCAATTGACTGATCGATTTCTTCGAGAGCAGATCCATATCATGCTCAGCATCACACCGTGTAGAAAAATGGGTGTTGCCAAGCGTGCTGTGGGGAGAACCAAAGGTGAGCTGAGCGGCATTGTGGTGCCGCTGACGTAGATTCCCTCGTTGGCTGTCCATTTAGGGCATGTTGACGAAAGATTTCATGCCAGGCCATCCCAAAACATCACATTCTGCTAAATGCTAGCCCGGCGCCAGCGTGGGGCAGATCTCAAATAGGAACTCGGCGATCGAGATAGCAGCATCCCCTTACCACGTAGTCAGTAAATCCACGAGTCGTACGATGCCGAACCACGTTGTCAAAGCGGTCGATGCCGATGCCATGCTCACAGAGCAATGCTCTGGGTCCCATCTCGGCGCTACGGGAGTTTGTGCCATCCCCACAGAGTCACTGCCTCGACATGACGGGATGAACTCCGAGCCACAGCTCCGACTCCGAACGCGCTACGATGACGGTTTCAGGATCGTAACTCGTCTTTTTCTCGTCTGCGGCGCAGAAAAAGGGCCCCGGCAGCCAGTAGCCCAAGGCATTTCACACCACCCGCGCTAGACACAGCAGAGTGTTCCTTGTCCTGAGTGTTGCGGTCGCGGCGACCTATGGACTTTCAGAGAAGCGCTCCAGCACCAAGCCAAGATCATGGTTCTGGCCCCAATGATGGTTTGCCGCGATCCAAGGTTGACGAGGAGGTACTGGAGCCACCATAGATACTGACGGCAGAGAGAGCAGAAGTAGGTCCTTTATGGACTGAAGAGCCAGCACGTTATGCATAACAATCAAAAGTCGGTTATAGATACATGCTACCGCTACTCTACTACATTATCGCCAGCGGCCGTGATGATGTGGATCAAAAGGCAGGCAGTGTTGCATTGTCTATCCGTCCACTCACTACACAAGAGGGAATTCCGCACAATATACTTCTCTCGCCATTTCCGAGTCGGATGGATGGGCATGGGGCAGGAAGTCTGGCGATGCTGGCTGGCGTTCTACACCCTGTGGAGGAATTAATTACCTGTTACATTGCGTGAATGGTCTTTTGCTCAGCAAACGCCACGGGCCGCATTTTACTGCCAAGGTTGACTCTGCGCCACTTCTGTTATGTTGAAGGAATGGATTCCACAAGGGGCGTTTTGTTCGGGGTTAACAAGTTCAATCGGGGCATGCATGTATTTCCGGATTTCCCTGACACTATTCTGACCAATTCGAGTCCGGAAACGCAATCCTTTAGCATAACCATTGCATGGGTCTGAGAAAGCGACAGGGGTGTGTGAAAAGATATTTTGGGGACACACAGCAATGAATATTTTCCAGAAGCTTTAATATCCACCAAGACCCCATCTCGCTTCGTTCTCCTTTCAAGAGAGCACAGTTGGCTGATTACGACCGCAAGCGCATCATGGAGGTCCTGGGCGTCGCGGCCAACATCGCGGCCATCATACAGATCGCTGACAGGGTCATCGAGCTCTGCAGGTACTATATCGGCAGCGCTACAGACGCGCCGTCGGACCTGCGGGTGATGCTCCTTGAGACATCATCTATGAGAGCGGTATTGGATAATCTGAGATTCTTGCAGGATAGTGGCCACTGCCCCGAAATTATCAAGGATTTGGAGAAGTCGGGAGGTCCGGTTCAAGGATGTCAGACCGTGATCGCCGAGTTCGAGCGTCTGCTGCCACGGAGGGCTGATCCCACAAATGGGAGTACAAAGCGCAGATTTGAGGACATGATGAAGATTCTAGCATGGCCTCTCAAAGAGTCGAAAGCTCGAAAGCTACTGAGGGAGTTATCAAGCTACAAGGCAACAATTGAATTCGCCCTGACGACGGACATTACGTAAAGTACTGTATGCACAATTGAGCAAGAACTGTTTCTGATTTGATTGAATAGGCAAGGTGTCAAGGAGATCAAGCATACAACCCAAGCAATACAGGACACATTGACAGGTTGGACCTCTGGCGAAACCAATTGCAATCACAGCTACACTAACAATGGCCGACAGATGTTCAGCAACAGCAGGTGTACGAATGGCTTCGGGATACCGATCCTTCTGACCTGCATGACATAGCTTGTAGCCAGTACGAGTATGGTACAGGTGACTGGATCCTGCAACACGAAAATTGGACTGAGTGGAGAGCTGGAAAGTCACGATGTCTCTGGATCCACGGCATACCGGGCGCTGGCAAAACCGTCCTCCTATCACACCTGTACCGAGTCTTGTCACAAGACAAGGACTCGCTCGAGCCAGGGTGCATGTTCACTTATTACTACTGCTACTACAATAGGAGCCAGGATGAGGCCGTTCCACTACTAAAATGGATCATCTCCGAGATCTGCTACGCAAGCCCCTCCATACCGTCCAAGGTCTTGGATATGTGCAAGCGGGGTCGGCGTGCGTCAGTCTCCCAGCTTCTCAATATCCTAGAGATGGCAATCATGGGTGTACAGCGGGCATATGTCTTTGTGGACGCCCTCGATGAAAGCAAGCCTCGAGATGGTATTCTTCGCGTCCTGCGGGATCTCGTAACGGATGCTCGGTTCAGCAAGATACATATCCTGGCGACTAGTCGCGAGTATGTGGAGATTGAAGAAACGATGGCTCCCATCTCGCGCAAGATATCGATGAAAAGCTGGCTGCTGGACGAGGCCCTCGAAGTATATATTCGCTCGCAGCTTTCGAAGCACCGTATTCTCAAGCTCTGGTCCAAGGATCTTCAGGAGGAGGTCTACAAGGCCCTGGCAGACAATGCAAATGGAATGTTTGTGTCCTCTCACTCCACCTTTTACTCTCTCAGTCGACTCACCAAGGAGCATTAGGTTTCGGTGGGTAGTCTGTCAACTGGATGTGCTCAGCCGCCTGAGATACGACCGAAATGTCATAGTCAACGCGCTCGCCTCCTTGCCGGTAACTCTCGATGAAACGTACGAGCGCCTGTTCTTGGAAATACCCGCAGACGCTCGCCTCACTGTCCATTTCACACTTCAGTGGATCTATCTTTGGAACAAGCGGAATCCTCATGCTCATACTCAATTCCCGCGTGACGCGCTCAACTCCATCATACACCACAGTGTGTTGCGTCACGGCGATGGTGTTGCTCACCTCGACTACAACGATCGGGCGATACTGGAGTTCTGTGGTTGTCTAGTGACGCAAAACAGCTCTGGTCATGATACCCTGTCCCTCGCCCACTATACTGTGTGGGAATTTCTCGTCTCTCCCCGCATCAAGGTCGGAACCGCAGCTTCATTCTACGTCGACGAGATCCAAGCCGACAGAATTGCGGTCCGTACCGCGTTGGAGGTGTGTGCCGACGAAGAGATTGTTCCTAAGACTAACCAGGAAATGGACGCCCTCATTCACACGGCTTGGAACCACGATTACAGTTGCATACTGAGCGTCTGTGCATTCTTCTTCGTAGATGTTATCGAGGATGGATGGCGGAGACCCCGGGAGATCTTCGACATTTTGGAGGAATCTGAATCACTGGTGGCCAAGCTCTTGGACGCCTCAAAGCCTCTATTCAAGAGATTCGAATTATACTTCCGCTGTCGCGGTCTCGTGGCTCGCCAGAAATTTACGGATTTAGGCCTCCAGCCCTGCTTGTGGCACCACCGACGCATTTCGCCGTATCCGGGCGACAGAGTGCAAACTCTCATCAATTGCATGGGCTTTTTGGTGATGATGGGTGATAAATATGTTGGGACGAAGAACTTCTTCAACGAGATGCCGCAAAACACAGACGTCTTTGAAGTCCAGATCGCGGTGGAAATTCCCTTCCGGCGCCCGATCATGCCCGGCTTCGAATCCATACAATTGCGCGGAAGTGTGCTCAATATCGTGTCCTTTTGGCTGTCGAGCCTTCCCTGCTGGGAGACTTGGTTCGATGCCCTGTCCAAGACGTTCGACCTGACCAAGCAACTCCAGATGGTTGTCGGTCATCACGGATACAGTGATTGCCGCATCTGTGCCAAGGACAAAGAGTGCGGCTTTCTGGAGCAGATCCTAAGCCTGCGAGAGCCACGTCTCTGGCCGAGGAGCTCCGTTACGCTCTTACAGATTGCCGTGGGCAACCGGGACCCGATCGCCGTCAAGCATCTACTGAGAGCCGGAGCGGATCCCAACGAGACCGGCGATTGTTCAGAGCCTCTCCTAGAGAAGGGCGCTTTCTTCGCGACATTCGATCACTTGCACGGCCTGAGCCCGTTGTATATCCTGCGCAAGGTTGACATAGTATACACAATTACTCATCTGCCCGAGCATCGGTTTTCGAGGGACAGCGCGCATAGAAAGGGATTGGGCCCCGAGATCGAGGCATACTTGTTGCATGCAGGCGCAACTGAGTTCAAGAGGCACTGCTCCGCCTCTTGTCTTGCATGTGATGGGAAATCAGTTCAGAAAGAAGTACAAGAACATTCCTAATACAAAGAAAACCTGACACTCGCTTCGATGTGAGACCCAAACAGGACAATGTTACACACCAAACCTCCATAAAAATCATCAAAATTAACTTTAGATGAGAACCCTTACACTCGAGTCCTCCAAACTTCTCGTCCCGGATGGGTCACACCCAAGCCGCACCTTAGCCCTACCTCGTGGGCCAGAGTGCATAACTGATAGCTGATGCCGTCGAGGCTGAAGGCAAGGAGCTACGCAGAGCATATAAGCTTCAAGAACATCTTCCTCTAGACGTTCTACACAGCTAAAAGAGCCTTCCCAACGTTCTTCAATGAAGCAGGCCATCATCCTTGACCTCCTGAACATATGTCCAATAACGGTCGACGCTCGCCTTGCGGAAATGACGGCCCCATTTGATGAAAACGAAGACTAAGCACAATTGAGCCAGGGCCGCAAATCCTGCCACAAGGAAGGCATTTTGGTAGCCCATATTTGTTACCCAGGGTGTGACACTATCCCCATATTAGCTTTTTGTTCGGAAGACTGGGTCGGGAGGAGGTTTACCCGTAGCTAATGGCAAAGCTCATTGTATTCCTGATGATGATGACAGTCACAATCGCGTCGGCACCAAGGTCTCTGTAAGAGTCAATGCAGTAACTGATCGGCAGTTGGCAGCCGACAGTGACGGCGGCACCAAACACTCCCATGGCAAATAACATGCCAAACCAGTGAATTTGATGAGCTGCGCCAACACCCCAAAGAATCATACCACCGGGAATACCGGCCATCAGGGCGACATACAGCCAAAGGCGATATTCGGGTTCCATGATACCGTTACTCCGCCGGGTTTTCCAGAGGACAAACTTGTCCCCCAACGGACCGGAATAGTACGTCCTAAAGCACTCGTTAGTTATATGTTACTTTAGCTAGGAACAAATCATGTCCTACCCTAAACCCACTCCGATGAGGCAAGCCACGTAGGAAACACCGACCATGCTAGCAGAGAAGTGATAGGGCGCTCCGGAGAGAATAAGTGACGCAGTAGCGTTCAGAATGTTAAAGTAACACACGACTGCGCCGTACATGAAGCCGGAGAACACGACGACGGGGAGGGAGAAGTAGACAAAAGTCCTTTTCACCATGTTCATCAGCGGGACTTTATTGCGCAGATCTTCTTTTCGCAAGATCTGGAGCTTCTCAGGGTATGTCTTCTTGGATGGCGCCAGGATGGTCCCATGCTCGATGTCGGTTGCTACATTGACAGACTTCTCTTCGTCTGCTGAATGCGGCGTGGCCTTGTCAGGTTGAGGCTGTATCGGGCCCTCGTCGGTCGTGGGTGCAGTGATGGCACGGCTGAAGTTTGTCTCCTCCATGAGGAAGAATATGATAACGAATGCTATGCCGTTGAATATTGCGCACCAGTGCTGCCGGACTGTTAGAAAACGGAGGTGCAACAGGAATGGGTGTATTTACCAGCACCCACTGCCATCCTTGACCATCATTAATGAAACCAGATATGACTGGTGCCACGAAGTTCGACCCAACCAGGAAGAGAGCGTAGAGGCCGACGTATGTGCCTCTTTCATGAGCGAAGTACTACCAAGGACTTGGGGTCAGGTTTCCGGTATCGCGAATTTTATTTCCGTGGTACTCACAACATCCGCGATGGATATCTCACATAGAGATTCGATGGGTGCACCAAACATGCCCTGGAGGACTTTATTCGCGATCCATTGGCCGTTACTCTTTGTATTAGGAGCCCAAAGCATCATCCCCTGTGGTCCGATTAGTGGATGGCTGTTGAGATATCATTCAGGTCAAAGCAATACTTACCACAGTGCCCAACAATGACAGGAGATATACAGGACGCTTGCCGAGCTTCTGAGCAAGTGGTTGCCAGATCAGACAGCCCCAACCAAAAGCCAGAAACATATAGCCAGTTCCGGAGTTCAGGTCCGCAATGGTCAGATTCGTAGCAGCTGATATTGGGACAAGCACGGAGTAGATGGCAGACGACGCAATGCCGACGGAGAGGCAGTACCTGCAATAAGTCTATACTTAGCATTCTAAGTTGCGATAGGTTAAGATATCAGGTTATCTTACACGCAGATGCAGCTGAGAAGCAGAGTCTTCCTTCGATGACTCCAGTTCAAAGGATCATCAGGATCATCCGAAGGGGAGGGAACGAGCACGATATCTCGGCGATTGCCATCGGCGTGTCGAGAGTGCATGGTGCCATCAAGGTCAACCAAGTGAACAGTGCCTGGTATGAAGTCCGGCGATGGCACCGCCATTGCGACTGGGGGAGACATCGCTATCCTCGTGCTACTGAAAAGTATTGCGACGTAAATTCGGTTAATCAATAGGAGTTGTCTGATGAGTATCGCCTTGAGGCCTTGGAGAACGTGAGGAATTGTTTCGAAGGGTTTATCAAGGACTTGTTTCACAATATATATACACGGCGGCTTTGCCAGGACAGCGCGAGGCTAGAGAGGCTAGATAGGCGCGACAACGAGGCCGCGCGCAAAAGAAGATGAATACTTCAAAGCGATATCATCGGACGGGATGGTGTTGAATGTGTGGACAACCCAACCCCCCCACCACAGATCTCGAATATCTCGCCTTCGCCACATCTCATGCCAATGGCTTCATGATAAAGCCCCCCAAGCGGAGGCTCGGAAGGGCAGCCAATGACAAGGGATTGCGAAATTTAGCTTGGTTCGGGGTTGGTCGCAACTAGCGCCAAACACCCAAAACTCTATCACGCGTGCGTCCAATCTAGGATGTTACCGAAGATCTTGTCCAATGGTTGGGAAAAGCGAAATTTGGTAAGGAGTGAAAGTCACGTTCGTGCCATCTCTTGAACGGGGTCCATCTATTCCGATGTTCATATTTGATCAGAATACATCAATATTTGCTCCTCGGTCAAGTCGTTCAAGTGTCCAATCCAGGACGTTACCGAAGATCTTGTCCAATGGTCGGGAATAGCGAAGTTAGATAAGGAGGGGGAAACCATCCGTGTCGTCTCTTGAACGACGTCCGTATATTCTAATGTGCATCTTTGGAGAATTTACGTTTGCATATCAGAATGCATCAACATTTGTGCTTCGGCCCAGCGGTGACAAGCCTCTAAATGGAATAGTCAAGTTCGAGTACCCGCCTATGCATGGTGTTGGAGCAAAAAGAGGCCCAAATCCCTAAAGGGCTGGTTTTGGAGAACGAAATTGAGCAGATAAAAGGACGCCAGATCGCCTGGAAATTCACGGACCATCCTCGTATCTGTATCTCGCTCGGTATCGCCTCGAATCTTCCTCTCCCCAAATCCAAAACCCCTTGTCATACTTTCCACCCAGCACTTACCGCGACGCGATGGGCTCCTTCTCCAAGCCTCTCTGGGAAGTCCGCGCTGAGAAGTGCCGCAAGATCCTCCAGGACTCTTTGAATCCGAGCTGGCTGCTCTCTCCAAAGGCGCTGCCCTCAGCCAGTCAACTGAACGTGTCTACGTTCATAGAGTCATGTGGACTACTAACGCCCCGAGAGCTCGAGATCACGAGTTTGACTGCAAGCGAGCTGGTCCGTCGTATGGCAACCGGGTCTCTCACTGCTGTCGAGACCACCACGGCTTTCCTGAAGAGGGCGCATGTAGCCCACCAACTGACCAACTTCGCAACGGAGTTCTTGATTGATGATGCAATGAGGGATGCGGCCGAGTGCGATGCCTACTTCAACTCCACTGGCAAAGTGAGGGGCCCTCTACATGGCGTCCCTATCTCTGTCAAAGAGCATATCGGGATCAAAGGTCGCATCTCGCATGCGACTTATACCGTTTGGGTCGACAACGTCTGCCAGGAAGATGCGCTCATGGTTCAGCTTGTCAAGAAGGCCGGCGCAGTCATCCACGTGCGGACTAACGAACCGCAGTCTCTTATGGTAAGTCTCCGTTCCAAACGACTCAAGGCAGATGGAGCCTCTAACCGGCTTGCCTCTCCAGCACATTGACTGCAGCAACCCCATCTATGGCACAACAGTCAACCCTCACAACCGAGCTCTGACCTGTGGAGGGTCTAGTGGTGGAGAAGGAGCATCCCTTGGCCTCCGCTGCGCTGCTATCGGCCTCGGTACCGACATAGGCGGCTCTATCAGAGTGCCGGCCGCGTTTTGTGGGTCATACGGACTTCGAACCACGTCACTCCGTAATCCATATAAAGGTTGCGTTTTGCCCGGCGATGGACAAGAGAGCGTTCGCTGTGTGATGGCCCCCCTAGCGAATAGCGTCGAGGACTTGGCTCTTTTCCAAAGCGCTGTCCTTGATCAGGAGCCTTGGGACATCGAGACATCGCTGGTACCTCTACCGTGGAAGCGAGTTGCTCCGTTGCAGGCTGATCAAATTACTATTGGTGTCATCTGGGACGATGGGTAAGCCGACTGAATCCACACAGACGAGGGGCAATGCGACTGACTTCCCTTGCCAGAGTAATTCATCCTCATCCGCCTGTCAGCCGCGCACTGAAATATGCAGTCGCGAAGCTCAAAAAGGCCGGCGTCAAAGTTGTCGACTTCGAGCCCTACGACCACCAGAATGGGATGGATATTGTCACCGCGCTATACTTTCCTGACGCAGCCAAAACACAGAAAGATCTCCTGGCCGAGGGTGGAGAGCCGGTCGCACCCTTAACGACTTGGGCATTCGGCGTTTCTAGGGAAGAGCCTCTTTCTGTCCCTGAAAACTGGGCTCTTAATGTGCGAAGAGATACGTACCGTGAAGAGTAAGTGCTTCATTCACCCTAATCAATGCCGTTTCTTCGTAATTTTGACAACCATCATCAGCTACCATCGCAAGATGAAAGAACATGGAGTCAATTTTGTTCTCTGCCCGGCATATGTTGGGGTTGCAGCAACGCTGGGCGGCGGCCAATACTGGGGCTATACATCGATCTGGAATATCCTTGACCAGCCTAGCGTGATATTCCCAACGGGTCTTAAAGCCGACCCAACAATCGACGTCGCCGAGCAAGGCTACATTCCTCGATCAGAGGCTGATGAGAGGGAGTTTCGAAAATGTGAGTTGTAGCTACCCTACAAAGTCTCTCAGAGCGATTCCAGTTCTGACTAACCATGTGCGATAGATGTGCCCGAGACTTTTGCTGAGGCTCCTATCGCTCTTCAGCTTGTAGGAAAGCGGTACCGTGACGAGGAGACAGTAGCAGCAACCGGCTTGGTCTCGAAGATAGTTCAACAGTAGCCCAGAGATCATATTTTCCGCATCTTTTTAAACAGAGCAAACTTACACCGAGCATATCGATCGTGATTTGGTCCGAAGATACATTGTGATGTTGTGTCTTGTTGCGGTTCCGTGTCAATCTGTCTAGAGCACAACAGAGTAGCAAGGGACGTGTCTACGACCTTCATCTTGGCGTGTTCTACTTATGCTTGAATGTCTCGACCATATTATTCGAGGGAGAACCGATGGGCTGGTATCAGGCCCGTTAGCCTGACGCTACTACATCTCCACCTGCTCCTCGCCACCAAGCAAGCCCATCGCATCGCCGCTAAGACCCTCTTCCCCGATGTCTAGACCTGCTCCTAGTCAAGCACCCCCGCACTCAAGTGCCGACCCACACATGCCCTTATCTTCTCCGGTGGCTTCCCCTTCTCAGCCGTTCACTGTTCTTCCCCTCACCCGAACACAGTTCCAGCTCGGTGATGTATCAAGTCAGTCTGCCATGGGTAGGGATAAGTTACGTGGCAAGACCGGGTGCCTTGTCTGTAAGTATCGTCCTTCGCTTCCCAAGACTCCCAGCCCAAGCACGGAGGTAGATGCTGACGGGGTGATGTGTTCCAGGTCGGAAGCGCAAGGTGAAGTGCGGTGAGGAGAGACCGGCCTGTCGCAATTGCGCTGCCTTTGGTCGTCGATGCAGTTGGCCGACCCCGACGGATCTCTACGACCGGCGGTATCGAAGCCGTGCACGCTCAAGCTCGTCTGGTGGCGGCACTGACACGTCAGAAGACGATCGGGTCCAGGGCCTGTCCGAGCCAGACTGCGCAGCTCTCGTGTCCATATCACCGTCGCAACCCCGGGCTCTTTCCAAGCTAGACGTCGAGCAGGAGCTGATACATCACTTCTTCGACTACTGGTTCTCCATTATCATCCTGCCGTCCGTCAGCCAAGCATACGTCATCCAAAGTCGGGCGGAGCTCGTGGATATGATGCATGGGTGCCAGAGTCTCAGGCATGCCGTTTTGGCTGGCAGCGCATCCAACAAGCATATGCTTATGGGCGACAGTCGATACCAGAAGATTGCATTACGATACTACTCCAAGGCTGTCCATGAGTTGAACAAGACCCTCTCCGAGTTTAAACCTGGCTCCAAAGCTCCCGACTTTTCACTGTTATCGACAGTAATCTTCTTATATGTTTACGATGTGTGTGATAATTCCCCCCTTTCCGGTTTCCTGGCGCTCGTTCAGAATCTGACGATATTGGTTTCCGATTAGCTATGGTGTTATGAAGCCTTATCCGACCCGCGGAGTCATGTCGCCGGCGCAGTCAACCTACTCGACCTGCTTTGCAAGGACGGTCATGCGAGCATATCCATGTCGAAGGGCTTTAGTCGTGTCATCGCGGAAAGCATCCTTTACCAGGCCTTTCTGCTATCGACAAGGAAGCCCTTTGCACCCTACTTTCACGTCGAAGAGAAGTTTGTGACGCGGGCCGAAAGACTTCTCATACCGGCGGACTCTGAAGATCCCACCCTTTATGCAACTTCAAGTCCAGTTCTAGGTATCCCTACATCACTGTACCGATTGAAACTAGACATCATCAACTTCTATAATTCACCAGCCGAACAGAGCGCAGAAAGATTGGCTGTGCTCCGATCCGAGATGGAGTACTGGGAAGGATTGATGATATCAGTAGATATATCTGCGACATCATCAATTTCTGTGGTGCATAACTTCGACCTGGTAATCTTGGCAACTTCATTGCTCCTTGATCTGGTCACGGAATCGTTCGAATGTCAATTACCGATAGGCCTTCTCTCCATGTCACAGAGCGATGGGCAGGCTTCACGATGGCAGATTGACCTCTGCCTAGGTACTCTACGACAACCGGAGGGCTTCAGGAAATGGACTCGCTGTTTTCTCGGCACTTGGCCTTTATTGGTTCTTGGCCACACTGTCAGTCACGAAGAAGACATGGGGACAGTTCGCCTGGCTTTGGAAGAGATGCGGCGCCAACTCGGCTATGGTGAGGTTCTCCGGATCCAACAAGAGTTGGAAAGTATATGGGCTACGAAAAGGTCAAAGGTTCCTGGTAGTGGAGGACATCTGTGAAAGGTACAAGGCAATGTGTTTCTAGTCTAAGCTGTATGTTAGCGATGATGAGTGTTGCTTCCATCTGTAGTCGTCTTCTATGTATCCGTTGCATCGGATGTTCCGATATCTACCTCAAGTCTATGGACATATACATCAGCTCGACTTTATCTTTCTCACTATCAGCGCGAGGATAACAGTAGGGGCAGCCTCAGACTTGACGCCCCTTGCTGCACACACACGGCTGAGGTTATCAAGGTTGTCGAGGTTGTTGGAATCCATTCCTCCTCTTGATGAGCTTCGAAAGTCTGGGCTGCATCACTGTTGGGCGATCCTTAATTCGAGCGGACCACATATAAAGATGCATCTGCACGGTATTGTAATAAGTATTCAAAGTTTATCGATGACCCACGGTTGAAATTAAACGAGCCGAAGATCCCGCGGGACCTAAGATATCTTGACAACGGCTGACCACGTGGGTGGGTTGGAGTCAAAGATAAAACGGAACCACCGACCGCATTTCATCTTTCAGCTCTCACCAGCCTCATGAACACAGCTCTGAATTGCCCCCCGCAAGTCCTCGCAACAGGGACTTTTAAATAAACAAACCCACTTCACTAGGCATGTCTCCTCTAACGGGGGACAGTTATCACGGCGCTAAATCTCAGACATACACCGAAGGCCCGCCTTCTAATTCTTGTAGCACAGACTGATAGGATAAAAGCCACGGTGATCCCTCCGAATCCATTGTCACTGGGCGTCTTGGCTTTTCATCTGTCGCATGGAAAGCAGTTTGACAAGGTGGTCGTTCCATAAAGGCCAGGCTCGTCCTGATCGAGGATTGACCTTGAACCATCATTGAAAATGCGACCCTTACGTGCAACTGCAACGTCGCGAATGCTCGCGTCCGCCTTGCTGTGGACTTTGGCGCCCATTTCCAGAGCGCAAGATGTCATCTATGTCACTGATCTTTATGTTACTGCATTGATGCACTGGACACGGCGACGAGAGATACTGACCACTTGCAAGGCCCCATGCGCCGCATCCGCAGTCTCCCAGAATATCGCGCGACAAATCCTCAGCAAGAACTGTCCCGACAACGAGCAGGGTCTACAATCATGCATCTGCAATTCCCAATTCGCGATTGTCTCGTCAGGGATGTCGGCCACCGTCAGCACTCGATGCGGCTCCTCCGCGACGGATGATCAGGCCTCGGCCTCGACTGTCCTCAGCGCGTACTACAATCAGAATGTCAAAGTGGCATTCCCGATGCCGGCCAACCCGGTCTCTTCGTACATTCATGAATACCCCGCGATCAGTGATCTTGCACCTTGTGCATCGAGCGGCTTGTCCGTGGTGATGAATGCACAGGTATGTTGACAAAACCCCTTGCCCAAGTCCGGAGACTCACTTCGCCTCGTACAGACTTACATGCTCTGCCCTCCAAACCCGACAGCGCTGGCCCCATGTGCTTGCGAAAAGAACCGTAACTCTGCGTTCATCTCCTCCAGCATCGCACAGTCCGTCGCCGCCCTCTGCTCCTCCAACCCGGCAGACGTCTCCTCGGCACAGGCCCTGTTCGCCGGCTACTGCGCCCTCAACGCCGGCACCACCACCACCATGCCCGTCGCCTCCAGCCCGCCCGGCGACATGTCCTACTACATCACTGACCTGCCGCAGTACTCGTCGCTCGCCTCCTGCGCCCAGCGGGCTATCTTCCAGGCCGTGTCCTACCAGACCTACGCGCTGTGCCGCGACAGCGGGCCCCAGGCGCTTGCGTCGTGCGTGTGTCTCAAGACGAGTATGCAGCGATTCGTATCGAGCGCCGTCGTATCGAGCGCACGCTTCTTTTGCAGCTCGGGCGTGCAGGACAGCGTCGAGTCCGCCGGCGCCGTGCTCGATTTCTACTGCCGCGCGGCGAGCGCCGAGGCCACGGCCACGGGCATCGTGGTGAGTTCCTCTGCCTCGGCGCCCGGCGCGTCGCGAAGCGGCTCCATGCGGTCCACCGTCACGGCGACGCAGGCACCCGGCGGTTTGGAACGTGGCGCGCGAGGGCCGAGCGCGGGCATTATTGCGGGCGCTGTTGTTGGCGGCGTCGCTGGCTTAGTCCTCGGGGCTTTGTGCGTGTTTTGCGTCATGCGTCACGCGCGGCGCAGAGCCGGAGCTGGCCGGCCTCTGCAGACTCAGGAGCAGCGTGGCTCGGAAATCAGCAGGTGCAGTCGACCAAGAGATCTCTCCAGCGTGGCGGCAGTTGCTGGCTGCAGTAATGGAGCCGCCAGTCATGATATCATTGATGCGCCTCCACCGTATGACGCAGGCCCAAATGCATCGCCTCGTGCTAAGAAGTGAGTTCGAATCAGGAGCACTATTATGAGAGCGTTTTGACATGGGATGCGTGGCATGGAGTTTGTTTTACTAGATTTGTTTGTTGCCCTGCTTAGATACCCTACACCCTTTTATCCATTAGCAAGATCTTTCCAAGATACAATAGCTAATTTGCCTATAGACTCCAGATATGGAAGCTGCAGTAAATATCAATACTTCAATCTGGAGGGCATCATTCTTCAGAATCTTCACATGGCTCACTTATCATGCGGCGAACACCAGGAGAGACACGGGTCTGGGTAAATTGCTCGCACATGTAAAAGGTAAAGATGGTCGCATCCACAACCATGATAATTGTCAAGAGGTAATTACTTTCTCGTTGTATGCAGGTCTCATTAACACTTCGCCAGGGTCTGCACAGACAAGTCGACTCGTTCAGTCTCAAATTCCATCATCAAAAGGGATATTTCATCCCTGGCCGTGCAAGACTAATGATCTTGCGCTCCGTAAACTCCTCCACGCCAGCGATACCTCCGAATCGCCCGTAGCCACTGCTGCCACCGGTACCTCCCTGTTGATGAGTGAGCATCCTGACATGAAATTCTTTTCTAAAAAGGGGCATTGCTTACGTTGGGCAGTGTTGATTCAACAAACACTGTTGGCCCATTGACATGACAGCTTCCAGCCCTCACCTGTCTGGCGAGATCCATTGCCCTCAAGACATCGCGGGAGAAGACGCTCGCACACAGGGAGAATTCGCTGTCATTGGCCAGCGCGATAGCCTCCTCGTCTGTGTTAAATTCGGCAATAAACATGGTTGGTCCGAAGGACTCCTTGTGGTAGATGTTCATATCGCTGTTGACCCCTTCCAGAATGTGCGGCGCCATGATGGTCTTGTTCGGCCCAGTGATCTTCAAGTCGCCTGTCAGTAACTTGGCGCCGCCATCAACTGCTCCTTGAATCAAGTCGCGAACACGTGTCGCCGATGCCGGTGTGAAGAGACCGGAAATAGAGACTTCACTGTCGTCCAGATGATTGCCAGTCTTGAGCTCCCCGACGCGAGCAAGGAGCTTCTCTTTGAACTCGTTGACGATCGACTTGTGAACAATTACACGTTCTGTCGACATGCAGATCTGCCCGCTGTTGGATAGTGCCCCGAAGACGACCGACTCAACTGCGTCATCGATATTCGCGTCGTCTAGGACTAGCACCGGGGCTTTACCGCCTAGTTCAAGCACACATCTTTTCAGACATGTTACAGCCCAAGCGGCAATGATCTTGCCAACCCTGTCACTACCAGTGAAGTTCACACGCAAGACCTTTGGATGCTTCACAGCGAACTCTGTGACTTCAGGAGCTAGTTCCGGGCTCGTGGGGAGGAAGTTGAGCACCCCTTTGGGTAAACCGGCGGCTGTGAGAGCTTTGATCACAAGATGCTGGCACTTGGGACTGAACTCTGAAGGCTTGAGAACGACTGTGTTGCCGCAGATAATAGGGCAAGCAATCGCCCTTGCTGTCAGATTTACCTGGTCGTCCGTTAGGCTCAGGATAGGCTGTATTTTCCCTGCAACATATTTTTGGAATAATACTGACCGGTGCATTCCACGGACTTATCGCAAAGACAACGCCAACTGCCTCCCTGGCCACCAAGATTGTAGTGCCAGGTCTATCGGCAGGCACGATTTCGCCCTTGATATGCGTTGCCAGACCCGCAGACTCTCGAAAGATACCAGCAGTTGCGAAGATGTTGACCTTGATCCAGCTCTTGGTAGCTGATACTTCCGAGGATAGGATCTCTGGCGCGTCGGTGTTGATATAAGATTCCAGAATGTCAGCTGCCTTTAGAAAGATCAGCCGCCGCGCGGAGGGTCCTGTTTTTGACCATGAGGCATAGGCTTCATGAGCACTTTCAATGGCCGAGGCATAGTCATCCACTGTGGCAGAAGCGCAATCGTAAATCTTCTCCCCTGTCATGGGATTATTGACGGGGAAAGTGGCATTGTCCGAGCTGTTTTGGTATACGCCGTCGATATAAAGGGCTTGAGGCTGAGATAGAGCCGAGACACTGGTGCCGTTCGTTACAGTAGGCATGGCTATTGCAATCTTGGAGACTGTAGTGAAAACGTGAACAAATACAGGGCGTCTACCCCGATGAAAGGCTTCTCTGATTGTGTAAGAGATGATAAATTCGTTTTACGATGATGTGGTGCGGCTTGGAGACGGGAATCGGAGTTATCGCGAATGTCGCTCGCATCCTGTTCTTTGGAAGAACTACCTGCCGACCGGGACCAGTTGAGTGCACTGCGCGAGCTTTGGTTTACGCCCAGTGGGGTTCTGAGCAAAGCTCCATCATGCGGAGAAGCTCTGGAGAAGAAGGCTAGCCTCCTCGCATAAGCTGGGACTCGGCTGCATGCTTCCGGAGTGGAGGGACCATTCTTCCTGTTGCGGGTCACCCTTCCACTCCGAATCGGAGTTCGAGGATGCAAAAGATTGTACCTGTTGGATTTCCTATTTTGGAAGGGTCGAGGGCTGGGTGAATACAAGGATGAGTTGGCGGACTTTTCAGCACGTGAGTCTGCGTTCGAGATCTAGCACTACCGATCAAGACGACGTCTTTTCGACTTGTTCGTAGCAAGACCTGGCCTACGAGACTGTTCCGACTGTAATCTCACAAAGGATACGAACCAGCATGACTTCATCACAGGTGACCAAACGCATCACCGGTGCAGCAGCCATACTGCACGCACTCGAGGATGCTGGCATCACACATCTCTTTGTGAACCTCGGGTCTGATCATCCAGCGTTCCTCTCTACCTTTGCTAGCAAGGAACTCCAGAGCCTGAAAGTATACACGTCTCCCAATGAGATGGTGGCTCTCAGCGCAGCTTCAGGGTTCGCACAGGTGACCGGAAAACCAGCAGCTGTTCTCGTCCATGTCGAGTGCGGGACGCAGGGACTCGCGGGCGCCGTCCACAACGTGAGCAAGGGCCGAATTCCTGTCATGATCCTGGCAGGCACAGTACCTGTGACCATGGAAGGTGAGATGACGGGTAGCAGGAACGAGTAAGTTGAAACTCCCTATGGCTTTGACAAAGCAAGCATTGACATCTGATAGATACATCCACTGGATCCAGGATGTCCCTGACCAGCGAGCGATTGTTCGGCAATACATGCGATATGAGCATGAAATACGCCGTCCGCACAATGCTACACAAATCATTCTCCGGGCACTACAGTTCATCAAGTCAGAGCCTCAAGGGCCCGCATACGTCATCGCTAGCCGCGAAGCTTTGGAGGAGCAGATCGACACCCCGACTCAGCCTCCTGCATCACAGAATCCTTGCAAGAACTCAGCGCTAGAGCCTCAGGGCCTGACTCCGCAGGCATTGGCTTTCCTTTCCACCGCATTGATTGCTGCGGAGAAGCCCCTTATTGTCACGAGCTACTGTGGTCGATCCCTAGCAGGGTTTGAGGCCTTGAGAGAACTTGCCGAGCTGCTCGCAATACCGGTTCATGAAAATGCACCCATCTACAACAATTTCCCCACAACATCATATCTTCACCAGGGGCACCAATGGAACGGGGGAGGACAGCTACCCGCCCTGTCAGAGGCCGATGTCGTTTTGGTCGTGGACTCTGACGTCCCCTGGATCGGCGCACAGTCGAAACCCAGCCCTGACGCACTCGTCTACCATCTCGACAGCGATCCTCTCAAGGAAAGCACAACACTCTGGTCTATGCCTTGCGAGAAGAGATGGAAGGTTGATTCAAGTCTCGCATTGAGTCAATTGGCCACGACTGTCCGTGCTCATGCGGATTTCTCCTCGGGCAGCACAGAGACCAGAATCCGAGCCCGCGAACGATTTTTGAAGGAACGCTTCAGTGCAAGACAAACTCGTCTGATCAAGGCAGAAGAGGCACCTGCAGATGGAAATGTGACTGTGCCTCATTTCATGTCACGCTTGCGCCAAGCTTGCGAGGGGCTCCGCGTCGTGGGATTGAATGAGTCAACAACGAATCTGGGCAACGTAGCCGATCACCTGAAGCATAACCAGGCCCTATCCCTGATTGGCAGTGGCGGAGGCGCCCTTGGCTGGTACTCCGGCGCAGCCGTCGGGGCCTCACTTGCGCTGCAAGCTCACGGCCGCGCTGATGATCTCGTGGTCGCCTTCACCGGCGATGGAACCTGGCTTTTCGGCATACCTAGCTGCGCCTACTGGATGGCAAAGAAATACCAGACACCGTTCCTCACAATCATCTGGAACAACGGAGGATGGGCATCGCCGAAGAACGCGTGCATGCGAATCCATCCCGAGGTCGCTCAGATGCAGACCTCGCGATCGGACGGCAGCATGCTCAGCGATGATCTCATGGTGTCTATCACGCCGTCTCCTTCCTTTGGCAAGATTGCGGAAGGGGCAGGTGATGCGTGGTGGACCCAGGTGCGGCGTGTAGATGAAGTTGACGAAGCTTGTAAAACGGCTCTGGCTATGGTGAGAGAGCAAAAGAGGAGTGCCGTCATTGAGGTTGTCATCAACCGGATATAGCACCTTGGCATATTCCGTATTACATGTTCTTGTTGTAAGGAATTAAATACCAGTTATAGATTCTTTCTAGGCACTCCTGATTACTACTGTACATAACTGTTCTTCATTTCGTGGGCTGAGTAGGACAAATAGGGGCCGTCTGTCCTTGTTCAATGAAAAAAGGTCTGGAGAACTGTGAACGTGCAAATGAGCATCACGCACTTGCCAATTGCCATCTTCCACTTAGCACTTCCTACATGCCATCAATATTCTTCTGGTTAGCTGCGGAATGAAGCCTCAACCCCACAATATGGATCAGCTCTCGCCATGCTTGGGAACATGCTTCCGCGCACGCCCACCACCCAACATGGGGTAGCTGGAATTCCAGGGGCTAGTTTCCCCTCACAGAGCCAGACCCATTAGGTACCTAGCCTATCGCTGACCACGATAATTCCGAGTGAGGGCACGGCTCCTCTAACAAGACGACATTTCCAGGACTGCAGACTGCAACTACCTGGGATAGACAGCAACGGCCTCAAACTACTGATGCAGCGATGGCTTCAACCTCCAAACCTGAATTATACAGTATCGATGACTTCGAGAAGTATGCGTCTGATCACCTCCCCAAGATGGTCAAGGACTATTTCAATGGAGCGGCTCTCGACGGCGTGACGCTGCGTGCGAATCTAAGCAGTTATTTGGACTACTACATCCGACCTCGCGTGCTTCGGGATGTGTCCAAGGTGAAGACACGAACTCGCGCCTTCAAGGATGGCAACGAGATTCCTTTCCCGCTCTGTGTAGCACCAGCCGCTATGCAAAAGATGGCTCATCCAGAAGGCGAAGAGGCTATGGCCCGAGGGTGTGCTGGGTTCGGCACCGTTATGGGACTGAGCAGCTTTAGTACGACATCTCTTGAGGCCGTCAAAGAACAAGCCGATAGAGCGAGACGCAGTGCGGGCTTTGTCGGAGAAAGCGAGTGTGTGTTGCAAATGTATCTATTCGAAAACTTCCAGACCAGCGTGGACCTAATCCGCCGAGCAGAAAGTAAGTCGCCGAAGGAAACCCCAAAGGAAGTTTCAGTGTCGTCCAGGCGTGTTAATCAGATGCCACAGAGAAGGGCTACAAGGCCATCGTTCTGACAGTCGACACGCCTTACTTTGGAAGACGACTGACTGAAATCCGTAATCGCTTCAAGCTACCCGGACATCTCCGAATGGCGAACTTCCCAGACTCATTGGGGGTCAAGACTGGATCTGAACATCGCACCAATGACTTGGACAAGGCGAGGCCACTCACACCGCACGCGGCAAGTACGGCGACTTCGACGCAACCGCCGGCAAATAAAAACGGTGAAGTTGCTCATCCTCGACTGTGTTCTTAATCATGCTATTGACCAGCTCACTCCAGATCCGTCCTTGACGTGGGAGTCAATCAAACAACTCAAGCAGGTCACTAGCTTGCCCATATGGCTCAAGGGCATCATGACCCCCGACGATGCGATGTTAGCAGTTGAGCATGGAGCGGATGCCATTTTTGTGTCAAACCATGGAGGACGACAACTCGATCACGCGCCTCCGACTTTATCGGTGCTACGAGAGATTGCCGAGGCGGTCAAGGGGAGACTACCAATCGTAAGTATCGAAGTCCATCAGAACGTTCTTAGGTCGTTTTAACTGATTGTTTTGCTCTTCATAGCACTTTGACGGCGGTGTCCGGAGAGGATCGGACATATTCAAGGCTCTTTGCCTCGGAGCTGACATTGCCTGGATTGGCAGACCGGCCCTCTGGGCACTGGCGTATGACGGAGAAGACGGGGTCCGGAATGCACTGAAGATACTTGAGGAGGAGTTTAGAGCTTGCATGGCGTTGTCTGGCTGTGCAAGTCTGCAAGAATTGGGGCCACACTGTCTGATGGCCACGGAGCGCACGGAGAGGGGGAAACTGTAGTTGGATTTTACTATATATACTCAAAATACAGCCATGTTATTCTAGGTACCATCTGGTCAAGTCTGTCTTGCCATGTATGTGGTCTCTTCGCTTTGTTTGGGTTATTGCTTCAGGAACGGGACCACAAGGCTATTGAACTGCTCGAGACCATCAATATAGCAGACGTGGCCGGCGTTCTTGATAACCTCAAGCCTGATACTGTTCGATTTACCGGCTGCCCTGAAACCTTGCTCGATGCCGCTGCGCATTTTCTGCATCTGCGTCGGCAAGTCTGCGTCCTTCTCGCCTACGATGAGCAGCACATCGTTGCAACCAGCGGCGACCTTCTCCAGAAGAGGGTACAGGTCAAAAGTCTTGCTGCGAAGGGCGGCGCAGCAGGTCTCAAAGCCGTCGAGAGATGTGGTGCGCATCAGCGCACGCATGCGCGCCGCCTCGTGCGGGTTTGCGGCGATCCATTCCTTGCCGAACCAGCGCTCCAGAGTGCCCTCGCAAATATTGTCCATCGTTCCGTCTGTCCGGGCGGCAGACACGCGTGCGGAAAAGAGGTCCTCGGTACCGGCGTTGACCGGGGACTGGGCGATCGTGTCGCAGACGACCAGCTTGTTGACGATGCCGGGGTGCCGGTTGACGAAGACGACACCCGCGGCGGCTCCCATGGAGACGCCGACCCATGCGTGGACAGCAGAGAGACCGAGGTGCTTAAGAAGGGCGGCGACATCGTCGGCGATGGAGTCAAAAGTAGTAGAGGAAAGGTCGGCCGGGGCGCTGGACCTGCCGTGCCCGGGCTGGTCCCATCGCAGGGCGCGCAGGCCATTGGCCGCCAGCTTCTCGACGACGTGGTCCCATGATTCAAAGTTGGAAGTGAGGGAGTTGGCGAGAACCACTATGGGCGCATTTTCGGGGCCGGACTCGAGCTTGTACGACACGGCGCGTGAGTCTGGCAGCGTGAAAGACCGAGTGGCTGACATGGTGGTGGTGATGGCAGAAATTAGTCGGCGGATCACGGGAATTCTGGCAGCAGATAACCGAGCGGGAGGTCGTGGGCGTCTCGGTGAGCTCGTCGCGAGAGACGAACGCCAATTGCGAGATGTCAAGCGGAGTCTCGGGTTATGCAAATGTGAATCGCCAATCGTTGCAGGCTGCTGTGCTGGTCGTGATGGGATCAAACCGTGGAAGCTCGAGGGTTTGGTGGTGCTGCTGGTGTTGGAGTGGGATGACGTTAGAGGCAGCCAGCACCGGCGCCGGTGGTCCTTCATGCGACCGTAGCCGGCATCCCGACCACCGTAACCGCTGAGGAACCCCACCAGAGTTTTCTTTGCACTTCCACCTGGAAGCGGGCCAATCGACCGGCAAGAAGCCATGGAGCTGTCCAGCCTGGAATTTTAGTGATCTACTGACCAGCGCACACGCCCTCGAGCTTCAATGTCGGATCCATCCAAGGCTTTCATGTTCCAGCCCCCTCGCCCACTGAAGATTGAACCTTCCAAGTGTCAGCGCCCCAAAGCTCCAGGCAGCTGGAGCAAAAACCCCGCAGTGTCGACTCCGCTAGAGCTCCCCCTCTTCCCCCGCCCCGGCGCCCCACGTCCCCTCACTAAAACAACCTTGGAACCTTGTAGGTGCCCTTCAGGTGCCACTGGTGCCAAACATGGATCCATGGGTTGAAGTGATGGCCGCGCGGATGCATGCTTCCGCCGGCCTGGCCTCAGCCAGAGCCTGTGACAGGTTGAGGCACATGCATGGATGCATCCCCACCTGACACGGCTGGGCCATCTCCATGACCAACCTTGGAACCCCAACAAGAATCTCTCGTCTGCCAGGTGCGGCAAGGAATGCATTCTTCAGGATATCAACTCTTCATGGCCCACTCAGGAGTCAACGGTTCGATGCTTCCACTCGAGCTTGCAGTTGCGTGCCCTTGCCTGACCAGCGACCAAGCATCCTCGCCTCCCCGTCCTCCCTTCGAGAGACACCATGTCGGAAGTACAGGCCGCCGTGGCCCCAAAGCGCAAGGGGCCGAATAGACGCATCCCAGACCGCCTGAGAAAACGATCAGCTCAGAGCTGTGATCTCTGCCGGAAGGTCAGTTTTGCCGAGTCTGCCCTGCGCACCAGACCCGCGTCGGCTCGCCCCCCTAGCACACCCATCCACTTCCTGAGGTGCATTGGCTGATCGAACAACAGCGCCGCTGCAAGTGCGTTCCCGATCCCTCTGGCCACGGCTGCATGGCATGCCGGGGCCAGGGTCTTGATTGTGCCTTCACTCTTCCGCGGAAGACCCGCTTTTACGGAAGTGTAGACGACCTCAGTGACCGGTATGGCCATCCTCATGCAGGGACCACGCACTTCGCATCCTGGTTCCCGTTTCCGCCGCCCTGCTGACACTCTCTAGATACAAATGCCTCGAGGCCATTGTCCGTGGGGCGTTTCCCGGTGACCCAATTTCCACCGCCGCAGAGTTGCGGCAGCTTGGGCAACGCATGGGCTACCTCATGCCCGATCCGCCTGCCCAGTCAGCTGAGCCTGCCGATATCGATGAGATATTACAAACCTCAAGCACTGCCGCCATTTCTGGGAGCCACAGTCTTGGTTCTGAGACCCTAAAGCCAGACAACCAGGATGCGGGCGTTCTTGATGCCGACACGCGCTTCGTCAAGACAGACGACGAGTCCTCTGGCGATGAACCCCTGAGTCTCATCCGGGACACCTCCGGGCGTGAGCATTACATCGGCCCGTCGGGAAGTCTCCAATTCTTCAGTCAGCTCCGGCGGCTCGTGATATCGCGCGAGAAACAGCAGAGTCTGGACGAGCAAAGCCCCCCGACCGTATCTAAGTTCACCGAGGACGATACCGCTCAAGCCCTAGAGGCTGATACTAATCATGATGATGCGGCCGACCCTACGTCTGAGCAATCTCTCGACAACACCAGTCCGAGTCATGGATTATCCCCAGGCTCTATCACATCATCGATCGCAAAAGAGTTTACGAAGCAGCCATATGACGTTGCCGACGAGGTCTTCAAACAGCTCCCACCACGCCACATCGTCGACCTTCTTCTACAATCATTTTTCAAGCATGTCCACGGAGACTTCCCGCTTTTCCACAGGGGCACCTTTGAGGAAGAATACGAATCGTATCTAGGCTCATTAAGGCAGAAGAACTCTAGACAACAGGCCATAGCACCCGCACAGGTCGAGTGGGGCTGGATAGGCTGCCTGCAGATGATGATTGTCTTCGGGTCTTTGTCTCAGCCAGATATTGCGGGCATCGACCACGTCGCGTTACGGAGGCAATGCGTGACCAACTCAAGAAACCTGTTGCCTCAGCTGATCTCCAAATGCACGCTGTCGAACGTCAGGGCCCTTTTGCTACTCTCGCTCTTCCTCCACAACAACAACGAGAGAAACGCCGCGTGGAATCTCGTCGGAACCGCAACACGCATCTCATTTGCCCTAGGCTTGCACAGACAAGATGTTGCTGCATCTTTCAGGCCAATTGAGCGAGAAGTCCGGAAGCGAGTATTTTGCACCTTGTACTGGTTTGAGCAGTTCTTGGCTTCAAGCTTGGGGCGACCCAGTGGCCTGAATGACTGCGATGTTGAGGTTGCGTCCCCAAGAGAGGGCGTCTTAAGTGGCTATGATGAGGGGGATGAGCTCAACAGCCTTTCCCTGAAACTACAGGTGATCTTGGGAAAGGCTCGCATCTCACAAGCTGTTCGCCATTCCAATGATACCCAGAGGACTTCTACAAGACAGGAGGAGTCTGCTTGGGAGACACTAGCATCGTTGAAGTCGTGGAAAGCAGAGGCCAAATCTTGCCAGATACTCAATATCCCCTGCATTTCCGAACCAGGAGACCCCCTTGCCGAGAAGGACGAGGACTCTATCTCCTTCCAGCAGTTGAAAACACTTCTAGGATGGCAGAACAAGTCGAGGCTCCGAGCTGCTCTCCTCTTACACATGCAATATCGTTATATTGCAGTAATGGTCACCCGGCCATTCCTTCTACGAGACGTGGCACTGTCACGCCGCTTGGAAAAGAATACAACATCTTCAAGGGCAGGCCAAGCTAAGGACCCGTCTCTGGCGGAGCTTTCTGTCCAGAACGCCTGCCAGCTGACTCGAATTGTACTTTTGCTTGACTCGTTTGGCATTGTGAATGGAATATCGGGCATGGACGTGTTCTACACATACTGTGCCTCAATGGTACTCATTCTGCGGTCGCTGCGCGATCCAACGACGGATACCTCGGAACAAACACTCCAAGCAGAGATGCGGCAATTGATCTCAGCTTCTCGAGAGGTCGTCCTCCGGGTGGTCAAGAGCGGCACTATGAAGCGTTTCGCGCGGGTTATGGCCTCCTTCGAGGACAGTGTCTTCCACCATTCGCATTCGGCAGGTTTGGGTGCCGACAACGGCCAGTCAAATGGCCAAATGCGCAGAGCAACGGCTGGAAACAACCGCATACACAGTAGCCAGCCAGCAACTCCCAATGTTCAGGCCCGAATGCCCCTGGACCCTAGACTGCAAGGTGCCGCGGCGCTACCCCCTGGAAGTTTTGATGATCATCAACGGATGGGCGAAATGTGGCCTCAGACCAGCCTGGTCACCTTCGAAGGTTTGCCGGACTTCAACAGCTGGATGGTACCTTTCTTCGGGGGTGTCGAAGTTGATACTCCCATGATGGAATGGGGCGAATTTGATGCTCTACTGGCGGGGCAAGGAACACAGCAGTAGTCAGTTAAGTCCTGCAGTTAAGTTTGTAGATCAGACAGTATAACCATTTGTGCGATGAAGTTTACGATATTAAGTCATAGCGTCTTTTATTACCGTGCACCGTCGCGTAGACGCTAGAGCCTTGTTACGTTCACACCGGGATATCTTAACACTGCCTTCCAAACTGGCTCGTACGAATGACCTCGCTCAACTGATCCAGCATATGACAGCCACTGCTGACATCCAAGACTACCTTACAGAGTGTAACGGAAGTCGGGATGCAGCTCGCCCAGCTTGTCTTGTTCATCTTGTGAAAGCTGTCTGCGGCTGTCGCGCTTGCCCATGTCTCTCTGGCGATTCTCCCAAGCGGCGCATGCCCACATGTTGACAGCAGCCATGATACCAACAGCCTGAAATGCTATGCAGGTGGAGATGCCGGGGACATACTGGGGCCCATCCTTCGAGGGGAATACTACCGCCGAAATGATGCCACCGACCTGGCCACAACTGATGGCGAAAGCGGTCAGAGTACCACGCTTCGTCGTGCCCACGATCTGGTTCGTACTGTTGATGCAAGCGTTAGCGCTAATCATAAAACCATTCATATGACCAAGTAACTTACCACCAAGCAATAACCAGTGGCTGACAGATGTAAATGCCAATGGAGGCAAAGTAGAATCCCATGTAGCGGAGGTTGCCGTTCTTGAGTAGCATCACGAGCAGATTACCCATAATGCTGATAGAGAAGCCGACCACGCAGAATATACCACGCCGCTGTACCTTGTCCGACCAGATACCAACGCAGACGGAGATGATTCCAGAAACGACACGTACTGGAGTTGTAAGCAGGTTGGACTTGAGGCTGGACCAGCCAAAGGTCTTCAAGACAGTCGGCTGGAAGACGGACAACGAGTAGGCTGTGACGCAGACGGCCAGGTACAAAACACCCGAGGTCAAGATTTTCCAGTTGATGATGCATCGGATGACGCCTCCAATCGTCATCTTCTCGTTATCCTTCCTTCGCTGTTCATCAAGCTTGAGCCGGCGAATCACCCACTCCTTCTCCTCCGGCTTCAGGAACTGTGCATCTTCGGGGAAAGGGGGCAGGTAGAAGAAAGCAAGGACGGCGGCGCAGCACGTCACGGCGCCTTCGACGAAGAAGATCCAACTCCAGCCAGAGTAGCCCCGTAGGCCGTTGAGCGATCCCAGGCCAGCACCCAGCAGGCCCGAGATAGAGCCGGCGATGTCGTTAGAGACCATGAACCACGCCATCCGAGTGAGGAGTTCGTGCCGTCGATACCAAGATCCGATCAGGAAGAGACATCCGGGGAACATGCCGGCTTCAAAGACACCGATGAAGATCCGCGAGGCGAGCAAGCCACCGAAACTCTTGGAAAAGCCGGCAAAGGTAACGCTCAAGCCCCATCCCAATGTCAAAAACCCGATCCAGTATCGGGGCGTGACATGGTTGAGGATAATATTGGACGGAATCTCAAGGAGGATGTAGGGAATGTAGAAGACTGCGTGACCCCGAGTTGTTAGTGTTTGTCATTCATCGCTAGTGGATATGAAGTAGGTGGCTTACCAAGAACGACGATATTGTAGTCATAGCCAGTCATATGCAGATCTTTCTCAAGATTCCAGAGTCTTGCATTGCCAATGTTGACTCTGTCCAGGAAGGTCAAGGTATAGAGGAACATCAACAAAGGGATGAGCCTGAAGTCGATCTTTCGAATGATCTTCTTCGCTTCCACGGGATCTTCAAAAGTCGAGACAGCATCCGTCTCAACATGTTGGGCCTGTTTGGCCTTTTCGAGCTCCGAGCCATCGATCGACGGTCTTCCCGTGGCCTCGAGGGCTTGAGCTTGGGGCTGAGCCATAGTAGAAGGCGAAGAGGGCTACCAAAGGTTGCAGAGTTGACGAGTCGAGTAGGCCTCGTGCAATCGACGAGTGACCAGTTTCCACTTGAGACAGGGAGGTACGCGGCTGAGAAATATATAATCAACCAAGATTCTGGAAACCCCAATCACGGCTGGCAGGGGGCACGAGCAGCTAGCGAGTGAGCGAAATTGAAGACTTCGGCTAGGCTTAGCCCAGTCCAACCTGCGCGAACTCCAGAATCCCATGGGTAATAGAGCAGAAATCCCCACAGGATCCCCGTATCCTCTCCAGGAATGAGAGGTCTCGACTAGGTTGAGATCTGGGGAAAGCGAACGTCAAGTTCGGAGTGTGGGGTGGAGCTGTGGGTCATGACTCGGCAACCTGGGAAGCATGCTTCCGGAACTAAGATGTTGTGCGAAAGCGATAGTTCTACTAATAAAGGGAATATCACTAGTTTCTACAATATTACTCTCACGGTGTCAACGATCCGGTACATCATCCTCACGGGAACCCGTTCCTGAGCAAGGATGTATGGATCCCACGCCTTGGACGATGCAAACGAGTGAGACCGGAATCCCGGTAGCCAGTAATTATGGAGCTCCGTCTGCAACAGCTACCATCACGGTCTTCGTGAGCTCATTCACACTTCGCCCACCGAACAGGCAAGGATAAAAACCAATAGAACTTGCTACAAATTCTTGTCCTCAATCCATCTTAATCATCAAGATAGCAGCGCCATTCAAAACCTTCACCTTCATCACAGTGATATCCTAAGACCACACTTCACCATGCCGAACGCTGCGAGATCGCTGAACATCCTCATCGTGGGAGCTGGCCTCGGCGGCTTGGCTGCCGGTCTAGCCCTGCAGACCGATGGTCACAAAGTAACTATCATTGACTCGGCGCCCGAGTTCGCAGAGGTGGGTTGGGGGAATCAGATCTGCCTCTTACAGCGACAACGGAAATACTGACAGTTGGCTAGGCTGGCGCTGGCATTCGTGTTCCCCCCAACTCTAGCCGTCTCCTCCTACGATGGGGTGTGGACCTGGAGAAGATGAAGAAGTCTGTGTCCAAGCGATACCACTTCATCAGATGGGAGGACGGCCAAACCATCGTGAAGCTACCGTTTGAGAACATCGTGGAGACCCACGGAGCTCCCTACTACCTTGTCCACCGTGCCGATCTGCATTCAGCGCTGCTTGAGGCTACGCAAAGGGCTGGTGTTGTCATTCACAACAACAAGCGCGTCATGTCTTATGACTTTGAGGCCCCAAGCGCCACGACGCAAGAGGGAGAGGTGTTCAAGGCTGATTTAGTCGTCGGCGCGGACGGAATCAAGTCCATCTGCAGGCCCCTTCTGACCGGCCAGCCGGATATCCCCCGCGATACTGGTGATGTTGCTTACCGCATCCTCATCCCCGGCGACAAGGTCCTGGCCGACCCAGAGTTGGCCGACCTCATCACCGACCCGTGCACGACCTCGTGGTGTGGGCCAGACGCCCATCTCGTTGGCTATCCGATTAGGAACGGCGAGATGTACAACATTGTTGTCTGCGCAACTTCCTACAACGAGACGACTGATGAGGTCTGGGTCGTGAAGGGTGACAACCAGGAGTTGTGTCAGCGATTCTCCAAGTGGGAGCCCAGAGTACGCAAGCTGTGTGCTCTGACCGACCAGTTCCAGAAGTGGCGTCTATGTGACCTGCCCAACCTGACCCGCTGGGTGCACCCGTCAGGCAAGACGGTGCTCCTGGGTGACTCGTGCCACCCTATGTTGCCATATCTGGCTCAGGGAGCTGCCCAGGCCTTTGAGGATGCCGCTGCTCTGAGGCAGGTCCTTGCCCAGGACCTTCCGTTGGCCGAAGGGCTCAAGCGATACCAGGAGATCCGGATGCCGCGCGCCAGTCTGGTCCAGGCCAAGACACGCGAGCACCAGTACATCCTGCACATTGAAGATGGCGAGGAGCAGAAGGTCCGGGATCAGAAGATGGCGCTGAATGCGCAGGAGAACCCCGTTTTCTGGGGCTTCGATGACAGGAGGAAATGGCTTTTCAGTCACGATGCTGAGGTCCTGGGCCAAGAAGGAGCCAATTGGATGGAGGCTTCAAAGGCCACTGGAGTGGCCGCGCATTAGTACCTTCACGTATACCAGAGGTTGTGTCGGGTTTGTGTAGATATTTATTTAACTCTTATTATACCACCCAGTTACATTGTTTTTTTCTTCGGTGTTTCGTTTGAGTGAGCCATTGTCCAGGACAGTTTCTTAGCCATCCCTTTGCATTGTGAGTTCAGGGCAGATAATTTTCCCACTACATCCAACAAATTTACCTGAAGTCAGATAAACAGTAAAGTAATGCCACTTCATGGCTAAATAGTGGACCAAAAGAACATGGCCATAGGCCGGAAGTCGTTCTTGGTAGTCTGCAAAGACACCGTCGAGGATCGAACCTCTATACTCACCCTTGGGCCCTGAGGCATTGTTTACCATGCACGAATTTCCTTCCCGACCGGTGATCTTCACAGCAGCCAGCTAGATGGTCGCATAGATGAGATTAAAAGACAGCAAAACTATCCTCATTGGCTAAGATCAAATCTAAACCGTCAAACAAGCCCACAGGGCGACATGAGCCTGAGCTTGCTCCTGGTCAGGATCATCCAGGTCATGCGATGCCATTTCCCAGCCTCTTCCTTTATTCGTGATTGGCAATGATCAACTTATACTGCATTAGGCTTTCACTGTGCTCATGAGTAGGTGTAAGGTTTTCCATTCGCGGATCTTGACCGATTAGGGGTATTGGTCTCGCATGACTCGTGCGCACGAAAATACATCTCAACCATATCGGTACTAGGTCTTCAGATTTCCTTATTCGGTTGATAGTCTAAACAACTTTGCAAAGGTAGACCGCGTGGAGGCCATGAGCGCTCTCTTAAAATGTTATGCTGTATACCGTCAAGCCTGCAGCCCAAGGCGGCGAGGTTCTGATTACATGTATACCTTGTTCACAACCAGAGCATGTTTAGAACCGAGATATTGGGATTGAAATTATCCAATTAACCATTACCTACTATCCAGGTATCATAAAAAGGAGCGTAATAAAACTATCAATATGTACAATATAACCATTCCATGTACGAAATGCAATATACCTGCAACGCCCTTTGATCGTTACAAAGGCTGATCATAGTGCGGCATGAAGCTCAACTTGGAAACTTCAAACTGTTCTCCCGCTCAGCCAAGTCGCTCAAAGAAATTAACACTTGGTGATGTAGAGACCGATGGGAGACGGGTTGTAGTCTTGGAAGTACCACAGGTTGGTGTCAGCGCCACCACCCTCCTTAATCTCGAAGCTGATAGTCTGGCCGGCGGGACAGTCAAAGTTGGCGATGGCGTAGCTGTTTCCGGGAGCGACGGTCACAGTGCCGAGGTCCATCTTGGCACCAGGAGCATTGTTGTAGGTAGTCTGCAGGTTGGCGACGCCGTTAAGCCAGACAAAGTCGAGGGCACCCGAGCCGCTCAACTTGTAGTCAGAGGTCTCGAGATCCTCCTTCTTGGGAAGCAGGAAGACGAGCTGGCAGGTCTTGCCAGCATCACCGGCGGGGATATCAAAGTTGAAGATGGAAGAGACGGTAGGGGAGACATTGCCGTCGTAGGAAGTGCCGGAGGCCTTGTCAGGGTTGGCCGAGTCAACGGGCACGATCAGATGGGGGAACTCCCATGAACCGGTCAGCTCAACGGGGCACTTGGGCGCCGGCGGGGGCGGGGGCGGGGGAGGAGCGCAGTCGGCATGGCAGCCATCGGACCGGAGGGAGATGGGGCCGCAGTTCTGGCCGTGGCCATCCTCTAGGTAGATGTTCCACAAGCCATCGCCAGACTCGCACTTGAAAAACTGAGTCTGGCCCTTGTAAGAAAAGGTGCCGTCGCAAGCGATGCCGAAACCACTGGTAGGCGCCTGTCCCGCGTCACACTGGAGGACCTTGGTGGGAGGCGTCCACCAGCAGCCGCGTCCGGTGCCGTCACTGAGAACATCGCCGTTGATGACAAAGTTGGTGGCCTTGAGGCCGTTGCCAAATTTGGCCTGGCCGCCTTCTACCTGACCAACAGGGGTGCCGTCCACATCTAGGTGAAAGGTGCAGCCATCCCGGATGACGAGACCTTGGGCGAGGGCTGCTAGGGAGGCGAGGGCGGCAGCAGTGTAGATCATTTTGCAGGCCGAGGGGGGGATCCGAATAAGTGAAATATGAATGAAGTGCTTTGGGATAGGTTATATCACTTGTGGTGTGCTAATGACTCTTAACAGTAGTATTCAAGATAAGATGGCAAGAATAGATGGAGGGGATGGTGGTGTTATATAGACAGGCATAGGGTGGTGGTCATAGGCTGCTGCTAGGACAGCTGCAAAAGCAACGAACCCGATCGTGAGCTCCTACCTACGACAGCTCGAGGCGGAGCAGCTAGCCGTGACGTCAAGGGCCAGGCAGCATCAGAAGACGGCCATGAGATCTTCGATCGTGTGGTGGAGGACCATCGAGACCCAGAGGTGGAGGATCCACAAACCACACGAGAAAGACGTACGTTAGGCGAGCGGAGGCGACTTACTCGACTGGAGACCAGTCGATGGATGTCACCTTGACACTAACAGTTAGCAGTATCTGGATACGAGGAAGTCTGTTAACGCGGGTGATGCGGGTTCAACCTGGACCAGCACCTGGACCCGGGCTTGGCGAAGGCAAAAAGGCTTGAGTCGACGATGATGTCCGCCAAGATGGGCAAGGTGGATTAGACCCATGGATGACATTTGAACGCATCGCCCACAATGAGCACAAAGAGTGGAGGACTGTTGGTGGGGATTGCAGCGAAGAGACAGGGGTCCATGGTCCAACTCATGGGCCGAACAAATGTCTCACCTCTAAAAGGTTCGATCAGGCTTCGAACACACTGGGAATAAGCTACATCCCGAAGCTTCCAGGAATGTAGGGTCCAGGGCCGTCGCCAGAAGTCTCCCCCCTCCTCTCCCCGGCAGGAAAATGCCGGGCTGACCGGACGGAAGAGTCGGTGCGGGACCTGAGCTTGTGGGGAAGAGGATCGTTGACGTTGTTGGGTCAGCAGGCTGACTGGCAATCCCTGTTCCCCCACAAATCGGCTCCCCCCTGTCTGCCATTATTGGCTGCCCTGCCGAATGCCAAGAATGCCGCTGCCTCTGTGCTGTCGTCCTCCATCTCGAGCGAAGAGCTGTAGTTACTCTCCCTCTCGGCCCAGCATGAACAAGCAACGAGAGACATGAAAGGCCTGCGCTAGACTGTGCATAAGGCGGACGCTTGAGTGGGATTCCTGTACGAGCATATTGACGTCGCTGTGCCGTCAAATTGGCTTCGAGCACAGTCACGCTAAGACGCTCAAGCGTGAGTCGATCACCTCGTATCTGTGCTTGCCTCTAGTGTGGTGGTAAGCGTGCGAGGAGGTAAAAAAGCATCACCACACCTCATGACCAGTCACCCGCTCAACGGCTCAGACCATAACACTCTGTTTACTTTTGACTTTTCCTATTCTCGTCTTCCCTTGCGCCGACTCCCAACTAAGTAGGCGCCGGCGCTTAGAGGGCGTGACGAGGAGGGCTGCAATACGAACAAGAAGGACTGCGAATAACATTACTGTGCATTGGTTAGTAAAAAGAAGGACGACGGCTACATGCGGTGATACGGTGGTGCGTTCAATTGACGATGTGCAATGCTCCCAGCACCACACCGCAACTTCTGCGATAGTTCACCGGAATTCAACCGGACGTACCGTGAGCCGACCACAACGAAATAAATGCAGCTCACATCGTATTCATCGAAAGATCAACGCCGCATTTGCGGGGTAGCTGGTCGTTGGTCAAGGCGTACCTAATGCACGATGTTCTCGATGGGATGATTGATTGTCAGTAACACCTGCTGTCAGCCAGATACCTACAAGTACTGGCTGTGTTCAGTGTGGAGGATCGTCGCTTACAGGACCGTGCAGGAAGACCTGACCTGGATTCGTCCCTCCTCGCCCGCTTCTGGACACCTGGACAAGGGTCAGCCAACGACACCAAAAACGCCAACCATCCATTCATCTCTAGTCTCCGCGCTCGCAGAACTAGCCTTCTACTTGTAAGCTCTCCATAGGGCAGCAACTACGCACACCCTGTTGGTCGATGGTTGATTGATTTCTCGTGTTCGGAGCAGATGGCATTTGCTCAGACCATGATCTCTCCCCCTCCTGCCAGCGTGGAATGGGCACAGATGACGTTGCTGAGTAGGCAAAATTATGGGGGGCCGCCTCAGCTAATGCTTGTACTGTGAATAATGGGGTTCGTTCTTCCTTGCGAACATCACCAACATGCTGCCCCACCGACGCCCTCGCTGTTGGCTTTGCTTAGGTACCAGGGTACCTCTTTCATGTTCCCGGATGGGGGCCTGAACAGGCACTGTCGCTGATGATGCGGCCTGCTGCGGCCTGCTTCGGGTGGCCGAAGGCAGCATGTCTCTGGCGATGATGTTGATCGCACCTCGCGAAGGATTTCGGCAATCGACCTGCCATTGAGACAGCTCGTACTACTTGGCAGGGTGATGGTTCTGTGAATGTCTTAGACCATTCATGCGATGACGCTCGTGCAATATAGCAGACTTTCCCCCATGGCAGTACCTATGAAGGACTGCTTTTTCTCCCGTCGATTGCTATGTCATTGGTTGAATGCAGAGCTCGGTGGAGCTATCCAATTCTACCTGTTTGTTCCATGGCTGTTCCTGATCGCTACAGCTCGTCGTCTGACGGACATTCGGGAATTGTGGATTTCGTCCATCTACTGCAGCTTGACGTGTGTCTGCGGCCCAGACACGCCCTGACGCTCCCGAGGCCCATTACCTAGTGCCCTGAACAACTTCGCTCCAACCCACAAGCGGGACCACCAGCCAGTATCTGTTAGTTAGTTAGTGGCTCGTACCTGTTTCCTGACCTTCACCTGCATTTGAATGAGCCAGACTGATGTGTCCATCAATATCTTTTCCACCGCCTGCCGCTCGGCTTGTCGGCTTTGGTCCGGACTTCCTCCCCCGCCGTGCCGGCACCGCCGAGTATCCCCCGAGCCGCTCGAATGATGATGTTATGGCCCTCAAAAAACAAATGAACGATGATAGATGAACACCCAACTGCCATCGCCGATGCTGCGGTCATGTCATCAATCCCGTCTTTCCACATGCACCAGTGTATCCATATTGGCATCAGGTCTTATGGTGGCTCTTGGACCCCGCAACGACCATCACGGACGAGTTGGTAGGAGATGGACCGGCTTTGGACGGTCCCTGAAGCAATAAGCGTTCAATCCGTGCGGCGTTCTGAGTCGGCAACATTTGTCTTCGAGTCAATGTCAAGCACAGCCATGGCGCTGTTCGGGGCGTACCGGCAAAGCCACTCGTTCTGAGCATGCCGGGAAGGCTCTCTCTCCTTCAGTTTGAAATCTGTGCTTGCTTCCGTTCTTGCTTGCATGACACCTTCTTTACCTGACAGCTAAGTACTGATCTCGAAAGAGCTTTCGCAATGACATACTTAGACTTTATCCTCCCGTGTGTCCATCCGTGTCTTGGGCTACCTAGTGAGGACGGGTATGCTTTCGGTTATCACAGCCCTTTAGCAAAGGCTCCGGCGGCCTGTGAACGGGGATTTCATTCACAAAACCTATCCTATATCCTATCTAGGCTGTTTTCCATAGAAACTTTCAAAATCATAGGGATCGCCTCTTCAGAATATCGCGACTTGACACAATCGGAGGCCTGAAGAACCGCAGTCGCGAGTAAGGTAGGGACAAAATATAGGTAATGTTGGGAGGTAGGCTTCACGGCTCCAGTTAATTATTTACCACTGGAAGGGGCCTGTAGCATCGGGTTTTGTGCTAATGCCCCAGGGCCGAGACTTGGCTTTTTTAGCGATCCTATCGACTGGGCTTGGAGTACGCAATGCACCAATCACAGAGCTGCAATAGCCACAAATTCGCCCAAGGCTCACCTGGTGACGTCGTTCACTTTGGAGTCACAGACGCGACCGCTCGCTCGACCACGCTTGCTCGCGCAGATCTTGTGAGCATTCATATTTGCAATTGAACATCATCACCGTGACAAAACAAAACCTCATTCACGTACGACGAGCTCGCCGCTATTCCGATTGCTCAGTGCCTCTGCAGGTCTGCTCCTGGTTTTCGCGGGGTCTCCCCCAGCCGCCGCCGCCGCCGCCGCCGCCGCCGCCGACGGCCGTTCGACCAAGTGCTGCCGTAGCCCTGCCACGAGCAAGTTGCGCGTACTAGGCATTGCCAGGAGGCATTGGGCACTGATTTCTCTGCGTGTAGGGTGATCATTTCAGTAGCCAGTCCTGAGTAGCCCTGTCACCATGGTCCGCACCAACGTGGTGAGCACCAAAGCCGGCACGATGGCGGCACCGCCCGCGACCACAGCCGCAGTCCCAACTGATGGCCTGACACGGAACCGCCAAGCCCGCATGCTTCGTCCTTCTCGTCCTCGTATCCCCTCGTCGGCCGGATCTTTCCATGCCGGCGCCCCAATCCCCGACCTCGGCTCCTACCTCCGATCTGCCTCTTACCGCCGCCGCTTGACACCAGGCCTCCGACGACAGTCCACCCACAAATACCATACCTTCCCCACTCCGCCGCCGAAGCCTCCCTCGGATTCGAGTTCCGGAGGGCGCGCAAATAGATCTTCCGAGTCTCTCCAACGCCGCAAAGCGCAGGACGACAAGGCAGACGAACGTGACGCGACGCCGCTGCCGGTCAAGCAGCTCGTCCTGCTTGCCTGGCTGAGCCTTTGCGAACAAACGGCGCTGAACTCTATATCGCCATATCTCCCAACGATGGTGAGATCCTTTGAAGAAATCCCGGCTACACAAACGGGGCTCTATGTCGGTCTTCTCGCGTCGGCCTTTGCATTGGCCCAGTTGACTACGAACCTGCTCTGGGGCTTTCTCTCCGATCTGTTCGGCCGAAAACCGACAATGATCCTTGGGACAGGGCTCTTGATGGTGTGCTTTGGGTTCTTTGGGTTCTGCACCACCTACTGGCAAGTGCTCGTTGTTCACATAGCCATGGGGCTGCTCAATGGCAATGCTGCCGTTGTCCCGACTTGTCTGGGTGAGGTTACGGATCGAAGCAACCAGAGCAAAGCCTTCACATGGCTACCAGTCATGTACTCTATCGGTGGCATCACAGGCCCGGCACTGGGAGGTCTCCTCGTCCGTGAGGGGGCGGTGCGATTTCCATTCTTGGGCCCCAACATTGGCAGCTCCGCGCTGTTGGCTACCGCCGTGGTCATCCTTGCCATCTGGCTTGACGAGACTGCTGATGACGAGACGATGAAAGCCGCTCGGTCACGCCTAGGCTGGCTTGAACGGCTGTTTCGCCGAAGTCAGAAGGGAATTCAGGGCCGTAAAGGGTCATGGAGTGCAAGATGGCCGATGCATCACCATGACGTCGCTGATGAGGCTGAGGATTCATCTTCGTCCTCTGCTACAGGAAGCAATGATTCCCTTAGTGAAGGCAACCCTCTACTCGATCAGTCTGGGTCGGAAGATGACTATTCGGACGACGACGATGACCATCATTGGTCAGTTGGCGAGATTCTTAATCGCACAACGATTGTGGTGCTGTTAACGTATCTGATATTCCAACTGTCCAACATCAGCTATAACAGCTTGTTTCCAATATTTTCCTCTGCCAAACCCCCCACTGGCCGTGGCCTGGGGCCCGGAACAATTGGGTTATTGCTCTCTTTTTCAGGGCTCCTGACAATTGTGTTTCAGATTCTTCTCTTCCAACCCATCAAAGCTAGGCTTGGAAATCTGGGAACATTTCGATGGTCTCTCCTCGGCATGACGGCAAGCATGGCCCTCATTCCCTGGATCGGATATCTTGACAGCCAGCCTGTTTTTGGCCTGGGCAGCGGCAAATGGTGGCTCTACGCCGAAACTTCAATAATTCTCTTGATCAAGAACATGTGCGCCATTGGAGGATTGTCGAGCGTGATGCTCTTGGTTAGTCGCACAACTTGCTTGATGCTGTCCACTCACGACACTAACACCAGCATAGATCACCAACTGTGCCTCTTCGCACAAAACATTAGCGACTCTCAATGGGGTGGCTCAAACACTGTCAGCGGCTGGTCGTAGCGTTGGCCCTTTTGTTTCAGGCGCCTTGTTCACGGCCTCAACCCGTATCAAACCAAAGGGTGAGCTTTTGGCGTGGGGTTTATTTGCCGGCATCACCCTTGTCGGCTGGCTGGGAAGCTTAACTATCAGGGGCGATGGCTTGGAAAGCGATGACTGGGTTGGTGATGATGAGGAGGACAGCGACGAAGATCATGAGGATGGGAGCGACGCAGAGCATGGGGGGCCTTCTCGGGAGCATGACCCAGAAAGGTGATATTGCCTCATTGCTTTGTTTCTGTAATTATGAGGAGTGGAACATATGTCTTGACTGAGCTCTGAGGCGTTCACTTCTCTGTCATGCTCAGAATCATTGTCTTCTTCTGCAAACGCGGTTTGAGGTCAGAGGATAGAGGCCTTAGTCATGACTGTGGCGGAGTCGAGATTTGCACTAGACAAGAACACGGTGAAGCCTACGCATTTCGTGATGTTTTGAGTTGAAGCTCAGTCACCACAGAGGCTGAGTGCCCGGGTTTCGCCCCCAAGTCCCACTAGTAATTACTGCGTACAATTGAAGCTCCGAGATGAACTTGGTCGGGACTGAGAAAGCGAATAACTCGGCTCACACACCGATTCCGATGGCATGGGCCGAATTCCACTCAGATCTTGATTCCCGGGGGTTGAGGCGCAGCTTCGAATTCACTACACCATGTGGCGGCCGAACCCTGTCCTCAGCTGCGGTCATCTAGCGAATCAGAGACGAAGTGCTGACAGCAGGTACATCTGTCGCATCCCAAGCTCGCATTGTCGCTTCCAGGAATTCAAGCAATGTATCTCCGCGATCTACCCACATCAACTTGTATCTCGTTTAAATTTGGGCTGCCTAATGAAGGGCCAGAAATGGTCCGACTGAGCCTTTAGGTGTCCAGTCCAATACCTGATTGGCTAGAGCTGACTGCTGCCATGCCTTTAAAGACGTTCCCCGGCACTAGAACTCTCTTCCGTGTCAGCAGCACCTGCGTGAGCCTCAATAGCGATGTCTCAACTTCATGACTATGCTTGGAGGATCGCCTTTTAGGGAGCACGGCCACGCCGAGACGAGATGTGCCCGAAGTCACAATAGCCAATCAATCAATGTTAAGACACAGCCATGTACGAAAGGAAATGGGCCCACCATATGTGTGCTGCTCTTCATGGGTGAGCTATGGATCTAGCCTATACAAACGGGATTGGAGTCAAGTATTCACCGAGACATGTGGCACGAGAGATCTCGCCAACTTGATATCATCCTCAACTGCGCCTCCTTGACAGTCCGACGTCTCGTTAGCGCTCAAAATAGACCCCAAAACGGGTCTTGCGGCCAAAACCTTTCCACATACTTGATCTTCTGGACCCTCGGGGTCAATAGGATCCAAGTACGGCTGTGGTTTGCTTCAACGTCATATGTAGATAGGCAGATAGTATCCTCCGGCTTCTCTTGCGCCACGGTCCACGGTAGCTTACATATCGGGTTGGGAAGATCTCGTAGGAAAGCGGTCTATACCTATTGTGATCCTCAAGATGGCTGTGTAGCAAAGCTCCCCCATCCACCTTTCCACATCGTACTCGGCAATACTCAGCTGGTTTATGAACTTGAGATATAGTAATGGTGCTCAGTTATACCAAAATGGACATCTTCGCTGCTGTATAGCCTTTGAGTTGTCTGACGTTATAGAGTTCCAGCCTTCACTGCGACGGGCGTTCAGACTGAACATGATTTTAGCCCCGGAGATCTGCTCGGACGAGAATATCGTATACAGAGAATCATTTTGTTCTTCCTGATGGTCAGAGCAAGGGGTATAAATGTGTCGACCCAGGGGGCCAAATCCAAGCCATCTCATGATTTCAACAGGTAACATGCCGCGAATATAAAGTCCAAATGTTTCCGCTCTCTGTCGTGAGAACCATCGACTCGAGCATCACAACATCAGCAAGGCAGTCTCAGAGCTTTATATCAAGGATAACCCATTCAACTCTACGGCCAAACTCCTGTGAAGCTCTCCACAGCATTCATAGCCATGTCTTCCTCCCGGTCGGGCTCTAGTCAGGGCAGCAAGAAGCCCAGGGCCTCGCAGGTATGATGATCCAGAGGAAACGTCACGTCGATTAAACTCACAAGATGATCTAGAAATCCATGCGTCAGCTTATTGAGTCTCTTAGAAGCCACAGAGTCAATACCCTCACAGAGCTCTGTCGAATTGAGCGAGCTGCCGCGAGCTGCCAGAATGAAGAGGATGCTCAAGAGTTCCAGGGACCAATGACCTCGGCTTGGGACTACTACGTTACCAGTCACCAATTTCTGACAGAACTTCGTGGCCTTACCAGGAACTATCCCTTCTGTGGCGACATTGTGACGGATGCCCATTTCCGCGTGAGGAGCGACCCGGAGTCCAACCGGAGCTGGAATCTCGCTTGGTTGTGTTTGATCAAAATACAAGACGAGTATGAATCAGACTCTTCCTGCTCCACTAGAACGGGGTTACTGACCAGATTCAGCAACCTGATCTCCAGCTATGCTGCAGTCGAGGCTTCAAAGCCCGAAATGTGGGGAGGGCGTTATCCCGAACCAGAAGAGAGCGAGCAGCTTGCCCAGTGCTTTGAGTACGAATGGAGTCAAGCTGTGGCCGGCATGCTCCGACATTGGCCGGTGCCTCCAACCTGGTACTAAGATTCTGTCATATCACTTTTCTGTTTGAATTCTCGTAGGGAATAGATTGACCTTTTACGGTGGTTCCCTTTAGACAGCATCAGGCATTTCTTTTCCTCACTTTCTTTTCAGATTTCTGTTTCCTAGACTTGCTTTATGGTCACCTCCGACCTTTGTACCAACTACTACATGTACTTCGCATTGAAAAACGAGAAAACTATATAGAGCATACCGCTACGAATTACCGTGATTGGCATGGCAGATTTTCATTATGTCGGCGTCAAAGGCTTCTTCTGGAGGATCTGGATGAAGGCTTGCAGCGATACTTCGGGCTCTGAGATAGTTGAGGGTCAGAATCAGGTTTTTGGAGAGCGTTTGGGCCACTTACGGTAAAACGGAACTTCGTGGCCTGCTTCGAAAACGCGAAGCCAATTCAGGTTCCCAGCAGTTTTGAACTCCCCAAACGCTGTTCCATTCACCGTATAAGGTGCAACTGTAGCAGCGTTGAAGGTCGCGGTTTCGTCATAGGCTATCAGATTTGCGACTTCGAGATTTCCCATCCAGTTGCATATCCAATCTAGCATGGGTAACAGGCATGTTAATTTCGATGCAAACAATGTTGCCATGACTGCACTTACCAGCATCTCCCGCCCAGAGTAGAACGTTGATCCCAGATCTCACAACTTCTGAGAGCGTATTCAGAAACGACCGGCCGTCTAGGAACTGGTCAGCATGATGAATGTGATTGAACATAGGTGTAGGGTTGATACGTACCATCACCAGTATTGCTGATCTTGTCTCCTGGTGGGTCAGCACACTCCGAATAGTTGGACTGTGCCCCAATCGCCCGCATCACTTCGGGGTCTTGTAGATATGCTACATATGTTTCAGGAGGGTTAGGGTCTTTTCGGGGTGCCCTGACATCATAAATCCCAAAGTCCTTGGAGTTTTCGATAGGGGTCTCGATGAGCTTGGCGCACAACCCGTCTGCATTGAGGCAAGCAGCGTCCATTCCCGAGGTGCCCGAGCAGGTCAAGAGAGCGGGGGCGCATCTAGTCTTGTATGCATTCATGTAACACTTGTACTGCGACTCGCTAATGAGACGCTTATACGTGTTCTTGAAAGCAAACTCAACGTATGCCTTATAGGAGATCGAGGGATCAACCCAACCATTGTTGATGCCAAGTGCGATGAGGTTGATCTTCTCCCCTTTTACCGTCCCTGCGGTGACTTTCTCGTTCTGCTTCTCAAAGTAGTCCGCAAATTCAGGGCCGTAGTGTCCTCCATATGATTCTGTGAACAAGGCGAAATCTCGGTTCTCATACTCTGGGAATGCATCATAGAATGCCTGGAGCAGATTCCACACGAACGGTGCCGCTGTAACTGTGGATGTTGCCTCATCGTCTCCATAGCTGAACCCAGTGCCGATTGGCTGGTCCACATAAAGCATGTTTGCATATTCGTTCCACGAGTAGGGATTGAGGGTAGGTTTCGAATCACCATTCACAAAATGGCAAGGCCCATGTTCCTGGAACATGCCGATCATCGAGCTGCAACCGGGGCCTCCGTTCAGCCACAAGGTGAGAGGAGCGCTTGACGCGGCCTTGCGGGACTCAAAAAACCAGAACCACATATTCATGTTTTCGCCTAGAGGTTCGGTTATATCAGAAGCTGCGTCTCATCGTAGGGGCTGGCCCACTCACCAACTGAAAGATACCCCGAATACTGATTAACGCCGGGGGTAGTCTCGCATATTCCCGAGTTCTTGATATATGACATGGCGGTCGAAGTACCGGCATGCTCGAAGACATTGTACTCAATGTCTCTCGAAACGGTCGTATAGCGTCTATTCTCGGTGACTGATCTGGCCTTGGGCAGAGCCGCTGTCGTCACGACGAGACTGGCGGCTGCTAGTAGGTCCAAAAGCTTCATGTTACAGTCTGCCTATTCTGGGCGCGTTGGAAGGATCTTAGATCGATGTTAGAGTGACTTGGCACATGAAGACTATGTTCAAAAGAAGACAAGATAGCTTTGCCAAGAAGACGCCTTTGGTTTTATGTTCCAATCGAAGCACATGCGAAATGGAGCCCGCAAGAACCTCTCTGGGAAGTTCTTATCACTCAGTGCGGGGTCGGCAGGGGCTTACAATTTCGAGATGCCTCAACGGGATAGCAAAGTTTGTCGAGGACCAGATACTCATGCTGATCCACGCACGCAAAGACGGATACGCGGGGAACGCCGAGTAGATGATTGGATAGGGGGGGCTCTATCGACGCGGCTGCTGACGGCAATGCGCAGGCAAGGCACTTGTGTGATGCTGACTTAATTAATCTCATCCAGGCACCTGCCTATCAAGGACTGGACCTCATGCGCTGGTCATTGCCGGGGACCACAAAACGGCATCGGCTCGCTCTGCCGTGCAACGCTGTATGCGCGCTGAGAGGCGAGCTGATGGGCAAAGAGCTCTCAGTTGATATGCGCATGGATGAAAATGCCGCAAGCCGTGTTATTCTTCTCGTCTATATACATCGATACCTGAAAGACATCATTCCCTCCAAACCTCGAGCTCAGGTTTCGATGTTTGTGCCAACGCTTATTCCCGTGCTCTGCTCAGATGAACACCCTCAGGAACTCCACCAGGGCCATGATCGCCATTGCCTGTCCATAAGGCATGCTTGTGACGGGAATGTCTTTGTAATGCTGCAGAGTGTGGCCCATCCCCGTGCCAAAGGATGTGTTCTGAAGCTCGCCGTTGCGATCGACATTGGCCATCACTGCCCGAATAGCTTTCAGCGCTACTTCCTGATATTCTTTGCCGATGTAGCGTTTCCTCTGCGCTTTGAGAATACCGAATGCAAACCCAGCCGACGCGCTCGCCTCGGGATACGAACCCTCTGTTTCGGGCTCGTCCAGCAGTGTGCGCCACAGACCTGAGTCCAGCTGCGTGCCAGCCAATGCGTCGCATTGGGCAAGCAGGGTGTCTCGAAGGTGGATGAAGAATGGGTCGTTCTCTTGCAACCCTAGAAGCTCAATAATTTCGGGGATGACGATAGTCAGCCAGCTATTGCCTCTGGCCCATCGAGCGCGGGCGAAGTTGTGTCCGCCATCCTTGAACGTCCAGCCATGGAAGAAGAGACCAGTCCTCGTATCAAATAGGTACTTGATGTGTACCAAGAACTGCCGTTTTGCTTCCTCAATGTAGTGTGGCCGATTCAGCACCTTGCCGATTTTTGCCAAGGGGGCCACTGTCATCATCAGAGTATCGTCCCAGAGCTCCCCCGGATTCGGACCAAGATACGTAGTATGCTCCAGCCCACCATATTTTGTCCGCTCTGCATCGTGATAGGCCCATTCGGCCCAGCTGTCGAGATATGGAAGATATGTTGCATTGCCTGTCTTCTCGTACACGTGCGCGAGGGTCAGGAATACGGATACCGTATTGATATTTTTCGTGGTGCCGCCGGCCGCGAATTGGTACTGAAACCAGTCCTCAATAATCTTCAGAAACTTTTCCTCTCCCGTGATCTGGTAATATTGCCAGATGCCGTAGAGGCCAACGCCCTGTGTCCAATCCCATCCGTTCCAACCTTTAGTGTCGATGATACGGCCGTCTTCTAGCGTGAACAAGAACTCGCCAGTCTTGTCCTGGATGTTGACCAAGCCATCTATCAGAAGCTTTATCTTTTTATGGACATCGTCCTGCTTGACACCGTACGCCTCGGTAGGCATCTTCAAAAGGATTGTCCGGAACCTGGTCGGCAGGGTGCTAGGGGGTCCGTGGCTACTTCACACGAGAGAGCAGATGGTAGAACATCGAGGGCAGGAAATTTTCCCTGTCGTGAGCCACAGGGCCTTCTCTTTTGTGGCCGACAGGATCTTGCATGCCAAGCTAACCACGGTTGCTGTGCCTTACTGTGCCCTTCTTGTGCAGTAAGACGAGTTCGGCATCTAACCCCCACAGGAAATCCGACATTGGTTGGTGGGTCAATGTCTCTGGGACCGCCCCAGAAACGGAATCGCCCCAGGCGGGTTTTGGATCAATGACGCCCTATGCATTTTTGACATCTGGATTGGGCGCTCCGAAGGCTGTCCACCCTACCTATCGTCGTGTTGAATCTGCATAGGGCGTTCACAAGATAATGCTTGGCTGAGAATCAGGCCCCCAAATCCCCTGGACCTCGTGGGTGGCGGGGCTTTTTGAGCCGGCGCCAGACATCACTTCGGGAGAAAAGCCTTCTTGATCTGCATACTTTTGTTGACAGTAGGGAAGGAGGGAGCCATACCACTGTCGATCTCCAATTGATGGAGAGATAGCTCGCCCGACTTGATGATTCAAGCTGATCAAGTTGTTCGGACTGGAAGGGATGGGAATGCTATGAAGGAACGCTGTTGTATATAACAACAACGCATATCTTGCCGTCAATACACTTGCTATGTCGCCCAGAACAGGCTTGCCATTATGTCAACCCATCACCTCTGACCAATTATCTCGACTCGAAAGTCTTGAAATCCGGCATGGTGCAGCACGCGGCCAGGCCTCACTACAAGGCAGCCCCACCAAGGACTCTCTCTTTAACGATCTAGAATAGAGTGAGGGGTATGCACGTAGGGATAGAGTACTGGAGTTGCCAAATAGATACTGCGACTTAGAGTCTGAATTGAAACATGACTGAGTGTTCGCTTCTGACTCCGGTTGTAAGATGGGAACAGCCCCTTGGGCGCAAAGACTGCTGGAGGAGCAAATCCACTGATCCCTTCCCTTGAGCCGTGATACAACCATGCTGGCTTTTTCTTCACAGGCCTCAATGCTACTACTTATGGACACTCAATTCATAAAGCATAACTTCATCACCATCTTTCTTAGAACGTGGACCAACAGAGCGAACAGAGACCTTAGAAGTTCCAGCAAGCTGGTCTTCAATTAGTTAAGCAAATACTTGTCGAGCCCAAGGTAACATAATACCTACCTGTTTTTTATCACCACAGCCTAGGCCAGACGTGAAAATATAAGCGTTGAACACGGTGGTGCACGAGGTGGTAAAGAATCCGTCGACCATCTTCTTCATAAGTCGGAATGTGAACCTGTTGTGCAGACTTCCCTCAGCACGCTCAGGGGACCGCCACACCAGCCTTGAGAGCACCGAATCAGAAACATCGGGTTTGCGAATCGAAAGAGCAAAGGGGAGACTCACTGTCCACGGGCTGAGCTGCTGGCCACGGAGTATACGCCATCGCACGCCAGCTTGATGCCATACGCGGCAGCAAATTTGACTACCCCCCCTGCTGCTGGCTCACAGTACCACTTGATCTTGTGTTCCTTGCCACTCATGTCTCGGATTTTTCCTGAACCCTCCTTGTGAGGTGCGCGTTGTACAAGGTCTTTGGCCTCGGTGAGAGGCGAATTCGCGAGCTCACGCTTCATGGCCTGCGCCTCTTCATGATACCCAGACTCCCACAGGTCGTCGGGAATGAAAGCCCAAGAGGCGCCGGACTCTTCATAAGTCCCATGCAAATTGTGTTTCATGAATGCGCCATTCTCTATGACCAAGACTAAAATATACCTTCCCCTCAACCGCATCAGCGGTGCACATGCCACGATCCCACCATCTACGCCTCACGATATCTCATCACAGGAGCTTTCGTTTCCGAAAATAATACAGTTCTGAATGGTAGGAATGATTTATTTCTGGAAATTTGGCGGTACACGTTGACTATCAAAAAATATTACAAGGGCACATGTACACCGGGAAAGATAGAAGGACAGAGCTTGGGCAACAACACTCAAACTACTAAGCTCCCGAGAGTGGTATCAGCTTTAGTGCCTACAATTCGGTCACTCTCACCATAGCTTATACACTTCAAACTTCAACAAACTATAAGATGATGCTCTCAGCTACTGTTGTTGCGCTCCTTGCAGCTTCACCTGCTCTAGTCGACGCTTCATGTTTCAAACACGGCGCTACGGGTAACAAAGGGAAGGACCTCTACGGCACGTCGGATCTCGGTACTAAGGCGAATACGACCGCAAAGAGACTCGCCGTCAATGTTTTGAGGACATGGCTGGCCGAAAATGGGATTTCCAAGTGAGGGTAAGACACTCTGGTTTCCATAAGCAGATATTGCTTTTATGACATAACAGAGCTGACTTTGGAATAAAACAGAATACCAAGAACAAAAAGAGAATTCTTGAAAAGGGCAAGTGTATTAGTGGCATGGGACCGCGTACCAACTGTGACCGCGGTGGGAAGAAGAAGGTCGATGGCTGGCAATTCAGGTAAGGTCAAAGGCTATTGCCATGCTTTCTCAATTATATTGAGACTGACTTTAGTTGGGCTAATAGAGCTGATCCGAACCTGGGCTCATGTACGGCCGTGACAAATTCAAAGAGATTGGTCTACCGCGGTGGCGAGGTTGACGCTGATGACGAAGATGGAGATGAGGAAGGCATCATCACGGTCACCATCTAACGCAATACCAAGAGATGCAATCTTGTGTGTCAGACTGGCAATACTGGGACCATTGCCAACAGTGGTACTTAGACTGTACACACTCATTGATTTGCTGTTCGTTTCTTTGGAGATAAGCATATATTGTACCCATCTCCACTAAAGAATATATGTATGAGATCAGGTGCCATCTTGTTGACATGTTTTCTCACAGGATCGTATATCTTTCTTGACTGGAGTAGATTATATCCCCTTCGTTGCCTCCGCTTTCCTTTTTTGTGCTCTAAGGATCTCGCAGACAAGGAGAGATTGAGTCTCCAAGATGCCAGGCAAGTATAATGCACACGCTCGCAGTGTGCGGTCCAGTACACCAAGTATGATCTGTGAAGAGAGCTGTACGGTACTATCAAAGTCTGACCGGGGCAGCCACCTCTACTTCCGAGGCACCTGCTTCTTGCCGCTCCACACGAGCCAGGCCACAGCGATCACCAACTTGATGCCGCCAGCAATCCATAACGCCGCGCTCATTCCTGCACGACTTCTCTGTAGCCAGCCGCCAGCGATCCCACCTGCAACAAGGAGTACAACCGCTGCTAAGCGACGGTTGCGTTTTGGGTTGGCAGGCATGGGAGCCAGAAGTTTAGGATCAGACAACAGATCGCAGTACACCGAGGTTAGCACGTTAGTAGGCACTTCGTTGAAGCCTAGTATGCGACTAGTGACGATCTGACCACCGAATTGGAACCCGAGCAGAATGAGCGGCGCAAAGATGGTCGAGTCGTTGTCGTTTGCGTGATTTTTAGCAGCGGCTTCTCCAGTGCCCAGGAGAGCACCAGCGAAGGAAGGCACCACACGCGACTGTGCGAGCGCGGCGGCTGCGAAGATGAAGGCGGCTTGGACAAAGAAAGACAGTGACAATGTTGCTTTGCGTTGCGGATGAAGATGTCGTGACTTTGAGAAGGCGAAACAGCCTGCCCAGAAAGCTGCAATGGACGCAAGAGCCTTCAACCATAGCGTTGGCTCGCCCGCGGGAAGTTGGGATGCCCCTAGAGCCAAGAAGATGGTGTTTCCTGTTTGCTACCGGGCAGTCAAACGTCAGCATAATGGGCCAGCCTTACCACACATAATACAAGCGACGAGATCACCATACCATGCTCACAAACACTCCGCCAGCGTTGAATGCAACACTGTCACACAGCCCTGAGACAGCACAGCAGGCGAGGATCGGAAGATCTGAGTAGGACGCGCTCACATCCTCCCGTAGATTCCCAAGCCAAGTTGTGGCGGCGGCGGCCTTGGAACTCGGTGTTGGTTGCGATGAAGGCTCCGCCTCGGGACGAGGATGCGCCTCCGTGGCTGGTTCGCGGTCTCGGCCGTTTTCAAGCTCCATTCTCGATTGGCGGATTGACAATGAAGCGAAAAAAAAAGGGGACCGAGGAGTGGCTGGCTCTGTGAGTGATGCCAATATAACGAGTTCCCTGTTCTCGAGATGGCGACTCCAAATTTTCTCTTTTTCTGTTTCTGTTCGGGAGGATGATGGACTGAGTCAGAGAAGAAGGCGGCTCGGCGGCCGGCGACACCTTAGTAGTCCGTTTTAGCGGGTTTTTCCGATCGCGTTACCTCACCCGCCACACCGTGACCCGTCGCGATTTGACCCAGCCGAGAGCCAAAAGCACGGTAGGTGATGGTCAGTCTAGCACCGTAACAGGCATGGTTCCACGACAGGCTTGTTTTTCAACCAAGCTATTATTATTGGTCAATCCCAAGAAAGACATGGCCGATTTCGGGCAAGGGAGAGAGGGATACGTTTTGGGAAACCATTTCTTTTTCCCCCAACCAGCTCTCTAAGCGGCAAAGAGAACCAAGGAAGAAACCTGAAACTGACACATACAATTTGAAAATTGAAGAGTCAATCTACTGTACGGAATACTTGCCCTCTGGTGACTGGTATGCGATAGAACGCTTTGACATCCAATGCTCTACAACCAGCGAGCGACTAAGTAAAATTGAAATCTTGATCTTGAGATGCCGATTGACTTGCGATCTGATACCCCAGCGAACACACTGTACCTAAAATAGCACTGGCCTTGAAGATGAAACACACAATCGAAATAGATTCAAGCCTGCTCTATACCTAGGTAGTGATAGCATACTAGTTACAATGTACTGCTATGATTGCCCGGGTATCTCAAGGAGAAGGAGAAGGAGACAAGACGAGGTAGCTCCTCTCTAGGGAAAGGAGACAAGGGCGGGATATACATAAAGGATAGGAGGCGCGTATGGGCCAGGTTTCAGTGTAAATTGACGAAATACCAAGATGCGACTCAATGCGCGGATCCGAACCCATCGACCAACAGACATGCACAGACTTTCTGTGCAACTAAATGGACTACAAGCACGACTGCCTACAGGAGGAAGCCCTCCCTACGTCACCCTCTTTAAGCTAGTGATTCTTAGGTAATCTATATTACTCATTCTGGAAGGACTCTAGCATCCGCGACAAGTTGCATGTTTCGACGCCCGCGGAGATGCTCATTTCAAGCCCACCCGCGTACCGCGGCTACAGCTCGTTCTTAGGCTGAAGACCTGGAGAAGCGGTGAATATGATATGATCCTAAGGTCCCATGCAAAGTACACGTGTCCGGCAAAGCTGCTGATTGTCAGTACAGAAGCCGAAGGCCGTGGCGATGATCTGACACCTAGGTCACATACGAAGTCCAGCTGTAGCAGAAAAGCTGCTGATTTCCAGGGGAAAAAACAAAGAAGAGTAACATGTTGTAGACGTGTTGACATGGAACCCTTACATTGGCTGCGATGTGGGTGATCTAGAAGGCTTACAACCCTGGCATTGCGCCTACTTCGAAGTGCAGTGGTACCCTGCAGTCCGCATGAGAACCTCGCAAATTCAGCAGTACTCATTTGATTACAGAAGCTGAACTATAGCTGAACTAGAAACGACTACTCATTGATGTTAAACTTGCTCTGACTTCCCGTCTTTGCCTTCATTGCCCGCCTAATCCCGCATTATCAAGCTGTTGAAGGAGTCTTTTTGAAGCTGGATTTGTCCCAATGAGCATGAGGGCCAGACCGGCCATCATGATGGAGGTCCTCTCGGGACCCTATCCTGGTCTCTTCATCCGTGGCCGCACTCATTCTCCTACTCCTGAAACGAGTCAGGGTATGGGTCAGTGTATGTTCGATGGCATGGCCCAGGTATTCGGCACCATCGATCTTCACCGGCGGTTCCATACACAGATACATATACCAATAATACACCCCGCAAAATAGACCGCCGCCTAGAATGTTACCCAGAGTTGCAGGAATGATACCTTGAGGTTCATTAGCTTGAAGTTTAAGCCACCAAGTGGGGAAGTAACCGAGAATGTAGGGAGGGGAACGGGGACCTTACCTTTCCAGATATATAGACCGACAGTGAGCCCGGGTGTGTGAAGCCAGATCCCCAGAGGAATGAAGAACATGTTTGCAATAACGTGATCCAATCCTAGGGCAACGAAACTGAAGATTGGTAACCACAGGCCGATCACCTTGGAGCCAAGATCCTTGGCCTGTGTACCAAGGAACAATGCCAAACAAACGAGCCAGTTGCAGCCTATGGCTCTCAAGAAGATCTCATGCCACTGAGGAGCTACTTGTTTCTTTGTGGCAAACGCAATCACCTCCTCTTTATACGGAGAGGCATTGAAGATCCCTCCATCTATCATCGATCCAGTTAGCCACTAGTCGATCAGCACGAGAGTGAAGACCGTATCTTACATCCAAAGACCACACTCATCAGAAACAGACTACCGGCGAGGTTTCCTAAGAAGCATAGAGTCCAATGAAGGAGCATCTTCCAAACCGGTAAACGGCGGTGGAGTGCAGCCACAGTTGTGAACTGGAGATTCAGGTCAGCCACGTATCGAGGAAATAAAGGGTTACATTAGGTATGCACCAACTGACCATAGTCGTGGCGGTGAACAGATCAGCACCTGTCAGTGCGACCATCACCAGACCAACAGGGAAGACTAACGCCCCTACGATCTTGATCAGGCCGGGTGCATTTTCTTGGTACCACGGCGACGAGAGCACGGTGAGCGAGACAGCGCAGCCGAAACTCAAGAGGCAACCTGCTGAAAATGCAGAGAGGAAGATTTTGTGGGGGGGCGTGTTCCCTTTTTTCACCCCGGCCCGAGAGACAAGCTCTGTCGTCTCGGCCGGCGTGTATGCTGTAAGGTTGACACAGTCGACAGAGATGGTGTTGACCATAATTCTGTGATTGTATTTGATAAAGGCTTCCGTGATATGATATGTCTTGAACGATGTTAACTATTCGATAGCTTCTCAAAAGCAATATTGAGTGGCAATTGTCTCTTTTTTAAGTCTGTAAACTGAATTCTTGTTCGGATATTTCGGTTGTTTGTTGCATCACCATCGCAAAGCCGTGCAAGACACAAGACCTTGTAGTATGACCACAAAAGCTGATGTTATGAGCAAGTCTGGAGACGGTCTGGAGACATTCAGAGTCAGTAGGGAGACAGCTACAAATGGCAACGTGGTGCAACATGTGGTATCTGAGCCTGGCCACACGTCAGTGCCACTGACGGTCGGGCGGAAGCGGAGAAGGTGTGACCCTAGGCATGGCAGAGCATAGCTGTGCCAGACAAGTCTCACCACAGTCAGAAGGCAGAACAGGAGGTAGAGAGGCAAACATCAGTTATCTAGCGTCGCCTGTGTCAGGTAAGTCTCGCCTGGGGGTGGCGGGATGTTGGGGCTAAGACTTGGGCCAAGTCCGGGGCGGTCTAGACTTCGGCGTGGTCATATCATTCACATCGGCTCCCAGCACTTCCTACACCACGTGTCGCCCTCTTTTTCGTGAGTGTCCGACTTGGCATGCAATACAATTCCTTCAGAGTGAGGTACAGCACTTTGGGGTAGTAGAACCTATGGTAAAGAGGGAAGTTCTCCAAAAGAAAATGTTCAACTACTTCCTGATGCTTTGTCATCCGTACCTGTCAGCTAACACACGTGGCCTCCCTCTACCTTTCTCACAACGTCTTCGACCAGGTGAAGTTCGTTATAAGTTATAGCTCCCTTTCTCCATCCAAATTAACCAGACTTTTGCCCGGCATAACTGATCACATTACCCCCTTTGAGAATAAGTTCTTCTACTACATCACTTCTTATCTAATGTAACATGGGATTTCTACGCCTGACATTGTCGAAGTGCTGGACTTCAGGCCGAGTGGCTAGAGAACTTGCTCCACGAGCCAGAGTACTACTCATCTCCCGTGGCCTGGTTGCTAGCACCCCGTTGAAGACATCATCGCCACGAGTCTCTAGATTCCCGTCAGCACGCGGCTCACGAGGGTACTCAACAAAGCAGGGAGCCAATGATGGACGCAGCAACTCTCCCGTGGCGTCCATTATAACAGCTTCTGCCATCACTGTCGCTGTTGGTGTCTACCTTTACAAGCAAGGATTGGAGCCCACTAAGATGGATGCACTCAAAGTGGCTCCGACCTCGGCGAATACGAGCAAAGGGGATGTAACAACTGTGAGCGTTTCTTTACTTGAGACCCAAAGACATCGTTCGCAAGTATTCATCACCCGCTACGAATGTTAACACTTGGTCAGCACGCTATTTCCCTTGCCCCGGTCCGAAGCAATGATGCCACAGAACCATCACTCCCAAAGGTCCTGGAACGTCTTGACGATGACACTGTCGATATATCAAAGCTTCCCAGGGAAGATGCTATCTTGACGACTGCACCAGAAGTTCCACCACCCATCACAAGAGACTATCCTGTGCTTCTCCAAGTTCCATTGGAAACTACAACGAAAGTAACACAGTTGACAAGTCAATACAAATACGAGCAATGGACCTTTAATAATACGGTTCCAGGACCTTTTATACGGGCCAGAGTCGGGGACATTGTGGAACTCACACTCACCAATCGGGACGCCGCAGGGAACCCGCATAATATTGACTGCCACGCTTTCACTGGGCCTGGTGGTGGGGCAGCAGTGACCACCGCAGAAGAGAACGAGACCAAGACCGCCCGTTTCAAGCTACTATACCCGGGGCTATATGTCTATCACTGTGCTGCAGCACCGGTACCTGTGCACATCGCTAACGGCATGTATGGCCTCATGTACGTGCAGCCAACTGAGGACCTCCCCTCTGTGGATCGCGAATACTACGTCATGCAGAGCGAGTTCTATCATGAGCCGCCAGAGGTTGATGATGATGGTCGCCCTTCTGATACGGTGGAGTTCTCTTATCCTAATGGACTTCGTGAGGAACCTAACATCGTGGCCTTTAACGGCAGCGAGTCTGCTCTGACAAGAGACCATCCTCTCAAAGCCTTAGTTGGCGAGAGTGTCCGCATCTTCTTTGGAAATGCTGGGCCCAACTTGACAAGCTCGTTCCATGTTATCGGCTCACACTTTAGGAACGTCTACCGTGATGGAGATGTTCTTAGCCCTCCTGGCCGTTGTATCCAATCAGTTGGCGTCCCTGCTGGAGCAGCAACAATCGTGGATTTGAAAATGGCCGTGCCAGAAACCTACACCTTGGTCGATCATGCGATATTCCGCCTGGACAAAGGGGCAGTCGGCTTCCTCAATGTTTCTGGTAAGCCAAGAGATGATATCTACTCGAGTGCGCAACCGCCTAGGCCGTGCGTCGGATGCAAACTACATGCTTGACTGGCATCGCAACTGTTCTCCAAAGGGGGCTGTTCAGGGGTTTACAAACTGGAAACGATCAGCAGACAAGTCAGTTAAGAGCTGAATGATATCTGGTATGCCACTCTTTGCAATCTCGAAGAATTAAGAACCACAATATCTAATCATAGACTAAAGTTCTTAGTAAGATGCTCCTGTTTCCTCAAAACATCCTATGATTAAGATGGTCATAAGTTGGTGAGAAAGAGATCAAAAAATTAAGGCAAGGCCTCACATCGTGGATCCCCCCTAGTCGTGCACTCTCCAAAACACCAAAAATCGCACCACATCAAGACATCACCACAATTGACACTCCTTCATATCTCGACCGAAAGAAATGCTACAAAAAGGCTTTTTTAATATCGGAGATAGCCCGAGTTCTACCCTACAATAATACAATCTTGGTTTTCCTCTTGAAGCTCTTGTCGCCGTGCAATGCCTTCGCGGCTCGCGCGAATTGTCGCAACGTCTGCTACAGGATATTCCACGATATTGTTGCGGACTCCTGCGGCGATCTTGTGCAATCCCGTAGGTTGCCTCCGGGCTGCGTTGCAGCGCGGTAGAGCTGTCACAACTAAGATAGGGGTCAAAATTAAATGTGTGTGAAGGGTTGCCTCCTATTCTGCAGAGTGTCACGAAAACCAACCGCAGTTACCACGGGCAGGCGGTCAGGAAGATATGATAGACAGAAAGAGCACGGACCAATTGATCACTTGATCCTGAGTGATCGAGAGTGATTCAATTAATACGGATCATAGTGAGACATCGTGATCCATGGTCTATATATACGAGTGTATGTCTACCTCTAGATACCTACCCTAGATAGCTCTCTAGTATTCAAAATATCTCATCTGAATAACCTATCTTTGAGTGAAGCTATCTTAGCTACGATCAACCACTGTGCTTAGTAGCGTCCATCACTTACTGCTTATATAAACCCACACGCCTCCGGTTTTACGAAGTAGCCTTACTTCCTAAGATCAAGGATCGTCACAATCAAGGACTGTACGGCTGTCTCAGACTTTATAGATAAATTCTGGATCAATAAGTTGGCCCTTATGCAAGATATGATATCTATAATTGCCCTTTATCAAACATCAGCAAAACTTGACTCTTTTCAAGGGACGATATGACTAAGCTAAATTCAGTCAGCTGCGGGATCTCTGCTGGTCAGCTCCTGAGCTGTGCCTGAGCCGAGCCTGAGCCGAGCCTAAGGAGACTGAGCAAGCGACATGGGTGTGTGAAGGGAACTTTGGGGACATACAACACGAGATCTAAGCGCTAAATACAAAAACACAGAAAACCGAAACCTAGGCATAAGTGAATATCTTCGCTCCGCAACCAAACGCTGACATATGCATACCACCTCCTAATTTAGCGACTCAAATCTGGATACTTGGGCGTCATTTTGAGCGCAATATTTGACAGTCCATTGCCACAGGTCGTCCTGCTTTGAGGTTTGATAGCTGTCAGTGCTCGAGTTGATTTCTTTGGGACCTTCGTAATAATTCCCAGCCTCGTTGGCAAGCTCGTCCGATATCGCGAGACGAGCAAGTGATGCGCCAGACTCGCTTGGCTTGTGAATATTGTTGGTATAGACAGCTTTAAGCAGTGGCGTGATACGGGGGAAGACTTTGTCCCAGACGAATCTCAAGGCGGGCGGATATTCCCGAGCCAGGCCCGATCCTGGCATAAGCCCAGGATCGAAAGCGTTGACCTTGATGCCGCGTTCAAGCACCCTCTCATTCAGGCGGCGATGGAGCGCATAGGTCCATAGTACGTTGGCGAGCTTGCTGTTTGTATAGTGGTTGGTGCCGGGTCCGTTAGCCATCTTTGGTGGTGGATGCGCCAAGTCCTCGGCAGAGGTATATACTGCATCCGGCATTCCACTCTTCTGTGCAGGATCATGCACTCCGCTGGCTGTAACGACAACGCGTGCATTCGACGCCAGATGCGGGCAGAGAAGATGAAAGAGCAAAGAGTTGCCGACGTGGGTGATGGCGAAGGTGGCTTCGAGCCCCTCTGGTGTGGTGACCATCTTGCCTGGGAATTGCAGAGCCGCGTTGAGCAGAAGTGCCTGAATAGGTGGATAGTTTCTCGAGAACCAGTCCTCGGCAAATGCTCGCACTTTCTTGGAGTCGGAGAGGTCAAGCGGGAGAAATCGGACATTCCGTTGGTTTAGCGCCCGGTTGATAGATTCGGCCGCGTGCTTTCGATCGGATCTCGAACAGATAATGACCAGCCAGCCAGGGTGCTGACGAGCGATCTCCAGAGCAGCGTAGTACCCAAGGTTCATGGTACCGCCAGTGATGAGGGCTGAGCGCGCATAGGTCATTTCGGAAGACATGCGTGGATAGGGTTCCAAGTAGAAAGAAATATTGAGAAGTGCAGTACAGTATAAGTTTCCATTTCAAAGCGCAATGAAGAGGCATACTTGATTATTTAAGGACAGACTGCAATGGGCCAAATCGTTATATCGTCGCTCGAGGTTTAAGTGCACATGGTGATAATAACTATTAACGCCGATGGTTCCTTCATCACCGCTTTCAAAGCCTGGTTGGGCCACACCCACTTGGAGAACAACCTATCAGAGTTGGGGTGCCGTTTCTCCAACTCTCTATCAAGTCTGGTCGGTTTCCGCGGGGTTTGGGCCGTCGTGCATCCGGTGATTAGTAAACCGTCTTGGCGTTTTGATGAGCTGCCACACTCGGCGCCCGCGGAAGACCCCCACAAAACCTTAGCCGACTCAAATACGTCCGTTCGCATCACGGAATTAGCAAAAGAGGATGGACGTTGTGGATTCATCTCATTTCGTGTTTACCTGAGGTATGATGTCTTCGTAATTTAATTGTCGAAGCCCAGCCGGCCATCTAACTGCCTATGTACAATGTAAGCTCGCGCCTGGGACCTCCAGCTGGCGAAACATTTCCACTGCGGCGAGTCGCATCGGATGCCTGCAGGACCATTCACCACACGTATCGGTAGTTCGGGTGCTTGTCACACAAGTCCTCTAGAGTCTTATCCTCGTCCGGATTTCTAACGCCTTGCTCCGCCCAGCCTCTTGCAGCCTCGTCCTTGCGCAGATTGCTGTTGCGCATAAGCCACCAAAGACCAGCGATGATGCCCAGGGTGAGCACAAATAGCCCCAGCAGAACCCCGTGACCCTTGAAGAAGCGTGGTGGAGTCGAGTAGATCTGAGTGCACATGATGCTAAATGTCTGAATGGCAATCTGGGTAATCCAAGTTGCGGTTGCCCTCTTGGTGTATCCCGCATTTGAGCTTGGCAGCCAAGCAGCGCAAAGGACTACACCGGGGTACACGGCTGCAGAGATTAGGCATGAGGCCACAATCCCGGCAACGGCATTTGGTGTGGCTATGATGATGATGAATCCTACTATCGCGACGCAGGTGATAATCGCAAGTGGAATAGCGCGTTGACCGTAATGATCCGCAACGCGACTGACAGCAACCAAGGAGATAAACGCGCAGCAGTACGGAATGATTGTGTAAAGCTGAGTTACAACTATAAGGGGTCAGCCGGACTATGAATTGTAGTGAAAGTGAGTAAGAAACATTTGAAACGTACGGGGACTGAAGCCAAACTCTTTGATGAAAGTGGGCAAGAAAACACTGTCCAGAAGTTAGTCGGGTTACCTTGAGAATCAAAGCAACGCGAAGAGAAAATTCACCCAAACCCTGCCAATGAAGCGGCAATAGTTGCGGTCATAATGGAAAAGCCCCACACCTTGGGATCTTTCACTGCTGTCCACATCTGAGCGTAATCAACTCTAGCATCCATGACATGTTGGGCTGGCACAGAGCAGGTGGGATTAGCATAACCATTTTATCGTGGTATTAAGTAGAAGGGACTCACCAGCCATAGACCGCTCAACAATCAGTCGCTTCTCCTTGTCAGACTTGAACCAAAGAGAACGTTTGCTTTTGACTTCTTTATCCGGGAATTGAGGTAGCAGAGCCCAGACTATCAGCCCCCACAGAATGGTGGGAGAGCCTTCGATGATGAAAAGCCATTGCCACGAAGCAAAGCTGCCTGGACCTTTGCCATCCAAGTACTTCCCCACGGCATAAGATATGAAGCCTGTTACGGCGCCAGCGATAGGTGTCATGCCGTACACATACCCTACGAAAACGACGTTAGGGCACCATCATCCCTCTCAGACTAGCTGGGGTGGACAATATTTACCGCATCGCACCGACATCTCCTCGCGCCTATACCAGAGAGAAACAAACAGGAATGAAGTTTGCACTGTCGCCTCCCCGCAGCCTAGAATAAGTCGGAGTACAATCACCTGGCCGTACGTCTTCGCGAAGGCAGTGCAAAGACTAGCAATACTAAAAATGATGATAGAGAGCGCGTAGATGGTGGGAGCGTGGAATCGACGAATGAGAACAAAGGCAGGGAATTTAAACACCATATATCCGACATCTGAAACACATCGTTAACTTGGCGGGTTCTTATCGGCCATGCAAGAGTGGAGAACCCATACAGAACATCATGAGACAATTGAAATACTGCTGTGCAGAAAGGTGCAAGTCTTCCTGGAAGCCCATGATGCGAGCATTGCCAATGGCACCACGGTCCTGTCCAATATGTTAGATCCTTGTGCACTCGAGGCAATGCTTCTCACTTACAAAGTAAGCAAAGAAGAAACAACCCGACATCAGGGTCGTGATGGCCAGGTCTTGCTTCCGCACCAGTCTTTTCTCGGCAGGGCTCATCTCTCGTTCATGCTCAGCGACGTGCCCATTTTCGACTTGGACAGCCACTGGCAGATGCGAACTCTTCTCCAAATCGGTCATGTTAGACAGTGGATTGAGCCAGGTAGTCAGTCGTCTGGTGCAGAGTGAAAAGCGATGTAAAGAGATATTTCGGGATGTGTACATCGCAGGACGACGGGCTTACGACACACTTTTAAGCTCTGGGGTCCCGGTCTGGATAGGTAATGTGTTTGCCAGACCATTACATGTTTCCAAACGCCATGAACTGATGCTTCAGGTTTTTTTTTCGTCCTCCGTCGAGTGCCAAGCCTGGGGTAACTGGGGTAAGATCCTCGTGTGGTGATTTTGCGAGGAGGTCCGGCGAACCTCGGCGAGATCCCTTGGCGTGGCTTCCTGGATGGGTCGAGCCTGGCATAGCGAGTTCAAGCCAAATCGTCATGCGTGTCATACATTCCACGGGGCCTACAAGCAAAAGTTAAAGGACCGGTACTTGTGAAAGCAAACTTTTCGGCCTAGAGGCTTACCGTTCTTACTTTTGTTGTGAAATAATTGGGCCGATCCAGCACGCCTGGGTAGACTGAGTCTGCAAGGTTCTCAGCAACGGCAATCACACCAGAGACCAGAGCAAGAGTTCTCATAATCCAGGTCTGTGTTTGCTCCCAAGTTCCAGGTTTGTGTCACTCCTGCTTACCATTGCACGTCTCGTCTACCGATGAATGTTCATCTAGTGATGTTGACGAGAAATGACCCACAAATATCTCTGAATTCTCACAAAGCTGGTATCTCTGGAGTGAGCAAGGAAGGTTCCAGAAAGCAGTGTTTAATTACCACTCCGGTCTGGAGTGAGTATACAGCATTGTTCTCCGGATAAAACTGGAAAACAAACCCTTTGCTATGTTCGCGCTATTCACTTATATTTCGAGCCAGTGAATCAGCCCCGGCGCGATAATAGCTACACTCCTTGTGCGAAGAGTTTTCCACCAGCTGCAACGTCAAATTCTATAGCTTTATCAAGGCCACAAGCTTGGAAGATCTGCTTGGGACTTATTTCGTTCCCCGTATTCGAAGCTTTGCCAGTCTTGACCAAATCATGCGCTGCAGCTTTGATGGCGGTGTACACTGGGCCAAGGGCAAAACCAGGATGAATCACCACGCGGAAGCCCAGCTCCTTTGCCTCTTCTGCCGACCATTCAGGTGAAACTCCACCAGAGACACAATTGAAGAGGACAGGAGATGGTGCCAGGTCCACAACAATTTGCCGTGCCTCTTGCGCAGTTCTGACCCCTTCAAGGAACCCGCAATCAGCACCAGCCTGGAGCGCCTCACGTAGACGATCTCTTGCCGCTTCGTAGCCAAGAGACTGTAACGCGTCAGTCCGGGCGATGATCACAATATCTCCTCCAGGCTGCTCGGAGCGGGCCAAAACGGCTGCACGGATGCGACTGAGGAACTCATCAGAGGATACGACTTGTTTGTTGAGTAGATGACCGCAACGTTTCGTGACTACCTGATCTTCAAGATGCAATGCAGCAACACCCGCGCGCATATATTGAGTGACAGTACGTCCCACCATAAGAGGTCCTTTGGAACGATCAGTAGGAGTCGAATTCAATAATCTCCCGAAGCGACGTACCTCCGTAGCCTGTATCCGCATCAGCTATCAGGGGAACGGTTGGGTCGAGTGAGGCGATCATGGCTGCATTATCCCTCATGTCATTTAGTGTAGCCAAACCAAGGTCGGCCATGCCGAGCCTCGACATTGTCGTTCCGGCACCAGTCTATAGGACTTAAGAGTCAGCAATGCAGATGGATTTTACTCGGTATACTTTGGAATTTACCATGTAGAGACACTCGAACCCTGCTCGAAGGGCGATCCTGGCAGTGAAGCCATCGTAGACCCCAGGGCAAACCAAAATCCTATCATGCCGAGCAAGCAAAGAACGCAACTTGGCAGCTGCAGACATTGGCGCAGTAGTTGTTTCATGCATGGCTCAGACTCATTCAGAGCATATTGCAGCAGTGAGGATGTTAAAAATTTCCGTATCAGAAGTGCATCCTGCAAGATATGCGATGACCGCCAAACTTGTGTTGCGAGCATGCAATGACGCGGTTCGGAGTTTGGAACGCGTGTGCGCTAAAGCAGCTCGCCGGTGTTGACCGGCCGCCGGGTTGCCCCGGAAAGAGTCGGCGTGAGAGATGTTGTGGGGAGAATACCGACGCTTGTAAATGTTGGGGAAGAAGGAGCCTCATGGCATTTGGAGGTGAGAGGGACAAAATTAAATCAACAATACTTCCGCTGATACCTGTTCGAGGTTCTTGTCCCAATATCCACCTTGGAGTTTGCTGTTCCTATTACGAGAGCAGCAAAATGCACAATGTCTCCAGCTCAAGATCCAGAGCGGCTACATGCAGCGCAACTCCTCGCTAGCCACATTCTCAGCTCTCTCAGAGACATTCGGGGGCTGGAAATCGTCTCCGGTTTTGAAGAAAAATGTAATGAAACCCGACAACTTAGTATCATCGCCAAGGCTGATTAACAACCTGTCCAGTTCAGAGCTGCACTGCAGTACTCGACGTGCTCAACACTGCCAGTGACCATCTGCGATCCATCGGGCGAACGCAGGAGGCAGACGCGATTGACCATGTCGTGCACATTGCATTGAGCTCCATTAGCTACGGGGGGCTTCAACTCGACGGCACTATAATAACATCCCAGGACCTCTCAGAGCTACAATTCTTGGTCACTGCATGTGAGGGATTCAATCTTGGAGATCGTTTCTCCTCGCTTGCTAAACATTGACTTTACTACAGGGCTTGAAGCATTGAATTCAGCAGAACGGTCAAAGAATACGCCATCTCTCATGGCGACAAAGCCAAATACCAGGCGAGCTATGACATTGGCTGAGAAGATATTTGCCTTCCATGACGTTGAAAGCAAGGGCTATGTGCACCCTGGGGAAACGATTCGAGTGTCAATAGATTGGATCATGGCATCTGAAGCGTCTTGGAGCGTGAGTCTAGCCATGAATTTTTATAGGCCCACGGGAGAAATGCTCACTATACTAGAGCATGGAGCGTACGTATGAGCAGCTGGGGAAGCCGGGCATCTTCCGAAATGATCGATTTTGGCTGGCAGGCGATCATGTTGTCCACCCAAAGCTGCTTGCCCACCCCACGGTAGCGAGGCTCATCAATTCCTCCGAGAGAGCCAGGAAAGATTTCAGAATGACCGACTATCAGGGAATGAATGTGAGTTTGAATGCCTGGCGCCCACCAAATAGCCATTGCTGATCTCGACTCTGGCTAGTACACAATCATGCACACGGAATTCTATCGCGAAAGAGCCCAGCCAGGTATGATTGTGATTGGTTCCGACTCTCACACTTGTTCTTCCGGTGCTGTTGGATGTCTCGCTATTGGCCTTGGTGCTGCTGATGTGACTATGGGACTCGTCACCGGTGAGATGTGGTTCAAAGTCCCAGAGTGCGTCAATATCCGCCTCGTTGGCAAGCCGCCGCCGGGTATCGGAGGTAAAGATGTCATCCTTTACATTCTTAAACAACTGAAGAGGAACACCGTTGCGGCCGACAGGGTTGTTGAATACACCGGCCCCGGAGTGAAATATCTATCATCCGACGCTCGATTTGCCGTGGCTAATATGACGACGGTACGAGAAGGAATGTTGTCTTGGGCACTATTTGCGACTGACGATATATTAGGAATTTGGAGGTATCACAGGAGTCTTTGCACCAGACGCTGTAACGAACGCGTTTATCAAGACAAGAAAACTGTCGAAACACAAGAAGAACTCTGTGTATTTCAAGCCTGACGAAGATGCCGTTTACGCCCAGACTTGCGTCATCGATCTGTCTCAAACAGAATCGTGTGTTGCAAGACATCCTAATCCAGACGATGTTGTATCCGTGCAGGAGATGGCGAATACTTCGCTCGACGGTTGTTTCATTGGAGCGTGTACCACAGCCGAAGAAGACATCATCCTTGGAGCTCTTGTCCTAGAGCAAGGACTGAATAGCGGGTTGGCTCCAACGGCGAAAGGCACAAGGAAGGTCGTACCTGGCTCCCTTCCTATTTTAGACCGCCTACGAACATCCGGGCTCTGCGCGATCTACGAGCAGGCTGGTTTTGAGATTGGCGTTCCCGGTTGCAGTTACTGTGTTGGTATGTCAGCCGACAAGGCTGGCGAAGGCGAGGTGTGGCTTTCATCTCAAAACAGAAATTTTGAGAACAGGATGGGCAAAGGCAAGCTCTTAGCCGTGTTACTCTATGTCAAGCTAACATTCGATCAGGATCAATTGGTAACCTAGCTTCGGCAGCGACCGTCGCTGCTTCATCCTTTGAGATGAAGATCCGAGACCCTCGAGGTCTCATTGATCAAATACCTCCTGCGCGATGGGAGGCACTGAAAGGAAGGGGCTCTCTGAGCTCCACAAAGCTTTTAGAGCCCCGATATGTCGAGCCCCCCTGCCCGAAAGCTCGCCAGCCTCCGCCGACCGAAGTAGCATCATGGGCTCTCTTGCCAGTGTCGGATGAGACCTTGCAAAATACCGATATACGTGACCAGAATGCAGGCCAAACGGCTACTAAGCGGCTTATCTCAGGCAAGATCCAGAGGCTTGGGGACTTTATCGATACAGACGCCGTAAGCAACTCGAGTCTTTGCTGCGAAAAGATATTGGACCCCCGCCGCTAAAGATTACCGTCATATAGTTGGCTCCGGCACAGTACCTGGTTGAATGCCGTAGTGACAAGTCTCTCGGCGCCCATTGTCTCGAGTTCACGCACCCCGAATTTCGGCAACGAGTCACTGATGGCTTTGATATCGTGGTGGCTGGTAAGGCTTTTGGCTGCGGATCCTCTCGGGAACAAGCAGTATCTGCTCTCCTAGGTAGGTTCTTACTCCCTCTTGGGAGGTCGACTGGATACTGATAACTACCTTCTCAGGTTGTGGAGTGAAATGCGTCATTGCAAAGTCTTTTGCCTTCATCTATAGCCGAAACCAACCAAGCCTGGGACTCTTGGGAATCACGCTGAAAGATGAAGAGTTTTACCAGCTGGCCCACGCTGGATCAAAGATCGATGTAGACGTGTCCAGAAATGTGGTAACAGTCAGCGACAAGGAATTTCCATTCCAGTTGAGCATTATGGAAAGGGAGTTAATGGACCTGGGAGGCATCACGCCTGCATTTATGAAATTTGGAAAGCAGATCTTCGATGCGCTTTGTACAGCCGGAACAGGGGTGAAGACTAGGGCAAACTTTGAGCAGGATGAAGGATCTGAATGTGCTGGATCTGCACCATTGCAATGGTGAGAGCGTGGATTGAAATCCAGATGTAACTACTTCGTTCTCAAGTATAAAGTTTCCATCAAACTGATGTGGCCAGAGCCTCGAGAAACCTCTTGGAGCATGGTGTCGAGAATGCATGTCAACCTTGGAAGCTACCTAATGTACTTGGTACGAAACGCGGGGTTTGTGAAGGCCCTAAAGTACGAGAATGACTACTCCGGCCCCCCCTCGTCGTCTCTTCCGGCCTCCCCCCCACTTAGCGCTGTAGTAGTGTAATTTATTAAGTGGGGATCAGCCTTTATATCCCTATATTATTGGCCAGACAACTTTTAGTGGGCAGCGATATAAGAAATATAAAAAGGCATTTAGACTGGTTACTATAAGATATTAAATATTAAAATTATTAAAATTATTAAAAATTATTAGTAAGATATTCTAGATCTAAAAAGCTTAAAAATATAATAAAATTTAAAAAATTAAAATAGCCTCTTCTTTTTATTTAAAATAGATATTTATTATATAATAATTAATAATATCTATATTATCTATAGTCTAGATAGATTAATATAACTAATTAATTATCTAACTTAATTTAAATAGATTTTATAGTAAATTTTATATAAGATTTATTATTATAAATAAAATAGATTCTTTAAACTATATATAAGAGCTTCTTATAATATAATTTAATATATTTAATAGCCTTAATCTCTTTAATAACTACTTTAAAGCTTTTAAAGCTCTTAAAGATCCTATAATTATAGAAGATAACTACTTTAAAGATCTTATAACTATAAAAGGCTACTACTTTAAAGACTCTATAACTATAGATAATTACTACTTTAAAGACTTTATAGCTATAGATAGCTACTACTTTAAAGGCCCTATAACTATAGATAGCTATTACTTTAGTAATAGTAGTTATAATAGCTCTATAGATATAAAGAATATCTTTAATTACTATAGTTATCTCTTAAGTAAGAGATTAGAGTTCTTTATACTTTAAGCTATCTATATAATCTATCTTATTATTAATAATATATTAGCTACTTTTTTATATCTTATCTTATTATTATTTATATTAATAATTAATATTAAGATTTTATTAATCTTCTATCTATAGCTTTAAGATAAAAGAGTTATGTTAGGCCATAGGCTATAAGTTATTGATGTGTGCTGTTACGCATTGATGCTAATAGATGACAGCTGCTGACAGCTGTCAAAAGCTATTGGTCATTGTCTGTACATATCTTACGCTGATTAGCTCTAATAGCTTTAGTTGAAATCCAACCACGTTCATACCACTGCATCCAGTCCTATCCTTGCCCATCAAGTTAATAGGTTATAGATTAATAGAAAAGGATTAATCTTAAACTATTTTTATTAATATTAATAAGACTTTTTATTATTAAGAGATTAAGATATATTAATAACTTTTTTAGATATTATTAATCTATAATATTATAAAGTATAAGAATAGTTATTATTATATTACTCTAGTAATTAATTAATAGATAGCTAATAATTTTATATTAATAAATTAAGCTATATTAATACTAATAGTTATTTAAATAAAAGATAATAATCTATTTAATCTTATAGTAATCTAATATTAGATTATATTAGATAAGAAGAATCTTTAAAGCTTTATAAGAGACTTTAATAAAGATTTTCTTAAATAGACTATAATAGATATATATAAGTCTTATATAATAGGCTTATATAACTTCTTTAACTTTAAATTACTTTAATTTTATCTAAATTAAATAATAGATAGTTATAACTAGATATAAAAGATTAATATATAATTTATTAAGATAGATTTTAAATTTAATATAAGTACTCTCTATATATAAAGAAGCTTTAATATTAAAATTATAGAGCTTCTTTACCTAGATATAGGCCTATTATATTTTAACTCTATACTAAATATTATAAAGATATTTTAGTATTATTATAGCTATAAGTTAGTAATTATTAAAGAAATAGAATAATAATCTATTTAGTTATCTATTAAATTTATTATTTATTTCTACCTATAAATAGTTAAATTTATTAATTATAGATATATTAATAATTATCTTAATTAATTATAATAATTCTTATAGATTAGTTTTAATATTATTAAGATCTTAAATATTTTTATTAATAGATTCTATTAAATAATTATTATTATCTTTAGTAAGAATATAAATTAAGACTTCTTTAACTTTTACTTTATCTTAATCTATTTATTTATTCTTAAGACTTTTAATAATATTCTTATAAATATCTATCTATTTTATTTATTTTTAATATACCTATTAGATATAAGCTAAGTTATACTATTAATATAATATAATTAAAAGAGACATAATAAATATTATACCTATATTTTAAAGACACTATAATAATACCTAATAATAAGAATATAATTATTATTATAGATTAATTAAGTACAGTCCTCTAATTATAAAGGCTCTTAAGCCTAATAGCTACTAACCGTCTCTAATATAGATCTAAGGCCTAGAATTAGTCCTAGACTTTTAAACCTCTTAACTATAATTAAGACCTAGAATTAATCCTAGACTTTTTAACCTCTTAACTATAGTTTAGCCTATAGCTAGTTAATAAGTTAATTTATCTAGATATCTATATATATAAGTTTATAAGCCTAGATATATAAGTTATTTAATAATAGATATAACTAAATTATTATAATAAATAGTTTCTTAGTAATAAGTAATTTATCCTATAAGCTATAATAATATACTTTAAGATTATTATTAAGAGGTTGTCTTAAATATATATAAAATAATCTATCCTCTTATTATTCTCTTAAGTCTATCTCTTATACTTATCTATATTAAGACTCTTAATTATATTCTCTATTAAATAACCTAATTTATATCTATATATACTTATATAATATTAATATATATATCTAAGGCTATTAAAGAGATATTATTCTTTCTTATTTCTATAGTATCTAATAAGAAGAATAGACAACTCTTTAGTAAAGTTAAGAAGTTTATCTTCTCTAAGCCTAATCTAGATAAATTATATAAGGCTATTAATTAATTATACTAATAATTATAGTCTTTTAAGATTTAAATATAGCCTACTAAAGACTATTAATATTATAGAGCTACTTAAAAGTATAATTATTCTTATAGGTATAGAATCTAATAATCTAAATCTTAACTAACTCTTTAATATTAAGAAATACTAGCTATAGCTAGAATATCTAAGAAAGATAGTTAAATATCTTTAGAGAAGGAAGGAGGAATAGAAGTGATTTTACTATATTAATAATTATTCTAGTAGGATTATAAATTAAATAGAGTTGATAGAAGCTAATTAAATGACTTGTATGTAAGATTCTAATTAATTGATTAATCTAATACTATAGATTTATATTATAGTTATAAACTCTTTAAGAGGGGATTCTTATAAATATATTAAAGATAAATCTATTATTTTAATAAGGTCTAAACTATCTTAATAATATTCTTTAGGCTATAATTAAAATTAATAATAATAATATAAGATTCTTTAATTTTAAGTAACTTTTAAAGATAAGTAATCTACTTAAGAATCTATATATAAGCCTACTTAATCTCTAAAGTAATAATAATAAAGATAATTAAAAAGATAATAGAGATATTACTAATATTATATATTTTAAAGAAGAGTAGTTAGAATTTATTAGTCTAATTTATATAGAAATTAATAGTTAGATCTATTAAGTAAGAATAAGATTATTTCTATCTTATATATATTATTAATAATAATAATATTTTAATAGATCTACTATATCTTTTAATATTAAGAGTAGATCTAGACTATTAATTTAATATAATTCTAATTATTAATCTACTATTTTAATTAATAGCTATAATCCTTAAGAAAGTAAATTAATACTTAGATACTTATATAATTATCTAATTACTATTCTTAGATTTAATAACTATTATTAATAAGATCTTTATAGATAAATAAACTACTAAACTCTACTATATAAAAAATAATAAATAGATATTATTATTACTTTAATATAGCTATTAACCTTTAAATAGCCTTATATTATTCTTAAGACTATCTATAATAAATTAAATAGATAGTAATATTAATAATATTATAATTATATCTCTTATAAGTAATCTTTAATATCTATTTAATATTATTCTATCTAGTTTAATTAGTCTATTAATAGCTAGTAAAAAAGATAGAAACTTTATATTTTATAATAATAGATTAATACTTTAAACTATCTTTATTATAATAAATCTAAATCTTTAATCTATTTTTTAACTCTCTTATCTATTAATATTAATAGATATAATTAATAATATAATCTTAAAGATTAAAAGTATTAAAGAGACTATTAAGAGTATTAAATTTCTTAATATTAATTATAATAAAAAGATACTTTAATTAATCTTAAATCTTCTTATTAATCTTACTATTAATATTACTTTCTTTAAATATATAAAGTATAAAGAATATATTAAAATTATTATTAATAATATTAATTAAGCTAATAATTAAACTATTATTACTAAAGATCTTATAAATAGTCTTTAAAATAATAATAACTTCTTAAAGAAAAGTTAATATAGATTAGATACTTATTTTAATAAAATAACTAAAAAAACAATTAAAAAGAGATAAAAATAATAATATAATAATGATTTTTAATAATAATTTTTAGTATTTATTTTTTTTAATAGATATAATAAAAATAGTTAATTTTATTAATTTTTAATAGATAATATAGATATTAAATTAATTCCTCTCTTAAAGAGTTTATAACTATAATATAAATCTATAGTATTAGATTAATCAATTAATTAAGACCTAATATATAAGTTATTTAAGTAACTTCTATTAACTCTATTTAATTTATAACCCTATTAAGACAACTATTAATATAGTAAAACTATATATATATATAGTATAACACTAATTCTATTTCTTCTTTCTTCTCTAAAGATACTTAACTATCTTCCTTAGATATTCTAATTATAGCTAGTATTTCTTAA